GCCAACACTTTCAAGCTCAGCGAGCTGGGGGGCAGCAAAATTCCAAGAACGTGGAATGCGCAAAACCTCAGGAAATACCACCAGGCAACTTAATATGTACCTTGTTTGTAATGGCGCATTGTCGCAAGGAAATAAAAAAAAAGTACACAGTTCAAAAGAACAAAAAATAACAATAACTAAAGTTATTCGAGCCTTCACAATTCGAAAGAACAAAAAGTAGCAATAACCAAGAAGTTATTCGCGCCAACACAGTTCGAAAGAACAAAAAATAGCAATAACTAAAGTTATTCGCGCCTTCACAGTTCGAAAGAACAAAAAGTAGCAATAACCAAGAAGTTATTCGCGCCAACACAGTTCGAAAGAACAAAAAATAGCAATAACCAAGAAGTTATTCGCGCCAACACAGTTCGAAAGAACAAAAAATAGCAATAACTAAAGTTATTCGCGCCTTCACAGTTCGAAAGAACAAAAAGTAGCAATAACCAAGAAGTTATTCGCGCCAACACAGTTCGAAAGAACAAAAAATAGCAATAACTAAGAGTTATTTGCGCCGACACAGTTCGAAAGAACAAAAAGTAGCAATAACCAAGAAGTTATTCGCGCCAACACAGTTCGAAAGAACAAAAAATAGCAATAACTAAGAGTTATTCGCGCCAACACAGTTCGAAAGAATAAAATGTAGCAATAACCAAGAAGTTATTCGCGCCCCCAGAGTTCGAAAGAACAACATATAACAATAACCACGAGTCATTCGGGCCAACACCGTTCAGAAGAATAAAAACAATAGCGATAACCATGCGTCATTAGCGCCAACAAATTTCGAAGGAGAACGTTTTGTATTTCATTAGCGGGAAAAAGGAAGAACTACACTTGATAGAGAGAAAAGGAAGAACTACACTTGATAAAAAAACAACGCGATCACACTTGCAGCGCGATTACACTTGCTGCTCCGTCGAAGCATTCGCAGCATTCGCCTGCGCAGCATCGCCCTGTCCGCCCTTCTCCGCTTCGCTTTCCTCGCCCTCGTCCTCGCCCTCATCCGAGCACGCTTCCTCCTCCTCGTCGTCCTCCGGCTCCGAATCCGCCTCCAAAGACCTCTTCTCACCCAGCCAAGTCTGACCGCCTCCAAAGACCTCTTCTCACCCAGCCAAGTCTGAACATGACGCACCATCGCGCCAGTGTTCCAGCGGACCCCCGGGTTCTCCGGACGCACCTTTTTGCGGATGGTAATCACGGTCTTAGTCATGGCGTCCGCCAAAATCTTTCCGAAGGCGGGTGAAGACTTGTATTGACGGACGGCAGCGACCTCAGCGGCGCGCACAGCTTCTGCCTTCATGATGTTATGAAGGCGAACCAGGTCGTCCTTCTCCTTCTGAAACTCCTCGCGGGCTTGCTTGAGCTTCTCAGCGTGATCCGCTTCCAACTCCGCTCGAACGCGCGCCGTGGCATCCTCCACATCCGACGCCAGCTTGCTCTGCAGAACGCCGAGCTCCTCCATGGCCTCGTTGGCCTTGGTTGTTGCCACCTCGACGCGATTCTGAGCACCCACAAGCTTGCCCTCCAATTGGACAATCTTTGATTGCTCCGCCTACAGCTTCGCGTGGTGCGAACCCCGCTCCTTCTGGGCCCGGAAGGCTGCCAGCAAATCCTACACACGCAAGCGCCCCGAGACTTGGCAAAAATTAGCAAGGATGATCACATAATGTCGAAGCAAACAAAAATAACCTCACCGCAAAATGAATCTGAGCAAGGTCTTGCAGCGGATCGGGATTCTCCATCAGGGCAGGGGTGCTCAGGTGGGGTCCCAACGCGCGAAGCGCGGTATTTGCTGCTACGCTGTTGCATGCAGCGCCAGTGTGAATCCGCACATTGCGGAAGTAGTTGATGGTAGAAGCCATCTCGGGCAGCTTCTGCTGAAGCGTCGCACCAGACGAACTTCCAGCCGCTGACTTCTCTGGATGCTGAGCCGCATCCACGCGCGCACCGGACGCGTCCCCATCCACAATCACGAGCGGCAACTATTGTGCCGCCCGCTCAACCACTTGCTCAGCCGCCTGCTCAACCACCCGTTCAGGTTGAGGGTCAACCCGAGCCGCCTTGCGGGGTTTCTCGGCCACCGATGGATGCTCAACCCCCTTCCTCTTCACGCGCTCAGACGGAGCGGTCTCCTTCGACTTCCTCTATCCGCAACGCGAAGCTCGCGGAGCTTTGCTGACCACGTCGTCCACTGACATCATGCTGACTAGGCTGGAGAAGTCAACACCTGCGCCAATAAATCGTAAGAGAGCGGTTAATATGATAGAATGCATAAGGAAAGAGACGCAACTAACCATCAGCAAAGAGCTCCGCCAAACAAGCTTCGCGGACCCCGCCCAAATATAGGTTAAACTTCTGATTCAGGCACGCTTCATATTCAGCGTCGAGCCTGTCATATTTGCCCAGGTCACGCTCGTAGCCGTGCGTGCTACCCTTGTTCCAAACTGTCGGCTCCTCCATGTGCTCACTCGCCCACTCCCCCGGCGTGGGCTTAACGTAGAAGAAGCGCTCGAACCAAGTCTTCTTCAACTTGGGAGACCCATACACAAACCCATCGGGCCTCTTGTCGCGTGGTCTGATGGAGAGACAATCACTCCTTCTTGTCGGCTCCTTGATCTTGTACATCTTACGGAACAACTCGTAGGACGGCGGGATATTGAGCCTCTTGCACGCGAGGCGGAGGCAACTCGCGTGCAAAATAATTGAAGGGGAAAGGCGACCAACCGAGCATTTGAGCCGCCTGTAGATCGCGCATAACAGCGGGTCAATGGGGAACTTGAATCCCATCACCCAGTACTCGGTATACACCCCATTCCACCCTGGGGGGCAATTACCAACAGTACTCCGCGTGGAAGAAATCGCGTACTCCCAATGGGGGGGGGGGGGGCAAACCCAACCCGCGCACAATCTATTATCTTGTACGCCGCACCCACACCGTGAAACCCTAGGCGGCTTATCGCCTCGGATACGCGCGCGATACAGCGCGGCCCTGATTGCGTGTCAGTCTCACGATTCGCACTCCCAGACGCACCCGCACGGTCACGCCGGATTATCAGCAGACCACGAGCACCGGCGCCGGACGGCCCACTCCTAGACACCGTCGCATCCACATCGGACGAGCCACGGCAGTCCTGATCCAAATCGACGTCGTAAGACGGCGTCGCCAGAACCCCACCGCCGTCGCCCCCGTTGTCGGAATCAGCCAGATCCAACGAAGGATCAGTAGAAACACGCGAGGGATAGGAGAGATTACCTTCTTCGCCTTGTACGACCTCGATCTCGTTGACGTTGACGTTAGCCATGGCAGACTCTGGAGTTTTGGCAACAACAGGTTGAGAAGAGAGGTTGTAGAATAAGGAGAGGAATCTCGAACACACCCGAGGCAGAGAGAATAAGAAACAGAGTTGGAAGAAGCCGAATGGGTTCCAACTCCTCTGATGGTTAACTATTTATAACTGAGAGAGGGAAGCTGAAAGGTTAAAGTTGTTTCGAAAAACGCAACCGTCAGAGCCTTTTCGAAATTCAAAACGGCCGCCAAAATGAACCAACCACACAAGGACACGTGGACACCTAACATAGGCATAGGCACTAGCCGATGACGTCACAAGCTCCGCGCATCGCCTGGGGGGCATGGCACACCCGCGGAGAGAAAAAACACCCCCAAAGCCCAAGCTCAGTAGAAAGTGACACGCGCAGTCAAGTCAACCGCGCTAAAAAATTCAAGCAGACCCGAGTCAATCACCCGGAAACCGAATGGCGTCAGCCCTAAAAACACCAGGGGGCACGACACACCCTCAAAAGTCCAAGCTCAATAGAAAGCGTCATGCGCAGACGACTCGATCGCGCGCAACAATAAAAAAACCCACCAGCCCTCAACTCACGAAGATCGCGCAGAAAGCGTCACGCGCAGACGAGTCGATCGCGCGCAACAATAAAAAAACCCACCAGCCCTCAACAATAAAAAACCCCCCGAGTCAATCGCGCGGAGGTCAAACAGGCGGCGTTCGTGGAACACCCCCTGATGTGGGGCAATTGTTGGGCATGTCACTCGGATTCCGCCGCGCCAAAGAAACACCGACATCAGAAGAGTTGGCCGTGATACTGGGGCGAGCGAACACAGCATCGAGCGCCAATACCAAGAGACGGGCGCACCAGCACCGGCGCGAGCGAACACACCGTCGAGCGCCAATACCTAGAGACGGGCGCACCAGCACCGGCGAGCGCCAATACCTAGAGACGGGCGCATCAGCACCGGCGCGTCCAAGGGCAGCCCGAGTCCAGCGTTGACTAGATCAGCGAGAATGGGAAAACGACGCCGCGTCCCACCTACCGAGTGGTCACATCGCAGTCCTAGTCCTAGGTATAATGAAAGGCTAAATGTACTTGTCCTAGGTAGAGGTATGGCCTAGTCTTCTGACATGTCAGTGGTCATGTCACCATGTAACTCACCCACCACCATGTAGCCTATAAATAAGGCATTTACTCCGGTGGGTGAGGGGATCGGATTTTTCTGACTCTATCTCTAAGATTATCAACTTCTCTCTCTAAGATATTACCCTCTCAACTCTATTCGTAGTTTCCTGAGTTCTTCCATTGACGGTTATTCTCCCCTTGCTTACTCTCCTTGACCCATCTTCCCGAGTCTCACTCCTACACCCAGTTAGGCTCAAACACTAGTGTTTTCCTTTTGGTGTTATGAAAATAACAAGAGATTATGTGAGATACGAGAGTGACTTAATTTGGAAGTCAAAATTGAATTGGATGGAGACTTCTAAGTTGTGAAATAGTGATAGAATGATCTATGTATAATTAAATGACACTCTTGGTGGTTGAGGGTCATGTAGTAGTGACAAGAGAGTCTAGTTGATAGGATAAAATAAACACTAGCTTATTGATCGGTATTTCGGTATATTACCGATCCCAATCTCGTAATCCCTAATACCGAATAACAATGGAAATGCAATCTCAATCCCAAGAAATAATACGTGTATTCGGTAATACCAAATATAGAAAATTTTGGTACGATATTCGGTATATCCCAAATACCGGTACCAAACTTCCAACCCTACTTAAACACACAATATTTTTGACCAAATAATAAAAAAAATTCTTTTAATATATTTGAGTGTGTGAGTGTGAGGGACGGGGTAAGATGACAAGTTTAAAAAAAATGATACAGTAACTTGGTAAAATGTGCAACTCATTATAATAATAATAGTAATTACTACCAAGTGTGATGAACAATGGCTAATATTTTGATTTTTGACACAATTTTTTTTGTTCCCCACCACCAAATCTTTTTTTCTCAATAATTGTTATCTTACTATTTTTGTTCTTATTCCACTACCTGACTTTATTTCACAACTCAAGCAAAGTCTAGGCTGCGCAGGTCTTTAGTGATTAGTGCCGCAACACGTTGAAGAAAGATAATAGTAAGAACTAAGAAGGCAAGGTATGAGGAAAAAGATGGTACCCATTTTGTTCATCTTCCCGTGCTTTCCAGTCAATAATGCTACACCCTGCAGTTGCGTGTGGGAAAGCAACAAACCGCTTTGCCTGTGAAAAGGCCACAGCAGGGCAGCTGATAGATTCCTAGACCACCTTAAAACAAATACAAGTGGATAATAACAGCCATATAACTATGTTCCATTCCTTCACAGATCACTCTAAAACAGAGAAAAGCAGAGGCATGGCTGGCTGGCTAGGAAAGATGGACCAAAATTAAGCAAAGGCTGCTCAAGTGAAAACCACCTCCTCGCCGCCAAGTCAGTCAGTCTACCACCGACGGGTTTCTCAACCACTTTCTCAGCAACGAGAATCACATTCAGAAGAAACTACTTCTTTATTATTACAGAGTTGAAAATGAAAACAGATCTCTCTGTCTTTCCCTTTTCATTCCCTCCCATGCTCCTCCTCCTGTCAGTGCCCATTCTCCAACCAACTCCCATAAAAGAACAGATAATAAAGAAGAAAGAAAGACGAAAGCTCTCTGCTTTTCTCCATTATTAAAGCACTCACGATGCCAAACAACAGTTACAAGCGACAAACCCCCCAATTAAGCTAAGCAAGCTCAGACCCACACACTTATGAAGACCGGAATCCGAGGAGGAAAGCAAAGCTTCAGCAGCTTAACAGCAACAAGCTTTATTGTTAACTGTTAGCCGCTGCTGCCCTTCCCTTCCCTTCCTCCTTTCCCAATATGGCTGCAGCAGCTGCCGCCAGTGGTTCAGTTTTTCCCTTCCCTTTCCTTTTTCTATTATCCAGTCTTGCCTTCACCATCTCCACCCAGCAATCAGACAGATTCATCTTCCACGGCTTCGGCAATGGAACCAAAAACCAGCAGCAGTTGCTCAGGCTCGACGGAGCTGGAGAGATACTACCCAACGGCCTTCTCCGCCTCACCAACGCCTCCGCCCTTCAAATTGGCCACGCTTTCTTCCCTCGCCCTCTCAATTTCATCCGCGGGAAATCATCTCTATCCTTCTCCACCAACTTCGTCTTCGCCATGGTCCCGCAATCCCCAAATCTCGGCGGCCACGGCCTGGCTTTTTTACTCTCCCCGGCGGTGGATTTCTCACACGCCGTCGCCAGCCAGCACTTGGGTCTCTTCAACGCCACGACCGACGGCGCCTCCACCAACCACGTTGTGGCGATCGAGCTGGACGCAATGCGTAGCCCCGAGTTTCAGGACATCGACAATAACCATGTTGGGGTTGACGTCAACAGCCTGATTTCAATTGATGCCGCCCCTGCTTCTTATCTATCTCCAGACGGGAAGAATTTGACCTTGCAGCTGCTGAGCGGGAGGCCAATTCAGGTTTGGATTGATTATAATGATACCCAGAAGCTGATTAATGTGACATTGGCTCCCATGGACGGTCCGCGTCCAGAAAGGCCTCTGCTTTCTACCTCTGTGAATCTCACTGATGTTCTGCTGGACTCTATGTATGTGGGTTTCTCTGCTGCAACTAGCACTGTGACCAGTGAGCATTACATTCTTGGGTGGAGCTTCAGCCAGACAGGGAGGGCGGAACAGCTCGACATTTCGAAGCTTCCTAAGCTTCCTCCAGTGAGAAAGGAGAGGAGGAAGGTTGAGTGGATGAGCATAGTTTTCCCTATATTGGCTGCCTTTGTGTTGGTAGGGATTGGAGGGTTTGTGGTTTGCTTGATAAGGAGGAAGAAGTACGAGGAGATATGTGAGGATTGGGAGAAGGAGTATCATCCTCAGAGATTCACTTACAAGAATCTCTATTTGGCAACCCACGGTTTCAAAGAGAAGCAGTTTCTTGGAGTTGGAGGATTTGGGAAGGTTTACAAGGGAGTTCTTCCTAAATCAGAAACCGCCATAGCGGTGAAGAGGGTCTCCCATGATTCCAGGCAAGGGATGAAGGAGTTCGTGGCCGAGATCGTCAGCATAGGAAGGTTGAGGCACAGGAACTTGGTGCAGCTGCTGGGCTACTGCAGAAGAAAGGGCGAACTGCTCCTGGTCTATGACTATATGCCTAATGGAAGCCTTGATCATTTTTTGTTCAAAGATGATGAAAAGAAGCCAACCTTGAATTGGCCCCAGAGGCAGCGGATCATCAGAGGAGTAGCTTCTGCACTTCTGTATCTCCACGAGGAGTGGGAACAAGTTGTGATTCACAGGGACATAAAAGCTAGCAATGTGCTTCTAGATGCCGATTTCAATGGAAGGCTGGGAGATTTTGGCCTGGCTAGATTGCATGATCATGGCACAAACTCCCACACCACGCAAGTAGCAGGCACTGTGGGTTACTTAGCTCCAGAGCTAACTAGACTTGGGAAGGCAACCACAGGCACAGATGTGTTCGCCTTTGGGGTGTTCATGTTGGAGGTGGCCTGTGGACGTCGGCCTGTAGAGGCTGAAACAGCGGCTGAGGAGGTGATTTTGGTAGACTGGGTTGTAAGGTGCTGGCAACAAGGCAACATTTTTAAAGCTGTAGATTCCAGATTGCAGGACACCTACGACAGGGAAGAAATGGAGCTTGTTCTGAAATTAGGGCTGTTGTGTTCACATCCTGTGGCAGCATTAAGGCCGAGCTTGAGGAAAGTGATGCAGTACCTGGATGGGGACACGACATTGCCTGAGATATCACTGGAAAGTGCAGGAGTAGGCAACTTTGGGAGCTACAGTGAGAGATCTGATCTTTACTTCTCCAACTTTGGGAGCTACAGTAGGGCTTCCATAAATTCCTTCTGCAGCCAGGATTCAATCATCACAACAGGTCGTTAGTGTGCCATTACTGGCATGAGTTCAGATATGTTAAGTCTTTGGTGGTCAGGGTTCTGTAATGTTTCTTTTCTTTTCTTGACTGGTGGTGTTAGTAATGGTTTTTTTCTTCTTCTTTCGAGTTTTGTAATGTTCCCTCTGTAACTAGGAAACAGAAAGAGCAACACTTCTTCGACAACAGATCATCTGTTGAATTGACTAGATAGAATTAGAAGTGTTTGTTTTACATTCAATACACAAACCATATCTATACAACAACACAAGCCACTGATTGGTGGCTGACATGTATGGTCTCTGGTGGAAGCTTGGTATTATCAGAACAGCATGGCTAGGAGTTTAACTGATTGAAAGAAACACATGTTTTCCTGTTTGTATGAGGATTCTCTGAGAAAGTTGAGCTGAAGCTATTAGTACCAGAGCTTTTAAGGTGATCGTCGGCCTCCGATTGAAACCGTTGTAGGCTAGCGGCTCCAAGTTGTTGCGCAACTGTAAGCCTCTGCCTCTCAGAGCAGCTCTGCAGTTTATCCTCAACGTGACGACAACCAGCCAGTGGAAGACAGATGAAGGAAGGACCAACGGCGTGTTGTGCAGAAGCAGTAGCAGTACGCAGCAGGAACAACATCTATCCGTTGCAGCAGCAGCAGAACTATCTCCTGCCTGCTCATTTTCTGTTTCATTTCCTTATTTCGGATTCTGGTATGCTCTCATAGATATATTGAAAAGACCTAGCCAGACAGGTTCCTTGCTCCAACTCCACAGAAATTGTTCATTGTATTTCAGATTCCTTATTAATTAACAAACACTTTTAAAAATTAACTAGCACCGGGCTCGGCCCTTGGCCGAGAAAGTTTAGACAAAAAATATGCACATATAACATGCTTACAAAATTACAATATAATAAAAAAATAAGACATTAAATTGGAGAAAGAAATACAATTGTTCAAAGAAAGAAAGAAAAACATGCACATAATTCAAGATTAGAGTTGCTTCCCTTAAATCATACATAATGAACCGTTAGGGGGGAAGAAAAAGATTGGTCTCTGTTAGAGTTTAGTAATAGGATCATTTGTAATCCTAATTGACGTCAAATAGGGTAAATTGCAAGGTTGATCACTGAGTTAACTAAAAACGTTCACATTTGATCACTAAAAATATTTAATTTCATTCGTGGTCACTAAGATTAGTTTAATAGCTCAAGTTTGATCACTCTCCATTTGTCTCTGTTAACTTTAGCTTATGTGGCAGTCAACTCTTCTAGTTGACCGTTAAATATATGACGTGGTAATTAAAAAATATTAAAAATTTAGAAAAAAAATCTTTTATATTTTCCACCTCATCGTTGTAGTTCGTAGACGGGGATTCCATACATGTGTTGCGTTCTATATGAGTCGCATAGACGGGGATTCCTTCGTGTATTCATCATCAACGGTATCTTAAGTGTGTGGATTTGCGGTTACTTTAATTCAACTCGTGACTCATTGGTTGAGTGATTAAAATGCTCGAGTTAAATGTTGATTGTGTATGGTGAACTTCATCAACCAAATTTGTGATAATAAAGACCGAAGTGAAGTTTAAAATATAATATGAAATTCTTTTAGGAACCAAAAGAAATAATAATAAAAGATAAATGAAAAGCATAAGTTTTGCACCTAATACGAAACTTATATCCAAGATTAATGGTTAACTATATGAGTGAATCAAACCCGCAAACTTCAATTTGCCTACAGCTGTTGTTGGCCCAATTGAGGCTCAAGTCAGTATATATATATATATTTTTCATAGTGTTTAGTTGGCCGATTGATGATTGAAGAAAAATCATCATCATAATTAATTATTTACAAATGATCACTGATTCTCACCTCCTCCCCTTGTAATTTAGTGTCTCATTATATCCATTTTTTTAACCAAAAAAAATTGGCCTGGCTACACCAACATCAATATCACCTTCTCTATCCCTCCATCGAAGAGATTCATAAGCACACAAAAGAAAGAGAGAAAGGGAAAGAATTCTCCTCCTGATCCGTCGTCGACGTTTCGTCGTTGTGACGATTCTACTATGTCCCAGCTGGATTACCACCATGATCAGGTCGCCGACGGAGATGGAGGAGGAGGAGGTTTTTTCTCTTTCTCCGCTTCCAACGGGTTCGACAGAGTTCAGCAACAACAGCAACATATAGCGCAGCAGATGATGAGGAGGGATAAGCTTAGAGTTCAAGCTGAATATCCTCCTCCTCCGCCGTCGCTAGATGAGGAAGAATCCGCCACGGCGGATGGCGGTTTTCATCATCACCGCCACCTTCAACAACCGCAGCAGCAGCAGGTGTGCGAAACGACGGGAATGTTATTCGAGATGTTCAATTTCTCTCCCACCGGCGGACCGCCCGTCGTCCCCACCTCTGTCCACTTGCTAGACCACCACCATGATCACGATAATCAGACCGATTTCCACCACCAGATAATTCCGTCGACGATTTATGCGGATTCGGCGGCGGCACAGCTCTTCCTCTCCAATCCGCCGCCGCGATCAATACCATCTCCACCCCAACACCCGATCACACGATTCTCGTGGGTCCCGGACTCCGAAATTGGCGGCAGGGTGGAAGCTAGTCAGGGCCGCCTCAACCGGGACTAGATAGTGTGACAACACCCCTTGTGTTGTTATTATAACAGCACTAGCCTCCAACCAATAGGAATCTAGAATTGTGATGACTTTTTATTAGATGAGTTGACCTAGTGTAAAATCAAAGCAGGGGTATAATTGTCATTATGAAAAATCTGTTTAAATAATAAAAAAATAAAAAAAATATTTTTATTTTCTGCCAAAAAATTTGGTCGCCGGAATTCTGCCACCGGTCGCCGGAAACTGGTCGTCGGTCACCGGAATATGCTTTTTTGTTGCCGGAATATGCTATTTTGTCATCGGAATATGCTCATCGTCGCGGAATATGCTTACCGGCGTCGGAATATGCTTACCGGCATCGGAATCTAGACACCGGGGCCGGAATATGCTTATCGGCGCCGGAATCCGGTCACTGACGGTCATCGGAGTTTGGTCAACGAACTTTGTTGACCGGTCAACGGTCTTCGTTGACCGGTCAACGGCGAACGACCACCGGATGTTATGGTCTGCATTGTGAGATTTATGGTTTGGTTTCTCATATTTTTGTATGTCTTTTGTGGTTTGCTTTATCGTGTTTGTGGTTTGCATTAAGAAGTTTCTGGTTTGCTTTATCATGTTTGTGGTTTGCATTGAGAAGCTTCTGGTTTGTTTTCAAAAATTTTGTGGTTTGCATTGAGGGGTTTCTGGTTTGTTTTAATATATTTGTGATCTGCATTAGGACGTTTATGGTTTGCTTTCAAAAATTTTGTGGTTTGCATTGTGAGGTTTCGGGTTTATTTTAATATATTTGTGGTTTGCATTAGAAGGTTTCTGGTTTGTTTTTTTGTGGTTTGCTTTTCCGTGTTTGTGGTTTGCATTAGGGTGTTTCTGGTGTGCTTTTCAAAATATTTATGGTTTGCTTTGTGAAATTTCTGGTTTGTTTTAGGAGACTTGTGTTTGTTTTAGGAGGTTTCTAGTATGCTTTTTTGTGGTTAGTTATATCGCATTTGTGGTTTGCATTAGGAGGTTTTTGGTGTGTTTTAGAAATAGTTGTGGTTTGCTTTGTGGTGTTTCTAGTATGTTTTAGGCGATTTGTAGTCTGGATTATGAGGTTTCTGGTGTGCTTTATAAACATTTGTGATGTGCTTTATGGTGTTTCTGATATGTTTCAGGAGATTTATGGTTTACATTACAAGGTTTTTGGTGTGTTTTATAGTATGTTTTATTGGATTTATCAAAATGCCTCGGTCTCTCTTTCAGTGATACAGAAGCAGTCTCGTTGAGTTAATTTTATTTCCCCCACAAATTAGTGAAACATAACACATATTTTCCATCTCCTTCATCAACATCATCAACTCAATCACTGCCAGCCTGCCATTATGAAATGGTGATACATTTACACCAGCACTAAAACCCGAAATCTTAACAAGCAAAGTAGTGGCACCAAACATGTTTGGTGTATCAATCCCATTAAGATAAGCTTTGATCTCAGGGATCCCAGATCCTGCTGCAGTTGGTGCAAAGAACACACACAACACAGCTGCAAAAGCAGTCAACACCAGATTGCTTCCAGTCATAAACGCTAACCCTGTCAAATACCTTTCTTCCTTGATCAAGTTGACAACAGCCAGAATCTTGTACCCAGCAATATTCTCCACAGCAAGGTTAATGAGAGTGGCAATTAAAACTGTCAACCCTCCCACAAGGAAAGCCAGTGACCATTTTAGGAACACATACTGCAGCACTTGGGCTTTGGATGGAAAAAATCCCAAAGTACACTAGTTCTTAAAAAAAATTCCCAAAATACATAAGTTATAAAAAAAATTCCAAAAGTACACATGTTTGAGCATCACCGTTTTAGACAAAAGCGGTGAAGGTCATCACCGCTTTTGTCTAAAACGGTGAATACTTCACCGTTTTTGTCTAAAACGGTGAATACTTCACCATTTTTGTCTAAAACGGTGATGTATTCACCGTTTCAAACTAAAACGGTGACTGCTTCACCGCGTGAGAGCAAAACGGTGGAGCACTGAACTGCGTCCAAACTTTAAAACAACGTAACTTTGTGCTCGGTTATCCGATCGTAGCGAATTTTTTTTTGATTCCGCATAATTTTTCGAGATCTTGCAAGCCGCAAACTGCCGGAGGCGGTTTGGTCCCGCCTTCGTCTCGAAAAAATGTCGTTTGTGATCGGATAACCGAGCACAAAGTTACGTTGTTTTAAAGTTTGGACGCAGTTCAGTGCTTCACCGTTTTGCTCTCACGCGGTGAAGCAATCACCGTTTTGCTCTCCCACGGTGAAGCAGTCACCGTTTTCCTCTCACGCGGTGAAGTAATCACCGTTTTGCTCTCACGCGGTGAAGCAATCACCGCCCTTCTCTGACGCGGTGAAGGCCCAAACATGTGTAGATTGGGAATTATTTTCATAACATGTGTATTTTGAGAATTTTTTTTAAAAACATGTGTAACTTGGGATTTTTTCCGGCTTTGGATCTACTCCTCCAATCATGCTTAAACATATCATTCTCATTGATCTCATAGTCCAAGCTCTCTATATGGGACATCTTAGTGCCAACAATTGCCAATGGGGTTGAAGAGAGTGTTCTGTTTCTCTTCAGGAGTGGCTCCTGGAGTGTGCTGCTGTTGCTCTCTGGATCTCTTTCTTCCATTGCTGGTGCTCGTGTTTCTGTTGGCAATTGGGGTGTGCAGCAATGGTCTTCCTCCATTGATGGAGCTTTCTTCCTTGATCAAGTTGACAATAGCAAGAATCTTGTACCCAGCAATATTCTCCACAGCAAGGTTAATGAGAGTGGCCTACTTGGATCGAGAGTGGGAGGTGCTCGGGAGCAGGGTTTTGGGAAGATGGAAACTACAGCAGCAGCAGGAAGAACACCGCCGCCGCCGCCGGCGATTGAGCGGCCGCCGAACAACCGCTTCCACTGAATCCTAATCATCCGGTAAATCCTCAACCTCGCCGCCGACATGCTCAAAACCACGCCCTTCCTCAGCTTTCTCAGCCTCTTCCCGATCCTCACCTTCAACTTGCAGAGCTTGGTCTGGCAAAACGACGCGCTCCGCCGCGAATCGTCGGCGCGTTGCATCATCTTGTAGATCAGGAACTGAGCCCGCCGCGAATCGCCAATGGCCGTGCCAGTCGTTGACCTCCCTCTGTTCCGACTCCGGATGAAGTAGGCCGGAGAACACCGCTCCCCTGGCTCGGAGGCGCACGAAAACCTGGGAGAGAGAAGGGAACGGGTGGGGTAATGAATCATTTAATTTAATTTTTAATTTACTACCTTTTGTGAGTTTCCGTTTTTACCCATGTTGTTACTATAACAACACTATGAGTGTTGTTATAGTATCCGGACCCGCCTCAACCATTAACTCCGCCATCACCAACCGTCTTCTCCGTTTAACCTTTTTCAATTCTACGTAGAGAAGTGAGAACGGAATTGCGGCAGGAATTTGGACTCTACCTGCGGTGCAATTAGCCCAATTGCAGCCCAAATATGTTAATGGTGCGTTGGACTCCAAAGCCCACAAATTAACAGGAACCAAAAACGGAAAGCTATTAGCCCCAAAACGTAGCACTTCAATTAAATGTGCAGAATCGTAAGATGGCTAATTTGCCCTTCCGTGAAGCTCTCAGGAGCCAGAGTTTTTTGAATCCCTGCAAAAAGAGCCTATGAATCTGCTTCATAAATTTTATAGATACCTGCCCCCTCTCGTCCAAGCCAGACAGTTGGAACTACAAAAATACAACCTAGACTTGAAAATAGGAGGAGGGAGTTAGGAATATAGGTGCTCTTCCGTCTGATGGAATTCCGTTTTTATGCCCAGCTGTATAAAGGTAAAATTAGGGGTGTCCATTCGGGTTCTGTTTTTCGGGTTTACCCGAAACCGATCCGATTGTATACATTTTTGGTTTTTCGGGTTCGGGTTTGTTTCGAGTTTCGGGTTTTACGGTTTCTGGTTCGGTTTTGTTTATCGGTTTTTCGGGTGCCGGCTAAAAACCTCCAATGAATAGAACTCAATCCGTATTCTTAGGTGTCTGGGTTTTCGGGTTTCGGGTAACCGAAACCCGCAAGTCCTTATCGGGTTCGGGTTACCCGAAACCCGCAAGTCCTTATCGGTTTCGGGTTTGATTTTAGTGGTTTTTGGTTTTGAGTTTTCGGGTTTTTTCGGGTTTCGGTTCGGGTAACCGATCCCGACCCGAACTAACACCCCTAGCTAAAACAAGAGTTTGTCAGGCTTTGAGCTAGACTCTATCACATGTAGCATGTAGGTGTAAGAAAGTGTTTAAATATACATCTCACAACAATTTGAGTTATTGAAAACAGTTGGTTTATGATATTTGTATTAGAGTCGGTTTGACTTTGAGGTCATGTGTTCAAATGACCCCAATATTAAACTATTGTCTTAAAGCCATGGTATGATTAGTCTGTTCAAATTTCAAGCCCATGAATCGGCTTTGGTTTGAGGAGGCGTTTAAAAAAGTGGTTAAGTTAAGTACCTACCATGGACCTCCCCCAACAACTCAAGTAATTGGGACCAATTAGTTTATGATAGTAGACAATATACTCATGAGACTCGACCTGTCTCGACTTTTTTAGAGCGGGTATTACTCGATCTATAGAAGCGTGGGGCGGGGTATAGGTATTGCTTTCGACCAGCCTTGTTCTCTACCCGTTCTATTGATTTGCAATAATATCCACTTGTATTTCTCCTTTTTTATCTTTCTAAAATCACATTTTCATTGCAAAGAAATATTATACTCTATGGTTGAATGATTTACACTCAATTATTACTTCTACTGTATTTCTCATTCATTTATTAAGTATTTTCTCTATGTGTTCTTGTAAAAAAGTTAATGTTGAAGGAAGCTTGGTCAATAGCATCGAGAAATCAAGCAAAGCAAGAAGGGCAAGATATCTTGGATATTCTGGAACATCAAAAAAGGAAAGGTTCTGATGGTGTGATCAATCAAGGCAATCAAGGAATAACAATTGATTCACAGATTTGCAAGCAATGGTCTACTGAAGCAAACCATATAAATTTGGGATTCTGGGTAGATAGTGATCATCTTTTTCGAGCACATTCTCAAGAAGAAAAACAGAGTGTTTTCGTGTAGTGTTTTGAGAAAGAAAAAGAACATAGTTGTCAGGGAGAGAACTCAGGCTACAGAATTGGGGTATCAGGGTAGAGTGGTTGCAGGAAGCAAACTCTACAGTGAGATTCTGATCAAGTGACTGGGAGTCACACTGAGATCAACCTTTTGTACCTTGTAAATCGATCAACAATCATCATAGTGAAACGTCGAAGGACTCAAATCAGAGATCCTTCGACAGTGGACTAGTCGATACTGATTTATCAGTATCGGAAACCACGTAAAAATCGACTGTGTCCTTGCATTGGTTCTTTGTATTAGTAAGAATATTTTCACTCTCTGCTCGTGTTCCCGTCTCTATTTAGCAGGGGCCTAAGTTCAGGTCCTTAAGGCCTCTTTTTTAAGGAGGAACTTAAAGCCTTCTGATTGGTTAACTCAAGATCAGGTAGTTAGTAGGGAGTTATTAGTTTAAAAGTTGTTAGGGGTATTAAGGAGAATATAATTAAATTAAAACATGCGTTTTTTTTTCTTCAAAAACCCTAACCCATTGCTTTTCGTCGGTTTATTATTCCTCTCGCAAGAAGAGCAAATGTCCGTCTCCCCGACTTCTCCGACTGTCGTCCCAACTTCTCAGTCCGTTGTCCGGTCGTCCCTTCTCCGTCCCGAGTTCTCCGTCGTCCGGTCGTCCCGAGTCCATCAGCCGTTGTTTCCGTCTTCCTCCCGCTGAGATTTCCGACAAAGGACAGCAGCCAGTCGTCGTGCCGACGATTCCGTCCCTTCTCCGTTGTTTCTGTCCCTTCTCCGTCGCAAAGCCTTCGCAAAGCACAACAACCCTTCTCGGTCAGCCGACGATTCCGTCCCTTCTTCCATGCAGACGATTCCGTCCCTTCTCGGTCAGCCGTTGTGTCCGTCCCTTCTCCGTCGCAAAGCACAGCAACCTCTCGTCGGCGGCAGCAGCCTTCGCAAAGCACAGCAGCCGGCCGACGATTCGAGTTCTCCATCCCATTGCTGCAACGTTGAAAATTTAACAAAACTATTACCTTTAATTATTAACAACTACCCACTTCATTATTAATCTTCCCTTATCCGATTATTAACCTAAATCCTTTAATTATTAACAATTTTTATTTCGTATTTGCGGGGTTTTGGCGTTACATGGGATTAGGGTTTTGGCGTTGCATGGGAGGAGTAGTCGATGCACAATAGTAGGTCGTTTTTAATTTATTTGGTGTCTATTATTAATCATTTTGTGGGCATTCGTAGTCTTTTTTGTGTAAATTATTAATCAATCTGAGCTCGTTGTGTATCCATTGTTAATCAATCTGAGCTCGTTTATAATTTATTTTGGCATCTATTATTAATCATTCTGTGGGCGTTTATAAATTGTGTTGTGTATCCATTGTTAATCAATATGTGCTCGTTCTCAACCTTTTGTTCTCTATTATTAATCAATATGTCATGCAAGTAAATTATTTGTGTCAATCAATCTGTGCACGTCAATTTTTCCATCTCCAATTTTTATTTTATATTTGTGAGGTTTTTCGTTGCGTCGATGAATTATTAATCATTCCTCTCGTATTAATAACCTTTACTTATTAAAGCATTCAATTTGTAATAAAAAAATTCCTTCTTTATTAATCAACTACTTTAAAATTACTATTCCAAAAAGACATTGAAGATTAACATGCAAATTAAATTATTAACTCGCACACTTTAATTATTAACCATGTCCCTTCTTGGATTATTAACCTAAAATTACAATGAAATTTTTCATGCAAAGTTTACTATTAACCTAAACACTTCAATTATTAACAACTACCTCATGAATTATTAATCATCCCTCTCCGAGTAATTACTTTTACTTATTAACCCATTGAATTATTAAACATTTCCTTTTTAATTAATAATTTGAAACAACTAACAAATTACGTGCAAAGTGGATCATTAATTTAAACACTTCAATTATTAACAACAAACACAAGCATTATTAATCAACAAATACGACCTTATTAATTGTGTAAAAAACCATGTGACAATTATTAACATTTTTTTGCTGACGCTACTATTAACATTTCAATTATTAACTATTAATCAAAAAATACGACCTTATTAATCGTGCAAAGTGGATTCTTAATTTAAAGACTTCAATTATTAACATTTTTTGCTGACGCTACTATAGTTATCAGTAAAAAAGGTGAATTAATGGTCGTGTTGTCAACATTGTTAACCTCCGCGTCTCTATTATTAATTATATTACTGAAATTGTTAACAGGTAACTAAAACCATGTGACAATAAGGGGAGCCTCTGATTTGAGATTTGTAGAGCAACGTAACGGAGTTGTCAATGCTGTCAAAAATACATATTAGTTTTTTCACATACGTTATTAACATTTTCCGGTGATGCTATTATTAACGTTCTCAATCAAATTGAAATGCGATTTATCAATCATGTTGTAAACATTATTAGCCTGCCACATCATTAATATTAATCAGATCATCAGAATTATTAACCAGTAACTAAAATGTTGTCACAATAAGATTAGCTTCTAATTTGAGGTTTTTAAAGCAACGTAACTGAGTTGTCAACGTTTTAACAGTTTATATTAGTGTTTTCGCCTACATTATTAACATTTTTAGTGACGCTATTATTAATGTTCTCAATCAAATTGAATCACGATTTAATTGTGTTGTAAACATTTAAGTGACGCTATTATCAACTTTAGCTCAGTATTGTTAACAATATACAATATCATTATTAATATTTTCTACATAATTTAAAACAAATGACGAATTCATTATTAAGAAATTCTTGTCATTTTTCAACGTAAACAATAATATTATGAACTAAATCCGCCTCGACACATCTTCTCCTCCTTCTGCAAAAACTTCCGTCAGGAGGAGTGACAACGGGAGACTGGCAAGTTGGGGGCGACGACCGGATGGGGAGATGTCGGATGGCAACGGGATGACGATGGAGTTAGGCAGGATGCGGCGGGATGGGAACGAGGAAGCTGACGGGAAATTAACGGCATGATGGCGTCGTGACGACGGGAAGATGGTGACCTGACGATGTGTCCACGGGACGCCGACGTCGGGATGGCAACGAGACAAAAACGTCGGGATTGCTGACGAAGCTTGGTTGTCGGGGGAACGGGACGACGAGTGTTGCTGAGTCTCCGAATGGTGTTCGAAATGAGCTTCGCGCCGAGTGGAGGCCGACGGCGAGAAGGTTTAGGGTTAGAGAGGACAACCGTCTTTCGATAATGGCTTCCGCCGTCTCTTAATAAATCATGGGTTTAATTTTCGTTTTTATTTTAATTATTATTATCATTAATATTTACTATATTCCTTTCTTGTCCTTCTAGGTAGTTAGTCAATAATAGTAATGTTTTTATCTCTCTTCTTCCTATTGGCTAGAATAGGTTTAAGATTTTCCTTAAAGAATAGGGCTTAAGGACCTGATCCAACCCGTTTAGCAGGTGATCAAGAACAAGAACACTGACCTGCAAGTGGAGAATGATTGGTTTGTAGGCTTTGGGTCGGGATTATAAAGTTTGAGCCCAACAGACAAAACAAAAGCAACCTTGGGCTTAAAGCCCATCCAACGTTTATTTCGATTAAAGTCTATTAGTTATTTTAGAAAACAACAAGCTTTTACTTCATCAATTCTCAATCGATCTATTACACTCAATTTGCATTTTTGTTTGTGCTGAGATTAGGGTTTGTGGATTTCACGAAGCAAAGGGGTTCCAAGTCTCACGCTCGACTCAATCTACAGTTAAATGATTAATACTATCAATGTCAATTATATAGGAGGAGTAGCGGCCAAGTAAGGCCGATGAGGGTTATTATTAGGGTTTTCAGTTCTTTTCTTTGGTATTTTTTCAAAATTAATCAATAAAGAATGTTACAGAAACATATTTGGAAAATTCTATTCTCCTAATTCCTTGAAATCACGTTCCCAATTTCATAACCTAACTCGAGAACGCCATAGATCCATGATTTCTAACATATCACTTGTTAGAAATTACAATGGATAGATCGGAATCGGTACCTCGATGCTTATACTCATTTCATGCAGGGGTCCCGTTTTAAACGGGTACCCAGTCCCATTTAGAGATCAAAGTCCATCCCATATCCCAAACTCATATGGGAAACGGGTACCCATTACTCGTACGGGACGGATAACGGGTACCCATACTACCCATAAATACCCAAAGTTTAAATCACATTTTACCTAAAGACAATTAGTCAATTACATCCAAAGCATTCATTTCAAAACACAAAATGGTTGCACAAGTAGCAACTTACACCAATTCCTACAACCTAAAGAAGGGATGATGATGAAGATGAAAAGGAATCAAGGAAGGGGAAACAGTAAAAAAAGCTACACAGAACTCAGCCGTTGAACGTGCGTGTTGCGTCTGTGAGGGAATGAGGTTAGAAGTTACCGAATAACTGAATATGCCCTGTGAGGGAATGGGGTTAGAAGTTACCGAATTGTAATTGAATCATGTGATTGCGGCTGGTGCTGCTCCCCAGTTCTGAATGAATTCATATACTTTTGTGTTGGAAAAGTAAAGACAAGTCTGATTTGCAACCGTGTTAACAGGTTTTACTTGCTCCAAGAGGACTAGGACATGTCCGGAACTACAGTCGCCTTGTTGTGCCAGGTAATATTTACTTTAAGCTTACCCCTTTTGTTGATGGTTGTTTTTGGTGGATGCTGAATGTAAGGGTTTTTTTACTGTTACAGGTTCTATAGTTAGTCTGACGCCCATATTACTTGCTCCAAGAGAAGATGAATTATATGTCTTTGTAATTTGAATGGGTACAACGGGTACCCATATTACCCAAATGGGTATTCGCGGGTAACCCGCGGGTACCCATATTAGGACTGTACAATTCCAAGTCCCATCCATTTAAAATATTACGGGTAATATGGGTACTCGTAACCCTTAAAAAACGGGACGGGTACGAGTATACCCAAATACCCGTTTCCCGTTGCCCACCCCTAATTTCATGGCAGGTTGGGTCCAAGTCGGATATTTAACTTTGGGGTATTGATCAAGATAGGTCGACTCTACGGTGTGCATTCTAAAGGAAGAAAAGAGGACACATGCCTGCTCTACCTACAACACGTGTGTTACCCACCCAAAATAAGTTAGACAAGCCAAATAGAAGGGATCGGGTCGAAATCGTCATCTCTATTACGAGTAATAAAATAAAAGTGTGATTGAATGTGATTTTTAAGAGAAACTTTTTTTATAGTGTGATTTTTAAAAATGACATTCTATAAAAATAGAGTCGAGTTTAAACTAAACTTTCATAATTCAAACAACTATTTCGTGCCCAAGTCTTTAGTTAGCCATCCAATCCAATAGTCGGAAAGGGATGGAGTCTAGGCACAGGAACACATATCAAAGGATGAGCCCTCGGAAGGGTAAGCCCAACTCCTTCTTCCATATCGACATTACCCCCATCACTCCTCTTCGTCGATTCATGAACCTTCCACTCAAAACACTGAACCATGGCAGCCAGGCTAGTGTGCACCATATGCAGAGCCAGCGTCGTCCCAGGGCACCCTCTCCTCCCACTTCCAAACGGTAAAAACTCAAAATGCTGCCCCCTCACGTCCATCTGGCTCTTCCCTGCCCCATCAATGAACCGCTCGGGCTTGAACTCGAGCGGTTCGTCCCAATGGCTCGGGTCCCTGCCAAGGGCCCAGACGTTCACAAACAGTCTGGTCCTCGCCGGAATCTTATAGCCTTGAATCTCACAGTTCTCGCTCGACTCTCTCACAATCAGCGGCCCTGTCGGATGGAGCCGCAACGTCTCCTTCACTATGGCTTGGAGGTAAGGAAGGTTCGGAATGTCCGACTCCTTGACCAATCTGGATTTCCCCACCACCGTATCAATCTCTTCCCTTGCTCTGTTCAGTATCTCAGGGTGGTTTATCAGCTCCGCCAATGCCCACTCTGTAGTGATCGCTGACGTGTCCGTTCCCGCCGCAAATATATCCTGCGCGGGCTCAACAGTCAACAGATTGTAATTCATTGCATAAGAAACAAACTATTGTCTCAATTCTGATGCATAATTACTTACCAAGATGAAGGCTTTGATGTTTTCTCGAGTGAGTTTGATTTCAGAATCTTCGTCTTCCTTTATGTCGAGCAGCACATCAAGAAGATCTTTCACCTCCTCGTCATCTCCATCGATGTTCTTCTTCCTTGCCTCCACGTGCTCCTCAATGATCCTCTCCATCATCGAATCAAACCTGCTCCTCAAATCCTTCAGCCGCTTCCCAAACCCCTGCAGGTCCAATCTCTTGCAGAACCAAATGTAATCCGACAAGTTAAACTTCCCGGTGAGCTCCGCCGTCTCCTCCACCAGCTTCCTCACCTGATCCGCCTCGTCCGCCCCGCCGGAGCACCTCTCCCGCATCATCATCACCGAGATCACGTTGTTCGCCACCCGAATCAGCTCCCCTCCGACGTCCATCGCCTCCCCTGCCTCTGCTCTGTTCTTCGTCCCCTGCAGAAACCGCCCGATCTCTTCCCGCCGCAGCGGGAGCATCCGGTCCAGGATCCGGCCGCCGAGCAGCTCCGACATGCACAGCTTCTTCATGAACTTCCAGTAGGGTCCGTAGGGGGCGAAGGAGAAGTCGGCTGAGCCGTAGGTGAGGTAGTCAACGGCGGCGGGTATGGGGCGGTCGGAGAAGAGGGACTCGTAGGTTTTCAGGAATTCCCTGGCGGTCGCCGGCGATGAAGCGACGACGCAGGGGACTGAGCCGAGGGAGAGGCGGAAGAGCGGCCCGTGACGGACGGCGAGCTTGTGGAGGGCCTGGTGAGGGATTGGAGCTAGGAGGTGGAGGTGGCCGATGATGGGTAGGGCGAAGGGGGCGGGCGGGAGTCGGTCCGGGTCGGGTCGGGTTTTGCCGAATAGGTTTTTGAGGATGAAGGTGATGCATAGCAGGGAGATTAAGCCGGCGTAGAACTGGAAACTTTCGTCGGCCATTGTTGTGAAATGGGGTGAGGATGGATTTGAGTGAGAGCTTTGGGATGGTGTTATAATGTACAGAAGCCGGCAGTGAAAGAATCAACTATTCGGTTTGACGGAATCCTCCTTCCTTGATCAATCAATGAATGAGAGTTATTTTATGCCCAATTGGTGAGCTAGTTTGTCGTCATTCATCTGCCTTCTGTGGAAAAGAACGAATTGCAGCGGCCGCCGGCCGGCATAATTTTCTTCTTGATTTCTTTTTAAATACAGAGATTCACATCAAGCAAATAGACGAAGACCTCCACGAACTGTACGGTGAAACTTGTGCTGTAACTATACTGCTCTTGGTCTATGACTAAATGCCTAATGGAAGCCTTGATCAGTTTTTGTTCAAGGATGATGAAAAGAAGCCAACTTTGAATTAGCCTCAGAGGCAGAGGATCATACGAGTAGCGGCATCTGCACTTTTGTATCTCCACTAGGAGCTAGAACAAGTTGTGATTTACAGTGACATAAAATCTAGCAATCTCTTTTAGATGCCAATCGCAATGGAAGAGTGGGAGATTTTGGCCTGGCTAGGTTGCATGAACAAGGCACAAATTGAAAAAACCACACAAGTAGCAGGAACGTAACTGGATTATTGAGCTCCAGAGCTTACCAGACTTGAAGGCAACTCCAGTAGCAGAAACTGTCGCTCATGTTGGAGGTAGCCTGTGGACGTCGGCCTGTATAGGCTGAAGCAGTAACCGAGGGGGTGATTCTGGTGGACTAGGTTGTAAAGTGCTGACAACAAGACGGCATTTTTAGTGCTGTGGATCCAGGTTGCAGGGCACCTACGACAGGGAGGAAATGGTGTTCTGAAATTAGGGCCGTGTGTCCACATCATGAGTCAGCATTAAGTCCTAGTACGAGGGAAGTGATGCAGTACCTGCACGGGGACGCGAGATTGCCCGAGATATCACTGGAAAGTGCTGGAGTAAGCAACTTTTGGAGCTACAGTGAGAGATCTGACCTTTACTTCGCCGACTTTGGGAGCTACAGTAGGTCTTCTATCAATTCCTTCTGCAGTCAGGATTCAATCATCACAACAGGTCGTTAGTGTACCATGAATTCAGAAGTTGATAGTCTGTGGAGGTCATAGTTCAGTTCTATAATGCTTCTTATCTGTGGTGAGCTTTTGGGTGTTACTTCAGTAACAAGGAAACAGAGAGAAAGCACTTCTCTGACAAACAGTCATCTGTTCTGTTGACGACATAGAATCAGAAGTTTTTGTTTTACATTCAATACAAAGCCATATCGAAACAACAACACACGCCACTGCCTGACTCTTATTTATGGATTGGAGATAGTTTCAGAGGTTTTCACTTCAAGATTTTCGACTCGATTTCTTCCAAGCTCAGGCCTTTGGTCTCTGGGACGACAAATATAGCGAACAAGAGTGCTACAACGGCTATTGCCCCGAAAACAAGGAAAAGATTCTCAGCTCCGAGAAACTCCTGAACATTGAACAGACAAACCTTAATTATTGACTGATATGTGTAACTCCATCGGCAATTAATAAGGGACTGAAACCTTTATACCTTCAATGGTGAGAATGCAAATGTTACGAGAGCATTTGAGCCGAAGTTTGTCAGAACTGCAAGACTAATTCCCTTTCCTCTGGTGCGAAGAGGGAAAATTTCTGACACCATTAGCCAACTAATGGGCCCAAATGATATCTGCATGTTGTGGAAGAAAGATGCCCTTCAGAGTCAGCATTCAATCCTTACAAGAGTGGATCAGGAAAATGTTGGATCAGACAGGTCGTCCCTAAGCAAGAGCAAACATCATAGAACAGCATCCAATGAAGAGCGTTCTTGCCTGGTAACAACCCACATAGAGAAGCAAAGCTGCAACAGCTACAATGGGGAACGCCCCCAGAAATTTGTAATAAGCAGACAGCAGAAGCAAGGAAACAACCTGGGGAAGCAAAACCAAGATAATAATATCAAAGACTGGGAAGCTGAGTTATCTTTTGGAAAATGAAAGAGCAGCAAGCGAAGAGAAATCAAAAGGGTTAGCATACAATTCCACTAACGCCTCCAATCAGCAAGGGTCTTCGTCCAAGATCATCTACTTTTAGGACGGCGACCGATGTCATCAGAAACTATAAGAAGTATAATCAACAAAGGAGGGAGTTACTTCTCTTATCTACGGTTAAAAAAGGATTAGAAAGAAAGGTATTCTACTAGATACCTTGAATACACCAATGACGACAGAAACTCGTGTTGCATCAGCAGCGGCAGAAAACCCAGCAGTCTTTGAGGTACAACAGAATAGAACAATTTACAGCATTGGTTACGATGAAGTCAAATGATACCTTAACTTCACTGTAAGTATCAGCTCTAACGATTAAATACCTGGAGAATTGAACCTGCGTAATAGAGGACACTTGGTTGCCCAGTTATCTAGCAATATCGGGGCATAAGTCAAACTCTGCTAAACAAAACAAAATGTTTCTTCTCTGGAAGGGAAGAATGGGAAATTTGCAATCTGGATAAAGAGCAAGAGAACTGAAAACCTGCTGAAAAAGCACCAACCCGCCACCAATAATGAAGGCTTTCAAGCTTGATCCTTGAAACACCTCTAGAAAACTTCCCTCAGATTCCTCATCAGCATAGCTCGACTTCAGAGAGCTAAGATTTCTTTCAATTTCCTTTTCGGAAAATTTATCACCTAAAGGGCGGCCCCTGAGTTTGCTAAGTGCTAATATGGCCTTCTCTTTGCACTCCTGTAATGGTGCTTTACCCTGAACTGCCCTCAGAAGCAACCAGCGGGGAGAGGATGGGAGACTCCACATCCCGATTCCCATTAGCAAAGCTACAGGGGCACTTAGGCCAAACATGTAACGCCAACCTCCAACTGCATTGATTTGAAAGCTACCCACAAAATATCCCAGCTGCAAAATTTTTAACTTATTACATAGCAAACAGGGTAAATGAGAGGATGCAGATACATTAATGAAGGAATCTCAACACAAGTACCAAAATCCCCAGAACTATGAAGAGTTCCTTCAGCGAGATCAGAGTTCCACGAATCTGTGATGGACATGTTTCTGCTATATAGAGTGGAGCACCATGCATTGCCTGTAACATGATAGCATTTAGAAGCATCCCTTTCCTCTATATCAACCAACTTTGCAGGAAAAAAGAACATGGTCAAAATGCTCACCATGCCAATGCCCAGACCATACAGGAGACGTCCTACTAAAAGAACACCAAGGCCTGGAGCTGAAGCAGTAATGAATCCTCCAAGCAGATATAGCCCTGCTGCTATTATCAATTCCCTCCTCCTTCCTTCACGCATGAATTGATCCATATTAGTAAAGATATTCATAAACAAAAGGCAGTCCAGCCTTGTCATAAACATAAACAAAGAGATTTACCCAGAAAATCTGCAGTCGGATAAACAAGGAGGGAGCCAAGAAGGGCTCCATAAAGAGAACCACTGACCTACATTCAGCATAACCTAGTCCACTGATGCAACAATACGAATCGGTACAAGTTATCCATGAAAAGAGATGATTAATACACATGGATCATACCACAAGGCCAAGCTGCACAGCTGAAAAACTGAACCAAGTTGTCCCACTAAGTTCAGGTGACTGTAAAAAAAGTCAATAAACTAAGCTGTGAGTTCCAATAGACTGCATCTTCAAATGAAATTCGATGAAGTGTTCAGACTATGGGAAGATCAGAGCAGTTACCTGCAACGATATAGTAGCACCAGAAGTAGCACCAATGTCATATCCAAATAGCAAACCTCCCAAGGCTGGGAAAACAAACCTGGCATTCCAGACAAGCTGATACATTATCTTTCCCCATAAATAGAACCGTAATCGTAAGCTAAGCTATAAACGGCTTATTATGTCCTACACTCCAATTCAAAGTAAAAAAATCCATCTTGAGATTTTGTAGTATGGGTTATCAACCAGCAGTTGAACATTGTAGCAAAAAAGCAAAAACCGCTTCAGGAAACTAGCAATTCAAAGTCGCCAATAACCCCAGATAGGCAAGTTCAGTAATAACAAGCATAACGATATCCCCTATACATTCAAAAGCAAGCAAACAAAAGGGGACAACTCACGGCAAGATTACAGAAGTCCATGGAAAAGACTCTTCAGAAGTCGCCTGATCCACAAGCGAATCTGTATCCTCTCCAGTAGCAGAACACTCGACCTGCCCACAAATAACCAAAATCAAAACAGAAGGAAATCGGAAAGCAGCCTGAAAAATCAGTTCCATTCAGAAAACGACCTCACAAAATTTATCCAATTGCAGCGAATCCCTTACATTGAACCTCAGCTTGTGATCTCCAGAGGCGAGGAGCGAGTGCTGATGGTGCGACATGGGAAGCTTTCGCTTGGGCTTGAAATGTAAGCAAGTAAAGGAAATTGGGTTTTGGTTGTTGCCATTATTGGGTTTGGAAGATGAGCAGCAAAATAAAGAAGAGCGGGTGAGTCTACTAGTTGTGGCACTGGGTAGTTTCAATGGCGGGAGATTGGAGCAACAAGAGGAGAGTAAGGAACGGTTAGCCATGGGGTTGACGAACACCAGATTTTATTGGCTCTGAGCGATCGTCAGCCAGTGACCGACACAGACTGATATGGATTGATTCTCTTTCCTTTCTCATATTTTCCCGGGAATGAACGGCTTTCCTGGATTTTCTCTAAAAATAAGGGTGACTGATAAGTGTCACTTAAGTTTGGATCAGTACCGAAATAGCTATGTAATTTTAACAAATGACAAAATGGAAACTTAAGTTTTGTTTTATAACAAAATGAGACTTCATCTTTTTCAATTCATTTATTCTTTCGAAGCCTACTGTCAATCACAACAAATTTTAACGAAAAAAATGTCGGATGCACAAAATCAACTCGTAATTTGATCTCTCACGTAAAAGGGAGGAGATAGGGTGCTAATACTCTTAAGTGTTAGCACCATATTAACACTTTCATTAAGGGTGCTATAGTAATTCTGAATCGCTATTCATCGTTCTAAAATTCAAATTCTATAGCCCTAAAAAGCACTAAATAGACATATTTATCCCTCAACAAAATCTTTATTATCCCTAAAAAAACAATTGCCGAGAAAAAAACTTCTTTCTTCCTCAACTTTACCTTCATCTCTCTCCCACATCGAAGAAAAAGCTTCTTCTTCCTTTCCATAGATTTGCAACTCCTACCGCCATCGAAAGAGGAGAGTCAAATCCACTTCCACCGTTGCTTTCAACCCCATCTCCCCGTCCACCGTCGCCCCTCACGCACCTCCGTTCGTCATATTCTTCCTCGTCTTCACATGAGCGATTCGCACTGCAGGCGAAGAGACTTGGCGATCCATCATCTCGACTTCCACCGTTGCTTTCAACCCCATCTCCCCATCCACCGTCGCCCCTCACGCACCTTCGTTCGTCATCTTCTTCCTCGTCTCCACATGAGCGATTCGCACGCCAACGAAGAGACCCGACGATCCGTCATCTCCTCTCCGTGTGGGTGGTCATTGATGTCCCTGAGCTCTGCCAGCATCGCGCGGATCTTAGGCTCCTTATCCGAAACCGGTAACCGACCGGAGGAGATCCTCAAGGTCTCGATCCAAGTCTCGATCTGAAGATGTGGATAAGTGCTGCAATGACCGAGAATGAGACTTGTGGGGACTGGTTGGAGGAAATGGGGGCGAAGGTTCTGAAAGGGGTGAAGGTAGAGATGGAGGATTGCAAGCAGTTGTTGACTTACAGCTTGGCGATCTTGCCAATATGCAAGCTTACTCCGCCATTTCCATCGCCAAATGCATTGACGAAAATGCATTAAGGGGGTTGTTTGTGCTTTGATACTTTGGAACCCAACTCCTCACCAGCCTTATCTCTGCTCTACGTTTTCAAGGCGTCTGACCTGCACACACGCACACAGAGGAGGGCGCCTGGGCCCGTTAGTCCTTCGACGATCAAGTCAGTTTGGGTTTTAGAGAGAGAAGTGGTAAGCTCTAGTGTTTAGTGGGAGAGTCCAACCTGTGTAAATGCTACCTACCGCTCCTATTTATACTCATCCAACCCGAGGTCGAGTTCCTCCACGTCAGCATTGCATTTAATGCCTTGTACATTCATTTTTGTCAGGCGCCCCAACCGCCTTGTCAGCCCTCTGACAACTGACAGGCGTCTGGGGCTGGGGGGACCGTTGACAGCCTGAGGTCTTTTGTATCTTGTCTCTATGTGACCCTCATCCTATTTGGACTGGGCCTAGCAGGCCCATTCGTGGGCTTCTTCCTCTAGGTAACCACCTGTCCTCATTGGGCTTCGTCATGCTCTTGGGCTCTATTCTTTACAATATCACCCAACAATTGCCCCCCAGTTAGGCTCTCAAGTCTCCAAAACTTGAGGGCCTGACTATACTGCCTCGTCTTACCACTGGAATAAGGCGCCCGCGTTTGCCGAGTCCGTGTATTTATCCATCAGCGATCTTACTATGCAGGCGCTTGATCATCGTCCTCTACTACCTTTGCTTTTCTTGTCACGGGCGCCTGGTTAGTGCGTTTCATCTAGCCATTGTTATTTTTCTCTTGCTAAATGCCCCATTTCTTCCTACAACCCCCCCCCCCCCCCCCGGCGCCTAATTAGCACGCTTCATCTGACAATTGCCACCCCCTTGTTACCCTAGGGCGCCCGGCCTGCACGCTCCTTTCTGACAACGATTGATTTTTTTACCCTTGTGCCAAATTCCCCCCTTTCCCTCTTGTAGGCGCCTCGGTCTAGGGTTGTGTGTTAACCTTCAACGACTGCCAGACTTTATTCTCCTGATACAGGCGCCTAGCCAGCACGTGCCCCCCTCTAGGGCGGTTTATTTTAATAATAATATTTATTATTTTTTTGGGAAATTCAAATTTTGAATTTTGAAATTCAAATAATCGCCCGAGATCGCGACACATGGCTGGCTGGCGCGGATCCCAAGTTGTTTTTCCCCTTCCCTCATATAAATACTTCTGCCTCCCTCATTTTGTCCTCACCACTTCGCAACATGCCCTCTCTCTCTCTAACTTCTCTCTAGCCGCCGTCGTGCCTGCCGTCTGCAAGTCGCTCCCGTTCACCCCTTATTTACCATGTCTGCCTGGCAAAACCAACCTGGTGGCTCATGCGCTGCTCTTGATCGAGGCGCCCCGTCGAACCGTGGTAAGCGCCCCACACTTCCCTGATTTTATCTCTTTGTTTTGCTTGCTGAGTTGTATCTTTGGGACATGGGTGCCGCTCACATCGTACTGCGGTTGTGGGCCCGCATCACTTTTTGCTTTAAGAGGGGGCGCCTCCATCTACTGGGACCTCAACGGTGTCTGTAACGGGTTTCATGCCAGGGGACGGCTCCTATAAAGTCACTACTTGGGAAAAAAAAAAACTTTCCCCCCGGATTACGTGCCAGTTGAGACCTCCGTGTTGCCGTTCAACGTGGCAGGTCCAGCCCACCAATCGATCATAACGTATGCACGCGTAAGGGAGTTGGTTACAAGTCTGCAATTGCCACACGATTGGTGGTATGCGCCTGCTCCCCAATTTCCAAGGTCGGGGTGTGCGGTCCAAAGTGGATTGGGGTCTACAAGGAATACTTTCGCTTTGGGCTACGCTTCGCAATCGACCCCATTTTGGAGGGGATCTTGGCCGTCTGTGGTTGCAGTTTGAGGCGCCTATCACCATCCGTTATTTTGGTGGTGATTCTGTTCAAACTGAAGTGTCGAGTGCACAACGTGAGGCTCACGTTTAATTTGTACAGATACTTCTTCAACATTGTGTCCCTCGACAACTATTTGTCCCTGCAAAAGCGCACGAAGCTTTCCTACCACTTCGTGGTTAGCTGTCCCAAGCTAGGGAAGGGTTGGTTCAACGGTTTCTTTTTCATGAAATCCAATCGAGATTCATTCTTCGAGAGTGGGGGGCGTCTTCTTAACTGAATGGGAGCTCGGAGACAATACAAACTTTAACGTTGAGATTCCCCTATCTTAGGATGGACGCGAGGCGCCCAACTTATAGGAACTAACCCTATTAACTTGCGATTGACTGTGAATTGTATCCCCGTTTTAATAGAGTATTACAACGACAGTGTGGGGGGCGCCTTCACTGCTTTGCTTGTGTTGTTTTCATTATCCAAGCATGCTTCTGACTTTTTTTTTTTTTTTTGCAGGGTCTGACTTTACCAGCATCACGACTCTAATGAAGAGCCGATTTGGCGATGTTAAATGCGGAGGCCCCCGCTTCTACAGCCGCCTAGGCGGCCCCTCCACCTGCTCCCAAGAAGAGGAAGTCCACAAAGAAGGCCACTGTTGGAGCTGGTCAGAGTAAGGCGCCCCACACCGCGAAGACCGCGAGCGTGGCCTCTTTCGCACCAGCTGAGGGCGTGGCCGAGCCTGTCGAAGACCCGAATACATTCGACGTAGTTGATGAAGAAGAGGAAGAAGAGGCGCCCCCCTTGATGCGCCGGGAGAAGAGGGCAGGTGCCCCGCTGTCTCAAGGTGGGGAAAAAGGCTCGCCCTTCGGAGATTGAGAAGGGAAAAGCTCACGTTGTTCCTCAGGGTGGGCGCCCCGGTGCCCAAGTGGGGTTGGACGAGGATGGGCACCTCGTGGGGCCTGACGGGCACCCTCATGTTTTCCAGCCCCTTCTTACCGAGATGGGGCGCATCGCCCTGTCTTGCTCTCCCCGCGTCGCTGTCGATCGAGGCTGCGCGATGGGCTTGGCCATTCCCGCCGCTAAAATGTTGATTAGGATTGTCTGGACTCCCTTCTCTCGGCCTACATCTTTAATTAGACTTGGTGTAGTTGGGTTAAGGAATGTGTTCGAACAGTCCGTTTCTCTATCCTCCTTAATGGTGGCCCAACATGATTCTTTTCGCCTTATAGGGGAATTTGACAGGGTGACCCTCTCTCCCCCTTCCTATTCATTCTTATGTCTAATTTCTTACCCTTTTTGTTGGATAGAGGTATTTCCCAGGGGAGGATCCATGGTCTTAGGTTGAAACAACATTGCCCTCTGTTGACCCATTGCCTCTTTGTGGATGATACTGTCATCTTTGGACGTGCATCGATGGAGCAAGCCGAGGCCATTATGTAGATCATAAACAGTTGTAGCTTTCTCACTAGTTAGGAAGTGAATATGCACAAATCTTCTCTATTCTTCAGCAAAAACACTCCAGATGATCTGAGAAGCTGAATCACTTCACGGTTTGGCTTTCCAATGAGTATTCTTCATGACAAATATATGGGGATCCCACGAAATGGGGGCTATCAAAGAAGGATACTTTTAGCTTCTTGATCGATTGAATGGAGAATAAAGGATTGTCATGGAAAAGCCTTACTCTCTCCTGTGCAGGGAAGGAGACTCTCTTCAAAGCGGTTATTCAAGCAATTCCTAATTTTATCATGATTGTCTTCCTGCTCCCGACCTCTTTGACCAAGAAGATGGACTCTCTTCTTCGAGATTTCTTCTGGTCGGGATCAATGAAGAAAAGATCAATTCCATGGCGAAAAGGGAAAGTGATCGATGACCCTAAATGTGTTGGTGGGCTTGGTTTCCGAAACTTTTATTTCTGAAACATTTCTCTTATTGCCAAACAGAGCTGACGTCTTTTGAATGAACCTGAATCCTTGTGGGCTCGCCTCCTGAGGAGCCTTTATTTCCTCAATTTTGACTATCGATGTGCAAGGAAGGGAAGGTCATTCTCTTGAATTTGGGCAAGCTTGTTTGAAGTAAGGAAGGCCTTGGACTTAGGGACAATCCTATCATCGGCACGGGTGCTGACACTTGGTTTGATAAGGATCCTTGGATTCCGACCGTGGGGGGGCCATAGGATTTCCTCTCCTGATGTTCCTCACTCCAGGGTCAAGGATTGGATGGATGAAGATTCCCAAAATTGAAACTAAAACCTGATTCATAACCATTGCTCTGTAATAGACTCAGAAGCTATATCGAGAGTTCAAATTGGTCCGCCGAACTCCAAGGATAAGTGGGCTTGGAAGTGTACTACGAATGGAGGCTTCTCTATGAGATCTGCTTATCATGGAGTGAGGAACCATGCTCGACAAAACTCTCACCAGCCCACCAAGGACCTCAATTTCCCTTCTTCTAATGACTCTTGGAAGTGGCTCTGGGCTCTCGAGCTTCCTCCCATGATACGTATTTTTATTTAGAGATGCTTGAGGAACACTCTCGCTACGAAAGCCAATCTCCATCATTGGCGATGCTCACCAAATCCTTGGTGCCAAATCTGCAATGTGGAGGAAGAATCGCTCATCCATTGTCTTTTCCTTTGCCCTCACGCTAAGGAAACGTGGGCCAGGGTTTTGCCTCATTTAATTCCCCCCCCCCCCCCCTCCCGATTTTCAGTCAATAGTTTTTCGCGATGAGAGACATGGATGTTCTTTCTTCGATTTGGCTCAAGACCTTCTACCTCCGCAACATCTGGAAGGGCAGCAATGAGTTCATTTTCCGAGGCATCAATTTGTCTCCTTTGATTACCTCTATCTTCGCCTCTCGAGAGGCTTCTGAGCCTTTTCCTTCTCTTCATTTTCGTACCCCTATGAACCATCCTAGGGACATTCCTTCACAATCTCATCCACCGCCGAGAGATTCTTCAAAAAGGATCTACTGTGACGGGTCAGTTGATAGTGATTCGCAAGAGGCAACTTTTGGGAGAGATTACTAATTCTCATGGACAGATTTGTGATGGAAGGGATGGAGGGTCATTTGTTCGTCTCTAAATGAGGTTGAGACACATGCTCTTGTGGAAGCTTGCTGACTTGCAACTATGGACAACTCTCCTACTGAAATCATCACGGATTGCAAATCTTTGGTGGATGCCTTGAACGTTGACAATTCCTTGCGGCCTTGGCGTTGTTTTGCTCTTCTCTCACATGTGAAGGCCTTACTACAACATTGCAACTGGATCCGTATCTCTTTCACGGGGAAAGTTAATCTGCTAACTTGTAGATTCGTTAGCAGATACTAACTGATATCCAAAATACATGAACTAGTCTCCAAGTACTAAAGTATCTAGAGAGCACAAACTAGTATTCAAAGTTTGCTAACTGATATCCACCATGAATCAACTATTATCCCAAATTCACAAACTAATATATAGACAACACGGAATAGTATCCATACAACACATAATTAGTATCAAGGTAACACATAAGAGTATCCTGATAACACATAAGAGTATCCATATTGAATACTAGTTGGTTGATTGTGGATATTAGTTGGTATCTACTATCTGGATACTAGTTTATGATGTTTTGAATACTAGTCTGTGCTATCTAGATACTCAGCAGACTTGGATATTAGTTCATACATTTTGGATATTAATTAGTATATACTAACGAATCTTCAAGTTAGCAGAATAACTAGGTTGCTCTTTCACCAACCGAAGGTTCAATAAGTGTGTGGATTGGGTTGCTCGTAATGCTCATTGTCTTTCCCTTCCGTCGGACTGGATTTACGTTTATCCATTGTTGCTCCCTTGTTGTGTGACCTCTACCTTTTTCGGATATGAATGAATGAAATATTTATTAAAAAAAAAGAGCTCATGGTTAAGGAGCAACTATCATAATTTGACATCGATTGTGAGATCTACTACAAGGTATGGAAGGAGCAACTATCATAATTTGACATCGATTGTGAGATCTACTGCAAGGTATGGAGTCAGAGAAAGGTACGGTTTTCTGAAATGTAGTTTCCTACATAATAATTGATCCATCATCCACTCACCCACTAACTAATAGTGACCAACTCTCCTGTTAAAAAAAAAAAAACAAACAAAAAGAAACTAATAGTGACCAAGTCTATAAAAAGTAAAACAGAGCAGCTTTCGATTCGATATCACGGGGACGTTACGCGGGTAACGTTTTACCTGTGCTTTCAATCTCAACAAAAATAAAAAAAAGGCAATGATGCTATTCATTCATTGATGGTTCATATTGTGCGTAACCGATTCCCCCCTTGTTTCCCGGCCGGCTAGACAAAGTCCTTCTTTCCCACATGAATTTCACCTTTCCTTATCTTTCTTTTTCCAGCTCCCCTTATTAAATAAATCTCCTTCAATTTCGCTTCCTCCGATGCCATCCCATGTCTGTTTCTGCCGCACTTCCATTGTTTTCCCCACAAGAACACAACACAACCACGTTCATTCATTCATTCATTATATACCCATCTCCATCCTCTGCTATTTATTTCCCTCTGCACAGAATCCATCTAGCCAAAGGTTTCTTGTCACGTCGGAGATAAGAAGAAGGAAATTAAGAAGACGATGATGGGGGACGACATATTTCAGGCGCAAGCCCGATCGGGAGCAGGGACGAATTTCAATAATAATGGGAAAGCCATGAAAGTGGGGAAGCCACCCACGAGGCTGCAGAACAAAGCCCCTAAAGCTCTGAATCTGGATCAGGTTCCGGTGGCCGCCGGAATCACCTCGGGGACGGGAAGCAGCGCACCCATTCCCCTCCTGTCACCCTTGATTCTGTCTCCGGCAGCCGCGGAACCAGCTTCCGTACACAACCACTTCATGTTTCCTGCGGTATCTGGGGCGACCACCGACGGCGGCAACGGAGAAGTTACCGATGGCCGGTCGTCGGCGGAGAGTGGTTACACAGAGCCCTCATCACTGTACATGTCTTTCCAGAACCAATGCGTACTCATCAACCGAGCACAGTGATCAGGAGATGGGATTCATTTCGCTGTTGATTAAATAAAAACTACATTGATCAGATCATCTGATCATATACAGAGAAAGAGAGAGATTAGCTTTTCGTCTGCTTTTATCTCTTGATGTCCATTTACAACGTGCAGATAGATCATAGATGTTCCCATTTCGATTATTACTTCCAGTATAGAGAGCAGACCCCAACTCGGAGGTCGCCCGTCGGTTTCAGTTACTTTCTTTCTGTGAATGGAAACGTGATTTTTTTTTATTTATTTATTTTTTTTGCATATAATGTCATGTTCCTCTGTTTTTCCCCCCACGTCGTCTCTATTTTGTCTCCGAAGCTGAAATAAGCGCAGCCAGAAGCCAAAACGGAAAACCCATGAATGGGAACCAATGTTTGCTAACTCCTGATCACAACCCAAGAAGAGGATCTCACAAACAAGCGTCTAACGCAATTGAATCAAGTGCGGACAATTCACAACTGTTGGATAGTCATTTATTTACGTTGGTTTAGAGTCACCACAATGACAGCACAGCCGCTACATAAGTTTCCACATCCGACTTTTCACAAAAACTCGATCCAGGTTACAGCTTAGAACCACAGCGGTTGAGCCGTGTGCTTTCAGAAAAGGCTATATAGATATATGTGTTCATATCGTGAGAGAACACTAAAAATATCGGCTAACAACCCCATCCTCTAACACAGTCGATCGCTATAATGTTAGCAAGTGGTAGAACAACGTCTAATAACCCCCTCCTCCTCCTCGCTACAAGTCCCGACTTCGGCACAAACACAATTGAGAGTTGAGCAACAGGAAATTTGACATGAATGGCTACAAGCAAAAATGTAGTAGTACTTCATACTTCATACACTTCAAAGCAGTTCTGGAAATAGAGGGTATCATCAAATCAAAAGCATCATCTCTCTCTCAACTAAGCTTTTATCACGAGTTCATTCACTTAATAATATGATTAGTGCGGAATTACAGAAAACACCACCAGCCACCCCCCTTCCATTTCAATTGACTGTGCCGTTGGACACCATACTCTCACCGGCTCAGAAGTCGAATTCCCCAGTTGCCTGCACAACCAAAGAAGCAAAAGCACCATTCGATAAAAAGACCAAAGGCTGAGAGCAAAGCTCAGAGCGACGGATCATCATGTTAAGCAAATTAATCCGTATCCCACCTTGTTGAAGAGAATGTCCTTGTTGTTTATATGCATAATCCCATCCTTCAGTGTGCACTTCCACCTGCTCTTGGTACGGGTCACCTATTACGCCCACACACCAAAAAAAAATAATCATGCATTCACTGAGACGATGCTGTGATATTGTTGTTACTTTCTTGCAGAATCACAGAACACGACCAAGAAGCACAATTTCTAAATGAATTAAGGCTCATTTGTACTGTCTTTACCTTGTCAAACTGAGCCAGAACCAAATGTTGCGTGTTCAGTTCCTCTCCTTGATCCACGTCATCCAAGTCATCAGGGTCATCATCGTCCTCATTCAACGGCTCATCCTCATCGTCATCTTGAACATCATTCTGCTGAACTAAGGCAGGAGTACTGGCCTGCAATTCTGAACAAGAGAAACAAACCAAGTATAAGAAATGTTGACTGAAGCAAAATAGTGAACCTGATTTATCTGTTTGACACGGACAAATCTTAACCATTATTTCGTTAACTAACCATTGGGAGCTGGAGTGTTTGCAATGTTGTAATCTTCATTAACTCCTTGATAGTTGTATATCTTCAAGAACAAAATGACAGAGTCAGAATTGTAGTAACCACCTGGTTTTAGAGTGCATGGAATTTTGGCCAAAGTAAACAGAAGAACATTGATGGTCATGTATTTCATGTCATTGTCCCTACTACTGTACATCATGATAACGTACATTCTACTCAAATTAACCAATGCCGCATGAAAAACAGGTTCTGTTCATCAGCATCTAACAAAAAAGGACATAGTAATGGTTGAAGATGCAGCACAGATACAGGTTTCCACAGACTGTTCATCGTCTCTACAGTTCCTAAAAAATATCAATTTACATAGTTAAATGGTTGTTTGGCCGTGCTATATTAAAAGTTGAGTTCATGTTTTATTTAGTTTGTTAGCAAGGTCTCTCTACCTCAGGCCAGCATGCTTGTTTCAAGGTTGTTCTTCCCAGTGAAGACTTGACTAGTGCAGATACACTCCTTAGGTCTTTTGGACCATGATTTTTCTTTAATAAGATTATTATATTGTTAAGTACTAAGAATAAAGGGATGAGTGGAGGGGATGCTTGGGAAGAAAAAACTCCAGAATCAGGCTCAAGTAGAGCATGAGTATGCAGACAATTTGCATAGTTGTTCTCCAAGAAAGCTAAAGATGCTTACATTTGGAGTGGACAGAACGTCATCATAAGGTTCTGGAATGGGACCATCCGATTGAGGGATCTTAAAGAAACTTGCAGGCAACTGATTCCCGTACCCTCCCTGAAATCAAATCATTCAAAGATCAAAATATAAGGAATTTGGACATCGATAATTTCATACCAACATCAGATGCTTAGTATGGCCATGTGTCCCAAACTGGACAGTGTCATATGGTAATTACTTGCACTGACTTAACCCAGCCTTCCGGTCAAACACAGATAGGATTCATCCAATATCGCCTCATACATAATCCAACATGCATTTGAGGGTCCACTGCTTGAAACTAGACAGAAAGACATCATAGGACTCAGACCTAACACCAACAGGAATAAATCTGCCTTGTATAGATGCAAACCTACCTGGAAGTAGACAACAACTCTCAACAATGGACAGAAATATCCAAAATTCAGGACTAGCACCGACAAGCATACACTCCAATATCAGGCAACTTTCCTTATCAACATGATACAAAGCAAGAGCGAATAACCAAAGCAATCAAGATTCTACGTTGCCAAACAAACATACTTTTCAATTCTAAGATGATGGCTTTCGGAGATGGTGGGTATTAATTAGTAATTTCAGCCTAGAATAACTATCACAGAAACCAAAGCTGAAACTTGAAGCAGCATTACAAGCTGTATGAACAGGTGAGCTTAGCTACCTTAGTGACTACAGGAAACGTTCCAGATTTCAATCATCATACCTACCTCATCCTGGCATAATAAACCATTACTTAGGTAACAGGTGCGAGATAATTTCTCAGTTCTCATTGAATTATACAAAACACATTCCTAAGGCTCAAGAAACACAATGACACTTCATACTTATGTCTGTGGAAGTTTTCAGGAAGATATACATAACATAACATTTGAATCCACTCAACCTGTGGCTCAGATGGTGAATCTCCAGCGCCATCTTGCTGCGGTATGTATCCGCCATTATTATATGGTGGCGGAAAATCATCACGCTTCCGCTTTCCAGAAGACATCGTGAAGAAGTCCTGGAACCAGTTCCAGCATTAGAACTGATAACCAACCTCATTTCTAACAGCAATTTCTCATTCCAGATGATGGAAGAATAAGTGGAACATCCTCCAAATTTAGAAGAATATCCTTCAGTTGTTAGAACTCCTTGCTCGTCACTTTTCTTCATGCCATACACTAAAAATCAGTGGACGCGGAGGAAAAGCAAGCAATCAGAGTTACCTGTGTCAGGGGCTGATTAGAGGCTGCTCTTTCAGCTTCCTCCCGCCCTTCCTCATAAGCTACAATTTAAATTGCATGGGGTAAGGAAAACTTGAGCGCCAAAGTGGTGAAATAGGTGAATATTGCCAATAAACTTACCAACATTAACATCAAGTGCGGGCCTTTGCTGCATCCAAGGTGAAGGAGGTTGCTATTCAAGACAGGAAACGAAGGTAGGAATTAGAAGTAGGTCATATAGCTTGGCGAACAAAGTAGTAGAAAATGCACTTTCCCACCGCAAAGGAAGAAGATCTTAGTGCAAGCAACAGCATAGTAAGATCAAAAAGATCGGAAACCCAGTCATAAATGTATCACCCAGCAACAATATTCAATTATTACCATGTATGGGCTAGGTCGCCCCGTTTTAGCATCTCCGTTGCCATTACTACCACCAGCATCACTTATAGGAGTAGGATATTCACTACTATTTCCCGTGGGAATGTTATACATGGAGGAGTTGTCAGCTGTTCCAGGCAAAGGTGTCTGCACGTTTCCTGGCAAAGGTGTTTGTGCAGGTAGTGGTGTCTGCATTGGTGTCTGCAACGGTGTCTACAATCAAGCAGAGAAATTGACACAGAATCCATCAGACAAGCAATAAACTCAATAGCTCGACAATTTCAAGCGGCTTCATCATCTAAACAGAAAGCCTCAAGAAATTACTCACAGGAGTGAATAGCATATCAGCTGTGGGCGTCTCATACTCCTCGGTGCCTTCATACGGTACATTAAGATCATGCACTGGAGTAGGGCCACCAGGAGCCTGCTTCTGGCCTGAAGAGCGATCAATTGGCCCCACAATCACGCCCGCTTGCATCATCTTCATCTCCCAAATCTGAAGAGAAAATCCAAATCAGATCACAATAGGCAAAATTGAACAAACACCAATTGTCGAAACCCCAGAACTTGAGTTGAGATCCAAGGAAAACAACGACGCGATTCACAACCGTCCCAGCGCACGATTTAACAAAAACCCTAGCGCAGAAGCAATATTATGATTTCAAGGAAATAAAGAAATCGACGAAGGGACGGCAGCTAATAGAAGCGATGGAGCAAAGAGGGAAGCGAGTATTATTACTCCTTGGAGTTCATTAAGAACAGCTTCGCCAGGACCACCGTTGTCGACGAACTCTTCGCGGACCTTGGTGATAACGTCTTCGATTACATGGATGTAGACACTGCTAGTGGTGGTGGATGCGGCCATCGTCCCCGACACTCTCTTTCCCTACCTCCTGATTTTTGAACGGAAACACGATTTGGCTTCGTCTCCTCCTTCTTTATTCTTCCTCGGAAAGTAGGAGTGCGCACGAAGAAGGAAATCAAACCACCGGAGAACGGAATTCAAGCGGCGGAAGGCGAAGTAATCATTCCCCGATCAGGGGAACTGCACCCGGAGTGGAGCTGGGGACGGCCGCCGGGGGTTTGGGCGTGTGCAGTCGGAGAGACGGAGATTGTGAGCGAAAACGGCGATGAAGGGGATCGGAGAAGATGGGAAGAGAGCCGGACGAGAAAAAGAGAATAAAGAGTGGAATATAAATAGGTTTGCATCCGATTATAGAGAGTGGGTCCACGTGTCAAGATCTGCAGGGCGTGGTTCGGAAAATTGTCCGCCTTCTACTAGGATGAGATAAAAATAAAAATAAAAAATATATGAGGCCGTCCTTCCCCGTCGCTCCTAGCCGCCACCGGCCGACGCCTGTTTTCCGTGTGGCGGGCCCACTCCTCTTCTCGCCACCGTCGCTGACCGCCATTCTCTTCATTGGCCGGCTTGTTGTCGCATTGTCATCGCAGCCGTCTATTCTGCGCCGATCTCATAGGATCACAACCGATCATCAGATTACCTTTTGCAACCATCACTATGGCAGCATTTTCATTTTATGGGTTGTTTGCTTATTGAATTTGGGTGATGAATTTAGCATTTAAATCACATTCTTAGTAGATTTAACTAACATTAATATTTGTTGTTTAAAAACAGTGGAAATCAAATTTGAGGACTTACAAATTTGGATAATTTTTTTTATCCAAATTCACGGACCCACATATCTGTAAATCACATGGTTCTTAAGTAAGAAATCGAACTTAATTGAAAATACGCGTTTTGGAGTGAAATGTAAGACTTTTTGCGAGAACTCTAAAGTTAAACGTGCTCGCTATGGAGCACTGTAAGGATGACTGACCTTATGGAAAGTTATCTTGATATGCACCCCAAGGCAAAATCCGTGAGGGTAAAGGCACAGAGCGGACAATATCTTATCAGAAAAAGGGTTCGAAATGTTACAGTTTGCAACCTGATTTTGTTTGTCATCATACCTGTAAGATGTCTCAATATTATCCATGAATGATGTATGTGGTCATGTTTCCATCACCAAGGATGGACTCATCAACATAACTATATTGTAGATTCAACATATATTACGTGCATGCAATCTAATGGAGCATCAAGTCTACCATTCTTTTTGTCAACAATAGTCACGACTTCTTTGCATCGAATCTCCACATAGCTAAATGTCTTTTTGATCTCCCTCTTTGCCTTCACGATTTCTCCATATACAAAACCCATAAATGGTTGGACATCGCCATCAACCAAATGAAGAACTTTTACCAATGGCTCAAAAAATTTCAAGCAAAGGTTTACACATTTCCCAAATTTGTTATTCAACATCGTTGATGTTGTATCCTTGCCCTTCTTTATGTGCACATCTTTTAAGCTCTCCCATTTCCTATCCACCATCATCTTCTTGATTGTATCCTTTTTAATTTTTAGGGTAAATACAATTTAATATCCAAACCTTTCATTTTAAACAATATAATATCCAAACATTTTCGAAAACAATCTAATATCCAAATCGTCAACTTTCCGTCTGTTTGACCATTGGTTGACACTTCAAAAAAGCTTTGTTTATGGGAAATTGTTACAATACAACTTTGTTTTCTTGTTTTGGCATGCAGATGACTGAATATTTAGATATTCTATACCATCATGCTGGAGTCATGGACTTCTCGGGTTTGGAACCACGATATGTTGGTGGTTTTTCAGAGAAGATATCGATGGATATTGATGAAGCGTTGTACTCCAAACTTTTTTGAAGTGTCAACTAACGGTCAAACGAACGGAAAGTTGACGATTTGGATATTCGATTGTTTTCGAAAAGGTTTGGCTATTATATTGTTTAAAATGAAAGGTTTGGATATTAAATTGTATTTACCCTAATTTTTATCCATCAAAATTTGCATGGTGAGACATTGAGAAGCAAATCAGGCTACTCTTGGCCTTATGATTTCTCTCTTCTTGGAGAAGAACCTCATGCATTCTAATGTACGATGGTGCCCATAAATGAAGACAGTAAAACTCTTGCTCAATTACCTTCTTTAAATTTTGCAAGTTGCAAATTCATTGGACACTACAAGAAAACTCATCTATTGCGACTAAAATAATGCAACAAATACATCATATGTCTCTAAAAATATCGAATAATTGACAATTTTATAATATATCTCTAAAAGTGTTAATATCCGCCTCTAGGAGTGTCATATACTTGAGAGATATGTTATGTGTCTCGATAGCTATTATTCTAAGAGTCACCAATATTATTTAGTTTTTAATATTTTATTTTAGTTAAGCTATATGGTTAGTTTTCGGAGACAAATTTATAATGGTGCCATTGGGGATATGCTTAACAATCGGTATAGGCTTATGCAATATCTATTTTGACCAAATAATAATGAGAAATAATAAAAGGAAATTAAAAATTTCACATATGAGGATCCAATCCATTTCAAAACCCTAGTAGCAGTCTCTAAATTTCATTTGAGCCCCGACCGACTCCATCTCCTCTTGCCTTTCTCTATCGTGGTCCAGTTTCTCTCTACCATATCTTCTGTTTCTTGGATCTGCATAAGAAGGAACATCTAAACTCAGTTCCCGAGCCGAGTCGGTATGACGATTAGAAGCCAAACTATAGCTGCTACGATTTCTGAGCTCGATCTGGAACATGGTCGGGTTTGCATCACTGGTAGTCTCTAGATCTGATGTAGTCGTTCCCCATTCAAATAAGAAAATTCCATATATGTGTGGCCTCATCTTCATCTCCAACAGACTCTATATATAAATTGCTCCTCAGCTATTGAAGATTATGATTCATTTGGAACAAGGTAATTCTATCTATTTTAATTTCAAATGGGAGTGCTTGCTCTAAACCCTTTTGTTGCATTTCCTTTTGTTTGATCTCTTTTTTTGTCGCGCAATATTACAACTCCTAATGATAATGGTGATTGAATTTGGGGCTTTGTTTAATTTTGGTTCGTTCTACAGGTGAAGCTGCTCATATGGAACTAATTGCATCTCTAATCATTACCCTACTTGTATAGTTTCACTCAGAGAAACCCAGAATAATATGGTAATTCCTCTACTTATGAGAGTTGTACCTTTACATGCGTGATTCTGGCCCAAATGTTCACATTTTACCTCTCATTCCTTATTCTTTTAGCTTAGTATTTCATCGTTCCTCGACATATTTCACGCTAGGTGGTGCTTGTTTTGATACATTTCAAGTCCTAGCACGTGTGAAAGGGTCGAGGACGAAATTTGCAAAAATTGGAAGTCAAAAAGCGCAAAAATCAAAAAAGTCCGAAGTCAACCGTGACAATTGCCTCGTAACAGTGAAGTGAAGGTGTCACAAGAAACAACCGCAGTTCACAGGCATACAAGGAAGTTCACGGTCTCCTAAGACCTTGAACTTGAACCACAAACCGTGAACATCGAGCAGTCCAGCGAGGTTCGTGATGTTACTGACGACAAGGCAGTTCACGGTCTCTAAGACCATGAACCGTGGCCATTGACCGTGACCTAGGACAGTGAAGCGGTGCGTTTTGGACGACGATGACTTCACGGACGCGTTTAGGTGTTCACGGCCATGAACTGGCCAACGCGTTCGTGAACTGGTCACTTTCGAGCAAATATGAAGACAGCAGCAGGGAGAGAGAAAGGAGAGCTGGTTTTTGGGAGAAGAATTGATTTCTTTCTCTAGGGTTTCAACCTAAACACCAAAGGGGAGTTCTAGTGTGAGAGAGAGAGAGAGAGAGAGAGAGAGTGCTAGAGTGATCTTGGAGCATCATTGGAGGCTTGGGTGGAAGATTCAAGCCTAGAAGAAGAATAATAATAATATCTTGAGCTCAAATTTGTAATCTCTCTCTCTTTCTCTCTCTCTCTCTAGAAACTCACTCTTTTCTCTTGGGTGTTGTAGATCCCTAACTACTACTTTGTAATAACTTGTTTGGATTGATTGACTAAGTGTGGTTTGCATTAATTTGAGTATTAGAGGTGTTTTCATCATGATTGTGCATGCTTGTGATTAGCAACCTAGGGGTTGTGCATGTTTTGTGCTTAGCACCCTTAGGTTTGTGCATGTAGGTGCTACCAATCTAATTAGCCACCTTAGCCTAGCTTAGAGAGGAAAATCCCTCTTCCAAGGGAGACTCAATCGAGTTGGTTTTCCTTTTGCTTCCTAAGCCACCTAAACTAGGTTAAATTAGGGCAACCCTCAATATTAAGTTAAGCAAATCGATTAATCGTGATTAAGTCGTCCGACCTTAGAGTTGAGTGAGAGAGTAATTCAATTACCGATTGTCTAAACCGAGAGGGTCGATTGACGCGACCTTTCATCCTTACTTCGGTTTAGCAATTGAGATTGTGCGGTTCGCGATTATCGTGCCCATCTAGGTTGGTTGATATTAAGCCCCTCAAACTCCGGTTTGAGGGAGAGACCTAGGAAACCACTAGTGACTGAGTGAGAGGATCGATCCCGTGACAAATTGACCTCAAGTGAATCCATCCCATGACAAATGGATCACTAGTTGCTCCTCCTAGTGGTTCCCTTAGATCTGGTGAGTGGATCGATCCCGTGAAAAATCGATCGCTAGTAAATTGATGTCATGACAGATTGATCACTAGTTGCTCACCCCCGAGGTTCACAACCACCTACGCCTCACGACATCATTCAATCCAACAAGTCATGGTAGCTAGTTAGGGGGAAGCAATTCCTGGGTGAAGCTCCCTTAGTTAGACTTTTGCTTTATTTTACTTTTCCTTGATAGTTTTGTTTGTAGTTCCATTAGTTATAAACCCAAAAGTTGCTTGCTAGATAACAACCTAAGCGATTGAAATAGGGGTACATGGATCGACCCGGGTTGACAATTTAAATACTTGCTCTATACTGCACCCGACTAGAGTTTAAAAACTTGGGCTGTAGTCGAGATTAATATGTGGTGTAGTTTCGTGCGAGTCAATGCGTATTTTTGGGGCATTGTGATTCAGTTTTATAAGGTATTCTTCAGTTTGTTGTTTATAAATCTCAAAAGCCAAAATACACATACCTTGTACTTGCAGGAGTCAACGATATAATGGATATGGTGAAAGATTACACAATGAGCATCAAGTTTTCAAGGCTACTCGAGTTCATGATGGGGAGTCAATTGTGCAGCATGTACTTATGAGCAACAACGACAACTCCTAATAGTGATATTGACTAGGGAAAAGAACTCGAAGGTGCAGTCACGGCTAAGGGGATACGTTTATAATGTTATTATGTTGTTCAAATCATAGGTTTATTGATTATCATTGAACCATAGTTTTCAATTTTTATCCATTTAGAACCTTTCCGATGTAAGCACTATGATTGATAGGCTTCAATAAAAGGAAAAAAATGGTGGATTTCATAGCTTTATTTTCTTTGTGCTAATAGTAATGAAATTGACAAATATATGCATGGTTACGTTTTCAAATTACAATTTAATTAACAATAAGTGGTAGGAAATTATGCTTAAGAATATTCAACGAAAAAAATTATGCTTTAGAATTTTTTTATACAAATATAATAGTCTCGAATGACTATATTAAGAACAAATGAAATTATCTCTAAAAGTCAAATTGGTGACAAATATTTATGTCTCGAACAACCAATATATAAACAAAAGAATATGTCTCTTAAGGTGAAATTGGAAACAAATATTTATGTACAAATATTTATGTCTCAAAATATGCATGTAGAGACTAAATAATCGTCTCTTAAAAGTCTTTAGAGACTAAAATATTAGGGGTCGTTTGGAAGTTGCGTATCTTAAATCGTTGTATTGTTATGAATCACTATGATATAATGCATGCATTGATACAATAGATGCATTTTGAAATTACATTGTTTGATTGTTGAGATTATAATTTATGAATTGATTGTTATAAAGTTACTTTATAAGGAAATGTCATATTTGTCCTCCACTTTTAATATAAAACAAAAAGAACTATGGACATAATTGGAAAAAGTAAATGTGCTCAATTATTAAACCAACAATCTCAACTTTTAGTTGAGATTGTACAATCCATCATTTTTGTTGATTGTTGGTGGGACCCACACAAAACAATACATGCATTGTTTTGCAACTTGACACTTCCAAACGTTGTATTGTGGACAATGCATGTATTTAACAAATACAATGCTAACAATCACAACTTCCAAACGACCCCTTAGTTGTAGTTTTCAGAATCAGTAACAAATCATATTTATCTCTATATCTGTCTCTATAAGACTACTGCAACACCTCTAGAGGAGACAAATGTAGTATTTGCATCTAGAGAAGTATAGAGACAAATGAGTATTCAACACGGACACATTTTCATTGTCTCTGTAGTCCATTTTTCTTATAGTGGGAGCATCAAGTTGATAGTGTGAGTTGCATAAGAGCTCCAAAAAAACATGTGATCATTTCTCCAATAAGAGTTCCTTTGCTACCATATTATTGGAAGCATTGTCAGTCACAACTTAGACGACATGTTTTGCACCCAACTTCTCAATTGTTTTGTACACTAGGTTGAAGATGACTTCACTTATGTTTGACACATTCGTTGTATCATTTGACTTATTCCCTCAGCATAATGTGTGACCATGTTCATTATGTTCTCCACTTCATGTATGTCCATACATCGGTAAAAAAGTAATTATTCATCAGCTTCTCATCATCACAATCATTTAGTAAACTTTTGTTGTTGAAGTGCGGCAACTAAAGACAACTTAGGATCAATTGTACGTTCTCACTTATTTATTGGCCCTAACTTGTGAGGTTTTGAGCTACCAACACTAGTAATTTCTTCATCTCGTTGTCTAAAGAAAACAATCACATCATCTCTCTTAAACCTTGCTCTCACGAGCAACCTTCTCTCTCTCTAAATGTTTTCTCAAAGGCCTTCAAGCATGATTTTGTAGCTTCTTGTAGGGACTCTTGCATGTAAACATCAAACTTGCATTTTAAGCAATGTGTTGCTTAAAACGAAATATACCTTCGGTACTCTTATGGCCACAAAATTTGCACCGCATTTTGTCTTTATTGTTAGGATCCACCATTCTTCCATATTGCCAACCTACATCACTAAACTTCCCTCTTAAAAGCGTTGTCATTCTCTTCATTTGTCACTCCGTTGAACCACTTGCATCATCCATTGTAGAGAGATAATATGATATAGAAAAAGGTAATAATCAAATTGAAGGACTAACAACAACTAATTATCATTCACCAAAGGAAATTTTAATTCACTGTGAATGTTAGTGGTGAAATTTAGTAGATCAACTGTTAACTTAATTGATAATTCACTACGAAGAAACACTTGGCCATGTCACTGTAAATAGGCTCAACAAATGCTAGAGAACATAATCCATTTTTCATGTATCACGAGGAGATAGATTGAAGCTAATTGTTACCCTTTTCTAGAAGAGTCTCTTCCATCTCCGTTTTTCACCCTCGACGAGTGCCATTTTATACAGAGAGAAAGAACCACACAGGCGAGAGACAAACACCAACAAAAAAGACAGATGCAACAAAAAACATAGAGAGGAAGAAGAAATAGAGAGTCATTGAATATGTTGTGAGACACAAAAAGGTTTGTTATAGCATTAAGGGGCCCAAAGCATATCTAAGGATACCCTAGAATTTGGAGAAAATAATATTGATCCCCCAATAGTAGTTTAGAGTCTAGAAAAAAGAAAAAATATATTGTTCTTATAATTCAAGTTGGTGGCACTATTATTATTAATGAACATGTTTACCATTAGACAATAGTTCATTTATTTTAATAATTCAAACATAAATACACTTATAATCTAAAATAAAAGTCCAATTATACTCCAATTCCACAAATTTTTCTTAAATCCTAAAATCCAAAGTTTAATTGGATCCCTTTATGTATAAGAAGGAAACGAAGCAAGAGTTTCAACCTTCACTTCTCTCCTTTTTCGTTAATCTTTTGTAGAAATCCTTCCTCCAAAATCCATCTCCACTTCCTCAAGAAACCACTTTAATTGGATAACCTTAATGAATTAGTTCAGGTGATGGTGAAAACCAAAGTGAATCTATCATATCCTTGGGTCAATTTGCTTCTCAAACTTGTATTGGTTTTGCGCTTGCAACTGCAAACATCAAAAGAGTTTTCAACTTTAAGTTACATAGAAAACAAGCTTAATAATCGAATAGGCTACTAGTTCACGAATAATTAGCCAGTTGATGGTGGAGACCAAGGTGAATCTATCATATCCATGGGTCTATTTGTTTCTCAAACTTGTATTGATCATACTGGTTGCAACTGCAAATGTTGAAAGAGATTTTCAGCTTTGGGTTACATCAAGAACAAACTTTAAAATCGAATAGGCGATCAATTCGTGAATAATCAACTCATTTGATAGTGGAGACTAAAGTGAAACTATCCTATCTATGAGTCTATTTACTTCTCAAACTTGCATTGGTTTTACCGATTCCAACTACAAGTGTTGAAAGAGCTTTTTCACCATTGGGTTACATCAAGAACAAGCTTCATAATCGAATATGCGAGCAGTTCGTGAATAATTTTCTAATACGATATATTGAAATACGATAATATATATATAAAATGACGTCATAATATTTTGGCAAAATACACTTGTATAGCCATAACTTTCACATTTATGACAAATATAGCCATAACTATCCGAAAACACAAAATAACCAATTTCGTCCATCTTGTTAACAATGTAAATTAATGGTATGACTGGACTAACAGAATACGCTGAGTTGACGATTGATTTACCCCACCAATACACGTGGATTAAAAAAACACACAAAAAACAAAATTTCTATTCTGGGTTGCTCGCTATTTCTTCACAGACTTCTCTTCTTCTGAAAGCTTCGCTGGTTTCCTCCCCCAACAAAAGGCGTGGACTTTCCTCTCCTAAATTTCACTTTCCGTAGTCAAAATGGTGGTGTTAGCGGCTAGAATAAATCCATCCTTCCTATTCCGCTAAACCATCCAGATCTCTGCTTCCTTTTCTAGGTTAAAGGTTTCTTCTCGCGCTCTGTTCTCTTGGATCGCTTTCAGCTTCTGGTTTCACGAGACTCGTCGTCGGGGGTTTCTTCTGGTTTGTTCGGCGGGTGGACTGTGAATTAGTGTTGGTGTTACTCTGCTCTCTCTCCGGTAGTGGTAGGAATTTTGATGCGGAAGCTCTCCAATTGGTCTTTGAAAGTAAGTACTGGCTAGGTTTTGTTTTGGGTTTGTTTCAGTGATGGATAAGGACAAATATTTGTCATTCCCTTTCTTCAGCTTCCGAGAACCCAATTTCCAAACGCTCCTCAAACTAGAGAGCTGCCAAGAAGGTGTAAGCCCCGAGAACTTTCGTTGGGCAACGACGAACCGTCAAACCATCAGATCCTAGCTGCGCTTCTCTTCTTCCCTGGAAACGCAATCGACTTCGTAAAGGATCTAGAGCAGACCCATAAGATCCCAGTTGCGAGAGAGCTGCCTAGAAGGTGTAAGCCCTGAGAACTTCTGCCGGGCAACGACGTATGGTTAACCCATCAGATCCCAGTTGCGCTTCTCTTCTTCCCTGGAAGCGCAATCAATTTCGTGAAGGATCTGGAGCAGACACATCAGATCCTAGTTGTGCTTCTCTTTTTTAGGATAGCAGTATCAACAACGACGTCGGTGGAGACATCTAAGGCCAACCCAGCGTCTTTGTTTATTGAGATTACAAATTCGTCGGTTTTGAGCAAGGTTCTGGTTGGATTTGGTCGTCGGAAGAGACGCCTTTACATCTCGATAAAAGAGGGGAAGGAGACACCTTTTCCTCTCCTTTTTTATTATTTATTTTTAAATTAATTAATTTATTTATTAACTAATTTATTATAAATTAAAATATGACATGACACTTACGAGGCAAGTGTGGTTGAGTACTAGCTGACATGTGTGATGATTTGGCATTCTAGTCAGCCTAACATTAACCTAACTGACAGAGTTTCTAACACCGTTAAAGTTTCTAACGGAAATGGCTAGATTTATCACACAACCATCCAATTTTTGGTTGTTTTGTGTTTTCCAATAGTCAGACTATATTTGTCGCAAACGTGAAAGTTATGATTATACAAGTGTATTTTATTAGTAACTTGTACTGGTTGGATATTTAAATATTCAAGTTTATTTTATTTTAAATGTTGGAAAAACATACCCCTCATTTAAAATTCCCGTATCGGCTGATAGATATTTTTAGTTAACGAAAAACAGTAGAAGCCCTCCGCGAACTCAAGTGACATCTCTTCGCCCCCATCGGAAGTCACCACCTCGATCGAAGTTTGAGTTTCAACCGGTGCAGTCTCCGCTGCCGTGGCGGCCTGCTCAGCCATCGTGACTCGAAGACGCCGTTGCTTCTTCTTCCGCCATTGATTTCGAGAAAGAAATGCAAAAAGAAAAAGATTTCGAGAGGGAAAAAGGAAAGGTTATTGGTTTGTCAAAATTTGGTGGGGGTTTCCGGGTGGAGGTTGAGAATTCCTCTCAAATGACGGTTTCCGCCGAAGCAAACAGCGCCTGCTCGTTCGATGATCTCGCCTCTCCGTCACTTCCGTCGATGAAGAAGAAGCAGAATCTCCCTGGAATTCCAGATCTAGAAGCGGGAGTAATTGCACTATCGCCGAAGGCCTTGATGGCGACGAACCGATTCGTGTGCGAGATATGCAACTAAGGCTTTCAGCGGGACCAGAACCTGCAGTCCACCGGCGAGGCCACAACTTGCCGTGGCGTCACCAAGACTATTGATTGGTGCCCTCGTGGCCTCTAGTTGTTTGCTGCCAACGCCATCGTGCGTCGCCGACCATGGCTTTCCCTCCAACCATCAAATTCTTTTCTGGTGCATTCTGCCTTTTTGTAGGGATTTCACAAGAGTAGCGATCTAGATTTCAATAGCGAGCATAGTTCCGGCTGAAGGCAAGTCCTTCTGGCGTCACCAAGACTATTGATTGAACGGAGGTTTCATTTTCTTGTGGTTACATTGGTTAGACCAATGGCAAAGGTGCCGATACAACGACACACGGGCTGGCAATTTGGCTAACGTATAGGAACGATGATTCCGTTCTACTCTTTGGACTTCCAATTCCGGCGTCCAACTTCCGGTGGCAGTTACAAATTCGGAGCCTTCAATCCTAGATGCAGAACGCTTTGGACGGTTACAAATACATGGCGGTTACAATTACAACGGTCACAACTCTAAAAGCGGTTCCTAACCACATTTAAGTTAAAACTTTTAATTCTTTACCCAAAATATATTTAATTATACACTTGTGTTTGATATTTTTGCTCCGTGTTGCATTGCAGGTTTTGCATTTGGCATATTTCGGCTTAAAGAAGGTGCTTCAAGAAGTTTGCCGAAGAAGACTTCTTTTGCATTTATTCGTTTTTTATGTTTCTAGTCATACAAACAGGGCTGCCCATTGCGTGGCGAAAACGACTCTTGCATCGAAAAATCAGCGCTCGGCTGATTACCGTTATTTACTTTTCACCACTTTTTAATTCCCTATCTATTAACTATCTATCTCAGTAAAAAAAAAAGATATTTTTAGTTAATTTCATTAAAAAATGTAAGATATTTCTGAAAATATATGCAAGTTGATAAAAGAAACCCAGATGTTAGGCTTTGCTGTACAGGATTCGAGTCCGAGCCGCGGAGGTAATTAGGTCGCGGCAGATAACCGAGTCGCCCAACCAAACGGCGGGGGAATCAGTAATAAGTTCGGACAAGCAGGCCACGTCGCTCGTTTCTTTATTCTCTGTTTCACTTCGTTTTTAGCCCTAATCGCGAGACTGACTGGAAGCTGAAGGGTAGGAGGAAGGAAGGAACTCTGCCGAAGCCAAACTGGTGTAGTTGGAGACTGCGAGTTCTTCCCCACGCTACCTAAGTTGCACAGTTGCGCGCTACAAAACCTGTTTCTGTAAATCTCTCTTCGTCATTTCTCTCACTCATGCAGAGCTCTCTCTATCGCGTGCTCCCCTTATCCATGTCTTGATTGCAGGGGGGATTTCGCCTCAATTCGCCATCTCCCGATACACAACAGAAGGAATCGAGAAACCCTAGGAAATGTCGGGCGGGTTTTTCCGGGTAAGCGCTTCTCGAGGAATTCTTAGATCGTTACCTGCTGCACTTGCGGTGACCAATTTTGCGGATCTCGGTTCTGAACCGGTCGATTGTTTGCGCATCTTTTCCCTTTTTTGTTTGAAGGGTACGTCCGCCGAGCAAGATACTCGGTTCTCTAACAAGCAAGCTAAGCTGATGAAGTCGCAGAAGTTTGCTCCTGAATTGGAACACCTGGTATTCGGTTATCTTTGGTTGGACTGTCAATTGAGCTTCTTTTTTCCTTCTTCCCGGAACTGGGTGGGTTTACACCATTTAGTTGCTCTTTGATTTGCGTTTATTAGGTGGATATGACGAAAGTGAAAATGGACGTTATGAAACCATGGATTGCTCACAGGGTGACTGAGCTTCTTGGTTTCGAGGACGAAGTTCTTATCAACTTCATTTACGGCCTTCTGGACACCAAGGTATACCAAAAATGTTGGCTTTTCCTTCCTTTCTTTTCACTTCAATGCCTTTATTTGAATGGGAGTGTGCCGCTTGCATATTTCCTCACTCGTCACTAATTTAAACGAATGATGATTACATGATTTTAGGAATTAAATGGCTTGCAGAGTCGTTCTGTTAACACTAAAATCCAGCAACCAAGCAAAAGATTCAGTCTTTGTTCCCAAAAATGTTTTCTTATGTTGGGTTTGTCCAAATGTCATGCGTTTGGTCAGCTTTCAACTGTATAAAATGGTTAAAGTTTTTGTGGACTTCTGATTTTTCTAATGCAGGAAGTTAACGGGAAAGCGGTCCAGATACAACTTACTGGCTTCATGGAAAAGAACACTGGGAAGTTTATGAAGGAGCTCTGGTCCCTTCTTATCAGTGCCCAGAAGAATGCCAGTGGCGTTCCTCAACAGCTTTTGGATGCCAAAGAAGAAGAAACTAGGCAGAAGCAGGTTAGAAATAATTCCATGTCTTGTAGCTTTTGGTACTGAAATTGCTTGTTGGATTGACAGGAGTGATTCCTTGTTGTTGCAGGCAGAGAGAGATCGGATAACTGCTGAGATTCAGAAAAAGAAAGAGAAGGAGAATATAGATTCCGAGTTCATGCGTCAGAGTAAGATGGTAATACTAACTTATTCATGCCAGTAGTACATTTGTTAAGAGTTGGGTTTTTGGTTTTAACTTTATTGTGTTTTTCCATGGCGTTCAGCAAGCTTCTGCAATTATTTGGGTTCATGTCCTTTACCTCAAACTACTGTAGGACGGTGGGGCTGGGACGAAGGCCAATAATGCCTCTATGGATCCAAGCTCAAAACAGATACAACTGAAGGGTTCAAATGGTGATTCTGGAGATGAGAAAGGAGCTGAAATAAGAAATGGGTCGAGGGGGCGAAGCAGGTTAGGAATTTTGTTTTTGGGTGACAATGCCCTTGCGTTATTGAGTATATGTTTGTAGTGTTGTTTCTGCAGTGCCTCAATATGGAGAACTGTGAATAATTCGTCTAGTTATGTACTGTTTTAAACATCACAGTTTCTTGTTTAACTGTGAATAAGTCGTCTAGTTATGTACTGTTTTAAACATCTCAGTTTCTTGTTTCACTGGTTCGGAACGTGCCGTGTTGTTTACTTACTAGCAAGAACGAATTGCTGATTACCTGTTTGTTTGGAGGTTGCGAGAGGTATCCAACCCTGATCTGATTGGCTAGTAACTGAGAATATGAATATTTCTGTGTGAAGAAACTTTGAAAAATGAAAATATATTCCTTTGCCTTACTTTCTTCTGTCAAGATCAATCCTTTAGCCATGATATCTCCTGCTTGCATTTGATTTTCTATAGCCTAATTTACATGAATGAGACTTGTGTTTCGAGAATATGTAAGACTGGAAGCATAACATATATATATGAACCTTTCAGAGTCTCTATGTCTCCCCGTCGAGGTGATCTCTCACCCTCCTCTCCTAGGTGTGTATCCACTTTGATTGACTATATCACGACTTCTTCTTCATGAGTCTTCCCTGACCATATCGATTTTCTTTATAGAGGCTCACCTTCACGCACCAGGGGGTCATTATCTTCTCGAAGCAATTCTAGGTGCGTATTGAGAATGCCAGTGTGTTAACTGATCCCCCATCCTCTTTTCATCTTTTAGCTCTGTGCTTTTATTTTGTACTTTTCGTTTCTCTATCCATCAAATATCTTAACAATAACCTAGACTATGCTAGAACCTTGTACCTGTACTTGAGTGTTGTATACTTAATGATAATTCTGCTTATGGTTTTTGATGCTCTCTGTTCATTTGTTAGCGGAAGGATAAAGGGCAGAAGTTTTTCAAGATCACCCAATGCACGACATCGCTCAGTTTCTTCTGACCGGCGAAGAAAACGATCAATTACTCCTCGCCGTGGGCATTCACCACGTGCATCTAATTCACCTCCAAGGAGGCGGTCATCATTTGGCAGAAAAAGATCCAGATCACCTAGCAGGTCGCCATCTCCAGTGAGGCGTAGGTTGCGGTCTCCTTACCGTCGCAGATCACCTTCACCAATTCGACGCCGTAGATCACCTTCACCGGTTCGAAGGCCCAGGTCACCTTCCCCATCTCGCAGGAGGCGCAGATCACGTTCACCCATGCGACGCCGGAGATCTCCCTCACCTATTAGACAACGTAGGTCACCTGCTAGACGGCGCAGGACCCCTTCTCCCGCTAGAAGGCGCAGATCTCCATCGAAACAGAGGCGTCGATCGCCCTCACCTTTGCGTAATCGATCTCCTTCACCCCTGAAGCGTAGATCAGTTTCCCCACCACGTCGTAGATATGAAAGGTCTCCACCTACTTCTAGACGTGGGTCTCGATCTCCGGTTAGGCGTAGGTCTCCTGCCCATGCCCGCCAAATATCACCAGTGCTCACCCGTCGTAGGTCTCCCTCGCCATTTGTTTCAAGATCCCCTTCCCCTACAGGTAGAAGATCTGCAGGTCAATCATCGCAAGCAAAACTTAGGTGAGTTCGTAGTCCTTAACTTTCTTACTCTATATTTGAATTTGGAGTTGTGGCATTGAGCAAGTCCCTCTTTGAAGGAGTCGAGAAACATCCTCTCCTGTACGGGCTCAGCAATCTGGGCAGTTGAGGTCACCACCGAGAGATGCTAAGAAACGGAAGGATTTGAGAAAGAGATCCCCTGCACTGTTGTCTTCACCTAAAGGGTCTCCAGGCCGATCAGAATCTCCACCATCCATAAGAAAGAATAGTAACAATGATGACAAAAGGTCTATATCATTTGCATTGCTTAAACAGCTAGATCTCCTATTTCAACTATTAATAATCAATTGATGTACTTCTGGGTAATCACACTTAACAGTTATCATATTTTGGCCATTATATAGTAGTGTTCCAAGGCAAAGGAGGGAGCTGCAGGCAGGGGACAACCTGAGTCCTCCGCCACAACCAAACAATAAAGGATCTCGATACGAAAGCTCTGATGATAGCAAAGAACTTGAAGGAAAAAACCGTTCTCGGTGAGTTTTTGGAAATAAAACTTCTTATCTTTCTCGTAACCATGGCTTACTATCTTTCTACTCTCTGATCTTGTCATTTGTGATGTTCGTGATGATAATACATCTATCCTTCACATAAACCATTTGCTACTAGGCTGAAGGATTCTACTGTGGAAGTTCAATATAAGGGCAAGCAGTCTCCTGAAATCAATGCAGGCCATCAAACAGAGTCTAGAAGTCACAATAAGATAGAACCAGGGAAGAAGGATCAGGAAACAAGGAGGTACTAATGTGCAGCAGAAAGAATTTATCCTACTTATATTGGTAAATTGAAGGTACATGCAACCTAACATATTTGTATCTAATTTCTAACAGTGAGAAATCTTCCGGAAGGAAAGGACATATTGAAGCTTCGGACGGTCAAAAGTCTCCGGTGCTGAGCCAAGTTGATGTTCAGAAGTCTGTTGGCAGGCTTTCACATGTGAACTTTATGGAGGATGATAGACGCCAAAAATCTGATACAATAACTTCAATTGAAAAGGTTGACAAAAGTAATGGTGGCAGTAGACTGGATTCTGATTCAGACAGAAGTGGTAAGCACAGAATTGAGGGTAAGGAAAAAAGAAAGCATAAGAGATCACACAGACATGAAACATCATCCGATGATGATGAAAGTGATTCTGAAGTTGATGAAAGGAAAGAGGTCAAGAAAAGGAGGAAAGAAGAAAAGAAATCACGCAAGGAGGAAAAACGCCGTAGACGTGAGGAGCGGCGCCGTAAAAGAGAAGATAGACGGGCTGAGAAGCTGAAACTGAAGGAGAAAGATGATACTGATTCTTCTGACGATGACCATGTAGCCAGGAGAAGAAAGTCTTACATACGTGACGATGAAGAGGAGCATTCTGAGCAGAAACAGCTAGAGATTGAGTTAAGGAAGAAGGCACTCGAATCACTGAAAGCCAAGAAGAGCATTGATCACTAAGTCATGGCATTGCGTGTTTGCGATCTTGGATTATCTCAAATGATCTTTTCTTTCTAAGCTGTTTTACTGTTTCTAGGAACTTTTGCTATGAATGGAAGTAGTTATTTTTATAACTTTTTAATGTTAGTGTGTGTTTGCTGCTGGCAGCTGAAATGGATAAATGATGGATTTCCTGAGCTATTCTCTTGACTGCCCCTCTATCCAGATCTTCCTGCTAGATTTTCTTATCCAGATCTTCCTGCTAGATTTTCTGGTAATAACTGTTTCCCCTTTGTTGGGAATTGTGATAGTGTTGTTAATGGATGTCAGCTTTAGTTAAGCATGCTGATGTCTGATGTTACTTGTGTAAACATTGCACTTTATGAATATCTTTGGTTCTTACTTATAAGCACTTGTCAAGTTTGGTGTGCCCTTGTCTCGCTTTTCATGGTTGTCTGCTGATATGAAAAGAGTACTGTTTTCAGAATTAAAATGATGCCTACAGGTCTGCTCATGATTTCAATTCATTGATGTCCGGTTGATACTAAGTAAGCTTTCTGGTCAATTGGTAGATGAAATAATTGACAACTTGATGCATACTCGAGTGGATTATGTGCAGGCCTACACTATGAACATTGAATCAGGTGAAGTACCTCCTCTCTAGTTCTCTGTGTTTGTTTATATAAACTATGGTGGATCTACAACCTGAAAATAAATGGTAGTCATTCTACTTCTTTTGTTAGGCTTCTCATTAGATTATACCCTTTATGCTTGCAGCTTGAGAATTGTCTCGGGGCATTTGTGTTGTAAATTACTATATGGCGATGCAGGTTCAAGGACTAACTCCCCTCCCCCAAATTGACATGTGTAAGAAGAGTATGAATTGCCATGGATGTTTATGCTGAGATTGGTGATGATATTGTATGAGTTTGAGGTAGATATTGTGGTTCCATTATCTCGACGGCCTATCGATGTTTCCTTTTTTCCCCCCTTCATGTTTGAAGTTACTTAAGATTCTTATTCATAAGCCGATACATGAAAAACTGCATGATCATTGAGAGCACTCATTCACAGTTACTTGTTATCATTTCTGATATTGGAAGTTAGAAGTTCATGGTGACTGGGTTGCAATGATTAGGTTGATCCACGTCGAATGCCTTTTGCTGGGTAGCTCTTACTAGGTCGTACGGCTTTTTGTTGAAATTGCTTGGTATCAAGTGTGAAGGGCTGATGATCTGACTTAGTTAGGTTTGATTTGACTATCGAAGGGAGAGAGTGCCGATTGGCATCCGCTCACAATCTGCTCCCTCTTCTGCATCGTGTCGAGTCATGATAAGTGCTTCTGAACTTTGCAGATGTGTGTTTAAAGATGTTTGTTTGTTTCGTCATTGCTAGTCCACCAAAGCCTAGCCGGTTCTAAACCCACGTTTTTGTTTACTAACATCAGCGTCCTAGACCTTTCAGCTTCTCTTCTTGCTCGTTAGGTTAATAGGTTGGTGGAGGTTCTGTAGTTCCAGAGAGCATTGTGCTGTTCAACTGTTCTTTTTATGGTTCTTCTAATAAGCAAATGCCGATAGTTTATAGTTAAGACTTAAGAGGATGGTAGCTTTCTTATTTGGAAATGGTGCATGTGCACAAAAAATTTAGGAAACCAGTGGTGAGCGCAAGAATCATTGCAAGCTTGTGTTCCAGTAATAGGCTTTCGTCCGACAAAATTTGCTGCGCGACAAGCTTAAGTAATCAGTATCATTGAAAGCACGTTCAGCTGTGCCCAAAATATTGAACACGCCCTGGTCCTGTTTGCTTCGTCGCTGCTGTTACAACGCGGCTCATGATATGATTTGAATTCATTATGATCTGGAGAAAAGAGCACACTTCACTAATGGATTCTCGACTGCTTTTATGCTCATCAGCATTAGGATGTTGCTTTATCATCTTTTGTCTGATTTACCTTTGCAAGAAGTTTCATTTTCGGTAGCCAAGCGCTACTACAGAATATAAAGTCTGTCTGTCTGGCGTGAAGGTTCTGTTGAAGTGGATAAGCTAGGCTACGTGGCACATCTCCATTCGCCCAATGCCCCTAGCCTTCCCATCCAGATAATCCCCCATATCCAAAAACCTCCACAGAATCGCATGTCAGATGTCCACTCGGAATCAGGATACGGATGGCCAAAAAATATTATCTGCAAACAACAAACGTTAGTAGCTGACTGAAATCTCTTACGTAACTCTTCTTCTTTTCTTGGGAGTGCTGAGCTTCCATGGCTCCTACTCTAACCTCCAACCCGTTCCACCTGACCAGAGCTCCTCCTTCTACTCTCTCCCTTCGGAGCCACAGGTTTGCCGTCTTCGCCAAGAAATCCGGCGGACCCTTTTCTCCCTTTCAGATCGGCAAACCAAAAGAGGACAGCTCCGAAGGTGGCGACGACGCTGGAACTGCCGGCTCAGGCATCCAAAACCCTTTCGCAAACTTCAAGTTCGGCAAGGTACCCGATGCCAAGTCTTTGATTCCTGTCGTGAGTAACCCTGCTGCAGCTCTGCAGTTTGGCAACCAGCGACGGAAAGACCCTCGCACCGTCTTCGTTGCTGGCGCCGCCGGCCAGGTTGGTCTTCGAATTGCTCAGACATTGCTGCGGGATGGGTTTAGTGTCAGAGCTGGCGTCCCTGAACTAGACGCGGCTCAGGAGCTTGCTCGTCTCGCGGTCGCTTACAAGGTTAGCTGCTGCTCTCGCATTTCCTTATAATCACTCTCGTATGAGTTCAATTTTGTAGTAACTTGTGTTAATTTACTACCGCTAGATCATATCCAATGAGGAGTCCAAGCGCTTGAATGCAGTTCAATCCACATTCGACGACACGGAATCAATCGCCAAGGCCATCGGCAACGCCAGCAAAGTGGTGGTGACGATTGGTCCCAGCGAGAACGGTCCCACGGCCGCAGTGTCCACATTGGACGCCTGGCAGGTAGTTCAGGCGGCACAGCTTGCCGGGGTCGGCCATGTTGCCATCATCTACGATGGCAGCGGAGCAGGAGGAGGGTCTACTTACAATGTGCTGGATGGCTTCAAGTTATTCTTCAACAACTTGTTTTCACAGTCTCAGGCGCTGAGCGTGCCGGAGTTTCTGCAGAAGGTGGTGATCGAGACACAAGTCAGCTACACTTTCATAAACACGAGCTTGACCGATGATTTCAAGCCGGAGAGTTCTTACAATGTGGTTGTTTCGCCAGAAGGAAGCTTGGGTCCAGACGACTTCAAAGTAATGTAATGTATGCTGCGGATGGTTTCTGGTTTCAGTTTTCTGTGAAAGTTTGAAGTCAATTCTTTTCCCTGACTGCAAAATTTCGAAAAACTCTGCAAATTTGTTTGGTTGAATGTAGTTGGGAGGGTAAAATTAACAATTGCATGCAATTGTACATATATACCGTTTTTTGTTGATACTTTTGATGTATTTGACATGATCAGGTAGCCAAGTCGAAGATAGCAACACTGGTGGCCGATGTGTTCTCAAACACTGCAGTAGCAGAAAACAAGGTACGCCCAATACTAGAGAGGATTATTCTTGATTCCCAAATTCGGAATGGAAAAAAGACTTGAATTTTGCCTTTGGTCCGTTATAGGTGGTGGATGTTTTCACGAATCCATCAGCACCTTTGAAGTCTGTGGATGAGCTTTTCAGGTAAGGAAGTAACAGTTGTTCTGAAATTCTTTATGGCATTTAGTAGTACATTAGCTCAATAATGTGACAATGGGCGTGTGATCATCATGGATCAGTGCCATTCCCGAAGATGGGAGAAGGAAAGCGTACGCCGAGGGTCTTCAAAAGGTGAAAGCCGAGGAGGAGGCAAAAAGTGCAGTTGAGAAAGCTCGTGAAGCAGCGGTGAAGGCCCAGAAGCTTGAAGAAGAAGTAAAGAAGCTGTCGGATCAAGAAGCTCAAGCCAGCAGCTTAGCAGAGCAAGCACAGAAGAAAGCCGAAGCTGCAGGGGTTTCAGTGGAGGACGTGATGGACAAGGCTAAAGGGTTCAGTGCAGGGTTCTCATGGGAGAAACTGAGCTCCCAAATCTCGGATGCAGTTCAGACTGCCGGCGTGGAGATCCCCAAAGTGCAGGTTGCTACCACTAGGGGACAGGCAAAGGCTCGTTCTTTGCCCACCCAGAAAGCTGTGGTCAAACAATCTGCTCCTAAACCGAAACCAAAGCCGGCTGCGGCGGCAAAGAAGACGCCACAAGCTGGCGAGACCAAACAGACCGAGGACAAGAAAGAAGTGAGGAAGATCTTTGGCGGGCTGTTTCAGCAAGAGACTATCTATGTCGAGGACTGATGAGGGGCGACATGATCGTATATATATATAGACATCTATATATTTTCTGTTTTAGATACTGCAATTTTCTCGTAATGCTACATCTCATGTTTCAATCATTTGTTTTCTGGAAGTTTGTAATTGATGCTGAACCATAACTTGGAAAGAAAATTTAGCTTGGTAGCATAACACTTCTACTAAAGGTAGCAACAGGGCCGGGTAATCCTAACTTGGGTCGATCATTACTTGGTTGAATGTACGTGTAGATGTAATTTCTGAGCATCTCAAAGGTTGTCGGAGGTCTGCCACAAGTTCTTCTAGAGTATCACTCTTAACGAGGATCTGCCAAATGTTCCTATAGAATATCGCCCTTAATGAAGATGTCATCCACGCAAGCCTCCACTTTTCCCTCGTAAACTAGCAATCCAAGAAGCAACAAACAGTCTCAAGGTACTTAGCAGAAGCAAAATACAAGGCTATGGCATACACCTCTAAAGAGCTTCAATGGATAAATCCCTTGTTCCAACAACTCCTTCAACTCCTATATTTAGTAAATATTCTGTTTAATACACCTCTATATGTATCCGTATATACTTTATACGTTTAAAACTTTCATATCCGTATTATTGTTAAGCCGTTTCATTTCCCCGTTCATTTGATGGCTCCCATACTAAACACGTATAAAACCCGTCTAACACGTTTATTATCCGTATTTTACAAATTAAATTGTTAACTTTACTATTATGTATATATATATATTTGAAATGATTAATTTTATATATTTATGACTATTAACGTACTATTAAACGCAACTTTAGCTTAGAGACGAAGTATAATACCTGTACGTATTTTTTAAGTAACTTTACCGTATCGTATTTTACTAACTATGTCCTTCTATAGTTAGTAAACACTCCGTTTAATAGACATATATGTACCCGTACATACTTTATCCGTTTAAAACTTCTGTATCCGTATTATTGTCAAGCCATTTCATTTTTCCCCGTTCATTTGATGGACCCCGTACTAAACACGTATAAAACCCGTATAACACGTTTATTATCCGTTTATTAACTTTACTATTTGTTTCACCCTAGAAAGTACTCTAGTGCTTAACATGATAATAAATGGGGGCTCCGATCTGGACTTCTTGTTCGATCTCTTTGGGAGGCAAGGAATCTGTGAGGAGGGGGTGGCCCCCGAGATCTACGCTCCGACGCCCAAATTAGTACGAAATATGATAGAATGGTGGTAGGTGAATGTAGAGAGAGAGATAGTTTAGAGAGAGAACCGTCGGTGGAGAGAGTGTGGGAAAGGAAGAAGAGGATCCCCCGCTTAGAGGGTCTTGGTCTCCTTATATAGTATTTGGGCCTAGTACGCATTGCAGTGGGTTTGGGCCCATTGATAGTCGTTTGTCGTATTAGGCAGATTAATACACACCCAACAATTACCCCTTTACTTCTTGTATCCTGTAAGAATAGAAGGAGTAAAATAATGTCAAAAAACGTATTAATTTGCCTTACTTTTGAGACTGGATGATGCATTTGCCCCTTGAGCCTGTCGAGAGGCGTTATGCTTTTGAGTGTGGTAGATGTGTTTTGCCCCCTTGTACGAGTTGCATGACATTATCATTGCCCATTGCTTAGATCTCGATGCCTTGAGTTAGAGCTCTCAAATCGTTTGATATTTGCCCCGCTAGCCCATTGTTGTTAACTATGTGCTAGGGAGGGTGGCCCCCATGATTTGGGAGCTGTAACTCAAGACATTCCCGAAGGCGGGAGATGTGGGTTTTCGAGACTAGTCCGGAGTTTTGTCTTCCAGCTTGTGTGGAGGCGTTTATCTTTTGTGCCAATCAGGAGGCGTTTCTCCTTTGTGCCTGTCGGGAGGCGTTTAAGCTTTGAGCCTGTCGGAAGGTGTTTAAGCTCTGAGCCTGTCGGGAGGCGTGTCTTCTCTTAGCCTGTCGGGAGGCGTTTTATGTTCAGCCTGTCGGAAGGCGTTTTTAGCTTCGAGCCTGTCGGGAGGCGTTTTATGTTCAGCCTGTCGGAAGGCGTTTCTCCTTTGAGCTTGTTAGAAGGCGTTTAACATTTCAGCCTGTCGGGAGGCGTTCTATGTTCGGTCTGTTGGGTGATATTTTTCATTTGAGCCTATCGGAAGGAATTTATGTCTGATGGAAGGGATTTCTCTTTTGAGCCTATCGGGAGGCGTTTATGCCTGACGGAAGGCATTTCTCTTTTGAGCCGGTCGTAAGGCGTTTCTCCTTTGAACATGTCAGGGGGCGTTTATGCCTGACAGAAGACATTTTTCTTTTGTACCTGTAGTAAGGCGTTTCTCCTTTGAGCCTGTCGGGAGGCGTTTATGCCTGTCGGAAGGTGTTTCTCTTTGAACCAAGCCTAGGGACGGGAGACATAAATCTTCAAGCTAAGCCCGGAGGCGAGAGGCGAGTGTTTTCGTGCCTTGTGGCGTTGCTCCGGAGTTGTTCTGCCTTCGCAGTGGCGTGTTATGAACAACTCCATGCATCAGAAAGCATTTGTGGCGTTTTATGACTTATGAGCGTCTCCTGCCCCGGAAGGCATTTCATGGTTGGGTTGTTCTGCCTTCGGGGTGGCGTCTTATGAATAACCCTGCCTCAGAAGGCATTTTATGGAGTCACTCTGCCTTCAGGTGGCGTTATATGAGCGATCTCCTGTCTCGAAGGGCATTTCGTGGGTGGGTTGTTCTGACTTTGGGGTGGCGTATTATTAATAGCACTGCCTCGGAAAGCCTTTTATGGAGTCACTCTGCCTTCGAGGTGGCATTTTATGAGCCATCTCCTGCCTCAAGAGACATAGATTTTCGAGGCAAGCCTAGAGGCGAGAGGCATGTTTTCGTGCATTGGGGCGTTGCTCCGGAGTTGTTCTGTCTTTGGGGTAGCGTGTCATGAACAATTCCATTCCTCAAAAGGCATTTTTGTGGTTGGGTACTTCTGCCTTCGGGGTGGCATGATATGAACAACCCTGCCTCAGAAGGCATTTTATGGAGTCACTCTGCCTTCGGTTTGGTGTTTTATGAGCGAACTCCTGCCTCGGGAGGCATAAGTCTTCGAGCTGTGGGGCGTTGCTCCGGAGTTGTTCTGCCTTCGGGGTGACGTGTTATGAACAACTCCATGCCTCGGAAGGCATTTCGTGGTTGGGTTGTTCTGCCTTTGGGGTGGCGTGTTATGAACAACCCTGACTCGAAAGGCATTTTATGGAGTCGCTCTGCCTTCAGGGTGGCATTTTATGAGCGATCTCCTGCATCGGGAGGCATAGATTTTCGAGCCAAGCCCGGAGGCGAGAGGCATGTCTTCGTGTCTTGGGGAATTGCTCTGTAGTTGTTATGCCTTCGGAGTGGCGTGTTATGAACAACTAGATGCCTCAGAAGGCATTTTTGTGGTTGGGTTGTTCTGCCTTCGGGGTGGCGTGTTATGAACAACCCTGTCTTGGAAGGCATTTTATGGAGTCGCTCTGCCTTCAGGGTGGCATTTTATGAGCGAAATCCTACCTCGGGAGGCATAAGTCTTCGAGCCAATCCCGGAGACGGGAGGCATAGGTCTTCGAGCCGTGAGGCGTTGCTCCGGAGTTGTTCTGCCTTTGGGGTGGCGTGTTATGAACAACTCTATGCCTTGAAAGGCGTTTTTGTAGAGTCACTCTGCCTTCGAGGTGTCATTTTATGAGTGATCTTCTACCTTAGGGGGAATAAGTCTCCGAGCCAATCCTGAGGGCGAGAGACACTTGTGTCTTTGTGCCTCGGGGCATTGCTCCGGAGTTTTTTTTGTATATGTGAAAGATGTGAGTGACTAGTGTCCAATATATTTCGACTGTAAAAATGAGCATAACATGTTGCGGAGAATATCCTAGCATGTTTATAGTGAGACTCTTCATGGCATTGAGTTATATTCGTCTATCATAGTTGCAATGAGCATCTTCATGGCCCGACACGTGAGAATTTTTTTTTGAAGGAAGGGTCAGACTGGCGTACGTCAAGCGTATACTATACGTCAGGTACTACTAGTGAGATATCTCTATCTTGACAATGAATTAAATCGAGTTTGGGGTATGATACTATACCCTAACCTCTAATGGACAAACCCCTGTCATCGATTTTCTAAACCCCAACCCAAAGTTTGATTTAATGAAAAACAAAAATTGACCGTTGAGATCGGCCAAAGCACATCTAAGTACATCTAACGGCAAGATCACACGACGTATAGTATACGTCTGACGTACACCAGTCATTACCTTTGAAGGAAATATACTTAACTCGGGAAAAGTTTGAGACAGTCGAATATTGGATATCTTGTGGCGTAAATTGAATGCATAAAGAGTCTTGTAGTTGAGTGGTATGCGCTCCAGCTTGTTGAAGGTTGAGACGCGGGTTCCATCATTAGTGGACGCTTTTATCCTCTTTTTTAGTGAATATGCTTTCTGTCTCCCGTTGGGCTTGATGTTGATAGTTGAGGCATGGGCCTAGGGAGCGTGAGCTGGATCCGAAGACAGGATTTGAAACTGGTAGCGATGCAGGCCGGAATGTGGGCCTTCAATTTGAAGCTTGATGGGAGAGCGGGTTTGTAAGTCGTGTCGTGTCTGGAAGACAAACCCTTGTCTTGCCGGGGATGTGGGCCCTATTTGAGTGTGGCGGGCCGTGATTGAACGTGCAACTGGCCAAATTTGTATGCGCCCGGCAAGGGTGGGCTTCGAGGGCAGGGCGGGCCCAAGTTGTGAATTCGGAGGCGAGTTGGGCTTGGTGTGTGCGTGCCGTTGTTTGGAGGCGAGCCCACATTAAAGAAATGTAGAGACGTGTGCGTCTTGTTGCGGATTTGGGAAGCAGGATAGGCTGGATTATGTATTGGAAAAGCAGGCTGGACGCATTTGAAAGCGTGCTCCTTGGTAGGGCTGTTAATGAACCAAGCCACTCATGAACGACTCGGTGTCCGACTCGAGAAAATCTCGTTCGACACTCGATTCTTCTTAATTGAGCCGGCTCGCAAACAAGCTCGTTAACTAAACAAGCCGAACTCGAGCCATACCATGTTCAGCTCGAAAGCTCGCGAACAAGCTCATTTAATGGTTTGGCATAAAAAAAAGGATTATAATTCATGTACTTTATGAAATTGGGATAAATATTGTATTTTACTTTGATAAACTTTGCTACAGGTTTGAATGTAATTTTGTGCTTAGTTCTAAGTCAATCTTGAGCTATCATGAATATTTAATTAGCTGAACTCGATCTTTGGCTCGTTATACTTATTTGACTAGCCGGGCTCGAGCTTTCATTTTCATAAACAAGGCGAGCTCGAGCTTTAATATTAAAGCTCGTGATGAACATGAGCCGAGCTCGAGCCTAGAAATATAATAACGAGCCGAGCCCGAACTATGGCAAAGCTCGGCTCGATTGTGATCATTAACAACCCTAAACCTTGGACAAAAGGTGGCTTGTTTTTTATTTTTCTTGTTACACGCTTCTTTTCTAAGGCGGTCGATGTTGCCGCTCAATCTTATAGCGTTTCTTTGCGATTTCGGCAGCGATCTATCCTTAGACTGGCGAGCAATGACGGATCGCCATGGGACTTTTTTCGAGGCGTTAGACACCTCTACTTCTGCTTCTTCCAATTGTATGTTGCGGCACACTTTCGTTGACTAGCATTCTTTCAAATTGCTGTTTAGAGTGACGCTTCCGAGGGGCGAGCTGGTTGACTGACAGTTTGGCTACTGCTGACGAAGCGGATGCAGCCCTCGGCTGGCGTCTCTCACATTCACTCCGCCATATTCGCTGGACGTACTCTATTGCCTCAATATTTGAATACCTCGATATTTGCGTCTGTCTGCTTATTTGACATCCTCTGACATAGATAGAAGATAGAGGTAGGCCAGTTTTTGGTGAAAAGTTGCAGGAGGGACGTGACAACAGATAAAGATTGTAGGTTTTCTACTTTTACTCACCGGAGCTCCGACACCATCTCCGGCGGCCGGAATATTGAAGTTTTTCAGTCCTGCATGTTCTTCGGCTGGAATCCAGAAAGAGGCAGATCTGATTTTTTCCTAGAGGCATTTGGCATGGCCAGGACAAGCGATTCTCACATGGTTTCGTGAGTGATAGAGGAAAGGGCACGACGATAGTAGGGATGTGCGATTGGCGGCGACCACTAAAGATGGCGAGCCGCGCTGTTGGCTTGCAGGTCAAGCTGGTGATGGCGACCACTGAAGAACCTTTCGTTGCCGCCGTTTTTATCCTTTTGCTCGAGCTGCATCTGACCTTGCTTCCATCTTGTGCAATTTCATCAACGAAAGATATAGAAACTCCCTTTTTTATTTCTTCTTCCTTCAACCTGAAAAGAGAATCTTTCTTCTTTACTCGCCGTTGCTGCTTGTAGAGAGGGAAGGTCGTGCCTCCTCGGTGATGATTTCCCCCAGTTCCCTTCTCCTTCGGAAATCAAACAAGTGTCTGAATCGTACGCCCCTCGGTGGGAGCCAAACTGTTTCACCCTAGAAAGTACTCCAGGGCTTAACATGATAATAAATGGGGGCTCCGATATGGACTTCTTGTTCGTTCTCTTTGGGAGGCAAGGAATCTGTGAGGAGGGGGTGGCACCCGAGATCTACGCTCCGACGCCTAAATTAGTAGGAATTATGATAGAATGGTGGTAGGTGAATGTAGAGAGAGAGAGAGTTTAGAGAGAGAACCGTCGGTGGAGAGTGTGGAAAAGGAAGAAGAGGATCCCCTGGTTAGAGGGTCTTGGCCTCCTTATATAGTATTTGGGCCTATTTGAGTGGGCTTGGGCCTAGTACGCATTGCGGTGGGTTTGGGCCCATTGATAGTCGTTTGTCATATTAGGGGATTAATACACACCCAACACTATTATTTATATATTTATGACTATTAACATACTATTAAACGTAACTTTAGCTTAGAGACTAAGTATAATACTCGTACGTATTTTTTAAGTAACTTTCCCGTACCGTATTTTACTAACTATATCAAGAACCTAAACACCCTTACATGATCTATTGTGATAATTTATCTGCTCTGATGATGTGAGAAATCCATGTACAATATTAAATAATTAAGCAAGAGATCAAGCCTTGGAAAACAAGCTCAAATTCCAACAGATTTCAACCAATCATCAATTTGCATATTTGTTACAAAGGCCTTACCAGTTCACATCGTACACATATTAACTTCCAAGCTCGTCATGAAGTCTATCCATAGAAAGTGGAAGATTATGAGTAACATTGTACACTTAAAAAATAAAGCTTAATTGCAAGTTTGGTCACTCAGAATTACTAAAAAATTTCACGTTTGGTCACTAAAATTGGTTTATTCCATTAGTAGTCACTTAAATTAGTTGAACAATCCAAGTTCACTCTCCGTTAACCTCCGTTAATGACGACCGTTAAGTGATGACGTGGCTAACAGAAAATCAATGGCAACATATTTTAACATTAAAGAATGACTACCCGACCCGCCACGTCCGATTTGCCCGCCATGTCACCCATCCCTACCCAACCCACAAACCAACCCAATGGTCGACCCAACCCCAAACCCGACCCCCCTAAATCTTAAAAGTAAAATCGAAATAGGAAAGGGTAGGTCACTTTCCATTCTCCATCGTCCTCTCATCCTCCATTGCCTTTCTTTTCACTTCATTTATGGGTTCTCCATTTCCTTGTGGCATGAGCAACGATTCGTTGCCAGTAACAGTAATCATGCATATTTTCCCAGAGAGCAGCACAATTGGAGACCAAATCAAGCTTAGAAGGTCCAGAAGAAACAACTTCCATTCCCATCATCTTCATCGCCATCAGCTAGACCCAGCAGCAGCAGCCGTTATAGATCCCAACCCACACTCTCTCGCCCTTTCAAATCCACCATCTCTTCCCTCTTCATCTCCCCATTCTCCTCCAACTCAAGCGAACCCACCACAATCACAATCGCCAACAGCAGTACTGTCGGCAGCAAGAAGAAGGGAACCGCTGCCTTCAGAGGCTTGGGATGCGCTGCTGGGGCTGCCCGTCAGGTGTCTGTCCCGGCGGTGATAAGGTCATCGACGGAGTGGGATGGAAAGAAAGTAAAGAAGAAGATGAAGAAAAAAGTTGTGGTTGCATCTCCTGGTCATCCCCCGCCACCACCGCAGCAGAGGAGGAAGATGAGCGAGCAGGAGGAAGTTGTCGATTTTACTTTTCAGATTTGGGGGGTCGGGTTAGGGGTTGGGTCGATTATTGGGTTGGTTTGCGGGTTGGGTAGGGAAGGGTGACATGGAGGGCAAATCTGACGTGGCAGGTCGGGTAGTCATTCTTTAGTGTTAAAATATGTTGCCTTTGATTTTCTGTTAGCCACGTCATCACTTAACGGTCGTCACTAACGGAGGTTAACGGAGAGTGACCGAACTTGGACTGTTCAACTAATTTAAGTGACTACTAATGGAATAAACCAATTTTAATGACCAAACGTGAAATTTTGTAGCAATTCGAGTGACCAAACTTGCAATTAAGCCTAAAAAATAATATTGTTATAATTAGTTAGGTTAGATACTATAATTAGGTTGGGAGGGGTTACAGTGCTAATACTTTTTTTTTTAGTACTAGTCTTCATTGGCCACTCTCCACGTCGGGATTTATGGTTAGAGATTGTCAAATGTATTGAGCTAATGGATAAGTAAAATGGATTGATGAACTCATACAGGTAAATTGGATGAGACTATTACCCTCCGTTGCTTTTCATTTGTGTGGTCAATCTTCATATATGTAATATTTGAATAAAGAACATGGCAAGAATATAATAGAGCTGTCAACTCCTGAGTCCAAGAACATTAGGTCTTTTTTAGGTATTCAAATTTCAAGTTACAGGCTAGAGTACATATACATGGTGCTGGCGGAAGAGATTCATTTGGTGCTGGCGGAAGTGCATTGTCCCTCTGATTTTTTGTGATAGTCCCACACCAAAAATCAACATAAATCTAAATGGCTCTCCTTTGTGTGCTACTTCTCATTCAAAACGTAACCACTTTCCCTGTCGTCCAAAAGGCCAGTTGCAGGGATCCAGACAGTGGGAGATGGTCGTGAATTCCTGGTGAGATTTGCTTATGGAGAAAGAAAGGAGGATTAAGCGCGTATGAAATGAGAGATACAAACATCTAAAACTTAAACAGAACATGCAAAGGCTACAAACCTAGAATATGCCCCTTCTCCAAAGCATGCCTTCATCTCCCACAATCCAGCACTTATCTATCTGGAACTCCAAACAATCCCCTAGTATACTGTACACATAAGGCCACTGCCTATTACAACAAAATCGCGGCCAATATCTCTCACAGAATGAAAAGAGAAAATATCTACATAAGAACATGACAAAAAACTCAACAGACAGAACACTTACCTCAACCTAACATGTAAATCTGCAGACCTGCCCTCCTCGACTCCTCCAACCCATCCTCCACAGCTTCTTGTCGGCAAAGATGATACAGTCCATCCTATATCCGATGTCCAGAAAGGTAGTAACAGTTTATGAGATAATGGAATAACTCTCACTTGTTGGAGATCCTCCACTGATCTAGCTTTCACCGATGATTCCTTTGCTTGCATCAAGAGATCTGAAGTGAGAAGAGAGGAGTAGACCGAGGAAAGTGAAGAAAATATGGATGCCTGTAAAATAAAATTAAAGTACGACCCCGATTCCTCCTACATCCTACCAGGATCACCAGCGGGAATATGGGTTAATTGGACCCTTATTCTCCCGTCGTCGCCCTCGCAGATATGAGAAAAGGAGGAAAACAATGAGAAAGAATTACTAGAGTTTTTGTTTTGTCGATACTCTCTCTAGTTTTTCGGCAAAAAATGGACGAAGAGGCTCTGAGAGTACGTAAATTTATTTTATTCTTTTGTGATTTTTTTAAATGGGTGCTAAAATATAAATTGATTTGATTTCATATTTTTTTATAGATGGGTGCTGAGATATACGACCCTTGATTGTATATCGATCCTGGCCCAAGGGATCGAAGGTATTTAACCGAGCAAGATCAACATCGCTCCCGTGAAATTTGGAACAATAATCCGGTAGACACTAAAATTATTTCATTAGTTTTAAATTTTTTATTTTGCTTTCTATTGACTGACAACATTGTGTTTTTCGTTTTGTAGGAATCACTTATTCCCATCAGTCATTGAGGGACATGTCGATTGCCCCGTTGGCATGCTCGACTGGCGCCCTATCTAGAGAGGACGGAATTGCACATGCTGAGGCACTTCATGAGGCTTGATATTGACAACGATTTGCTGACGGCAATGGCAGAGCGATGGCGCCCGGAGCTGCATACCTTCCACTTTCCCGAGGGTGAAATGACGATCACCCTCAAAGATGTTGCCATCCTCACCGACTGATCTCAAATCTTCCTCACTTTCATCGTCACTGGAGGTGAATGGATAGCTCTACTCAGGATGTTCATCGTTACCAGCATAACCAACATCGTCTTCTTGGTCATGTGAAGTACGCCCAGATCGAAGGGTGTTCTCAATGTCAGCCCACTCTGGACCCCAAGCAGGCCATTGATCACCGTCGGGCTGAACAATATTGACGACAGTCTCAGCATGTTGCGGGTATTCTTCCCACCCAACACCTCCTTTAGAACTACCTCCTCCGTAGTTGCTTGAAGTACCACCCCAGCCATACCCTCCTGCAGAAGTACCTCCTCCGAAGTTACTTGAACTACAACCCCAGCCATACCCTCCTGCAAAACCATCATCACAAGAATACTGGTGAGAATGAGTTTCACCGACCGGCTCGGTCTCAACATACACCTCTACAAGCCGCACCCCGTTGTCAGATAGGAACTGTATCATCATGTTCACCGCGTCATCATCATTTATGACTACTTTTTCGTACATGATTCCGTCAGCACTCATGTTTGGATACCGGTAAGTAATTTGACCAACTCTCCTTTGCCCGCCCGTACAAGTCCTTTCTGCACAAATGTCATGGAGTTCTTGCCACGAGAATCTTGACTCAATTTTTAGCATAGTGGATTCGCCATTTTCATTGTCGATCCCAATGTTCGAGTTTGTCACCCGACCATTCCACCGAATAATAAGCCGAAACTTCTTAAATTTACCCATGTCTGCAATTTATAATAATTAAGTATAGTATATAATTAGTACATTATGGATACAAAAACAATATCATCCAAACCCATAAACAAACGCAACTAATTGATCTATCATGAGAAAACTAAACAAATTCATCTAAATTCATAACTAACTAACTAACACCTATCATATCATAATTAATCTAAATATCTCATAACATATTTGCCAATAACCGCAATTCACTAAATACAGACATATAATTACTAATACATCAACATGTAAACAATACATAATTATAACATACCGAATCTTGATGAGTTTCTTGAGCAGTAAACCAACTCCAAACCAGCTGAGAAAACGACCAAAAAAACACTAATTTTTGTACTAATTTGCTGTAAGGCAATAGGAGGGAAGTGGGGGTCGTTTTTTATAAGGAAAAATGCCAGCTAATCAGCGTAGTGGACAATTGCGGTGAACACATCACCGCTTTTGTCCAAAACGGTGATAGCTAGGTCGCTGTGACCTAATTTTCCACCTACCAGGGCTCTAAAACGTGGTCAAATATCACTGTTTTGCACAACAGCGGTGAGGCAATCACCGTTTTGGACGGCAGCGGTGATACCTTCCCCGTTGTTGTCAAAAGCGGTGATGTGTTCCCCATTGTTTTCAAAAGCGGTGATACCTTCCCCGTTTTAGACTAAAGCGGTGATTATAATCACTATCGAAAACAAATACAGTGATGTTGATACTGCTGTACTTTGGGAAATAAGTTTATAAGTACTGTATTTAGGAAATTCTTTAATAAGTTGAATATTCTGGGATTTTTTCCTAAAAAGTATAACGCTGAAATCGCCTCCACAAAAAACAAAGGAAGAAGGAAAAAAAATTAGTTGATCCATCAATAACCTGGTCGCCGCGAGACTTCAGTCACCCACATTAACATTGAGCCTTCAACGACAGTACCAGTTTCTTACCCACCAAAATTATTGAGAGAAAAATGAGCACTTTGTGGTTAATTATCAATAGCCATAGTCGTCAAATTCTCTCTTTATCGCCACTTCTGCCGTTAGCTTCGATCAACTTCACCATCGCATCAACTTCAGTTGGAGACGAATGAATTGGCAAATAGAGGAAGGTTGAAATTATAGAGAGAAACTGGAGCAAATAAAGAGAAAGAAAGAGAATCCAAATGAGTAAAAGAAGAGGTACAGGCGAGAAGGTAATACGTGACTATTGGTGGAAATAAACCCACCCAAGCCAACAGCTTTTTCTCTCAGCAACTCGAGTGCAAAATTGACACACTACCGACATTAAAATTGGGCATCACGCCCAACTGGACCACAAGTCCACAACCTCCCTCTAGGCTTTAACCGGACACACTACTCGATAAGGCAAGCAAGTTGGTTTCCTCTCCATTTTCTAAAAGGGCAAATTGTTTCAGAGCGATCACCGCGTGGCGCGTGAGAGACAAACAGAAAGAACACCCAACAGGAAGGCAAACCATGGTAAAAAGAGAACCGAACCAAACAAATTACATCAGGAACCAACCAGCCCCCCCTGCACCCTCCCAAAGAATGCCACAACCAGAAAGTATGCCACAACCTCCTCAAGCATGCCAAGTTCACAAAGCATGTCACAAGTCCACAAAGCGTGCCACAAGTTTATAAAGTATGTCTTAAATAGTGGACCTGTTTGTAAATATGAAAAAGTTTAGGTACCAAAATGTAAGAAAAAAAAATTCAAGTTACTAAAATGTTATTTCCATCGATATTTTTAGTACTCAAATATAAAAAAATATTTTTAGTACTCAAATATAAAAAATAATTTTAGGTACTAAATATTAATACCTTTTAAGTTCAAGTACCAAAACTACAATTTGTAAATAGAACATAGAAAAGTGACATGAATGGAATGGCAGGAGAAGGGAAGGGGAAAGAAGAAGGGTTAACTATAATACCCTTAATGAATGTATTAGAATGATGCTAACCCTATCCACTCCCTAATTAGGTTAGTCGGTTAGACATAATCAACTAGATGTGTTTGTGCACTTTCTCTCCCTTCACTAGTAACTTTGGCTATATAAGTTTTTTTGTTTGTTTAAAGCTATATAAGCTCTTTACTCCTTTAAGATTGGCTACTTATTTTTCTTTTACCATTCGTCACCTTTCATCAATAGGGAACTACACGAAAGGCATCTATGCTTCATAAAGAAAAGAAGCCAGATTGTTTTGCACGCAATGACTCCAAAACCTCAAGAACAGAGTACACAGTCATCAGCTTTGCTCCCCAATAGAGTTCACCATCTCTTTGTTGTATCCATGGCCTTAGTTTATCTCTTGTTTTGAGAAATCTCCTCAAGGTCTAGGAACTGTTGTACTGAGATTTCAGCGACCATAAATCACCCTGTGTACTGTTATCGTAGCTTAGCATGGAATATGCATCAATCTCACGTGAGCATCAATCATCGACAAGGCATGTTGAGAGGTATTGATACTTGGGGAGGAAGCTGTCAACGTCAAGGTTGTTGGATACATATTCAACACAAGAGTATGGCTACTCATGTGTGTTGGTTTAGGAGGCTAGTTAGTAACTGACTATAACGTATTTGATAATGCTTGTTTGAAGGCCAATTGACTATGGAATGGTTACAAAGCCATTACCATTTTACGTTAGAGATTTGGTGTGTTTCAGTACAAGGAAATAAGAAAATATGGATGCACAAGCAAAGGGCGAAAAAGCTCATAACCAAACCGGTTTTGCATGGGTTTAGGTGATTTATGGTCGCTGAAATCTCAGTACAGTAGTTCCTAGACCTGGAGTAGATTGCTCAAAACAAGAGATAAACTAAGGCCATGGATACAACAAAGATATGGTGAACTCTATTGGGGAGCAAAGCTGATGACTGTACTTTGTTCGTCAGGTTTGGGAGTCATTGTGTGCAAAATAATCTGAGGTGCCATGGTTCAAGCTCGTATGGCGTAAGTTCTGTCTCCCTCGTTATAGTTTCATTGCATGGCCTATTTTGAAGAATGCTATTGTGACAAAGGATAAGCTGCTGAGCTGGAGGAAGTTGACAAATGCCTCTTGTCCATTATGTTCGTTGCCAATGGAGTCTCGAGAACATCTCTTCCTACATTGTTCTTTTTCTCGCAGACTTGTCTTGACTTTAAATTGCAGGTTGTTTGATGTTGGAAATTGGGAAGCAATGCTAGCTGCAGCAAGTTCTATGGTTCGGCCCTCAAGGAATGCAAGTTGGCATGGGGTTGTGTGGTGTATGGTGCCGACTTCTATATAGAGAGAGCGATGCAAAGTTGTTCATGGCGAATCAAGTTAGGATCCTGAGAAAGTTGCTGCCTCACTTCAAGTAGATTTGCAATACTTGGTTGCTGGTAATGCCATGCTGCGAGACGATTTGACACGTTTGGGGTATCTTTAAGCCTGTGGTGGTTTTAGTTTTGTTTTTAGGGTTTTGTAAGTAGCAGTTACAGAAAATAGCCAAGTAGAGTGTAGTTGAAGTATGGACTAGCACAGAGTCTCAAGGGACTTTGTCTTTGATGTATTGGTTTCCTTTTTCACATTAATAAGAGAGAAACTGATTCAACAAAAAAAGCTAGCATGTCCTTTTCCGCTTGATCGCTAACTCATGGACAAAAGCGTCTTTTGCACCCCTAATGCAACATATGAGCTAAAAGCTTGTAATCAATAGTTTTCTCGAGCACGATTCCTTCAATTGAGAAGAAATTCATTCTCAATAGAATCTTCCAACAAAGATATCGAGGAGCTCGACAAAAAATCTAAATCTCAAAGAAACCCTAATCAAAATTCCTTCTATTCGAAACTTCCTCTAGAAGAGAGAATTATTTCCACTTGGGTTATCTTAAATTATGCCTCCATTAGTTTCACATGGTCGGTTAAGTACATAGTTTGAACTTTGAATATATCAAAGAACATGCTTTTTTATAAAAAAAATCGTGGGATCTTTATTAATCAGAATGCGCTGTTACATTTTCCAGCTCTAGCTGACTAAGTAAACACGTGTGAGGTCTATCGACCCAAACTAAGCTCTCATCCCATCTCGTCTTAAGATGTGCCATAGTGTGTGCCACCTCATTAGTTTCTCGACCTAAACGTTTCCATAATCCATTACAAAGTTCCCTCAGTAGTCTTCTAATCTTCGTCATATGGTTCCCACTTCCGTGTACACTACGTCCGCAATATCAAGCTTCTGGACAAGACTCGAGCAATCCGTCTCTATTGATGGGTTCATTAGCTGTAGATTCTGAGAAGTCTAAAGCCCAAATTTCAATGCCTCTGACATTCTTAACCACTGCCCATAAGATGTTGCCTTGATCCCCATGCACTACTGCTCCCAATCCCACACCTCCACTCGACAAGAAACCCACATCGACATTAATTTTTGCGGTGCCAATCGCAGGCCTCTGTCATCCCTGAGGGGACCGAGCACAATTATGCTCTTCCTGCTTTTCTTGATAAGCCGTATAGTCTATTAGGAAATACTTAGCTCTTGGCACAATCTCCACTTCCTCCAACTTGTGACCATTAAATAGGTGAGCATGCCTTTCCTTCCAGAAGAACCATAGTAGAACACACCATTGGGCAAACACCTCCTCCTCAAAGTTCTCCACTAACCACTTAAGCCATTGGTAGCTGTTTGTTTCAATGCAATCTTGAAAACAGTGGGAGAAGTCAGAAGCTCGCCAGAGCCAGCTTATCCATGTGCACTCTTTAAACCGATGCATTTGGGTTTCCCGCATGCCGCAGTAAGGGCATTTATCATCTCACCTTTCACTTTTCTCACTGATGTGGTCCTCCGTTGCTAAAATCTCCCTGCCGAACCTCCAAACAAAGTGCCCGATCTTCGGCGGGACCTTCATAGCCCAAACTTTCTTCCATATAGCTTCCTCTCCCCGCAGTGTAACACCCTGTTCCTCCAAAAATGATCGCAGCCAGATTTTAGCACCATCTTGGACATTATAGTCCCCTTTGGTGCTCATGTGACAAATCATTCTATCACTTTCTTGAATGCCTCGCAAGGGTATCTCCATAATCGCCTGCACCATATCGGATGGAAAGCATCTGTCAATCACCGGTCTTTCCCATTGCTCCAAGTCGGAGTTGATGAGATCACTGACGAGAGCATCCACCGGTAGTCCCCGCGGAGCCGAAGTCACAAATAAACCTGGCGCCGAAGGAACCCATTTATCGCCCAAAATACATACTGAACTTTCATTTCCGATACACCACCGAAGGCCATTTCACAAGAACTCCTGTGCTGACATCAGATATCCAACGACAACATCAAGGATTTGCACATTTTTGTGATACTTAGCACAATAGATTTTTGCGATGAGAGAGTTCATTCGTTGATGTAGGTTCCAAATGTTTTTTTGCAAGTAACGTCATCTTGAACCCACTAAGATCCCCAAAACCCATCCCCCTTCTTCCTTCAAACTAACCATCTCTTCCCTCTTGATCCATGGTATCCGTCTTTCTCTCCCCTTTTATCCCCACAAAAAATTCATTATCATTTTATGTATATCATCAATAGTCCCTTCTGGCACCTTGAACTCCGACATAGCATAGGACAACTGAGTCTGTGCTACTACCTTGATCAAAATTTCTCTAGTTGTCGCTGACATCACCTTCTACTTTCATCCTTTGAGCTTACTCCAAATTCGATCAACAATGTTTGTAAACAGTTCCCTCTTTGACTGGCCCACCACAGTCGCCAAACCCAAATATTTTTCATGTTTTCCCACTAGTTTCATGTTGAGGATGCCGCTGACTCGAAGCTTCACGTGAGCCATGGCATTTCCACTAAAAGAGACTGCCGACTTTTCATAGCTAACCATCTGGCTGGACTCTTTCTCATAATCACTCAGGATTTTATTTGACGTCAGACTCTCCTGCTCTGTCACCCTCGCAAAGAAGATGCTATCATCTGCAAAAAAAAAGGGAAACATTAGGAGCCCCAACAGCCGGGGGAAGGCCGTGAAGCTTGCATGCCTGCACCGCCGCCATGGTGGACATCGAGAGTCCTTCCGCACATTAGGAACAAATACAATGATAGCGGGTCTCACTGTCTCAATCCTCTCTGTGTGAGGAAAGTCATGGATTTATGTCCATTGACGAGGATTGAGTACGAAACTGTCTAAACACAAACCATAATTTGTGCGATCTACCTCTCATCAAAGCCCATCCTCCTCATGATCCTTTCCAGAAACCACCATTCCACCCTATCATATGCTTTAGCCATGTTGATCTTTGTTGCGAAGAACCCCACTTTCCCTTTCTTCTTCTTCTTCTTCTTCTTCTTCTTCTTCTTCTTCTTCTTCTTCTTCTTCTTCTTCTTCTTCTTCATAGAGTGAGCATTCAAAGGCCTCCATTATATCATCGATGATATACCTACCGAGAACAAAAGCCCTCTGCAATGGGGATATCACCATATCAAGAAGAACCTTCAGTCTGTTCGCCAAGACTTTTGCTACCAGCTTATACAGAACATTGCACAAGCTGATCAGTCTAAACTCTTTTGCATTTGTTGGATTCTTTGTCTTTGGAATCAGGGCAATGAGCGTATTATTTAGTCCACCTGGCATAACTCCACTCTCAATGATCCCACACACCATCGCCACTACATCATCACCCAGAATATCCCAATGCTTGAGGAAGAACAACACCGAGTGTCCATCTTCCCCTGGAGCTTTCGTGCACCCATCTGTTTTAAAGCCGTGAAGATTTCATTTCTCAAAATTGGCCTCAGTAACTCATTGTTTGCTTCGGCACTCACCACAACCCATATTGAATCAAGGACATTAGTTGTTGTTGGTATCTCGTTGGCCTCGAAGAGCTTACTGTAATAAGTTGCCAAGCATTCTATCGCTTTATCATTGCAGTGCCAGCATCGTCCACTAACATCCTGTAATTTCCCAATTGTGTTTCATTTTTTCCGTGCTATTGCTTTCTTATGGAAAACCTTTGTATTTTGGTCTCCCTCACATAGCCAATCAGCTTATGATCTCTATTTCCAGTACTGTTCTTCATTGTCTTCAAATTCTTCAAGTTTCGACTGCAATTGCTTCCTCTGCTGAATGACTATATTTGTCTTCTCCGCCAGATCCAGAGCCCTCATGGCCCGCTTCAGTCGATCCCTCTGCTTCAAGAAGCGAGGAAAGACTCGGCGACTCCATTCATCGAGCCTCAACCTGCACCCTCTCAATTTTTCCATTGTGCTGCCTGACCTATGTTTCTCCCACGTCTTCTCCACTACTTTACTACACTCATCATGCTTTGTCCAGTACGGTTCAAATTTGAAGGAACAGCTTCGTTGCGGCTCCACATCTACTTCGCCATGGGTATCACAAACAATAGGTCGGTGGTCAATCAATCTTTATCCAGGGGAAACACCCTTGCTTCCTGAAAAAGTGCTCTCTAGCCCGCAGAAGCCATGAAGAGATCCAACCGTTCCTCGATGAAACCACCTACTTGTCGATTATTCTCCCACGTAAAATCGTATCCACCATAGCCCAGATCATGCAAGTCCTCTCCAACCAGACAATCCCGGAAAGCAGTCATCTCTGCCTCAGTTGGTACCTGTCCGCCCCTCTTCTCCGCCATAGTCAGTATTTGGTTCAGGTCTCCGCAGCATAGCCATGGGCCCTCCCCTTGTGTGGCCAACTAGTGGATTAGCTCCCAAGTCCTTTCCTTCTTCCCATCTTTCGACCACCCATAAACACCTGTCAGGCGCCAAGCCCCATCATGCTCATCCTCTACCTTCATGTCCAAATGGTGCAAAGAATCCAACATTAACGTTAGCTTGAACTCCTCCTTCCTCCACAAACATAAGCCACCTGCTCTCCTGCCTCTAGATGTATCCGTAGACCAACTCTCTTCTCGTATCCCAACTCAGCCCTCAAGATTTCATTCTCCTCCTTTGTCTTTTTCATCTCCATTAGGAAGACCACATGGGGGAAACCTGTCACAAGAGCGACTTGAAAGCTCTAACTGCTCGCTTGTTTCCCAGTCTTCGGCAGTTATAGCTTAAGATTTTCATTGATGACCAGAAGGGGATAGGTTCCCCGCACCATTGTTTGTAGTGACCTTCTTAACACCTTGTTCGCTCCCATCCTTCTAGCTACTTGTCATCTTTCAATCACTCTTGGTCGTCTCCTTCCCTGTCAACCCTCCTTGTTTTCCGTCCTTAACCATTCCTTTTAATCCCTTCTTCACATTTGCTGTAAGGGAGGCTCCAATGATGGCCTTTGGTAGCCGAGAACCCCTCGCCCATTATTCATCTCCTTATGCTTTCCACCCTCATTCTGCCCCCTCCCCTGCACCTTGTCACTCCCATCTTGTGTCCGGTCAGTGGCCCCGAGGAATTATCTAGTACCTCTTGCGCTCTCTGTTATTTCATATGAACTTTTCCCCCTTTACGCTGATCCCTACTTTTCTCCCCATTATCAGCCCGCTCCTCCCTTTCAGGTATCATATCAGAAGCTTCCTTGTCTTGGAAGACTTGGAACTAGTTGCTGCGATCACCATCTCGTCTACGTCCATCACGTGCGTGCATGGCACTCCCATAAAACATTCCACCCACCCTCCTACCAGCTCTTTGGTCTCTCTTTTTAACCACCATCCATTCACCTAATACTCTGCCCTTAGCTTGTTCTTCCATAGGTGACCTCGTGTCTTCTTCAGCTCCACTCACCTCGTCCTCCAGATTTATTAACTGGCAAACACACTTCCTCCCCACTTGTCCATAAGATCCACACTCACTGCATATGTTATCAAGTCCCTCATAGCGTATGAAATACTCTTTTCCTTCAATCTTATATCACCCGAGCAAAGGTTTCGTCAAGTCTACCTCTACGCATACTATTGCATATTTCATTCTAGCTCCCAGTTCTGTAGCTCTATCAACTCGGATTGGGTCCCCAATCAACTCCGCAATATGCATTACATCTTCTCGGTTGAAGAACTCCTCCGGAATCTCCAGCAAATGCACCCAGACTAGGGTCGACGTTACTTGAGATTTCCACGGGTTAAAACCTTTAAACCAACGATGTACTGCCAAGTAAGTATCTCCCAGCATCCAGGGTCCACCCTCCTAAGGAACATTAATCCAATGATTTAATTACTTGCGCTTTAAAAGAGATTTTTTTCCAAGTAATGACAAGGTCCGACTTCTGATCCTTGAAACCGACTCCAAACTAGCGATTGAACTCATTACCAGCCGAGAAAATCAAGTCCATCCTCAGGTTTATAGCGCAAGATTTGATAGTTCGATTGGTCCATACGTACCGGGAAGGGAATAGAGTCGCAGACTGACTCTCGAAGCACAGTCTCGTCTATCCCTTTGGCACACATGAACTAATCGAACTACCAAGAGAGATTGAGAGACTACTAAGAGAGGATACGGTGGGAGTTAGCTTCCCTCGCAGGTCCGACTTTTGATTTCAGGCTGTTTGCACCGGGCTGTTACTTGTTACAGTGGGAGCTTGTTCCCCTGGACAAAGACAATCTTGTAACATGACTCTGTTTCTTTTGTGTTAAACCTCCCTTTTCTAAAAAAAAGTAGTGACAAGGTAAAATAGTTATAACCTCTACCCAAAACCCCCAAAACAACAACTAGTGAATCCACCCTACAAAGTCAAAGGAAGCTATCTCTACAGTGGACAACAACAGAGCTTGTCTTGCCACTCTATGAGAAGCCCAGTTGACAGTCCGCGGGACCGAGCTAAATTCTATACAAGAGGAACAAGAACGCAACAGAAAAAAGTAGTCACGAAGCAAGGTCCCTCCTACTGAGTCTTCACAACATCTACCTTCAAGTTGGCGAACGTCTACTTCAGAATCTACTTCAATAATGACTCAAGGAATATTTCGGGATAGCACTAGAGAAATGGCGTCCCTGGCCGCAAGCATCTCTACAAGATAAGGATTCGACACTCCCGGATGTTAAAACCCCAAGGCCAAAGAAACTTGCCCGTCTGTCCCTCGAAGAACGAGGCTGGACGAGCAGCCTGAAATACAAGCAGCATAGTCAAAGTTTATATTGATGAAACCTTCAGGAGGGCATACCTAGGTGGCGACATGGGAATGCGCTTGGCGAGGTGGTGGAATCTGGGACTGGAGGGAGGCTAAGGAGTATTCACGAACTTGGAAAAAGATTTGACGGGCAAGAGAGCTGGCTAGTGGTTGAGTGAATTCAAAGACCACTTTATTTCTGGATTTCTAAATTCTCCAAAAAAGACAAATGCAGGGGATAGAGTGGTTTTGGAAGCTGTCTGAAGTCATAATATGTCGCCACCAGATACCAAAGTTTTCGGTTGGGGCAGAAAAAATCAAACCACTTAATCCTACCATAGTCCAGAGTTGAACTGCAGGTGGACAATGGAAAATGAGGTATTTTATACTGGACAACATATAAGGCAATTAATTCCACGAGAACTAAGGGCCACCATTGTTGGAAGAACTACTTTCAAACATTGCCATAGAAAGAACTTTAGCTTAGGTGGGATGTCAAGCGCCCAAGTACTTTACCAAATAGGAGGGTCTATTATATGAGCCACTGATTTCCGACTAGCTATCAAGATATTTTCCAAAGCAAGATTATAGCCTGTTTTAACCGAATAAGACCCATTTTTTGTGAAATGCAAAATTTGTTTATCTTGTTGCGGTAGTATGGGAACTACCATCTTACAAATGAGTTCAACTGATTTTTTCGTGAAGTAATACCTTAGTCTAGGAACATGCCATACCCATTGTCCTTCTCTAATGAAAAAAGATACACTTAGACTATTATTGGCTTCTTGAGACCTCAGATCGGGAGGGGAGGGCTTATCAGATAATAAACAATTATCTTTGAAAGCATCTATATCTTTTCCATCCCCTACCTGCCAACGCATTCCTTGAGGGAGGAGATCTCATCCAAATAATATGCTTCTCCACCCCCAAGAAGGGTTAGAGCCTATGGAAGTGTTCAAGATTGTACTTTGACTGAAGTACCTTCCTTTATACAAACAGCTAAGAAGTAAGAAGTGAGTCGGGATTTTACCAAATGCGCCAGCAAAGCTTAGCTAATAAAGCTTGATTACATGCCCTAAAATCCCTAAAACCTAGTCATCGATGGAATTTACTTTGAGACAGACCTTTCAAGAGACCCAGTGGATTGGATGGTCAAAATTATGAGAGGATCCCCACCAAAACCTTGCCATATGCCCATTTAAACGTCGACAAAGTGTCAACCGGGAACTTAAAGCAAGACATACCGTGGACCGGTATATTAGTAGACGAAGTCTTGATTAGAGTATCTTTGCCAGCCTTCGAGAAGGTATACGGTTTTCAACGTTGCAACTTTTTGCACAACTTTTCCTCAATAGAGAGAAAGTTATCCTTTTTAGTTATTGGGATTATGGACGTGAGACCTAGATAAGAATCTTGCTCGCCTATAGACCCAACTCCTAGCTGATCTCCCACGATATTTGCATCCTCACTCTTAGTATTTCTACTAAATAAAACAGCAGATTTGGAAAGGTTGACTCGCTGGCCACTTAGTCCTTCATATACTTGAAGAAGAGATAAGAGGGTCGTACAAGACGCTTGTGAAGCTTCTAGAAAAAGGTATGAATCTTCAACAAAAAAAAAGATGGGAGATCATAGGACAGTTTTGGCGAATCCGGACACCTTCCAAGAAACCCCTAGTTACTGCCTGATTTATCATTGCTGGAAATTCTTCCGTACAAATTGCAAAGAGCAGAGATGAGAGGGGATCCCCTTGGCGTAGTCCTCGAGCTGGTTTGAAGTATTCTGAAGGAGAGCCATTAACAAGTATGGAATAGGAAACAGTAGTGACACACTCTGTGATCCATGCCATAAATTTGTTATTGAACCCTAATTCCTTCATCATTTCAAACAAAAATGGCCACTCAATATGATCATAGGCTTTCTCCATGCCAGCTTTAGGGCCATCCATGATTTCCTTCCTGAGTACATAGTTTTAAGATGATGAGTAATCTCAGGACTGATCATGATGTTATCCGTTATCTGACGATTTTTAATAAACCCATTATGAGCTTGAGATATGACTGAAGGGAGTACTTTACTAAGCCTGTTGGCCAGTATTTTTGAGATAATTTTATAAACTACCTGGCAAAGGCTAATAGGTCGAATATGTTTCATGGTACGGACCTCTGATACTTTCGGTACTAGGGAAATCCAAGTCCGGTTAAAACTCCGCAACATATGTCCAAAGTGAAAAAGGCTAGAACTACCTGGATAACATCATGTCCAACCACAAACCAGTAGTGTTGATAGAAACCTACGGTAAATCCATTTGGACCTGGAACTTGGGTTTTACCTAAACTAAACACAACTGATTTAATTTCCTCCGGGGTGATTGGTGCTATTAAACCCAGATTTTTCTCTTCCGTAAGAGTATTAGTAAATGGTAGATTAGAAAGGCTAATACCCCCAGGTTTTGACTATGGAAGAGTTCTTGGTAAATTTTTTTGGCAATGCCACATTTCTCTACTTCTGAAGTACACCGGTTACCTCTTTCGTCCTCAAGTCCCCAGATGATGTTATTAGGCAGAGGTGACCAAATGAAAGTAAGGTGTGTTTTTATCTCCTTCTTTTAATCAAGTAGTACGAGACTTCTGCCTTCAATAAATCTCTTCTCTTTTTTATTGGATGGACAAATTCTCCTCAAGGGATTGGATTAAAATTCCAATCACCTGTTTGGTTGTTTCTGACTTTTTCAAGGGCTAAGTTAAGATCATTAATCAATATTGCTGAATTGGATTGACCTCCCTTGCACCAATCTACTAATGAGTGTCTTACTCTCAGTACTCTAGAGAAGAGGAAAAATTGTACAGATCCTATAACTTGTAGTCCCCAAACATAATTTATAATTAGCCCTGCTTTTGGCATCTTTGTCCATCGGATATCAAATCTGAATAACCTTTTAGCACGAGGAGCCATGACACATGTAGTGAGTCGTAAAAGACGATGATCTGAACCTTTATCTGAAAGATGGTATAGACACGTGTTGGGCCAAAAATTCATCCAAGCAGGTGAGAGTGACAAAGGCTCTATCAATTCGTTGCTCGATTGTAACACCGTTCCTGCCCCGATTCGTCCAAGTATATTTAGGGCCTTGATATGGAGGCTCAAAGATGCCAGTTTGGTGTAGAAATCCCACAACGGTCGGGCTTTGTCCATACGCTAAGTTGCACCCCCTATTTTCTCCGATGGAAATAACGAGAAATTGACATCACTTATAATTAGGTATGCGTCGGATAAGCCGGTAGAAAATCTGTATACTTCCTCTAATTGTTCTTGTCTCTTTGCGATGACGTAAATGAGGTAGACCCCGATTAGAACGAAATGACGACCCTCACCATAGAAAGAGGAGTTATTATTGATGATAGAGATGGTGATAAAAAAAGAGGTGGACCCAATAACAGACACGGAGGCCGCACGTGGCCAAGCAAAGACTAATCCCCACGACATGCCGGAAGGATTTACAATATGACAATAAAAAAAACCTAACGAGAAAATAAATGAAGAAACCGTGCTTCTAGATGACATGGGTTTTCATCACAAAATAATTTACCTAGCCCAAAGGATTGGGTTGGTTCCTGCATTTGCAATGGAATCAGCTCTTCTATGACTGAGTTTCTCTCAGTACTTCCCTGCCTATTTCTCATTTCGGCCTGACCTTCTCCAACCGGCCCACTAGCCACTAAACATCCGACCCATGAAGACTTGTAAATGGTCTTCTACTCGGCCAAGGTAATAGCCCAATAGCAGCTCTCTTCAGCCCAGCCTGATCGCTTCCTTCAAAGGGTGTGGGCTTGAAATTTCCTTTTAAAAATTTCTAATATGATTCTCATTTTAATTTAAAATGTAAAATAGATCTCCTGGTTGGCTGGTTACCCTCTAACACTTGTCCACCACCTAAAACCGTATGATAATCTAAAGGTCTAAACTAATACAAGAAACTTGTTGAATTTTTAGATCAAAGTACATCAAAGAAAGAAATGACTTGCATTCAGAAAAGAAAAAAATTTCCAGCGAAGTAGGCAGAGTACAATCATAACCAACAAAGGAGCTGCTTACGAATGTGTGTATATTGAGAAGGGAATACAATATTTGTTCGAAATTAATCTCCGCTGTATACAGCATTGTCATTTGATTTCTGCTCTATTACCTCCATTTGCCTGTTTTAAACGACTTAATCAGCAAGCACTTATAAATAAATGAAATACAGAACAGCAAAAAAAGAAAAAAGAAAAAAAAAAGCAGCTGGCCCAACAGTCCCCCTTTTTCAACACTCTCTCCCTTTCCTCCCTCTCTCTTTCTCTTTCACTGTGTTGACCAAACCCTTAACTTGCCTCCTCCTTCTCCCCTCTCTCTCTCTCTCTCTGTCCCTTTGATGTATACGGTGATGGATGATCACGAAGCAGAGGAAACCGGCCGAGGATTCGAAGACAACCGTCGTCAGATTACGATGATGATGGAAGCAGCAGAAGAAGAAGGAGAGGGTTCGGAGGAGGAGGAATCGGCACAGGCGGCGGCGATGGTGATGATTAGGTCGTACGAGTGCACCTTCTGCAAGCGAGGCTTCTCCAACGCGCAGGCTCTGGGCGGGCACATGAACATCCACCGAAAGGACAAAGCCAGGCTCAAGCACTCTTCCTCCTCCTCTCTTTCCTACAACTACAACGAAGCCGCCGCCAGTTCCAACTGGTCTTATCATTTGACTAGTTATCCCCTCAGTTTTGGGACCCCGGCTCATCATCATAATCCTCCTGATATGATGAGGCAGCAGCAGCAGCAGCAGCAGCAGCAGCAAATACTACTTCCCAGTCTGTTCGCTGATCCGTACGCGCTTCCAGTTGCTGCTGATCATCATCATCAATACCAGTATTCGAGTAATTACGCGACGAGTCGTCGTCGGACAAGCAGTAGTTCGGCGTCTACGTCGAATCCGGAGCTAGACCTGGAGCTCCGACTGGGTCTGGAGCCTCACCATGACCCGGAGCCCTCGCCGGCGCCAATTCGGGGTACTAGGAAGTTCTTTTGAATTTTGAAAACACACAATCTCCCTGAATTTTGGTAGGGACTCCTCTCTTTCTCTCTCTTTCTGTGTCTGGTTCATGGAATCCATGGGGGTTCATAACTCATGTTGTCAGCTCTCAGCACCATCATTTATTGCTGTATTTTCTGCCTCTGTTTTGCTCATATACTCTCCGATTAATTGCTGTTATCTCTACTTTATCAGCTATCATATTGTCTTATTATGATAATATCCCTAGCTAGCTAGCTAGCGCTGCTGAAGCTAGGTTCCCTAATCATGTGAATTCGGAGTTGTCCATGAAATCAAAATACGGCGTCGGACAGCCCATCGCAGACAGTCAGATTAAAAACCCTTAATTAGTTAAGGCAATCGATCCATGTACCACTATAGCGAAAAGGGATATGTTATGTTAGCTAGCTTACATATATTACATGTATTGTATCTACTTCTCTCTCTGGCTGTTCAAACGAAACGAAATCATGCCCTAGCTAGTTATTCATGTAATAAATTCATTAGCATAATTAATATTAGCCACTTTATTAAGTACCAGTGCGTAATATTGCTTATGATATGATCATCTTAATGGTCACTAGTGTTTGTACTTAATTCGCGTCGGAGCTTTAATGCCCTATTACTGAATAGTCCTACGAGATATCATATCAAGAAGCACTACTGCATATATAAGCTAGCTAGCTAGGTTTGTTAAAAGTAGAGTGCTTAATTGATATGATGATATCATGGGATGGGATCGATGGACACCATGCATGCATATATATATATATATATCATAATTAAAAGCGCACTTGTGTTAAGAAAAGGAAACCACAAGTACAACTTGTTGTGGTGAAGAAGTAGAACTCAAGATTGGTGGTTCCACATTTAATTTATGAACGAGGAGGAGTCATGAATGGAATGCTAGCTCTCCTCTCCAGGGTCGTCCAAAATGAATTATGCACTACATGCATCTAATATATGTGGCATATATACTTTGGGTGTGGGTTGGTGCAATTTTGAAGTAGTAGTATTATTTTATTTAGGTAAGTAAATTTATCTTAATCAAGGTTTGGAATTTTAGAAACATATCTAGAGTCCCGGGTTTAGCCATTGAGTTTTATTGATGATCAATAATACATATCCTAAATTTCAATTAATCCATTAATCTAGATATAGCGCCATGCATCTTACTACAAGAATTTCGTCATATATATATATATATATATATTCCAAATTGCAGTGGAAGCTTTGGGTGGCAGTAATGGGGGAGACAGGCAGATGGAGAGGAAGTTAATAGACGCAGCGATTCCTTGTGGCCGGCCGGTATGATATATATATATAGAAATTACTACAAGTCAAGAAGTAGGGTTAGTGCATGCAGATGCGGCCGCATTAATGGAGAATGTGTGTGAATGTCGGGATGGCGCACGGGGCCTTTGCTTTGGATGGCTCCGTCTTAATGTTACCACCAAAGAAAGAACGTACGTGCGTCGTTAATTAATTAGAGTTCCAAACATTGATGAAGCTGCCGCAGGATGTGTGACTCGTTTCCTTCCTTCCTTGCCTTCCCAATTTATTTACATCTTCTTCCTCTACTGCGCTACACTGATCTCTACGTCCTTTCAATCTCGCTCATTAGTATTTGTTCAACGTTAAATTTGAGATAAAAACTGTGAGGTATGGGTCCTTCAAACTAGCATGAATTGATAGTATATATTATTTTACAGGAAAATCAAAATATCAACTAATACTACATAGTATAGAAAAATACGTCCTATACTCCTCCTGTTATTAAATTACTGAAAAGTATTTAATATTAATTTTTAACTATATACCTTCTAAAAAAATGTTGGGAACTTGGATACTAACAATTTAATTTAACGTGTTATATTTCTTTTATTTTTTTTATCCAAGATAAGTCCCTGGCCATGATCGGACAACAAAATATAAAACTAACAATAATTACCAACAACGATAGTCTTTAATCACCGGGATGATTTGCATAAAATAGTTTGTTTGCTACTAGGTGGACAACTCCATAAAACCTTTTTAAGAGTATAAAGACACGAAACTAACTCAGATGAGAGAAAAATGAGAGCACTATTATCTCTTCATGAGAGTGATAAATCATAGCGATTACGTCCAAATACTAAGGCAACGAAAAAGAACTCTCCAGAATAAAACAAACAAAATGACCCGTATATGGAAATACAAAAATCTATTGTCCAAAACAACAACAAAATCTGTTGAATATACAAAAAAAAAAAGTTCAGGATCAGTTGAAATTGCCAAATTTGGAATGTGAAAATTACATGTAAAATTAGAACAAATTTAAGAATTAGAGTAATCGCTCGTTCGAATTTCTGGCTTCCCCACAACCTAGCTTAAGCTAACCGCATTTTCTTCAACATATCCACAAACTTAATTGTTCTGAAAGTGTGCCACCAGTTTGTGGCGGTAGAGATGGAACTGGGCAAATGAGATCTTTGCCTGAACAATAGAGACTCTACTCGTGCCTCTTCCTTTTCTCCTACCTACTTCTTTAATTTGGTGTGGTAGCTAGCTTTTGATGGTACACTGTGTTGCACATCTATCCTTGCCATTTCCGAGATCCGTAGCCTGTGCAGGAGACATCAAACCCTGAATCTGGCATTTCATACCTAGATAGATAGATAGATAGATAGATAGATAGAAAAGCTCTTGCAAGTCTCCCTTAGCCAACACATTCTCCTTATTTGGTTTCCCAAGAACTGATTCTGCTGGCTGAACAAGTGAGTTGGACTCTGGTTCCCTTTGACTTGTCCAGGAAAAATTAGCGTGGATCCATCAGCCAGGATTATATACGTATGCAGCTATGAATTCCCTGCGAAAGATGTGAAATGTTGGGCAGGAAAACGATCGACCAAGTTTCCTCAATTTGATATATATTCAATATCTCCACTATCGGCTGGGAACTCGTCGGAGGTTTCAAGTGTGACAAATTGACAATGAAGGCTAGCGATCGCTTTCCGCACGAACGAGATCGGCGGCCATGTCAGCCTCTGCAATATTTCTTTATTCTCTGGGATTCCTTTTGTCTGCCCATTTGCTCCTCTACTCAGTGAAATGGACTTCCCAAAATAGACCACCTCCCTACTTATTTACCGATCCCGTCCGCTAATCGCTCCTTGAGAAAAAAAAAAAAAAAAACTTGCTTCTGTCTGCCAAAATAAGAGAAACGAACGAGGAAATATATAAATAATGGATTGCGTCGTTATACGCTTGTAGTTAGGTCTAACTGAAAACAATTGTAACATTTTCTGCGACTTTGTTGAGAACGACACTATAGTTGGTTTGTGAAATTGTATCGGACAATTTAGTGTAATGATATTTTAGTTGTACAATTGATAGTAAATTAATGTAATATTATTGTTAAAATAAAAACTAATATTATATTGGTGTACGAATAAGGGTTTGGTAATAATACCACTAGTTTTGAAATTGGAGATTTTAAGTTCGACTCTCTTAATTAGTACCTTAACCACAAAAAAAACCTATCTCACCCTTATATATAACAAAATTATATTATGTTGGTGAATATCATTGAAACCGAATTGCATTATGGCAATTAAAAAATTAATTGTAAAATCGATCTATATGATTTTCATAATATTTGTATTTTGTACAAGTTTGATTGACGGTTAACGAGTTTTATAGTGTGACTAACATACAATACCTATGATATAATAATGATTTGGTCTCTATATGCAATTGAAAATAGTGTACCTTAAATGATATGACATTTTGATATATTTCGAAGAAAATTGAACAATCAGAACTGTTAATTTTTTCTTACCATACTCCAAACTATAATTAATTCATAGTTTAGATTGTATATGATTATTATGATCACTTGGAGTACCGTACTCCAAAAGTATAACAATCAGACTCACTACATGATTTGGTCTTCGGTACACTCAATTTATTGGCACATTCATTTTATAATGATGTCGATATTCACTTGTGAGATGAATATGATGAACAAGAAAATGCATGAACTTGCACATAAATCATTAAAGTTTTATTTTGATTTGAAGGATTCCAAGATTTTGGGATTTGAATGTAAAATTCAAGACTTATGATAGTCCATGAATTAGTTGTGATCTTATACTATATAATCATATTGAAATAATGATGGCAAATAAAGTTCAAAATGCAATATCTTAATGTTAGTTTTAGGATTAAGGGCATATTATACACTCATATATATCTTGAGTTTACAGTAGAAGCCACTTATATGATTTAACTATTATTTGATTTAGAATTTGTGACTTGGCATGGCCCATGCTTGATGGGTGGAGAGGCTTCCATGACCATGAGTGCGTTGGGCCTGTTATTTCTGACCCAACCCATGCCTCTGTAAAATTGGGTAATCGGCAAACAAAGGGAAGGGCGTGTCTTAACTCTTGATCCCCACTCGCAAACTCGCCACCATGCCTTCCCAACTCCTCGTCGACTCGTCCTCTCTTCCCTATTCTTCATACTGTGTCGCGTCTTCTTCTTCCGTCGGGAATGCCAATCATCCTGAATGGCGACTTACGCATGTGTGCTTCTCGCACAGAGCTCTCTTCCAATCGGCTAAAACATGTCTTCTCCCACGAATCAGCACGGTTGTGCGTAATGCGAGGAGCGCCGACGGCGGAAGCAAGGGAGATGGCAGGTGGAGCCTCAGTGGGCAAACAGCCCTTGTCACCGGCGGGACTCGCGGTATTGGGTATGACATTTCCCATTGACACCGCTCGCCGGGTCTGGTCACTTTCTGCCTTCAATTAATCAGTAACTTCCTTCTGAAATCGAAAAGGGATTTGTTTTGGCGTTCTTGTTGTTCTGTAGACGGGCCGTTGTGGAGGAATTGGTGGGTCTTGGGGCCAAAGTGCATACGTGCTGCAGGAATGGGAGTGAGCTTAGGCAGTGCTTGGAGGAGTGGGAAGGCCTGCTGGGGTCTGGAATCAGCGGCTCCCTCTGTGATGTCTCTGTTGGTGAGAAAAGAGTTGAGCTTATGAGAACAGTGTCCTCTGTCTTTGATGGGAAGCTCAATATTCTCGTAAGCTTCCTCCCTCGTTGCTAATTTATGATTAAGTGAATCGATTGAGAATTGCCTGTTTTTAGCTTTTTCCTTGACATTTATGAGCTGCAACTTAGAACCCTTTAGGTGTGGCATTCATGGAAGATCTGTGGAGGTAGGGATACTACCACGCACAGAGAACCCTTTAGGCTTCCTGAGAGATATTTTACAATGCACGAACTTTTGAGGGTTGGGCTTCTTTCCTGCTCTGTAGGTTAACAATGTTGGGACGAATATTCGCAAGCCGATGGAAGAGTTCACACCAGAGGAATTTGCTACTCTAATGTCGACCAATTTCGAATCTGCTTTCCATTTAAGCCAACTAGCTTATCCACTTCTGAAGGCCTCAGGACAGGGAAGTGTTGTCTTCACTTCTTCTGTGACTGGTTTCCTGTCGTTGAAGTCGATGTCTGTTCATGGAGCAACGAAAGGTAAACTGCAATCAGCCTTCTACTTCGAGGGCTGAATATGGATGCATTGTTTCATTTGAAGGGCTTTCCTGACTGAGGATGCAAAGTGCTTTGATTGATGCCCAGGAGCAATCAATCAATTGACAAAGAGTTTGTCTTGCGAGTGGGCAAAGGACAACATTAGAAGCAATGCTGTTGCCCCATGGTACATCAAGACGTCCATGGTGGAACAAGTAAGTTAGTTTCCTTCTTTTTTTCCACTATCCTGATGATCAGTTATAAACTTGTTTTACTCTGAGCTTCCAGGTTTAGTTTATATGATTGTTGTCACTGATCTCTCACCACCTGAAGAGAACGCACCTGCTCACTCCCTTCATCGATTTATTTCATCACAGGTTCTTAGCAATGAAAAGTATCTAGAGGAGGTATACTCGAGAACTCCTCTGCGGCGGCTGGGAGACCCAACTGAGGTATCATCCCTGGTTGCATTCCTTTGCCTGCCTGCCTCGTCTTATATCACCGGTCAGATTATTTGTGTCGATGGAGGCATGTCTGTTAATGGTTTCTTCCCCAGCCATTCTTAGAAGCTGCTACTAGTTTGGGTTCCTTACTTTTTTGGACCAAGATTGTGGTTAGCAGAAGTAGCTTCCATTCTGGGGCTGAGCCGGCTCTTGCCACCAAGTTCCATTCTGGCTGCTAATTTTTCTGTTTCCTTTCGAATAGTAATCAATTGTAAATCGATTCAAATTGGATGAATCAACGGACTGTAAGTTTCTTATCCGACTTCCCTTAGCTGCGTACCAAGCTCTTATGTGGTAATTTTACGAAATATCACGTTTGGATGAATTATAATTAATGGTATTTACAATCAAATTTTTTATTTTATTTTACCAATTTGTCATTCTTAACCCCATTTCTTTCTCGTTTGGTCAGCGTGTGTATGCTTGGTCAACATGCATATGTTTGAGTATTAATTTGTACTAAGTTTTATATGTTGTATTAATATAATAATGTGTTTTTAAAAGATTCACATAAATTGTAAAATGTTATAAATATACATTTTAAACGATATTAATATGCATGGAAATTACAATTTATTTTAATGTAATAGTGTGTCAAGACATTGAGTTACAGACTTACAGTTACAGTTAGTTATAATTAATGTAATAAGACGAGCAACCAATTAATGGTCACGTGAATAATTGGGCAAAATAGATAAAAAAATGATGGGTTAATACCTTATTTTGGCCCGAACAATGATCATATAATCAACTTTGGCCCGTAGTTTCACAAATTAACATCCTGGTCTCAACTATGCAGCATATATACTCAATTGGCCGGACGTTTGAATTTCCGTCAAATTAAACGGTCAACACAGTTGACCGTTAATGAATTAGCATCTAGTGCTGACGTGGATGCCATGTAGATAATATAAATTAATAAAATATTAATTATTTAATGAAATTAATAAAATAAGCCAACAAAGTCCTCATCCAGAGATGCTTTCGCCTCTCTCCTCTTTCTTTTTGCTTCTTTCTTCATGAAAATCACAAAGTTCGCTTCGATTAGGGTTTCTATGGCAGAACCCAGGCAGAATACGGTGTCGATATGGCAGCCGGTGGCTATGAAATCGCTGTATCATGCTCTATTGGAGGGATGGAGTCGAGTTTTGCTCCATGATAGAGGAGTTTGCCCTAGTTTGGGAGAAACAGATCTGATCCCATTGTGGATGCGTTTCAATGAGGATTGGAAGATAAGGATCTCATGGAATAATCTCTATCTATTGAGTTACATACAAATTCGGGAAAATAGTGGGATAGACACAAAGGAGTCTGCTTGTAGCACGGTTCTTCGGCTGGCGGAGAAGTGGAGCTATATAACTATGCAAAGCCGATTTCAATATCAAGGGCTCCCACAACTGCGAAATTGTTCTCAGCATACTTGTGAGAGAAAGAAGAGTAGTCGCCGTCGATTTCATGGCGGAATTTGGCCGCGAAAACTTCTGGAAATAGGTACGGGTACCTTTGCTCTGGATTACTCTAATATACATGTTCAGATTGTCGATGTTTATTGTTGGTAGCTTCATAGGAGCTTTTATTTGGCTTTTGTATTGTCAAACCCAGGACATGGATTCATAGACGAACATGTCGAAGACTGTTGAAGGGCTGAACATGCCGATGGCCGAGGAAGCGGTGAACATGTCCAAAACTGAGGAAGGGTCGAGGGTATGCCCGGCTGATCAAGTGGTGGAATTTACTATGGAGGATGTGGCAATTGGTATGCAATGGGCTGAGTGCAGTCTCTTAGGGAGGCTATTCATGGAGAATCGTCCCAGCCTTTCGGTCATTCACAAAATTGTGTTTGGGGCTTGGAATTGCAAAGTCACTGTGTTGGAGGGGGAGATGGGCTTGCTGCAATTCTTTTTCATGAATGATGCTGATAGAGATTGGGTGTTGGAGAGATCCCCGTGGCCAGTGAAAGACAGGATCCTGCTTCTTAAGCCTTGGGCACCGATCAAAAGGGAGCTGGTGGATTCTTTTGCACAGGTACCGTTTTGGGTGCAAATGTGGGGTATTCCTCCACACTGTCGTACCGTGGATTTCGGGAGAAGGATGGCGAGTGCTAAAATTGGGGAGGTGCTGGATGCTGGAGTTTTTGCCATTGTGGAATGCCTGGACACTTTATCAAAACTAAAGTTAACCTGGATGTGTTCCAGCCGCTTCGCTCTCAGGTTTTTGCTAGCAATGAGGCGATAGGTGAATTTTGGGTTACTATGATATATGAGTTCCTGCCTCTATTCTGTTATCATTGTCGAAGGTTTGGACATACTGCTGCCAGTTGCAAGTACCTAGATCCGGAGGGTGTGGAGCATTATGGGCTAGAGTTGTCTACAGACATTGTTGGTCACAAGCTAGATGAGGAGACATTCCTGCCGGTCAGGATAGGGATACCAGTGAAGCAGTCTGTTTGGGTGAATCCGGACACTAAGGGAGCTAAGCCCTCCGGCAGTAGCTCAAACCAGGTGCCGCAAGGTGGGGCGGAGGATGTTGAGATGATGGATAATGGTCAAGAGCCGAGTGACAAGCTGCCGCAACAGGCTGACCCGAGAACTCTTAATATGGCGGGGGGCAGATACAAACAGAAAGTGAGGGGTGCTGGTCGGGGCACTTCATATGGCAGAGGCTCCTACAGTCCTATGGAGGAAGAGGATACTCGAGGAAGAGGAGGCGAAGGATATGAACGTGGCAGAAGCGGGGGTTATATTCCCGTGGACAGAATTTCCAACATGGGTGGAACAAAGGATCAGGCAAACACTTTGCTGGTCATTTTGTGCAGAAACAAGGCAGGAGAGTGTTCCGAGTTGCTTACAAACCGACTGGCGGTGATCATATTAAGCAAGGTGCTGGCTTGGGTGACTAGAGGGTTGCGACGGATGGAGCTGGGAAGCATGCCTCTTTTCAACAGGAGGTGGATGGAGCAAATCCTCGCTACAAAGAGACGTTCAGGATGGTTTCTCCTGAAGACAGTGATATGGCTTGTAAGAGGTCAGCTGATATGGTGGATGGCCTATCTCTGGATCCTACACCTTTGAAGAAAGCTTGTATTGACAGCAAGGAGTCAGATAATCAAAAACCGAAATCGGTGGAGGTGGCCAGCCGTAAGTGGGCCCAAGAGGATAAATGAAGATGTTAGCTTGGAATGTGCGGGGAATAGGGCCTTCCCTCACATTTCAATCTCTGCTAGGGCTCTGTAGGTTGAATAAGCCAGATTTAGTCTTTTTGTCGGAGACTAGATCGAGTAGGCGAGTAGTTACCCACCGTATGCGCGGGTTAGGTTTGCATTATTTCTTTCTTGTTGATGCTGTTCAAGGGTCTGGCGGGTTAGCCATGGGTTGGGATGAGGGGTTGGATGTTACATTGTTGCATCATTCTTCTTTATTTGTTGCTGTTGGAGTTAATAATAAATTTGATGGTTGTTTGGAGTATGTGCTGGTGGGAGTGTATTTGTCTTGTAATGCTAATATTCGCTTGCAGCAGACACTTCAATTAGAGAACTACCTTCAAGATATTGTGGTACCCTTTTTGATTGTGGGTGATATGAATTGCGTGTTGAGTAGGAATGAGAAGGAGGGTGCTTCTCCTTGGAATGTCGATTCCAGTATAGCTATTAGGCATTTGATGGACCGTTTTGGCTTACAGGATGCAGGCTTGTCCGGACCGCCATTTACTTGGACGAATAGGAGAATGGGGGATGCTAACATTAGAGAAAGATTGGATAGGGCGTTGGTGTCCCAGGAGTGGATTGAAAAATTTCCGGCAACTTTGGTTAGACATTGTACGGATTTGGGGTCGGATCATCGTGTACTTTTGGTTGCGGATAAACCTTTTGTCAGAATTTCTCGCCCTCTATTAAGGTTTGACGCCCGCTGGGTGGAAAATCCAGAAGTGAGACAATTAGTCAAAACGGTGTGGGATGAGCAGGTGAATGGTTCTCCTATGTTCATATTGCGGACCAAGTTAAAGAAACTGCGTCATGGGTTGTACGATTGGTCAAGAAAAGGCATGACTAATTCTTTGCGAGCCATTAAGATACTGCAGACTGAGATTGAAGCTCTGAAGGATCTTGGTCAGGTGGACTGGGATCGTGTGAGTGAGATGGAAGCAGAGCTGACCCGTCAATAGGCTGCGGAGGAAGTGTATTGGAGGCAGAAGTCCCGAGTGAGATGGTTGAAAAAAGGTGGTCAAAATTCATCATACTTTCATACGGTAACGAGGTCCAGACGACGGCGAAATAATATTGAAGGCCTTCGAAATGCCCAAGGTGAGTGGGTGACTGAAGAGAAGGCCAAAGCTGATGTGGCGGTTGATTTCTATGAGACTTTGTTTAGATCGGAGAATGTTGTTGACAACATGGAGGAAAGTGTTGTTGGGTTGCCAATGGAAAGCGTGGTTTCGATGGATATCAACAGCAAACTCACTGCCGCAGTGCTCCCAAAGGAGATTAGACGAGCGGTATTCTCCATTGGACCCACCCAAGCTCCAGGGTCTGATGGGTTTACCGGAAAATTTTATAGAGCATACTGGGATATTGTGGGACAGTATGTTGTTGAGGCTGTTCAGTCTTTTTTCTCGACGGGAAGAATGTTGAAAAGTTTCAATCATATGTGGTTGACTTTAATCCCTAAGGTGGATGCAGTGGAATCAATGAAACAAATCCTTCCTATTAGTCTGTGTCAGGTGTTTTATAAGATCATTTCCAAAATTATGGCGGAAAGAATGGCCATTCATTTTCCCTTACTTATCTCTCCAGAGCAAAATGGATTTGTCAGAGACCGTCAAATAGTGGATAATGTATTGATAGGACATGAGATTATGCACTACCTTAAGCTAAAGAAGCAAGGATAAAAAGGGTACATGGCTTTGAAGGTTGATGGAAAAGGCCTATGATCGAGTCGAGTGGCATTTTTTGTTTGCTTTGATGGCAAAAATGGGGTTTAGTGACCAATGGATTGGTTGGATAAGAAAATGTGTGTCTTCTGCTTCTTTCTCAGTGATGATGAATGGTACCCCTTCGGGGTATTTCTGATCTCAGCGAGGACTGCGGCAAGGCGATCCGTTGTCGCCTCTCCTTTTTGTGATTTGTCCGGAGGGTTTTGCGGCTTTGCTAAGATAGCAATTATCGGCAGGACGACTGCAAGGAGTGAAAGTGAATCCAAGAAGTCCGAGTGTTTCCCATCTTTTCTTTGCAGATGACTCCTACTTGTTCTTGAAAGCTTCTATTGAGGAGTGTAATGTACTGTTGCACGTCCTTCAAGAGTATCAACTCCTAAGTGGGCAAAAAGTTAATTTAGCAAAGTCTGCGGTGTGTTTTAGCATAAATGTAGACGCAGATGATTGTGGTGCCATGGTAGCGCTCTTGGGAGTAGGTGCGGTGGGTGTGCAGGACAAATATTTAGGTTTGCCGACACTAATTCATCGGTCAAAAATAGAAACCTTCCGGTATTTGGAAGAGAAGCTTCTCAGTACAATTCAGGGATGGAAGCAACGACATCTTTCCTGGGTGGCGAAAGAAACTCTGCTCAAGGCGGTGGCAGCTGCTTTGCAGTTTACGTTATGTCGTGTTTTTTATTGCCTCGGACGTTATTCCGGAAGATGGACAAGCATTTGGCTAGGTTTTGGTGGGGGTTTATGCCTGAAGCGGATAAATCTCGGTGGGTGTCGTGGAGAAATCTATGTTGTAGTAAGTTTGATGGGGGCCTTGGGTTTCGGAGGTTTGAGGATTTCAATCAGGCATTGCTTGCCAAGGTAGCTTGGAGGTTGCTAAATGAGCCACAATCCTTGTTAACTCGAGTTCTGAAAGGGAAGTATTTTCCAAATAGTTCTCTACTTGAGGCAACGACTAGAACTTGTCCCTCTTGGGGTTGGAGGAGTATCCTGCATGGAAGAGATTTGCTGTTGAAAGGTTTGCGGTGGCAGATCGGTAATGGGGATTCAGTTCGCATTATAGAGGACAGTTGGGTTCCCGGTATGGCGGATATCTCCAGTTTAGTGTTACCGCAGGCGGCGGATCAGACGGGTATGACTGTTAGGTCATTGATTGATGTTGGGACAGGGGATTGGTGTGAATCGTGTCTTGCGGAAAGGTTCCATCCGGAATTGTGTCGTAGAATATTGGGGATCCCGTTACCGCGGATACCTATCATGGATCGGCTTGTATGGACGGCGGAACATGATGGTAGGTTTTCGGTGCGTTCAGGGTATACCATTTGGCCCTGCACGAGTGACGCAAGGAGGGTGGTTGGAAGGCTGAAGTTTCCTTCATTGATTCGTCTAAGTGGAAGCAGGTGTGGGGGTTTCCTATACCCCCAAAACTGAAGTTTTTTCTATCGCAATTACTTCGAAGGATACTTCCAACGTCGGGAGCTTGTTGGGAGAAGGTTACCGAATGCCCCAAGACATGTCCGGTTTGTTGTGATCCGTTAGAATCCCTCGAACATTTGTTTCTCTCTTGTAGGGTGGCAGTCGAGTTGTGGGAAGGGAGTGGCCTAGGAGAGGTTAGACGGGGGTTGGAGCATTTGAACATTGCATTGTTCTTCCATCGTGTCCTTGAGCGGGATTCGTCTGCAGAGAGGATGATGAGGCTGGTCACGTTATTATGGCGAATTTGGAAAGGCCGGAATTGGGCTTATCATGATCTTATACAGTACCGAACTCCAGTCTTGCTCCGGCAGTATCATGAGCAGGTTCATGAATGGCTTGCACTCCCTCAACAGGCAGCTCCTGTAATGCCGGTCTTAGTTTCTTCTTATGCGAGTCAAGGAGGGTCGGGGAGATCAGCCGCGACATTTACTTGCTCAGTGGATGGTGCAGTGGAAAAAGGTTCTCATTCGGCGGGGGGGTTGGTAGTACGGGATGGTCAAGGGAGTGTAGTGTTTGTGCATGGGTTTCTTTTTGCAGGTGGGGTATGATCCTTACGTTGCGGAGCTGTTGGCATTGCGGGATGCTATTCGTTGGTGCTCTTTGATGGGTTTCAGCGACATAGTATTTCAAGGAGATGCAAAGGCGGTTCTCGACAAGGTAAGGGAAAGAAGCCTGGGATGTCAGAGGTGGTACTATTCTTGAGGAGATTGATTGGCTGCGGCAGCATTATGTCCATTTCTTAGTGGAATTCATTGGAAGGCAAAACAATTGGGCGGCTCATTTGGTGGCTAAGAAAGCCCTTTCATTGTTTCTTGCGGGAGTTCCGGGGTTTGATTTTCGTGGTTGGTTTTAGTCAAGGTTGTAAACTTTGTTGGTTGAACTTTGTTATCTTCTTCTTTCTTGTTAGTACAAGTGAGCTTTTGGCAAAATAAAAAAAAAAATAAAAAAAATAAAAAAAAAAATAAAAGATAATAATAAAAGTCATCCTATCCTTCCCTTCCCTTCCAGCCGATTAAAAGAAGAAGAGAGCGCCGCACACTAAAACCCTAATCCCCAAATCCAAAATCCCACACACCAACAATTCTTCTTCTCTTACAACTCTCCGACTCGCTTTCAATTTCACCTCTACAACCAATCGAAATAACTTTTGCTCCTCTGTCCCCTCTTTCTCTCTTTCTCGCCGTCAGGGTTTGTTGATTGCTTCCCTAAATTCGATAAGAACGAGAAAGAAGGAGACGATTGCGAGACTTGGTCTGGAACCGCGAAAATAGCGGCGAATCTCCAACCGCCGGAGTGTTGGCGACCTCGAGCTTTTTCTGGCGCGTTTGTGTGCATCGCTGCCGCACCTCAGCCAGTGTAAGAGAAGCATGACAGAGATCTACCTGATTTCGATGTCTCTGAGAGCGAGGTGTACGTTTCGTATGGCTGGCAGCAGGAACAAGATCAGGGAAGGCGGAGGCTGTTCTTTGGTGAGAGAGAGAGAGAGAGAGAGAGAGAGAGAGAGAGAGAGAGAGAGAGAGGGTGAAGAGCAGCGATGGGGGTCGGGGATTGGACTGCAACCCCTCGCTCGTCAATTTTTTTTTACCAAAATGTTTTTGTTTTTGTTTTATCATTATTTATTATCTTATTAGATAAAGGAAATAATTTGTAATTAAAAAAAATAATTGTGTTGACATGGCAGTTATCTGGACAGTTGACTGATGGTCAACAATGTTGATCGTCCAAATTAACGGTCAAATCGCGAGTCTGGCCAATTGAGTATATACTGCATAGTTGAGGCGATGATATTAATTTGTAAAACCACGGGCCAAAGTTGATTATATGGTCATAGATCGGGCCAGAATAAGGTATTAAATGATATGGCAGTTTGAGTTAAATAAAAAGACATAATTAGAACATAAAAAAACAATAATTTATTATTTGAAAAGTACCAGCCCTTTCGTAAAATTTGTCAAATAACAGATTTATGGTATTTTGAAAATAACGTATACCAAATGTTTCATCATTTTTTCCCAACGTATTAATTAGTTGGATCAAATACCATACAAGCCATATATTTGTGTATGTTGCCAATTGCCAGCGATAGCTTTACTTGGCACTTGCCGAAACTGAGAAGCAGAGGCAGAAGAGAAAAGGCTGGGAAATGGATGCAGCAGCTACCAGCTTTAGCAGCAGGATGAGCAAGAGGTGGTCTCTCCAAGGACAGACTGCTCTCGTCACCGGTGGCACCAAAGGACTCGGGTACTCTGCTTGTTTCCTATCTTCTCTTTCCGATCATATCTTTGCCAGCTACAGATATTGTTGTCTCGAACAAGATCTTCCATTTTTGGTCTCTCAACCAATAGAAAGAGTAATAAGGATGTACGTGTTATAATTCTTGTTTCACAAAGAGGATTGAAAGCTTCTTTAATTAGTTTGTTCACGAGGCAAAGGATTTGGTTTGTACTGTTTTGTGGAATACCATGGCTTGAAAAATCTCTGTTTTTAAGTGCAGATGGTTTTGAGAGGTACGGTACGGATCCAACTTCCCATTTGGGCTTAATTGATGTTATACCTTTCTTCTTCTTCTTCTTCTTCCTTTCCCCCCCTCTTCCCAATGGCTGCATTCACGACTGTTTAATTATCAGATATGCTATCGTGGAGGAAGTGGCAGCCCTAGGGGCCACTGTCTACACATGCTCCAGAAATAAGGCAGAGCTTGATAATTGTTTGAAGGGTTGGAAAGAGCTGGGTCTGCAAGTAACCGGTTCGGCCTGTGATTTGACCTCTGCATCTGAAAGAGAGAAGCTAATGCAGGCCGTATCCTCTCAATTCAACGGAAAGCTTAACATCCTGGTGAGTTGAGTACTTCCCAGGCCGGCCTTCTACAAGGATGGTTGGATCTCACTTTTCAGCAGTTCAATATTGATCTGGTGCTGAAACTTGTTGTGGGTTGTAGATCAACAACGCTGGGGCAAATGTAGTTAAACCCACTCCGAAGTTCACGGACGAAGATTACTCCCTTCTGATGCGTACAAACATGGAGTCGGCATTCAGCCTGAGCCGACTTGCACATCCTCTTTTGGCGAATTCCGGGGCAGGAACGATCGTGTTCATGGGATCTGCTGCGGGTATCACATCTCTAAATGTTGGCAGCATATATGGGATGACCAAAGGTACATACTTTAATCACTATGTTTTGAGTTAAAGGAATCTACGCAAATCCTTCTAGGCTTTCATCATCTAACCTTTTGTTTTGCAGCTGCAATGGTTCAACTAACCAAAGATCTAGCATGCGAGTGGGCAAAGGACAACATAAGGATCAACTGCGTTGCACCTTGGTTCATCAAGACTGCCATTAATGAGAGCGTAAGTAGTGTACTCAGATCTCTTTCTCGCGCAACGGATTGATGAATGAATGGGGAGATTTATGAAGTTGGCTTGGCAGCAGCTATTGAAATGATGTAATGTAGGCTTTGGTTTTATGTTGTGTTTTGCAGTACTTTGAGAGCGAGGAGTTCTCAAAGGCAGTGAGAGCTCGAACTCCCATGGGACGAACTGGAGAGCCAGAGGAGGCGGCAGGGTTGGTTGCATTCCTCTGCCTTCCGGCGGCCTCTTATATTACCGGCCAGACTGTTGCCGTTGATGGGGGAGCCACTGTCCATTGCTTCACTCCACCTGGAAGTGGAAGGTCATGAATCAGATGGCATGTTCATCTCCTACTTTATAACCCTTCACCAGCCAATAATAATCACGTATTGAAGCATATCACAGCTCTATTACGGTGAAATCACTATTGTGCTTGAAGCATCGTCACAATGATGCTTCTTCTAGCCAAATTCATCCATCTATTTCCTACTCTTCTTCTGTTTCATATATAACTTCTTATACTGCTTATGATAACAATCCTAGCTAGATGAATCAAATTTGGTTGCAAACTTAGCTGAAACGTACCATTTGGTTATCCTTTACACGAAGGAGTAGTGTTGCTATAATTATTTTGTTTATAAGGTGACGGTATTGTGTATAATAGTGTGCTTTGAGTGTCTTGATTATCATTTTATATTACTAGTGTGTTTTGGTTTTGAGAACATTTGTTTGGTAGTGTGCTTTGAATATTTTGCCTATTATTCTCCAAGGATAAATAGAGTTTCAGGTTGTAAATAACATGCATTTGTGTATTTATTCGATCCATTGAAAATAAGTATGAGAACTGAGACCAACAATTAAACTTCATTTCATATAGTTTATGGATCTTCCATAAAACTCCACAAGACAATGGACCGAGGACAATGCTAGTTGGAATTATGGATATATTGCAAATGATTAATAAAATAAAACGAAATTTACATATATAACACAACTTGTCTCTTTATCAATTAAGCTAGCTAGCTTTTTATTCAGATTTCTCTTTATGCATACACTAATTAACCATTGAAGAACAGTTATTTTAGGTAGGTCATCAACACCATTTCAAGAATTTGTATAGCAAACTGTCATCCAAGTTCAATTCTCGTCCATTTCCAATGCCTCAGCACAACTTCATCCATATTTTAGACCTAAATTGAAATCCTGTAAGAAGAAAAATACGCGTACACAGCGTAAAGATAAAATGATTATCATTAATACAAACCGACATAAGGAAAAATAAAATAAAATTCAAACACAAAAAATAACATATACGTGACTTACTTGTTGCAGTCGATGTTGGGGTCAATAGGTACGGGGACATTGACACCACATAAGCTAGGGAGAACCTTGGCGACAGGGGGATCGGCGATAGGTGATGATGGCAGGTTTGAAGCACTTGCAGAGCTGTTGACGAATGGCTGCGGTGTTTGCCTCATCGTTCAACAGCTTAACATTGGAGCAACATTGGGTAGACGGGGAAGGGGCTTGCTTAGTGAGGAATGGCAAGCAGGGCACAACTGAAGCAAGGCACCTGGGCATGTCACGCCCGCAGCTTGCCCGTTCACTAGTGTACTTGTTGACGAGCCCATGATCATCAAGGCCAACATGAAAGCTACTGTAGCTGTGCCATTCACTCTACTGTTCACTGATGTCTTCATTGTGATTTTTTAATCTGATCAATACAACTTCTTTTATTTGAAAGTTGGAATAATTTGCTGGTGGTGGGTGCTTTACTGATATGAGATGGGGCAAAGATAGCTATGTCTGTTTTGCTTTTATAGGCATCAAAGTGTGTTGGATAATTGTGGATTTATTTCACCTATTAATATTATGGGTATCATTTGGAGAAAGGAAAACAATCTTGTTATGAATGAGATTTCATAGCATATATATTTAGCAGGCTATCTGATCTCATATCCATGCATGATATTTTCTTTTGGGTGTATTTAAGTCTAAGCGTTTTGTTAATAAATTTAATATATTCAGAGAAATCAATCTATAGAAATAGAAATGTGGGATAGTACTACATATATCATATTGGATCCTGATTATAAATTGAAAGACAATATGGTAAATTTAGCATCATAAGTAGAGAGATTATCACCTTTATTAACAGTATACAAATTTTCATGTATTCTTCTTCTTCTGTGTGTGCCTATGATACACCCTTGTTACTATAACTGCATAAACATTTTATTAACATAATTCAAATGAATCAAAATACGTTATAAAACTTAATTTTCTAGCATGTGATGTTCGAAGTAAATTGCCAATAAAATTATCGGAACGACAATGTGACAAAATTTAGTGTCATAAGTAGAAAGATTATCATGTTTATTAAGAGTATATAAATTTTCATGTATTCTTTCTTCTTATTCTTTGCGCCTATGATACACCCTTGTTTCTATAATCGCATAATTTTTTTGTCACAATTAAAATGAATCAAAATATGATCTAAAACTTAATTTTCTAGCATGTGATGTTCGAAGTTAATTGTCAATAAAATTGCCGAAAAAATGCCAACAAAAAATTGATTATGCATTTTAATGTACAACATGTTCGTCACTTTTTTTGTAAGGGTGAAATCTATTTTATTAATTAAAAATCTTGGAATTACAAACATATTAAGATATTATTGCAATCCTGCTTATGATTCACATTCATTCCTTTAAACTATCCAGATAAAGGTTGGCAATCAGTATAGAAACCAGCTTCCTCCGGCATATCTTAACTTTCCCACTTGCATAGCTTAATTCAATACACGATAGCTTAATGCTTAGCACCCCACCAAAAAATATCCTAATGTCTTACAAGTTCCCTATAGAGAAACCCTGACATCCACAAGGAAGACATTATATGAATGGGAAGGGCATTAACCACTGCCTTTAGAAATACCTCTTTCACAGTCAAAGACAAACATCGTTGTTGCAAACCTTGTAATAGGTTGCACAATTTTTTCTCCACATATCAAAACATCTCCATCTTTGAACATCAAGTTAAGGAAGAAAGGCCCAAGTTCGTATCAATAACCTCGATAGCTCCAACACCAAGGATCATACCCAAATTGCGCATAGGGCAAGACATTCTGGCTAAAACACACAACTGATTTATCAAGGTTCACTTTCCACCTACTTAGCTTCATGTGCATCTAATAAACCATGGAAGGTACGTAGAAACAAGTATGAGTCATCAACAAAGAAAATGTATGATATTTTTAGGAATCGAGGACGGATCCGAAGGCTCCTAAGGCCCTCATTTCCAAAGCCTGCCAAAAGAGAGCGACAAATTCTTTAGTAAAAATGGCAAAGAGCAACGGGGATAGGGAGCGCCTCCTAAATTAAAAGAGTCCCTTAATTGCTCAAAAATATCCCGAATAACTACCATTCTTTATGACCGAAAAGGTTGAATATGATTCATAAGCCAGAAACCATCCATTGTGCACAAAACCCATGTTTATCAAACAATGCAAATAAAAATGATCATTCCATCCTATCATAAGTCTTTTTAATGTTAACCTTTATTGTCATAAATCCCTACTTTTCTATGCTTTTTCCTCATATAGTGAATGACCTCATGACCAATCAGGACATTGTCAACAATATGATGCCTATGTAAAAAAATTCATTTTGACTCAAAGAGATAGTCAAGGAAAAGAAACGAGCTAGCATTTTTGCCAGAATCTTTGCAATGATCATATAAACCAACTGGCATAGACTAATCGGTCAAAATTGCTTCATATGTTCTACCGTGTTCACCTTCGAAATCAAACCAACCATATTTGATTCGCGTTCATTAATAGCGGCCTAATAGAAGATAAATGGCTCACCCCACTCGTGACATCCCCATGATATCCCAATATTTCTTGGGGAAAAAAAAGTAGAGCAAAGCCACCAGATCCACAAGCATGAGTTTCCCAATATGGAATACAACTCTACGGATCTCAATAGTAGTAACATGCATCATCAATTTTTCATTCATTATGTTAGTCACCATAACCTCACTAGGAAATTCAGCCACTCAAGCTTGAATGTCACTCGGATCAACACCTTTCTCCGTAAGAAGGTGCGACAAATAAGTTAGAAGCCACTTCTGCCTTTTCAGCATCCCCTAGTGTTAGTGTGTTACCCAATGCCTAGTGAACGAGAATAAACCATGTAATTTCGTCACCTTCTTGTATGTGTAACCAGATGAAGGTAGGAAGTGTATGTTTCTATCATCCTATTGCAACGACTTTATACGCGACTTTTGATGCCAGAAAACCTCTTCATTGGTATGATAAATATGCAAATCCTTCTCCAATTCCCTAATACGGTCCCAATCAACCTGAGGTTAAGAAAAAATCTTCTCTAGCCGTATTGGAGGTTCCATCCTTCGCCCACCAAAAAATAAGGTGTTGCAGTTTCTTCAACTTACATCATAGCAGAAACGTTGGTGATCCTTAAAACTCTATATCACAGACATATTTGGTCATGGGCCCAACCACCATATTATTATAGCCCATCCAGCATTAAAGCGAAAAATAACCTTGCCTATTAATGGCCAACCCCAATTCCTGACAAAATTTGCAAATTTTTTTCAAACATCGGACAAAACTGTATAATTTGAAGTTTCAGGCCAAAATTGTTTTTACGTCATATTTCCAGTAAAAATACGGTATTATCCCTTTTGTCTATTTTGTTATTGACTTTAGAAATTGAGGAAATTTGAAATTTTCGCCTCCTAAAATGACTTCCCCATTTCTTTCGCTTTAACCATGTTTAACCCGATTGAAACTCCTTCTAATAGGTGATGGTGAGGTATTTCATGGAGAGTTGGAGACTCAATTGAACCATAAAACCTTTAGGGACTAATGACATGAGAAAGAGATTGTAAAGCAAATTATTATTATTAGATATATTAATAGGGGAGTTTACTTAAGGGGTTCAGTAAAATACGGTCGGGTACACCATGAGTATTCTGCATCCGCTTTCCCCAATTACCCAACCCGTATCCTCCCTCTGATGCTTGGCTTGGGGTAGTGATGGCAATGGGGCGGGGCTGGTAAAACCCGCGCGGGTACGGGGCGGGTCGACCCACTCTTACATGTTATTTGAAAAAAATACAAATAAATTTTACTTTTTACGATAAAATGAAGGGAAAAACACTTTAAGAATGAAAAATAGTGATAATAGAATGGGTAATTGAGTCTAACAAGTTGAAAGAGCGACTCTAACTAGTTGAAGAAAAGTCAAAATAGGAGAAATATGTATAGAAATTGTAAGAAATTGAGATAAATGAGTCTAGAATGGGGCGGGGCAGGGCAGGGCGGGTCGGAAGTAGATACCCAAGCCCCGCCCCACGCTACTGCGGGTCGGGTAATACCCGCCCCATCGCGGGTCAGGTCGGGTATTACCCGCGGGGCGGGTTGAAATTGCCATCACTAGCTTGGGGGCTGCCCAAGTTGCATGGAAAGACCTTGCCTTCGCCTCCTGTTCTGTGATTAGGGTTTGAGAGATTTTACACCCGTTTCTGTTACCCATCTCGAGGTTCCCCCTTCGCACCCCTGTTTTATTCCCTCCGACTATTTACTTGGCGGCTGCCACCAGGGGCGGAGCCAGAGCAGGCCAAGGTGGGTCGGCTGCACCACCTTGGCTTTGCCACACACAGACAAGTAATAGATTTTTCAGTTCTTCATATTTTATTTATTTTAATACTCTGTTCTTGGTCCAAGGTTGCATAAGCTGCTGCTTTGATCGAAACATATATAAAGGGAACCTTGTTTATGTGTTTAATGAAAACGTCTGCGTTTTAAAATTAGTTGTAGGTTGTAAAGTGAAGTTAAAGTGGGTTTAAAGATCACTTTAACACATTGTTTTTTGATGGGCTTGCTAGAAAAACGAGTTCTCCTGGATATGTGGGCTTGAGTTTAAATTTGTGGTCCATTGGCTTCTCTTTACTGCATATGAAAACTCAATTGAAGTCAATTAGGGTAGACATTTCGGATCAAAGTCTCATTTTTCTAATGATCTTCAAAGCTTATCTTGGTAAAACCTAGAAATAACATGACAAGATATCTGTTAGATTTTAGGAGCAAATCGGAGAAGCAGAGGCACACACTATCGGGACTACCACCTCTTCGTCCTCCCAGATCGACGAAGTTTCTTTGGTGGTTAATGGGTAGGTGGTTGGCTAGAAGACGATGTTGCTGGCAACCTGATCGTGAAAATAAGGACATTACTATTTCTCATCATCTGATTCATGTTACCTATTGTCGCTTATCGGAACCTATATTACTATTTGACCCACCTTAGCGAGATTCCTGCCTACGCCCCTGGCTGCCACGGTAAGTTTTAAGTGACACCTTTTATTCCCCTTTCTCCCTCTTCGACGATTCTCCTTTCCCCCCCTATGATGATTCCCTGGCGGCTGGCCAAGTTGGGGTTGGAGATTGAATGTCTTTCCCGCCTACCTCTAATCACCAATCAGATCAAGCAAGTTTTGGAGCTTCTCCTTCTCATTGGCGGCTATCCAAGCTGCGATCGGAGATCAAAGAAACTTCTGAACTCAATCTCACAAAAAGAGATGAATGGGAAAACTACGAATGATCAAAGAGAATGACATGCTGATGGAACTATCAACTTTGAATTATAAACAAGAATAAAAGAGGAGAAAACATTGCGAACGGTGAGAGAGACATGCAAGGGAAAAGAGATGTATGGAAGCCAATGGAGCTTTTTCATGTTGGTTAACACATGTTATTGATCATCTTCACATGTAAACCACGTGTAAAAGGGAACTCAACATTATAATGGGCATTTTAGAATTTCCTAAATGGTAATTAGGGATTAATAGTAGGCATGTTGGAAGAGAAAAAATAAAAGAAGTTCCTAAATGGTTGAAGCAATTATCGGATTTTAGAATTTCCTGCTATGTGTTGTATTTGTTAGAGTTACAATGATTTTATATCATATTATGTAAGACATGTATTGTAACATTTATTTATTTTAGGCAATATTATTGATTCAATAATGTCATAACAGTCTTGCTTATATGGATAATCCTTTGCAATATCACAAAAAAATTATGCAAGTGTTAAGTAAGAATTGTGAAAGCATATCATAAGTTATATCGTAAAATTTAGTAATAGTGTATTTTGTACTAAAATTACAGTTTAATCGTGGTTCAATGGTTTCATACTGCTAAAACCGCATATCAAATCAAGTCCGGTATTAACGAAAAACAATAAAAGAATTTTTATTCTTTCCCACATCTCCCTTATTCCCCACTTACATTCGACTCCTATTGTTAAGGAACGTTGGTTACTTTGTTAGCTAAAAACTCTCACTGTACATGTATATTAACTGAGAGAAAGATCAATACAAATTACGTTGGAATTTTTCACAACAGATTTCCTTGCAATATTCATTTCATGGTATCAGAGCTAGCAACGTTCAGCTAGATCCGGTTCACCTCTATCTCCTCTATTTTTTATTTTTTATTTTCTGTTCTCGGTAGAAGATCAAAGCCCCCATCATTTCCCCTTTCTTGCTGTCCCTATGAGCTTATTTCCTCATCAACACTATGTCCGAATCTGCCATATCTGCTATCTCAACTTCCTCTGAAGCCGACTCCCACGAACTTCAACTCATGGCGCTCACAACCGGAGACCCTGCTCATGGGGCTGGATCCCATCAATTTATTGATGGCACATGCATTGTTCCTCCCAAAATGATCACCGAGGCCAATTCATCCAATCCTAATCCTGCCTTTCAACATTGGTTCAGGCAAGATAAGCTCATTCTTCACGCCCTTCGCTGCTCTATTTCAGGATCACTATACTCCTTTGTCTATGTTGTGGTAACCTCTCATGAAGCTTGGGTGATCTTGGAGAATTGTATGTTGGCCGGTCTCAGTCAGAATAATTAATTTGAAAGGCAAGCTTGTTGTAGTAGAGCTTGCTCTTGTTAATGAACCTGTTTCTGACTTGGACCTTGTGGTTCACTGTCTTTGTAGACTTGGAGAATATTATAAGCAATTCACAGTTGTTGTCCATGAATGGGGCACAATTATCACAATTGAAGATTTTCTTGACTCCCTTGTTGAATATGAAGGAGATCGACTTGAAAGAACAGGCTCGGCTGGCATCAGTATCCAACTCCTTCTATTCCAGGCAGGCTCGTCATGGTGGAGGCGGCACCAAAAATACCCCTACTTCTCCTCGCGGCAGTTTTTACTCTCGTTTGCCTCAGTAGGGACAACAGGGTTCCGGGTATGGGCTGGATCCGAATCTCCCTTCGCCAAGATTCAACATCTTTGTTGGCCCCTATTCGTCTCCCGAGCTCAATTGGTCAAAGAGGGCCCAACTCATCTTTCAATTTTGTGACCGTTTGGGTCACTCTGTTAAGCAGTGTTTCAAGCTCTTTCCCAAGGCCCAACAAGCCTACAATAAGTCTCACAATGCTCAGGGCCATGCCACATTTTCTTCCTCTACTGGACCTTGGCTAATGGATTCGGCGGCATCCCACCATGTCACCGCCTATCTGGGCCAACTTTCCTTTTACTCTGACTACATAGGCCCAGACGAAATAACAGTGGGTGATGGATCAGGTTTGACAATCTCACATATTGGTTCTTCCAAACTCTCTTTTGGGCTCAATGATATGCTCTTGCGGGATATTTTGTGTGTTCTTAATATCAAGAAACATCTCATATCATTTGCTATACTCTGTCAAGCTAATCCTGTCTCTGTGGAATTTTTTGCTACTCATTTTGTTGTGAAGAATCTTCGCACGGGGGCGCAAGTGCTGGGGGAAAACAAAGGTTATGTCTACGAATTACCTCATGAAGTGGATGACGTTCGCATGGCTCTTGTCACTACTCGGACTTCCGCCACTTCTTGGCATGCTCGCCTTGGTCACCCTTCTCGTTCATCTCTTACTAGTCTCATTCGATATTTTTCTTTGCCTGTTTTGACTTCTCTAGCTTGCTCTCATTGTGATGCTTGCCCTTCCAATAAAAGTCACAAACGATCATTCTCTATTTCCTCAATATCCTCTAATTTTCCATTTGATCTTTTGTATACAGCCGTTTGGCGTCCTTCCCTGGTCTCATCTATTGATGGTTATCGCTATTATTTGGTTATTATCGATCACTTTACTCGTTATACCTGGTATTACCCTTTGCGCAATAAATCTGATGTTTTAAGAGTCTTTCTTGATGTTTTAAGAGTCTTTCTTGATTTTCTACCACCATTCGTCGTCTCTATACGGATGGGGAGGTGAATTTCAGAAATTGCGTTTAGATTTACTTAATCATGGCATAAATCATCTACTCACTCCTCCTCATACTCCTAAACATAATGGTCTTGCTGAAAGGAAACATCGTCATCTTGCCAAAAATTGTATCACCCTTCTCCATCATGCTAAACCGCCTACATCTTTTTGTGCTTTTGTCTTCTCCACGGCTATCTATCTCATCAATCGTCTACCTTCCTCCGCCTTACGTTGTAAAATTCCTTACACTTTTCTCTTTAATTTGCCACCTAACTATCACAAACTTCGTACTTTTGGGTGTCTCTATTATCCATGGCTTCGTCCCTATTCTACTCATAAACTTGAACCTCGCTCACGACCCTGTCCTTTTCTTGGCTATTGCCCTCAACATAATGCTTATCGTAGTATCTTGTGTACACTCGTCCGGACATCGCCTACTCCATCAACAAGCTCTCTCAATATATGCATGCTCCCTCTTTGTATCATTGGCAATGTATGAAGCGGCTGCTTTGCTATATCGCCGGGACAGTTACCTTTGGACTTACTATTTGGCGCTCATCCACTCCTCTTTCCCTGGTCGCTTTTTCCGACTCTGACTGGGCTGGGAACCTTGATGATCGCACCTCCACTTCTGGGTACCTTATCTACTATGACTCCACCCTTATCTCCTGGCGGTCTCAAAAGCAACGAACAGTGGCTCGTTCGAATACGGAGGCGGAATATCGAGCCATTGCCCACACCTCCGCTGAATTAGAGGGGGTTCACAATTTGCTTGTTGAGTTTCGTCAACCACTTCCCTCTACACCAATCATCTACTCTGATAGCTGATTCTCCACTTACCCACATCTACCCGATTCTCCACTTACATTCGGTTCCTTGTAAGGAACGTGGGTTACTCTGTTAGCTGAAAACTCTCAATGTACATGTATATTAACTAAGAGAAAGATCAATACATATTACGTTGGAATTTTCCACAACATCCTTAATATTCCTTTCATTTGTACTCGATATTATCGGTCCAATAAAGCGGTAGGATATGATTTCTAAACCATGAGTGTTAAGTCAATGATTAAATACATGAATTACCTACCACATATGTTAACCTGTCACATATCATATTGCAATAGTCGCATAGTGAGTTACCCTATTGTTCATTAAGGATCGCTAGCTTCAATTATTTTGGAACCACCAATATTATTTGACTTTGTTATCATTATATGTGTAATAGTTAGAAGTAAACAATGGTACCTGATTCAAATGTATTATCTATATCGAGAGAAGGAACAAGATCATGTACTATTCACCTTGACGCAATAGTATGATTTATCGATAAGGACTCAACTACTCGATTCAATATCATTTTCCTATCCAAAAGTCTAAACAATTTAAAAGGTTAGTTTTAATGTCTAACGGAAACCCACTTTAATTAAAAAAAATATGTTAAATGTTAACTAACCAATACATATATTGACAACCCGCCGCAAAGCACATACCATTTATCTAGTATACTTTAGATGCAATGTCTTGCATAAATAGTTTGTTGTGCTCAAGCCTGTCAATGGTAAACGTGCAGAACAAGGAACGATCTCATAATAGGAAGGAAAGGGGAGGAGCAATATGGAATTCGAGATAGAATCCTATTTCATATCAAGCAGACAAAGGGGACGATTCAATATCATGATTTACCAATTCTGAGACCTGAAAGTTGGAAAGGAAAATTGATCGAGGCAACGGCTAGTACTGAGACAAGTATAAATCAAGACAAAACAAGAGAGATTTGATACTTTTCGGAGATCAATCGTGTGAGATAGCAAGAATATATTGTTGTAAGTTGATTGATAGAGAAGTGAGTGAGCAATTGGGGAGATATCTCTGAGAGTTCTTGCAAAATTGATCGACGGGGAGTTAGTCAGTGATGGTTAGAAGATCAGTCGAAAGGCCGATAGATTCAAGTATGCTGATTGTAAAGAGCCTCAAGAATATCCTTAGTGAATCATCAAGAATCACACAACAGTGATTCACCGATCGTTGACTAGCCAGCGTTGAGATCCTTCTTCTCTCAACACTGGAAACCACGTACACTCGCCTGTGCATTTCAAATCTGCAAATTTCAAGATTTAAGTTGTGTTCTTTGTTTGTTCTAATTCTAAACCTGCCTCCTACAGTATTTGATTGAAAGTGGTTCTTCAAGTCATCAGACTTTGTGTTTGTAGAATACGACATCGTTTTGAGTCTTTCATTTAACACAGGAATTGGAAGAAGAAATCATTGGATTGGTTTCTGGTAAAATTATATTGGTGGGCTTTTCATTAGGCCCACACTCCTTTGTCTTGAATCAGAAACTAGACATCATATCAAAGCTTTCTCTTTACTTCTCGGTCAGTTTCCAAATGCTATAACCTAGAAATCTCAACTGGAATTGAGAGTGGTTTTGCAGGTGATATTGGAAGAGACACGTGAGACCGACGCGCGCCACCAGAATTTACAAGTGGTATATCAGAGCAAGGTCGCCGTAAAAGAAGGTTCCATGACCTCCGGCGGGATCCAAAATGGGTCTGGCTCGGGAAGCAATGCTCCACTCTACTTGGCTGATGGTTTTTGCAAAATCGGCAACCATGGTTTGAAGGGGTCGATTATGGGTACTCGAAAAATCGTATGGAGCTGTTCATCAGATCCACCGATCCTAAGCTATGGGCAAGAGTAACGAAGGGCCCTTATGATAAGTGGACAGATGAATACTTTGAGAAGTTCCAACAAAATTGTAAGGCAACAAACCTCATGTAATATGCACTAGGCCCAAAAGAGTATCACAAAGTAGCAAGGTGAAAGACAACAAAGGAAATATGGGATAAATTATAAGTCACTTATGAAGGTACTTCTAAGGTCAAGACCTCTCGGGTGAATTCTTTAAAGCAGTAATTTGAGCTTTTCAAGATGGAGGAGAACGAGACCATCAGGCAGATGTATGAGAGGTTCACGAATATTGTCAACAGTTTGGAAAATTTTGGAAAATCTTATGAAATCAGATATTTGGTCAGGAAGATACTGTGGGGGTTACTTGAGAAATAGACTCCAAAAGTGACTGCAATCGAAGAAGCGAAGGACCTGGAAAATCTTCCCATTGATGAATTCATTGGGTCACTTGCAACACATGAAGATGAGCTGAGCATAAACAATAGCGAGAAGATGGCAGGAGACAAGGGAAAAAGTGGAATTCTTTCAAGGCAACAACCTTGAACGATGACACAGAAGATCTAGACAAAATGGAAGATGTAGAACTCGCATTGCCGAGTACACAGATAAGCACGTTACTTCGGTTGAGAAAAAAAAGGAGAGGAACTTTTGTGAATAAAAATTGTGATGCTGAGAATGAAGGGGGAACCAGATTTGGACAATCCAAGGCTACCTTCCTAAATCGAAATGAGCAAATCCAAGCTGCAAAGAATTCTACCTCAGCATGTTTTTTAAGTGCGGGAGAGCAGGACACATCAAGGTTGAATGTCCTCGGCTAAGAAATGAACGTGCAGGAAGAAGAAGATGAGGAGGAGGAAGTATATGAAGAAAGTTATATGGATCTTGATGATATACCTGAATACACACATTGCTTAAATGAGGTAAGGACTCTAGACTTCTTCACATATAGTGAAAATGATTATTATTGAGATTATGATCAATTAACTACAAGCGTTAAGGAAATCCAATTAGAGTTTAGAGATGTCAGATCAAAATACTGTCAACTAAAGGAAAATCACCTTAAACTAAAGAGTGAGTATGATGATCTTAAAAGGAGTTCAGACAATCTAGACATGGAAAATACTAAGTTAAGAAAAGAGTGTGGAGATCTTAGATTAGAGCCTGTTGAGTTAACCTCATATATTACTTCGTTAGCAAGTCAAAATGAGGAATTGGAAAACCATATCAAAGAATGTGTGGCAAACAAACGAAGTTCGGAAGAAACTTTAATATGCTACTGCAATAAGGGAACAACTAGACCTCAGAAGCAATATGAAGGGACTTCAGGGATAAACACCTTCAAGTCTAGTGAATGCAACTACTGCCATAAATTTGGGCATACCTTAAAGACATGTAAAAGAAGGCTATCAATTGTATGTTATACTTGTCACAGAAGAGGTCATACTAGTAGATTTTATAGGAATACTTTTCAAAAAAATCAGGTATCCAAAAACCAATTGACTGCTACCTGTGCAGAAATGTCTTCCAGTGAGCATGGAGACTTCAGAGTGGGTGTTGGACAGTGGTTGCTCACACCACATGACATGTAACCTGAAGCTATTCTCTACCTTTAAGTCAGGTAAGGTTTTCTTTGGGGATAACAATCATGCATACACTCTAGGTAAAGGAAACATAGGATCCAGACCTATTGTAAAAAACATAATGCTTGTGGAAGGATTAAAACATAACCTTTTATCCATTAGTCAGATGTGTGGTCAAGATAAGAGGATTGTGTTTGATTCCGATTGCTGCTATATAGAGTCAATTCAAGATAAAAAGATGTTGTTTTCTAGAAAATGAAAAAGAAAATTACATGTTTGAATATTAATAAAAAGGGCCAATTCCACTGCAACACCCGAACTATGAAAAAAATGTCACTTGTGTCCTATTCTTTTCAATATTCCATTTCTATCCCGTCGTATGATACTTTTGTGTCATTTGTATCCTGACGGTTTAGTTGACCGTTAAATATAACGGTTGACCGGACAGAAGTCAAACTATTGTTGACTTTTGCTGATTTGGAAAAATGTGATAGCCACGTAGATGCCACGTCATTGACACATCATATTTTTAATACAAAATTAATTTATATTTATAAAAGATCCTAAAAATAAAAAATCCTCAGCCGAAAAGAAAATCCTCCGCCCTTTCACCGTACACCACGAATTCCTCAAGCTACCCCTGCTTCGAAACATTTGACAGATCGAATTTCAACTCTAGATCTACGTTTCCTCTGCCGGGAGTTCATCTCCGGCTTTGTGCCGCCCTGCCACTTTGCTTCAATTGAAAAAAGTGAGACGAATATGCGATGGCGGCAAAGACGGTGAGGACGACAACGAAGAGGCCTCCGATCTTGGCTTTCATCTTCTTGGGGACGAAGAGGAAAGTAATCATGGAGATAACCAGATCGTTGATACTTGTCGTTGTCGTTGACGAAGAGCGCACCTTCTTCATCTTCTTCTTCTTCGTTCTCCGGATTTTGCTGCCACCAAATCAAAAAATCCCCTCTCCGCCGACCCAAACCCTTCACGCAAAAACCACCACCGCTCCTTCCACTTCGCCACCACTCCACTCCGGCAACCCCGATTTGTTCCTGCCGACAGGGGAACTGGGGAAGACCATAAGCTTCAGCCTGAATTAGATGTGAATCAATTGACCACATCTTCACCATCGACTATTCACTGCAGACGACCAACTATTCTTGGCAGACAACGGTTTCGATTGGGGAAGGGGTTCTGGCGACGAACAGTTTTGATGAAGGATGCCTAGCGACGACGCCTTAGTTTTTGAAAAGAAGAAGAAGAAGAGGGGAAAGGGAGCTGGTGAGTGATGACAGCCTGACGGGCAAGGAAGAGAGTGGGTTAAGGGATAGGAAGAAGAAAGAATAAACGGAGTGGATTTGAAATTTTTTAAGGGGAAATTTTTCAATTTAGGAAGTGGGAAATTGGGCGGTAATGGTCAAATTTTAAAGAGACAAAATTTTGGAAAAATTCAAAACCACAAAATCATCATAATTGTGTCGGTTACAATGAAAAGCGACACAAATCCGCTAGAAATAGTGTCTGTTAAATTTACTCGACACAAAAACATGAAAAATTGGGTTTGTTGCTTAACCGACACAAATTACTGACATAAAATAGACTTTTAGTGTCGGTTAAATGAATCGACACAACACAACCGATACTATATGCATGTTTTCTTGTAGCGGGAATACTCCAGATATCTACTCAAGTTTCAAGATCGTCCACTCTATCCTTTATTGTCTCTTTCCCCATCTCTGTTCAGTCGGTATGACATGGATATTCCATCCCTGATCAATGTAGTTGGCTGGTTGACTTGATCCTGGATCACATTTCGGTTTCTATCCGAAACCAGTTCGCATGTTCTATGCGAATATGCGACCATGCTACAACACAAATCCTCCATCCTTCACCACTATTGTCTTCAATTATCTTATCACCATCAATGTGGATCTCCTTTCTCAACTTCTCAGCATTCCCATTAGTGGTATCGTAGTCATGAATGAATCTGAATTTCCAGATGCTGAGTTCAATGAGCTGGTCGTTATCAGGACGTACATTCATGATACGGGTTGTCACTATCCTTTTTTCATATTCTCTGGCAGAATCCCAAATGATCTCAAAGTCCTTCATTACTATATTACTAGGGTATTTCTGCCTTGTTCGTATAGGCTGACAACCGTTTATCCTACCGATCAGCGGATCATGGCAAGTGCTAAGGAAAACCGAGTCATCAGCTACCCCCACTTGATGTTTGATCATATGGTGCGCTATCATGATGAAAATTATGCGGAAGCCCTTCCTTTTGCTCCCCAAATCACCTTGTTGATTCGTGGCATAGGGTAGCTGTTGCATGTTGTTGATGATGTTGTTCCCCTGCCCGAAGATGGACTCAACATTGCGGATCTTGTTGAGGATGTCTCCAACAAAGGAAAGCAGAAAGCGGTTCTACACCATCTGGATTTTATTCGCCAATCCTTTCAACATGAAAATGAGGCAAGCACCAGTGGTAAGATTTCGGAGGATCCTAAAGAGAATGAAGAGGATATCTCTGACTACATTACATCACCACCTTATCCATTCTAAATAAGTATTTAGGAGGAGCTCGGTCTTGAGTCAAGTTTAGGAAGTGAGGTCTAGAGAGTCAGTTGTTTGTTTATGTTTCATTGTCTTTCCTCTTCAATAAAGCTTAGACTCAGCTGAGCATGAGTCGTTTCAAGAGTCTGTCCTACAATTGATGCAGTTTCCCTTCAATTTATTTTTAATTACATGGAATAAATAAAAATTTCTTTTGTTTATCCTTGTGTACTACCATTTATGGTTTGGGACAGTTTGACGTAACCTGTGTGTTAAATGTGTGTAGGAACAACATGCACAACAGAAGAGGGCCATTGACCGGCTTAGGGGGAGATTGTTGTGCTCAAGCCCGTCAATGGTTAACGTGTAGAACAAGGAACGATCTCATAATAGGAAGGAAAAGAGAGGAGCAAGATGGAATTTTATATAGAATCCTATTTCAAATCAAGCAGGCAAAGGGGAAGATTCCATATCAAGAATTACCAATTCAGGAAACCTCATAGCATGGAAGGAAAATTGATAGAGGCAATGGCTAGTATGCGGACAAGTATAAATCAAGACAAAACAAGAAAGATGCGATACTTTTCGGAGATCAATCGTGTGAGATAGCAAGGTTATATTGCTGTAAGTTGATTGATAGGGAAGTGAGTGAGCAATCGGAGAGATATCTCTGAGATTTCTTGTACAAGTGATCGATGGGGAGTTTATCGGGTAGAAACAGACTGATTGACGGGGAGTTAGTTACTGATGGTTAGAAGATCATTCGGAAGGCCGACAGATTCAAGTGTGTTGATTGTAAAGTGCCTCAAGAATATCCTTAGTGAATCATCAGGAATCACACAATAGTGATTCACCAATCGTGGACTAGTAAGCGTTGAGATCCTTCTCTCAACGCCGGAAACCACGTAAAATCTCCTATGCATTTCAATTCTGCAAATTTCTAGATTTACTTTGTGTTCTTTGTTTGGTCTAATTCTAAACCCGCCTCCTACCGTCTTTGATCGAAAGTGGTTCTTCAAGTAACCAGACTTTGTATTTGCAGAATACGACTTCGTTTTAAGTCTTTCATTTAACACATGAATTGGAAGAAGAAAAAAACCATTAGATTGGGTTGTAACGTCCCAATCCTTTCTAACCAAACCGAAATAACCATGGCTCCGGAGCCGATTTAAAACAATACTCAAAACCTCAAAATTTTCATTAAAACAAATACAATTGAATCATTTTCAAATGAAATGCCCTAAACACGTGGTTAAACTCAACCCTTAGCCATTAAAACAACACATCTTGAACCTCCAGTATATGCTCATAATCATAAACAAAATATAACTAATCAACTTTAGCTCCTCGCTGAGCTTCCCTCGATCTCGTCCACTCTGGTGCGACTTCTCTCCTCGCCTTGCCTCTTCCCGAAATCCTCATCTGCTAACCCTTCCTCAACCTGGTGAGTGAGAAGGGGTCAGTCTCGTCGTTACTTCCTAAGGTCTTTGCCCTAAGCAAACCCTTACTAAACACATTATTAGCGGGTTTCCTCTCTTAGACAAAAGCCGTTTTCGCTTTCATCCTTCAAATTTTAATTTATTAATCACTAACTTATGGAATATCATTACTCCTAACCTTATCTTATAGAAGTTATATACTTCTATCATTGACACTTTATTCCAACATAACTCATAGAAGTTCTCGACTTCTATCCTTAACTAAAAAACAAAACACTAGGACCACTGCGTTACCTCTCGCAGCGCCTTGCCTCTTCCCGAAATCCTCATCTGCTAACCCTTCCTCAACCTGGTGAGTGAGAAGGGGTCAGTCTCGTCGTTACTTCCTAAGGTCTTTGCCCTAAGCAAACCCTTACTAAACACATTATTAGCGGGTTTCCTCTCTTAGACAAAAGCCGTTTTCGCTTTCATCCTTCAAATTTTAATTTATTAATCACTAACTTATGGAATATCATTACTCCTAACCTTATCTTATAGAAGTTATATACTTCTATCATTGACACTTTATTCCAACATAACTCATAGAAGTTCTCGACTTCTATCCTTAACTAAAAAACAAAACACTAGGACCACTGCGTTACCTCTCGCAGTCCGGTGTCCTACCCTAGTATGCCAACCGCGTTACGTCTCGCTGTCCGGTTGCATACCCAAACTTGGCAATGGCACGACATTACGTCTCGCCGTCCAGTAGTGACCCCAACATACTCAATCAACTGCTGTGTTACGTCTCGCCGTCCAGTAGTGACCCGACCATCTACTGCGTCCAGTAGTGGCCCAACCGCCCGGGGGTTCCTCATACCATCAACCATACAAACATACATTCATACATACACAAGCACAACACGTGCCTCCACCTTAAGTAGGCGGTGGGATGCCTCACACACATTATCGCGCTTACTTGAAAAATAACAAACATTTAAAATATTAACCCGCGAGTAACAAAAAAATCGGAGTCACTGTTCCTTAAGAAATTTTCGGAATTACTGTTCACAGTGGGGCATGAGCTGGATGTGGTCGATTCTAACTGCACCCATGTATACCATCTTGGGATAGCCAAGCATGGCCATTGATTAACATATTGGCAGGTCAATCATGACCATTGGAATCTTGCCTTCCTTCTATCATTCTTCTCTCCTCTATATCTATTCCCGTTCCCTCTGTCTCCACGTTCTTCTCCTCAATTTCAGATATTCTCTATCCTCTGGAACTCCTTTTTTCTCTCCTTGACTTTCCCATATCCCCTTCCGCAATCAATTAGCCATCAACATCTATTCCTCTTCTGAGATAAAATCGACGAAAGCGTAGAGCCCCGACGATGGCGACGCCATTCTCCTCTCTTATCCTTGAGGGCATGAGGATTTTGATTTGGAATCAAGCAGAAAAGAACTGCGAAGGTGAGTTATTCCTCTTCCTACTTTTATTTTTCTTGATTTGCTGATGAGAAATTAAAAGGAGCAAAGGACAAAGTGAATCAATAGCATCACTTTTAGTTTAGGGCAAAATGGTGCAAACGATCCCTGCTCCCTCCACTTCTTCTTCTTCTCTGAGCATGTCGAATTCACTAACCAAGGCTTCCTCTTCCTCTGCTTGGCCATTCAAATTTTTTCTCTTTTCTACCCATTACAGATTCGATGATTTTATATCACCCAATTGCTGTTTTATATCTTTCCCTGAATTTGAGAGGGTTTCTGGAGTGTCAACGGTGCTCTTAAGGTTTCTAGAGAAGAAGAAGGTTAGGATGGAAAATCTCGGGAGCTTGGCTTTAAGTATGACAATTCCTTACACTCCCTCTGACTCCCCATTTTTCTTCTTAGATTGAGAGGGATGGTGGTCTCCATTGTTATCAAGCTTTAGGTTTGTCAATTCCTTACATTCCTCTTTGTTCTTCATTCTTCTATACAGTTGGATTGGGTTACAACATGTTGGAACGACTTCCAATTTTAGTAGTCTCTTGGATGTATTTTCTGTGGTAGTGGTCCAAGAACAAGCAAAACATCAGAGAAGCGAATTGCATTTCCTGGGACTGGGAATCGGACATAGATGTGAGTCATAATGGTCATGTTGTACACAATTTCAGTGATTGGTTTAGCAAGTTTATAATCTAATCATCCAAGAGCTTTTCACAAGAGCCTTCTCTATAACTCTATTGCTTTTACACCGAGTTACTTACGCTAAATGTGTTGGTCATCTAATGCTCTTTGCTGTTCGTGCATCAATGTCAATGACTAGCTAATTGGCTTGAAGAAGGATAGTAAATCTGCATGCTTAAACTTGGCCTGCAATTCTTAAGGCTTGATTCAAAACAGTCAACCAATGAGGTTATTTATCTATGTGTTGCTTCTTTTATCCTTTTATGTTTTCTTATTTAATCTTTCTATTGCTTCTATTAGGTACATGCATGTACTTTTAAGATATATTGACCAGCGAGAATTTCGCTTCACTAGCTGCAAGGTGATGATGGATCAGTTGAAATTAGAGTTTTTTCTTCAGTAGGTGATGATTTTATGAATGTTGTTTTAGATGGATGAAGGAGTGCCACACTATTACATTCGAAGTTCTATCGCTGAGTGATGAGTTACTGGATATTAAAGACATCAAACTCAATATGCAAACTGATTTAAAGGTTCATGTTTTAAGACACTAAAGATGGTGATGCCTGTGATGTAGATTTAAACTATTAAATTGACAGACTCATCATTGAGATATTTGAAAAAGGACAGTTTGTAGTAGGCAGATCTTTTCCAAAGAGGAGTAGAAGTTAAATTGGTTTCCTTCGACAGGAGAGAATGTATACTACTGGCATCCGTAAATAATGCCGAGGACCGAGAATAAATGGTGGACAGGGCGGGCTCATGTGTTCCTGAAATTCTTGGTTGGGATAATGGGTTTAATGGAAATTAATGTTGAATCATTTAATGTTCTTTACCCTTCAATTCGAATTGGCAAAATGCAACGTTTCCTTGCATAATATGAATTCCAAACATTCATGATTTGAATATGAATGGGTCGAATTACTTATCTCTCGGTCTATTAGTGAACTATCTTAGCATATGATTCCTATTGATGAAGTTTAGGGGAAAGATGGCCACAACTTTATTGAAGTCATTTTCATAGAGCTCTCATTGAAATCTAAGTAACTAATAAGTTTATGCATTTCTTGATAATATCATTCCCGTTGCGAAGCACGGGCTAATTATCTAGTAATTGAATTAAAAGACATAAACTAAAATACCTCGACAAAGATTTTACCCCCCCCCCCCCCCCCCCCCCCCCCCCCTACACTCACCTTGATTTTAAAGCTCCATCCTTAGGTCACGTCGTTGTCTCTTCTACAATTCATACTCCATGCTAGACGAACAGCTCCATTTGATTCCACAAGTCATCTAAACCAAATCAAATTGTGCTAATTAAGAGTTCTGAACTTTGAAGTTCCAGCAGGGACCTTCATTCTAGATAGGTATGCTCTCTAAGCATTGGGATTGAACGATTAGCATTCAACTCATGGGACATTGTCCCATCACGTGTCGATTCCCAAATACCACACGCATAATCCTCCATCATGCGTGCGCTTAGCAATGCATAACTCACGTTATTTCTTAAGGATCTTAGTCCCCATTAATTCATAAGAAAAGGATTAAACATCCAAATAGTGCCAAATCCCCACAGGTCCATTGATCATCAAATCCAATCCGAACCCACATCATATAAATATAATTCAATCCACCCATGTATATTACCTCACGTAGGAGTTCCAGTTAATCTCTTAACGATTTATCTCATGCTTTGTCTCACTCCTATTAATATAACTGTGGTAAATGAGTCTAAGTGGAATATAAAGGAAAGGTACGATCCTTACCTCTCAATGGATTTTCTGAGACAAAAGCACTGTCGTCTCCGTAGGAATGCTTTCACCACCCCACCGCCATTGATCTTCGTTAAGCCTCTCAACGTATCTTCCGACATCAACAATCCCAATCCTTGACCCAACTCTCTCTGTCTATTTTGTCCACGTACAACTACAGCCAATCGTTGTCAGGGGCGACGGCATCATCATCGCCAGAAATGCTCCCACCGTTCCATTGTAGGTTCATCACTACTGCCATCATCATCCCTTTCAACGTCCTTCCTTCTCCATCGATGGGTTCCCGCATTCAACGGCGATAAAGATCTACCGTGTTATCTTAATCCTCCCGGACTAAAACCCGGCGTAGGCTTTGATGCTGAGCTGCTCACCACTACCAATCGGCCTGATGGTGTTGGCGACGTATTGGCCTCGCCATTGGAAAGCTTGGGAACGCAGGGACAAAGCAAAAAGAAGCTGGGGAGTTTCTTTCTTGAGGCTTCTTCTATTAGGGTGTGGTAAAAAAACGTTGGGGAAGGAATTAATGGGCGGTGGGTTACGGTGAGAGTGGGGTGAGTGTAACAGCAAGTGGGATTAATTCCTTTTTTTATATATAATAATAATAGTTATTATCATTACTTTCTAACCAGGATTGTAACCCTTTGTACGTAACCGTCGATTCATTTATTCGGTCGAATCTTAATCGAATCCTAACCTGAAAACGGGTGTTACATGGGTCTTGGTAAAATTATATTGGTGGGCTTTTCATTAGGCCCACACTCCTTCGTCTTGAATCAGAAACCAGACATCAGATCAAAGCTTCCTCTTTATTTCTCTGTCGGTTTTCCTTATGCTCTAACCTAGAAATCTCGAGTGGAATTGAGAGAGGTTTTGCAGGTGATATTGGCAGAGACACGAGAGACCATCGCGCCACCGGAATTTACATAGTTGTCCAGACTTTCCATGCCGAAATGCAACACTGATTATATTTTCTTGTACAAAAGAGCAAAAGGAATAACTAGATACACCTATCTAGCTACCCAACTTGAAGAGAAAACCAATATTATCATTGAAGTTATAGAGTATTGCCAAAGACACAAAACAAAAAACAAGAAGAAGAAATTTGCATGTATAACACAACTTGTGTCTTTATTAACTAAGCTAGCTGGCTTTTTATTCAGATCTCTCTCTCTATGTATGCACTAATCGACAATTGAAGAACGGTGGTTTAGGTATATCATCAACGCCATTTGAAGAATCTGTATAGCAAACTCTCGTCCAAAGATCCATTCTCATCCATGCCTCTGCACAACTTCATCCATATTTCATACATAGACTGAAATTCTGTAAGAAGAAATATACAATTACACATACATAGCATAATGATTACCGTTAATCAAATTTTGTTCACGCACAACACTATATACGTGACTTACGTGTTGCAGTCGATGTTGGGATCGATAGGGACGGGGACATTGACGCGACATAAGCTAGGGAGAGCCTTGGCGACCGGAGGATCGACACGATAGGTGATGGCAGCAGGTTTAAAGCACTTGCAGAGTTGTTGACGAATGGCGGCGGTGTTGGCCTCATCGTTCAACAGCTTGACGTTCGAGCAACATTGGGTAGATGGGGAAGGGACTTGCTTAGTGAGGAATGGCAAGCAGGGCAGTAACTGAAGCAATGCACTTGGGCATGTCACGGACGCAGCTTGCCCATTCACTACTGTACTTGTCGACGAACCCATAATGATCAATGCCAACATGAAAGCTACTGTAGTTTGCTGGTGGGTGATTTGCATATACGAGATGGAGCAAAGATGGCTATGTCTGTTTAGTTTTTATAGGGATCAAAATGTATTGGATAATTATGGATTTATTTCACATATTATGCGTATCATTTAGAGAAGGGAAACAATCTTGTTATGAATGGGATTTCATAGCATATTTAGCTATTTATCTGATCTCGTACTGGATCCTCATTATAAATTGAAAGATCATATGTTAAATTTCACGTTATAAGTAGAAAGATTATAATAATGTTTATTAAGAGTATACAATATTTAATATATTCTTCTTTTGTGTGCACCTATGATACACCCTTGTTACTATAATTGTGTTTTTTTTTTGTCACAGTTAAAATGAATTGACATATGATCTAAAATATAATTTTCAAGCATGTGATGTTCAAAGTAAATTGCCAATAAAATTACTCAGACAAAAACTTGGTCACGAATTTTAATGTGTAATATGTTTGTCACTACTTTCTTTTGTAAGGGTGAAATCAGTTTTACTAATTAAAAAATCTAGGACTTACAAACAAATTAAGATACTATTACAATCCAACTTATGATTCACATTCATTCTTTTAACCTATACTGTTTGAGCCAAGACACCCTTGTCCCACCGACGGTGATGGGGCCGATCCGACTTGCAACACAGGCTCCAAGATCCTGCAAAACGGGCGCTTAATGGGCTCCGGAAGGCCCGTTAGCACTCCAACGCTCAAGTCAGTGCCAAATCTAGAGAGATATATAAGTGCTATCCCAAGTTTTAGTGAGAGAAGCCAACATGCGTAAATGCCTACCGAGCACTATTTATACTCGTCGAGGTCCCGACCAAGCTCCTGGAATTCAGCCCTACGTCATTGTCGCATTAAATGCTTAGTATTACCCAACGGTCAGGCGCCTACACATGGCAGCCTCTGGGCCTCCATGAGGGGGCGCCTAGCAGGGACCACGTCCTCCAGGTGGCATCTCCTCTGCTCTCTTCTTCGTACAAGTTTGTCCCCATACCTAATTTTGTCGTCATGCACCCTTTTCCCCCTTGGTGGGCTTGACTCTTCCCCTTGGGCCCAAACCAATCAACCACTTAATGGGATTGGGCCTGAATGAACTCATACCTACTTAGGGTTCATCTATAATGACCGAACAATTGCCCCCCAGTTAGGCGCTCATGGTTGGTGATGAGCGTCTAACTATGAATAGCAAAGGAAGAACTGCCTCCGAACCACTCACCATGCGTTTGCACTCTGTTTCCCCTTACAGCGACCTATAACCCGAGCACCCTTCCTCTTGTAAGTGAGATGCAACGTCTGACCCCTGTGCCGGTATCCACCATTACTTTGCAATCTCCCCTTTGCCGGTAGGTGCAAATTCTCTAACCCAACTCCTTGGGCCCCTGAATATGCGTTTTGTCCCCCATTCTTCGATTCCCGGACTATTTTGGGTCAGGCGCCCATTACTTAGGCACCCATAACTCAAACGTTGCTGCTTGTAATCATTCAGGGGCCTTCCTAAAACCTACTGCATACGTCAATCCGCCTCCTTAGACGCCTCTTTCGATTCGCTTACTCAAACCTAATGCTATACCTAGGAGCCTCATTGACTCGTTGATAGAAGAAAGGTTCTATCGGATTTGATATTTGGGAATTAGGGTTTATACGAACAGAATTAGGGATTGAGATTAGGAGAGGAAGAACAGAATAAAGAATCGGCTGAAGCCTTGGACTAGGAAAGAAGAGAAATTAGGAGATAGGGAGAGCTTAGGGTTTGGGGAAGATAATTCTTTAAATGATTTATGCTTAATAGAACAAACGACCCATAATACATATTTATAGCTAAATACTGGAAAAAACCTAATAGAGTATCTTAATTTGACTCAATGACTACTACCAATCTAATAATATCCTAATTATAGTAATAATAATTATTATGATAAATCCCAAGAATTGGGGTTCCATCACTCGTCATATGCATACCCACCTTAGGCGCCTCCTTTGATTCGTATACTCAAACCCGCCGCCATACTTAGGTGCCTCACTTACTCGCCATACGCATATCTGCCCTGTCTCCGTGCGCTTTGAAAATTAAATTTACAAAATTTCAATTTTTTGGGGATATTTTGAAAATTTAAATTTCAAACGGACGGTGTGGATTGAATCTGATGGTGGACACGCATCATAGATTTGCCCGTTGGGCTTCCCCTCCCTATAAATATCGGCGGCCGCCCCCCTTCTTCCTCAATCGCAAAAACAACTTCCTCTCTCTACCTTTCTCTCTCTAACCGTTACTCACTAGGCGCCGATTATCCCACTGCAAAATAGACCAAGCCGCCCAAATCAAACTCAGGCACCTCATCTGGCAGTGCCTCCAAAGGCAAGGGCTCGGCGCCGGATGTTATTGCGGAATTGGAGAAGCACTTCTCACCCGATCCTAACGGTGAGTCAGAAAGGCGGGTGGTGAGTGTGAAGAAGCCAAGTTCGTCACCAGACCCCACCGCCGCGTCGGCGCATATCATCTCGCTGGTTTCAAACAATAGGGAGAAGGAGGTGGAGAAGGTGGCGCCTCTCGTCCAAACATCGAGTGAGTATCTTTTTTTTTAGCAGCTCGTAGGCGCCCCCTTAGCCACCTAGGACTTAGTATTGACCCTTCGCCGTTTGCGTCGATCCTTATAGGCGATGCGCCTGGATCCCCACAGTCATCTGAGTTGGTGATGTTTCCGATGTCATCTGATAAAGGCGCCCCGGATGATGGATCGATCAAGATGAGGCATTGGGCGGACACATGGCCACCAGGGCATGCGCCTGAAGAAACGAGTCATATGACGATTGCGGAGGCGGGACCTCACCAAGTGTCGACCATGAAAGTAATCGAGATAGAAAACATGGTTGTTTCCAACCAACTTCCGCGGACTTGGACCTTTGCGCCTGCGCCCCGAATAGCTTGCATCGGTGTTGTTGGTCCGCGTTGGCTTGCCATCTACCGAGAATATTTTTCGGTTCGGGCTGCGATTCCCCTTGATTCCATACTCGAAGGGATCTTGACCATGTGTCGATGTTCAATTGGGCGCTTGTCCCCCTCTGCTTTCCTTAATCACATACTCTTCAAGCTAAAGTGTCGGCACAATGTCAGACCCACGTTCAACCTTTTCCACTATTTCTTCCAAATGACAAAAAGTGATAACTGCCTCTCTCTTCAAAGGCGCCTAGACATTCCCGCTCACTTCCTGTTAGAGTGCCCGAAACTAGAGAGAGAGAGAGAGATTGGTTCAGGGCAGTTTTCTTTATGAAGGCGCACGCATAATCGTTTTACGAGAGTGGCGCCCAGTTCACCAGAGGCTGGGCAGTTGGTGACGTCGAGGAATTCAACAAAGTGGTGACCTTGTCCTCGGCCGAGGAAAGAGAGGGCGCTCGGCTTTTGACATTACACCCTGTGAATTTGCGCTCCACGGCTGCCTGGACGTCTATTTTGCATGAATATTACCGTGATGGTGGGCGCCTGCTTATTACACTTATGCATGTGTTGGTTTTATTGTTAAGTTGCTAATCGCCTGTGTTTTTCTGACTTGTGTTTATGCAGGCGTGGATTTCACCTCGGTTGCCTCATTGATGAAAACTCGGTTCTCACAATTGGGGGTGGCGCCCCGGACAAGCGAGGCGAGAAAGACAAGCAAGGCGGGCACTTCCAAGGGTGCGACGTCAACCAAAGCCGATACCGCCACTGAGAGACAAGCGCCCAAGCCTGTAGCTGGCAAAGAGAAAGGGTGCCCAAGCAAGGGGGAGAGGTCTCCCCGAAGAATCAAACCGAGCAAGGTACCAAGTGCTCCTCAAATCGATGCAGCGGATGGACCGACAGAGGGATGGGAGGCGCCCAACGCCGTGGAACCAACGAACGAGAGTCAGGCGCCCCTCATTGACCTATGGCTAGACTCTGAGTGCCCTGATGACAATGTTCCTTTGAGTAATAGGTTGAAGAGAAAGGCAGAGGGTGCTCAAGGTGATTTGGGTAAGAAGCCACGCTAGACCAACGAAGTGGATGACGAAGTGGAAGTGCCCAAGTCGTTGGAAAAATGGCTCCAACTCCCGAAACATAAGGTGATTGTCGTCTGCTCTGATCGGGCTGTCTTGGAGCGTGGTGCTGCTATTTAAATGGCCTTGGCGGCAACCGATGTGCTCTGGGCGGCCCTCGACCTAGATGGAGCGGACCCGTGGGGTGAAGTGGCTCGCGTGAGTGCCCACGTAAGCGTTCAACTCTTGCGCTTTTTATTTTACCTTAAATGTAACGATTGTCTTTGTTGCTTGGCGCCCCTAGATGCTACATGTTGCCAAGAAAAGAATAATGGAGTGTGAAGCGTTGCGCATGGCGATCAACGAGGCGTCCACACAACTCGGCGTGTAGCGCGATAACCTTGAGACAGCGCAGAAGCGTCAAGAGGAACTTATCAAGATGTGCGAAGATGCGCACTTGGAGGCTGCAAAGAGCGCATCCCTTATACAACATATAGTTGATGAAGAGAAAAGGAAGCTACGCGAGGAGTACGAGGCGCAAATCGAGGCCGATCGAATGGCGCACCACGAAGTGGTGGCCAAGTTGGAGAAGGAGAAACTAGACTCGGAGCAGGATTCAGGCGCCCAGAGAAGTGAAATTGTCATTTTGCTTCAAGATAAGAGTGCCCTGAAGAAGGAGAATAAAGTCTTGACGAACGATAATAAAAGGCGCTTGTCGGAGATCAAGGCGCTTAAGCAAGAGGAGGCGCTAGAAGCACAATCAGCGAACTACGCCAAGTCACCCGCTGGCCAGGCGCTCAAGGCAGAGGCTTCCCTGAAAAGCATCCTCATATTAAAGAAGAAGTTGGAAGCTGAGCATCCCGACCTCAACTGGGACGTTACCTCAATGGTGGAATATGTGATAGCATACATGGAGAGTGGGCGCCAAGTTACGGACGAGGCGCCTGAAGAAGGTGACGATGAAGAATCAGAAGATGGCCATTCTAGTTCTGACACCGGCGGTAGTGGTTGGGCTGGCGTGGAAGAGTAGTGCTCTTCCTCTTGTATATTTTGAGGTATAAGTTGGCGCCCCTTAAACTCTTTATGGTGCCTTGAGTTCTTTTTCTTAAAAAATGACTATCGTTTTTTTTATGGTGGGCGAGAGGAGGCACCTAAGACAATTTTTGTCTTGCCTTGTGTTGTGTCGAGGTAATGAATATCGTCTTCTTCGTGACATGATTCTCTTTTCATTCTCGATCTAGGGCGCTAAAATGCGTGAGCTATGTTGGGCGCAGAGGTATGGGCGCTATGTTTCCCAAACACTAAATTTCGTAAGTAGTTAATCTGATTTTGATAACCATGGGCACAATAAAGGGTGCATTACACACAATGGGTGCAATCAAGGGCGCTTTACAAAATAAAGGGCGCGTAAGGGCGCATTGATCCTACGGGCGCAAAAGGGCGCTTTTGAATTGATAAGTCAAAATAAAAGTATGCTATCAAAAACTAACTTCGGGTAGGCCTTCCCGCATGGAGTTACTCGCAATTAGGCGCCCGCTCTTCCACCTCGGATGTAGTACTAAGCTCTGCTTCGGTATCATCACTTGTAACACTGAACTCCCCTCCCTTGTACCGTCGCAAATTCTGGGCATTCCATATCCATTTCACTTTCTTTCCCGACAGGTGCTCCAACTTGAACGTGCTTGGGCCAACGACCTCCTAGACGCGATATGGTCCTTTCCACTTTGGAGACAACTTCTCATCGGTGTCTTTCGGGCAGAAATCTCGCTTCAACACCAGGCTTTCTGCCACGATGTCATGCGCCCGCATCTTCTTGTTGTAATACCTTGCCACCTGGCTTTTCATTTCTTCCAAACACAAGGCCGCCGCTTCTTAGCGCTTGTCCAATGGGTCTAACTCATCGACCCACCCCTGGGCATCCGTCGACTCGTCTCGGTGCATCATCCTGAAGGTGGGAACTCTCATCTCCACTGAGACTAAGGCTTCACTTCCGTAAATGAATGCAAAAGGTGTTTCGCCCGTGGCCACTTTGAAAGAGGTTCTATGAGCCCATAACACGCTTGGTAGCTCCTCTACCCACTTACCCTTGGCCTCTGTAAGCCTTGTGTGCAAACCGTGCAATATGCTCTTGTTAGCTGCCTCAGCTTGCCCGTTGGCTTGCGGGTAGGCCACGGAAGAAAACCTCAGGACCACTCCATTCTCATCGCAAAATTCTACGAACTTCTTGCAATCAAATTGCTTTCCATGGTCAGTGACAATGGATTCCGGGAGCCCAAACCGCGTGAAGATGTTTTTCCTTGTGAATTTCCGCACTTGCACCTTGGTGATTGACGCCAAAGGCTCTGCTTCAACCCATTTGGTGAAGTAATCAACCGCCACAATTAAGTACTTGAACTGTCCAGGCGCCTTAGGGAAGGGGCCCAAGAGGTCCATACCCCACTATGCGAATGGTCAGGCGCCTACATTTCCTTGCATGGGTGCTGCTGGGAGGTGTACATCGTTAGCATGAATCTGGCATTGGTGGCATGCTGCCACGTGCCTCCCGGCATCCGCTCGCATTGTCAGCATATAATACCCTTGCCTGAGCAGCACTTTCTCGAGGCTGCGGGCGCCTATATGCATCCCACAAGTTCCTTGGTGCACCTCAATTATTGCTTCTTGCCCTTTAGCATCGATGAGGCACCACAAATAGGCGTCGGAGTGTGACCTCTTGTATAACACTCCATCCACAATGGTAAATCGGGCCGACTTCCTCCGTAGGCGCCAAGCCTCCTTCGGGTTTTCTGGTACTATGCCTTGTGTGAGAAAGAGCACAATAGGCGCCATCCAACCTTCCATGGCTCCCGTGGAGAGGGAAGCCATTATTAATTCTTCCTGCGGTGCCTCCTTTATAACAATCATCGCCCTGTCCTCACCGAAATCCAAAGTCCTGGCCAACTTGGATAAGGCATCTGCATTAGCATTCTCCTCCCTTGGAACATGCGTGAATGTCACCTCACGGAACCAAGCACACTTCTTTCAGACCGAATGAACATTAGCGCCTCTTCCTTCACCTCATAAACCTCGTTCAACTGATTGACCACTAGTGCCGAATCAGTCTTGATGTTGACCTTTTGGGTGCCCAACCCCCTTGCAATATGGAGTCCAGCAAGACCGGCCTCAGCATCTGCAGCATTGTTCGTCTTTAGGGTTGCAAAACGCAACACAAACTCATGAATAGCTCCCAATAGGCTAATGAGGACGATTTATGCCCTGCGCCCGCTCGGCTTGCCGCTCCGTCTACATACACTTGCCAGCACTCTTTCGCACCAATCCCTACATCCACAATTCCTTCAGCCTCAAAATCCGACAGCACCTGCGCATTGATGGCTGGCGTGGGCGCATAACTCACATCAAACTCACTAAGTTTTACGGCCCATTTGACAAGGCGCCCAGACACATCCATAGATCCCAAAACCGTTCTGAGGGGGAGGTTGGTGAGTACCACTATACTTTGAGCCTGGAAATAGGGTCGAAGTTTGTTTGCGGTCATGACCACCGCCAACGCTGCCTTCTCTATAGGCGCGTATCACATTTCGTGGCCCACCATGCTGCGGCTGACATAATATACCGGTTTCTCTTCATTTGTCAGTGGGTCCTTGGACATGAGAACCGCGCTTGTGGCGATATGAGACACGACGATATATAAGTACAACTTCTCCTTGGCCTTGGTCGCGGTCATCACCGTAGGCGCCGTGAGCAGCGCTTTCAGGTCCTTAAAGGCCTTGTTGCACTCTTCCGTCAACCTAAATTTGGAGGCTTTCTTCAGGACTTTGAAAAAAGGAGCGCCCCTGTCCGGTGCTCTAGGAATGAATCGCCCAAGCGCCGCCAGCCTCCCCTTCAACCCTTGCACTTCTTTCGGCGTTCGTGGGGGCGCCAAGCTCATGATAGCCTCAACTTTCTTGGGGTTGGCCTCGATTCCCCGCTTCGTTATCATGAACCCAAGAAATTTCCCCGCTTCTGCATAAAACACGCACTTTTTGGGATTAAGTCTCAGCTGAAAGAGGCTCATAGTCTCGAATGTTTCTCAAATGTCTGCGATATGGTCCAGGCGCCTCTTACTTTTTACGATCAAATCGTGCACATATGCTTCCACATTCCTCCCGAACCGCTCTCGGAAGACCTGGTTAACCATGCGCTGATAGGTGGCTCATGCGTTCTTCAATCCGAATGCCATCACCCTGTAGCAGAAGTTACGGAAAGGCGTCATGATAGCGGTCTTTGCTCTATCCTCCTCCACCATGGGTATCTGATGATAGCTCGAGAACATGTCGAGGAAGTTAAGCACCTCGTGATAGGCCGTTGCGTACATGAGTAGGTCGATGCGGGGCATGGGATAGGCATCTGTGGGGCATGCCCGGTTAAGATTGGTAAAGTCCACGCACATCCTCCATTCTCCCGGCGACTTTGGGACGACCACGACATTTGAGAGCCACGTGATGTACCTGGCCTCCGCAGCGAACCCTGCCTCAAGGAGCCTATCGAATTCGCGGCGGAGAGCCTCTTCTTTCTCGGGCGTCAAGTTTTGCCGCTTTTGTTGGACAGGCCTCTTGCCCTCCTCTACCGCGAGTCTATGTGCCGCCGTTTTCGGAGACACACCTGGCTTGTCCTGCGCACTCCATGCAAACAGCTCCCCATACTCCCGGAGCAACGCAATCAAGGGCGCCCTCATATCCTCCGGGGCTTGCACCAAAATTCGCACTCTCTTGTCTGGACGCCCTTCGTTGATTGCAACGTCTAGTTCATCGTCAGCAGGTTCAGCCCTGGGCGCCTCCTCTGGACAGACGTCTATGTTGTTCACTCTATGCCTCCGAATATTGCCTCGCGATTCTTCCTCTCGTGCGTAACGAGGCGCGTTCCCTCCTCTTGAGATGCCTATCCCTTGAGGCGTCACGAATTTTAGTGTTTGGTGACAAGTGGAGGCTACCCCATTGAATTGTGCCAATAGGGGTCTGCCGAGTATCACGTTGTATGGCGAGGGGCAATCAACAATTCCGAACTCCACCGCGTGAGTCACACAATGTGCTTCATCACCCAGCGTTACGGGAAGGCACACTCGGCCTATCACATGCGCGGGCGCCCCTGAGAATCCTATCAACACAGAGCTCGAGGGAATTACCAACTCAGGCGCTAATTGCATGCGCTCAAAAGTGTTTTTAAAAAACACATCCATTGAGCTTCCGGTGTCTACCATCATCCTCTTCACCTTGCATCCCGCAATCACACCTTATATCTCCAAGGATTCCTCCGACGGAATTTAGCATGCCTCATCCGCTCCTTGGTTGAAGTGTATTTGCACTGCCGCCTTTGCCTTTGATGATGCAGCTCTTAGGCGCCTGGATCTATCCAGTTTGTCTCGGAGATTGATGGTGCCAGTGATCGACTCTACCATTAGCCTAACACGATTGGGTGCTCCTTCTTGGTTTACCTCGAAAGGAGGCGGGGGTATATCGGGCACTGGCGCCTGCTGCACGATTGGTAACTCGGGCGCCTGCTGCACGATTGGTAACTCGGGCGCATGTTTTGTCACTCTTGTCACATAAGTGCGGTGAGTCCTTTCCTCTGACCTCTTCACAAAGTCATTAAGCATTCATCGATCGACCATGCTATGTAACCCCGCTTTCAACTGATAGCAATCAGCGGTTTGATGCCCTTTATCTCGATGGAAGTCGCAGTACCGATCAAGATTTCGCTCATTTGGCTGCCCTCGCATTGGCCCTGGCCATCGCATGTGATATCCCCTTTCCTTCACGTATTGCAATATGTTTTTCAGCGTATCGTTATATTCCAAGAAGTTTGCTTTGCTCCTAGGTGGCGGGCGCTGCACCTCCGGTCTCCTCTGAGGGAAGTTATTCCCCATGATTGGTATGGGCGCCTGTCTTGCATCTACATCTTCCACCTTGAGGCGCCTTTTTCTGCCCTCCGTGCCACTAACGTTTCCTCGAACATGATTACTTTCTGTACTCGCCGATCCAATTCTTCGGTAGAAACAACGGCTCGCTTCGAGAGCACACGACATAGCTCCTCACTGCACGTGCATTCTTCAAGGCACACCCCCAACACTAGGGGTTGCACGTCTTTGACCGCCACTGCGACAGAGATCCAATGATCATAAAACTCCCTTAGCGCTACACCGTCCCTTTGCTTTATCTTGAACATGGTGCCTATATTCAAGGTCCGGTGCTTCCTACTCGCGAACTTGGATAGAAACAGCTTCGCAAACTGCTCGAAACAGTCTATGCGCCCCTCCTCGATTTGGTGGTACTAGTCTAAGATCACTCCTGCGAACGTGGACGGAAAAACCTTGAGAGAGTGGCGTCCGAGCTATTTAAATGATCTTTTGGGTCGGTGACTCCATCGTAGCTCGGCAATGGCGGGATCGTCTTTCCCGCTAGCTCCATTAGGACGCTTTGCGCCAGGGGTTGCCTCACCCCAAAGCACCTAGTTGGCTGGCTAGGCGCCCAAACATTGCGCTCCTCCGGGTTGGACATCACAGGCTCGGCAGGCGCCCTCCATGTATGTTGGCGCCTGGGGGCGTCATTTCATCACTTGGCGCAATGGAATCTGGGTGCCCATACTGACTAGACTCTGAGTCGTCCCCTGCTCTATCCCGCTTCCTCACCGGCCGACTACACGTCATCATGTCTTCACTCCGCCCCTCTTCTAACTCTCTTCTCAATGCCGCTATGGCCCTGTCTTGATCAGCTATGATTCGGTACAACTCCCTTTTTTATGGGGAGTCACTTTCCGTGGCTGGGCGCCCCTGGCTACCCTCCTCATCTACTTCCATGCTCAAATCTTTGCCTGTTCGAGGCTCACTCTCTACAGGATTGGGGCTCCCCAACCTTGAACCGACTTCGCCTCCATATCCTTCGTTCATGACTTCCATGCGCCTAGCACGGTGTCGCCCCCTTCCTGGAGCGCCAATTGTTTGAGCCAAGTCACCCTTGTCCCACCGACGGTGATGGGGCCGATCCGACTTGCAACACAGGCGCCAAGATCCTGCAAAAGGTGCGCTTAATGGGCTCTGGAAGGCCCGTTAGCACTCCAACGCTCAAGTCAGTGTCAAATCTAGAGAGATAGTGTTATCCCAAGTTTTAGTGAAAGAAACCAACCTGCGTAAATGCCACCTACCGAGCACTATTTATACTCGTCGAGGTCCCGACCAAGCTCCTGGAATTCAGCCCTACGTCATCGTCGCATTAAATGCTTAGTAAGACCCAATGGTCAGGCGCCTACACGTGGCAGCCTCTGGGCCTCCATAAGGGGGGGCCTAGTAGGGACCACGTCCTCTAGGTGGCATCTCCTCTGCTCTCTTCTTCGTACAAATTTGTCCCCATACCTAATTTTGTCGCCATGCGGCCTTTTCCCCCTTGGTGGGCTTGACTCTTCCCCTTGGGCCCAAACCAATCAGCCACTTGATGGGATTGGTGATGAATGGACTCATACCTACTTCGGGTTCATCTATAATGACCCAACATATATAGATAAAGACTGACAATCTGTATAGAGACTATCTTCCTTCTGCATATCTTACTTTTCCCACTTGCATAACTTCATTCAATACATGACATCTTAATGTTGTATATTGAGTTCTACCACTTCTCAATCTATGATCTTCGGCTCTCCATCTCTGTGCTAAACTTTTCTTTCTTTTACTTCAAATGTGTTGTTGGAACTTGATTCTCGAATTCTAGTTTTAAATAAGACTTTAGGATAGCCAAGCATGTCTGGATATAGACTTCCTTTCCAGAATTCTTTTCAAAGCAAGTCATGAACAGATAACATTCTCGGCCCTATCCCTCGATGTCGTTGCTCAGCAGTTATCATGTCTACTTTATTTGCAGTAATCAACCAGCTTAAAATGCATCGTCCTATTTTGTAGCACACCACTTGGGACTTTTTGCAGAAATAGCATTGTTTTCATTTTTTTTCAAAAATAGCACCAATCCCGAAAAATTCAAAAGATTGCACCCTTTCATGAAAACAGCACGGGTTGGGGGCGGTTTTGCTGACCGCGTGCGGCCGGGACTGTTTGGTTGCAAACCGCACCCCCAACCGGCGGTTTGTATTATATAATTTTTTCCGAATAAATATCATAAATGGTCTTGGCACAACTATTTTAGTTGTTTATTGTGTGCAAGAAGTCTCGGGTTCGAATCCCCATCATCCCATATTAAGTCTTTTTATATAGTAGAGAATAAAAAAAGCAGCATGTTGTGGAGATGGTGGTTCGAACCTAGATATAATAAATAGTTAACTAAATTTAGCACAATATCTACACCACCAAACTACGACTCTTCTTTTAAAACAATAATATATTGACAAAATTTTATTACTTGAACGCTAAAAATCCTCAATAACTTTTAACAACCATAACTTTGTGCTCCAAAATCGGAACGTCGTGAACTTTTTTTTTCATTTTGCATAACTTTTTAAGGACTACAATTTTTACTAGGAATGAAGTTTCAAAATAGGAATTATTTTTGGATATACAGGGTTTTGGGAAATAACTTACCTTCCCTTTTCACAAATCCACGTACATTTCGAAATTATGTCTATGATAAAAGTTGTAGTCCTTAAAAAGTAATGTGAAATGAAAAAAAAATAATGACGTTCGGAATTTGGAGCACTAAATTATGGTTATCCAAAGTTTGACGAAATCGGAAAAAGCTCGTTCGGGGCAAACGACATTTTTTTGGGACGAAAGCGGGACCGAACCGCCTACGATCGGATAACCGAACAAAAAGATACGTTTGTTTGAAGTTTCCACCTATATATATGGACAAAACCACTGGGTTGGGCATCGGTTTTGGGCCAAACCGGTCCGACCACAGGCGATCATGAAAAATGGCCCCTACCCGTGTGGTTTTCATTGAAAACTGCGCCCCTACCCTGCGGTTTTTATGTAAACCGCTAGGTCGGTTGGCAGTTTTTGGGAAAGGGTGTTATTTTTGGAATTTTTTTTAAACAGTGCTATTTGTGGAATAAATCCCACCACTTGAGTTGTTGACTTTTTTGTCTGCAAATATTCGTGCAATTCTTTCCTTCAATATTCGTCATTATTTTCATGAATGAAAATGAATATCTTCCAATAAAAGTATTTAAAACTAATATTTTTGCCAGTAGATATCTCATATATTGAGAAACAGAAAGATACAAAAAAAGTCAAACGGCTGGTAGTAGCCAAGCACGAGCATTGAACTCTACCAAACTAGAGAACAAAGAAAGGAATTCTTGACCACCAAATGAGTCATCCTATTACAACAATGACCAACAAATCAACAAAGTAGTTGGAGAGTTACTGTCACTCCACATAAAAAAAAGCGATTTTTCAAGTGAGTTACTCATTTTCTCTTTTTTCTTTGCAAATTAGTCGTAGTTCTCGAACTCTCACTAGATCCAATAGAAGTAGAATTAACTTGATGTAGTCTTTCTCTCGTAAGTTGTAAAAGACATTGAACATCCTTGTTCAAAGCGGTATGAACTATGTTTATTTAATCATTATTAAGAAAATCAAGGTACAATCATTGTTTATTTGTCTTCATCGGGTTGTTTCATACTTCATAGTGTCATTGTTTTAATTCCCCCTATCTCTTCACCATTTCTGTGGGGTTCTGTCTGGGATGCTTAATAGAGCTCTGCCCATCAAGACCTCCTCTTCTCATCCTTAGACTCATAGGATAGAACTATCCCACTTATGTTGTGCTGGCGATTTACTGATTTTTACCAAAGGCACTAGGGAAGCAGTGGTAGTGACTAAGAGAATCCTATATATATACTCTGGGATTTCTTATTTGAAATGCAATCCCTCAAAAAGTGAGATCTTCTGTGCGGGTATTGATACTAGCACACAGAGGCTTCTCACTGAAGATACTGGTTTTCAGATTGGTCACCTCCCTGTGAGATATCTGCGGACCCCATTGGTAGCAGGTAAACTCAATACTATGGACTATAAAGCTTTAATAGATAAGATAACAACAAGGATTAGAGATAGGGGTGTTAAGATATTAACCTATGCTGGAAAGTTACAATTAGTCAACTCGGTCATAGCAAGCATAACCAATTATTCGATGAATATTATACAACTTCCAGTGAAAGTAATAAAACAGATTGAAAAGGCTTGCTCGGATTTCTTCTCGGATTCTGAGGATGAAGGGAAGAGAGCCAAAGTGAAGTGGGAAAAGGTTGCTCTGCCACAAGCTGAGGGAAGTTTAGGATTCAAAGATCTGAGGATCTGGAATATAGCCTGTTTAATTAGACATTTGTGGGCAATTCTCTCGAATTATTCATCACTGTGGGCAAACTGGGTGAGGCACTATCAACTTACCTATACAAACATCTGGGGCATTCCATCTACCATTAACTATTCCTGGGGTTGGCGTAAAGTGTTAATAACCAGAGGCACAACAGAAGCTCATCTCCAAGTTAGATTTGCAGCTATTCTAGGAAGATACTTCAGATAGTTCCATGTTTTCATTCCTTGATTGGAGGGACTGGAACGAAACACCACTGAAAGCTACAAATCTGTACACTGCGGCAAATGCGAGTGCTAGCTCTGGAAGATTGATATTGACGATGGTGGTCAGTGAATTGTGGATAGAAAGGTGTCGATGCCTTTATGCTGGACAACTACTCATAGAGGAGCAGATTGTCAAGAGGGTACGGGGTCTCCTAGGGCTACTTAAATGTAGTTTCCCATCTGTTGCCTATGTTATTTCAGACCGTTTATTAGCTATTATTATTCTTTAGCCTTGTTATAGCTTGGTGTGGGTTGGGTTTTTGCTCTAGTTTCAGTTGGAGTTGCGCATTGTCTCTCTCCCTCTTACTTGATGAATAAAATGGCTTATTCATAAAAAAAAATTCCTTGATGTGCTATCTATTGGAGATCAACAAACTCCGCCTACCACTCTCCCTCAAACCCCTGGTCTTTTGTAGCTTGTTAGCCGCTCCAACCACTACTCCACCTCATCCTTACTTTTCTCATTCTTTGTTTATTCTGTTAAGAGTTTCCCATTGTAATCTGTATAAAAGGGAACCTACTGTTCTAATGCAAAGCACGATTCCTTTCACGCCTTTGTATTATCCTTTATGGTATCTGAAGCCTTCGCAAACCCTCTGATGAGGTCTTGAGCTTCTATCTTAATTTTCGCCCCTTTTCTTCGTTTACCTTCAATAATCATCATGCCATCCAGCACCACCTATGATCAGCCTTCTAGAGCCTCCAATAACAATTCTCTTCCTCCTCTTTTCTCTTTCAATGTTGGGTCCCAGCTCACGGTTCGTCTCCTCAGCACGAACTACTCCTCTTGGAAATCTCAATTCACCTCCCTCCTCTTCGGCTATTATTTGATGCCACACATTGACAGCACTGGTGTTCCACCTTCTGATTGAACGTCTGCTGCTTACTCTCGTTGGGTTCGTCAGGATCACTTCATCTTCCACTCCCTCCTCGTCTCTGTCAGTGAGTCCATTATGCCTCACATTGATGCTGCCACTTCAGCCTGTGACGCTTGGGCCACCCTTGAGAGGATGTTCATTCCTCGCTCTCAATCTTTGATTCTTGGCCTGAAAGATAAGCCGTCGACCTTCACCCGAGGCATCCTCTCCCTTCGTGCATACCTCTGCGACATTAAGCTTCTCACCGGTGAACTTGCTCTTGTCGGTGCCCTTGTCGATGACTTAGATCTTGTTCCCCACACTCTCAACGGTCTCAGTACCGAGTTCAAAGAGATTGATGTTGTTGTTCGTGCTCGTGACACTCCCCCATCCTTCGAGGAGCTGTTCGATAAGCTTCTCAGCCATGATGAGTTCCTCCAACGCCAAGCTGCTCAATCTTCGTCTCCTCTTGTCAATGCAACGACCAGGCAAGGGAGATCTCCCTAGGTTTTGCACTCTCACCCCAGTAGTCTGCGTATTCTGAATGGTCCTAGTCCTCTTCTCCCATCCGACCCACCAAAGTCTACCTCTCATCCTTCCGTGTCAGCCACACAGCCCGCACCTGCTTCAAGATCCACCAGGAACTTTGGTTTACATATCCCCATGCTCATGCTGCCACAAGTCATGGTGCATCGTCCTCTGCACCTCCCTCCTGGCTTCTCGATTCTGCTACTTCCCACCATGTCACCGACAATCTCGGCAACTTGGCGCTCTCGGACAAGTATGATGGTCCCGACACCATTGCTATCGGCGACGACTCAGGTTTGCCTATCTCTCACACTGTTTCCCATTCCCTCTCCTCTCCCACCCATACCTTTTCCTTCGTAACGTTCTTTGCTCCCCACCCATTTCCCAAAACTTAATCTCCGTGTCCCAATTTTGTGCCACTAATCACACTTCCATTGAATTCTTTCCCACTTCATTTGTTGTCAAATCACAACCCTCGGGGACACCTCTACTTCGGGAACGCGCTAGGCATGGTGTGAATGAGTTTCCTCCTCTTGCTCTCAATAAAATGAAACAGCGTGTTCTAGTGGGTGTCAAGACTTTCGAAGACGGTTGGCATCGTCGTCTTGGTCATCAGGCTCCACACATTCTTCGACGGGCTCTTGCTTATAATTCTCTCCCATTTGTTTCGTCTTTTTTTTTTCAACTTGTCATGCTTGCCAGTGCAGCAAAAGTCACCGCCTACCTTTTTTTATTCTTTACAAAGTTCACGTCCTCTTGAACTCATTTATTCTAATGTATGATGCCCCGCCCTAGTCTTAGCTATTGATGGTTTCCCATACTATGTGATCTTTGTCAACCATTTTACTCGTTAGATTTGGTTCTTTCCTATAAAGTGCAAGTCTGATGTGTTTGATGTTTTTTCTCGCTTTAAAACTCTTGTCGAGAATCCATTTCAAAGTCCCATCGTCAATCTTTTCTCAGACCGTGGCAGCGAGTATGACAAACTCAACTCTTTATTTTCTAACCATGGCATCGCTCATCTCACTACCCCACCCAACACACCAGCACATAATGGCCTCTCTAAACGTCGTCATCGCGACCTTGTCGAAACATGTCTCTCTCTCCTGCATCAAGCTTCCCTTCCCGCCTCCTATTGGTCTTACACTTTTCATACTGTCGACTATTTCATTAATAAGCTTACCACTCCTATTCTTTCAAATACTTCCCCCCATTCTAAAATTTATCTCACTCCGCCCAATTACCACAAACTCCGGGTGTTTAATTGTCTCTGTTTTCCGTATCTTCTCCCATACTCGTCCCACAAACTCAACTCTTGTTCCCTTCCATGTGTCTTTCTTGGCTCCTATCTTTCATGTTTCCACATACCCATCCACATCCAGCCCACCTATCGGCCCACTACCCTCAAACCCACCTCCCCTCCTAGATCCAATTCCCCATACTTCCTCCATGGAATCCTCTTCACAACCCGCTTCCAACTCCTCTTTGCCCATCCATTCTTCTCCTCCACCCTGCCATCGTACCCCCCCCCCCCCCCCCCCCCACCATCTGACTCTCAAACTATCACCATACCTCCTCCTTCGAGGAAAATTATTACCCGCTCCCAAAACAATATTTATCGTCCCAAACGTCTATTTACCGCCACTCGCCACCCGCCCGATGTTCCTGTTGAACCAACCAGTGTGAAACAGGCTCTCCTTGTTCCACGGTGGCGTCAGGCCATGCTAGAAGAGCTTCAATATCTCTACGCAAATCACACATGGACTTTAACTGAGAAGCCATTGAGTGCTCATGTTGTTGGTTACATGAGGGTGTTTCGCATCAAGCGCAATGCCGATGGTTCCGTTGCTCGCTATAAAGCTCACCTGGTAGCTAAGGTTTTCTATCAACGTCCTGGTCTCGACTATCACGACACCTATAGTCTTGTTGTGAAACCCGCCACAATTAGTGTGGTCCTCGCGATTGCCATTGCCCAAGGGTGGCCCATCCGTTAGCTTGACATCAATAATGCCTTCCTCAACGGCATTCTCGAGGACGAGGTTTACATGGCCCAACCTTTGGGCTATGTTGATTCTGCTATCTTCTTTTGTTTGCAGGTTACAACGCTCTCTTTACGGCCTAAAGAAGGCTCGCCGGGTTTGGTATCATGCCCTCCATCACTTCCTTCTCCAAATCGGTTTCAAACAAGCTGGCTCTGATGTCTCTTTGTTATCGTTCCCCCACCAGTCCGATGTCATTTACCTCCTCGTCTACGTTGATGACATTATCATCACCGACTCTTGTGCGTCTCATGTGCCTCTGTGTATTTCCCAGCTCGCTGCAGGTTTTTCTCTCAAGGACTTGGGAGATCTTCACTATTTTTTTGGGTCTCGAATTTGTTCGCGGGATGTCTGGTTCTTTCCTCACTCAACGCAAATACACAGTTGATCTTCTCGACCGTGCTACTATGCTTGAAGCCAAATCCATCTCGAATCCACTATCCTCACCACCACTCTCCAGCTCAATGATGGATCCCCTGCCACTGGTGGTAGATTCTATCGTAGCATCTTGGGCGCCCTATAGTACTTATCATTCACTCGGTCGAATTTAAGCTTTGCGGTCAATCGGCTATCACATGACATGCATCGTCCATCTGCTCTTCACTAGAATTCCATGAAGCGTGTCCATCGTTACCCCGAAGGCACCATCGACCATGGCATTGTTCTACCCGCCTCCTACACTCTTCGTCTGCATGCCTACTCGGATACTGACTGGGCTGGCAACCCTGATGATCGTTCATCCGCTACCGCCTACATTGTCTACTTAGTCTCCACACCGGTCAGCTGGGCTTCCAAGAAACAGAAACCATTGCTCGGAGTTCCACAAAAGCATAATACAAGGCTGTTGCTGCCACTAGGGCTGGAAGTTTGGTACCGGTATTTGGGATATACCGAATACCGTACCGAATTTGTCTATATTTGGTATTACCGAATACACGTATTATTTTGTGGGATTGGGATTGGGATTGAATTTGAATTGTCATTCGGCATTAGGGATTATGAGATTGGGATCGTTATATACCGAAATACCGATCAATACCGAAATATAAGCTAGTGTATATTTTATCCTCTCAACTAAACTCTCTCATTCACTACTACGCGACCATCAACCACCGAAAGTGTCATTTAATTATACATAGATCATTACATTACTATTTCACACTATTATTAGTCGTCTCTCAACCTCAAATTTGTTAAATTAAAGATTACCAATTACAATAACTTGAGATGTTAGCTCTAGGCAACTCAAGACTATTTGCTTAGTCTCTTCGCCCTAAATTAAACAATAAAATCTAATTTATATATTTAATTATTAATTGCAAAGATAATTAATTATGTATTCGATAATACCGATTGGGATACCGAGGTACCGATTGGGATACCGAAATTATTTAGGGATTGGGATTCGGATACCGAAATTATTTAGGGATTGGGATTGGTATTGATTTTAGTGTTTAATTCGGTATTCGGATTTCGGTATTTGGTATTGGGATACCGATACCATACCGATTTCCACCCCTAGTTGCCACTGCAGCTGAGCTCGCATGGCACGGCAACCTTCTCTCCGAGCTTGACCTGCCTCTTCGTACTGCTCCAAAACTTCACTGCAACAATCTTGGTGCGACATATCTGAGCTGTAATCCTGTATTCGATTCCCGCATGAAATACGTTGCTATCGACTACCACATCGTTCGCGACCGTGTAGAGCAGGGCGACCTAGTTGTTCGTCATGTTCCTTCTTCCCATCAGCTTGTCGATCTCCTCACCAAATCTCTTTCCAAGGCGCGCTTCCTCACGTTGTTCTCCAAGATTGGTGTCTCCTCCGGTGCCTCCATCTTGCAGGGCCAAAGCAGTCAAATCGGGATTCTACCTAAAATCGAAAACTGGGGTAAAATCAGAATTATAAAATCGTAGGATTTTAAGTACCATATAGAACATAACCTATAATAATATTAATAAGATAAATCATTAATTACATAAAAACACATAATATTTAAAATGATAATTCTAAAAAAAATTACAAAAGATAATTCTCAAGATTAATGTTCCAAAACCACTATTTTAATTTTTATTTAATGCGTAACTCAAAATAATTCATGAGGAAGGAATAAAGTTCAATGGGTTTGTCTCTTGTTTTCATGTTGTGTCCAGATAGTTTAACTCAAAGTAATATTCCGACTTCGTCTAAGTATGATTTGAAACTAAAAATATTTGAACTCCAATAAAATAAATAATGCTAGTGGCTTGTTAAAAATATATTCATTAATAAATTAATTAATTAATAATGATGTTAATTCTTACGTACTTCCTATGGAGTCAAAAGGGAGTTTTTACATAGAAGCGTTTTGGTAATTTAGAAGCGTAAAATCGTAAGATTTTAAGTTTTAAAGCGGGGTTTTAACTACTTTATTTATAAAAGCTGTGATTCGCGTAGAAACATTTTCATGACATAGAAATGTAAAAACGTAAGTTTTTAACTTTTAAGCGAGATTTTGACTACATTGCGTACTTCCAATATTAGGATAATTGTGTTACCCATAAGTTAAATGGGGCGAAGGAAAAGGGATTGACCGAGCCTTCATTTTGTTATTTTTATTACTTTTAAATATTTTTTAATAGAAAAAATATATGAGAAGATTCCCGTCATTGCCCTTTCCGCCGAAACAATTATGCTTCTTTTAGATGTTCTCAAACCACCTATTTTTTCTCATACGATCAAAATCCTGATTTTGGTATGATTTTAATCCCGATTTTAAACGATTTTAAGGTCCACTGATTTTATAGTAAAATCAGGATCAAAATTCCTAAGTAAAATCCTACGATTTTATGATCAAAATCCCGATTTTGACTCCATTGGCTGTGGCGTATTGGAGATCAACAAACTCTGCCTACCACTCTCCCTCAGTCCTCTGGTCTTCCGTAGCTTGTTAGTCGCTCCAATCACTACTCCACCTCATCCTTGCTTTTCTCATTCTTTGTTTGTTCTATTAAAAGTTTCCCGCTGTGATTAATATTAATATATTAAAGCCAAAGTTGTAGGTTACTATTCATTAGTGGCTCTGACACTCCTCCAAGTGCAAGTTGGGAAGTTCCAAGTCCTTCTTTTACCCCATTCTACATTCTACAACCTTTGTGTTTAGTTATTGTTCGCTAGGTTTTCGTCTATGGCTTTTTACACAAATCATCGCCTTTGTGTTTTGTCATTGTTCGCTAGGTTTTCGTCTATTGCTATTTGCACAAATCATCGCCTTTTTGTTTTGTTATTGTTAGCTAGGTTTTCGTCTATGGCTTTTTGCACCAATCATCGCATTTGTGTTATCATCGCCTTAGCGTTTAGTTATTGTTCGTCAAGTTTTCGTCTATTGCTTTTTGCACAAATCATCGCCTTTGCCCACCATTTTGAAGCCCATCTCGAAATACTGTCGGCGAGATCCTAATTTGTTCCCTACCACCGTTTTCCAAGGCCGCCACAACGAGTTTTTTATTGGGACCGAGTTTCATCCTTTTTAGTGTTTTTTTCTTTCTTTTCATCATTTTTGTTGAGTAACCCAAACACATGGGTATTCCTACCTTGAACATAAATCATCGCCTTTGCACATCATTTTGCAACCCATCTCGAAATATTGTCGCCAGAATCCTAAGTTATTCCCCACCACCGTTTCTCAAGGCCGCTACCACGAGTTTTGTATCTGGACCGAGTTTCATCCTCTTTAGTGTTTTTTTATTTTTTATTTTCTTTTGTTAGCATGATCACTATTGAACCCAAACACATGGGTATCCTAACTTGAACACAAATCATCGCCTTTTCCCACCATTTTGCAGCCCATCTCGAAATATTGTCGGCGAAATCCTAAGTTTTCCCTCACCATTGTTTCCCAAAGCCGCTACCACGAATTTTGTATCGGGACCGACTTTCATCTGCTTTAGTGTTTTTTTCTTTCACTTTTTCCTTTTTGTTGAGGATGATCACAATTGAACCCAAATCCATGGGTATCAAACTGATTCGGCCCAAATGTACACATTTTATCCCTTATTTCTTATTCGTTTAGCTTAGTATTTCATCATTCCTCGACATATTTCACGCTAGGTTGTGCTTGTTTTGATACATTTCAGGTCCTAGCACATGTGGAAGGGTCGAGGTCGAATTTTGGTATAATTGGAGGTCAAAAAGTGCAAAAACTGAAGAAAAGTCCGAAGAAGCAGTTGTGACGGTCGCTAGACCGTGACAATTGCCCTGTAGCTGTGAAGTGCAAGCATCCAGGAAACAGCCGCAATTCACGGTCGGACGAGGTAGTTCACTGTCTCCTAAGACCGTGAACTTCGACCACAAACCGTGAACACCTAGGCGTCCAACGAGGTTCCTGAAGTTACTGACGACAAGGCAGTTCACGGGTCTCTAAGACCGTGAACTGTGGCCACTGACCGTGAACCCAGGAAGCAAAGCGCTGCGTTTGGAGACGATAGAGTTCACAGACATGTTTAGGTGTTCACGGCCGTGAATTGGCCTACGCGTCCGTGAACTGATCACTTTCGGGCAAATATGAAGACAACAACAGGGAGAGAGAAAGGGGGAGCTGGTTTTTGGAGAAGAATTGGTTTCTCTCTCTAGGGTTTGCCCAAAAACACCAAAGGGGATTTCTAGTGAGAGAGAGAGAGAGTGCTATAGTGATCTTGGAGCATCATTGGATGCTTGGGTGGAGATTCAAGCCTAGAAGAAGAAGAAGAAGATCTTGAGCTCAAATTTTTAATCCCTCTCTCTCTCTAGAAACTCACTCTTTTCTCTTGGGTGTAGTAGATCCCTAACTAAACTTTGTAATTACTTGTTTAGATTGAATGATTGTCATTGGGTATTGTCTAATTCAATGATTGAGATATTATTCATGTTGATTGTGCATACTTGTGCTTAGCAATCTAAGGGTTGTGCATGTTTTGTGCTTAGCATCCTTAGGTTTGTGCATTTTGGTGCTTATCACCCTAAGGATTGTGCATAATTGTGCTTAGCATCCTTAGGTTTGTGCATGTTGGTGCTTTGCAATCTAATTAGCCACTTTAACCTAGTTAGAGAGGAAAATCCCCCTTGAAAGGGAGACTCAATCGAGTTGGTTTTCCTTTAGCTTTTTAAGTCACCTAACTAGGTTAATTTAGGGAAAACCTCAATGTTGAATTTAGCAAATTGGTTAAGCGTGATTAAGCCATCCAACCCTTGAGTTGAGTGAGGGAGTAAGTCACCACCGATTGCCTAAACCGGAGGGCCGAATGACACGGCCTATAATATTGACCTCGGTTTAGCAATCGAGATTGTGGTCTACGACCATATTTGCATCCCTCTGCGGTTCGCGGTTACCTTGCCCATAGCAATCGTTCCAATCCAACGAGTCTTGAAAGCTAGTTAGAGGGGAAGCAACTCCCGGGTGAAGATCCCTTAGTTAGAATTTTCCTTTATTTACTTTCCCTCGCTAGTTTAGTTTGTAGTTTTTTTAGTTTTAAAACCCAAAACCATTTTGCTACATAACAACTTAAGCGATTGAAGTAGGGGTACATGGACTGGCCCGAGTCGATATTTAAATACTTGCTCTATACTGCACCCGGCTAGAGTTTAAAAACTTGGACTCTAGTCGGGATTAATTTGTGGTGTAGTTTTGTGCGAGTCACAAACCTAATTCTATCCAGTCAAAGCGACCTGAAACAGAATTTCGCATTCATAAATTTCTCTTTTTTCTTCTTCTTTTGGTTGGGAAGACAATTAAACCCGAATTTAAAGTTTTGACGAGTAGAGATGACAAAAGGTAAGCTGGTAAATAGTTTACCGTTGTACCAAACCGGTAAACTGTAAACCGATTGTCACCGGTATCGGTACCCGAGTTTGTAATGGGAAAATACCGTTTACCGGCCCCAGTTACGGTAGATACCGACGGTAAGTCTGTAATACCGATACCTGGAACCAGTACGCTGCGTTTTGGCCCAACCCCTCCAAACCCTAAAAAAGAAACCCCTTCCCTGCGTTTTGGCCCAAATATTACATACATGAATGGAAGTAAGTAAGTATAGGCCTAAAAAATATAATAAATAAGAGTTAATAATAAATTATTAATTAAAAAAATGAAGAAAAAACTCAGAAAAATCAAAATTTTACAACCTGACCCCACTACCCAGAATTTCAGTTTGGTAATTTTCCGGTAAACTGAACCGAAAACCATCTCAAGCAACTTCTTACGGAAAAATCGGTAAAACCGGTTTGTAACCGTTTACCGGTAATTTGGTAACTGGTAAACCGGTTACAAACCGGTAACGGTAATCGATTCCTCCCTCCCATGCTCGGCATACTGTTTACCGGTTACCGACTGATTGCCACCCCTATTGGCGAGTGTTATATTGTGAGTGAGCTTTATCCGCTTTTGTAGTTGGTAGGTTGGACCAAATGTTAATTTGTTAAAAATTTGTTCAAAGCGAGTTGAACACATTATTGACCAGTTTTAGATCGAAAGCGAGTTTTGTACTCTTTAATTTTTTTATTTCTTATTTTCTTTTTCGTTGAGAATGACAATTGAAATCCGACCCATTGTTGACGCGTTTCATATCGAGAGCGAGTTTTATCTGCTTTTGTAATTGACAGATTGGGTAAACTGTGAATTAGTTAAAACTCGGTCGACTCGGTCAAAGCGAGTTGAACGCAGTGTTGAGCGTTTGGGGTCATGAGCGAGTTTTATCCGCTTTAGTATTTTTTTATCCTTTTCCTTTTGATTGAGAATGACAATTGAGTCCAAACGCACGAGTATACAACCTAATTCGACCCGACCAAAGAGACTTGAACCCGATTTTACAGGTTTGCGGCGGGAGCGAGTTTTATTTGTTTTTGTAATTGGTGTGTTGTGTCAGGTGTGAATCTGTCCAAAAATCGATCCAACCAGGTCAAAGCGAGTGGAACTTGTTGTTGACAAGTTTTGAGTCGGTAACGAGCTTTAGATTTAGTGTTTTCCATTTCGCTTTTTCCTTTTGTTTGGGAAAGACAATTGAACCTAAATCCATGTGTATCCAACCTAATTTGACCCGATTAATGGGAGTTGAACCTCCTCAAACCTGCAATTAGTTGAAAATTTTGATAAAGGAGAACCACGATTACCTCAAACCCAAAAAAAGCTAAAAGAGTACGACTATGTTTGGTCCGAATTTTATAAGTTTTATGTTTCAAAAGTTGAAGTCAAGCCTAACACATCTAAAATTTTGCTTTTTAAAAAACTGAAGTTTTTCGTAACTTCAAAGCAGAAAGTCCTAATTGAAAATACAAAATTGTCCTTACCATATATTATTCTTTTTCTAAACATAATGTTCTTTGATTTATATCATTATAAAAAAAAATTAAAAATAGTATTATTTAATATGAAATAGATCTAACGTGATCCATTTGAAGTACTTTTTTTAGTTTTAGAATTTGTATTAATATTTTATGTTAGAAATATTTTTTAGTCATTTTTCATTACCTCTTATATTAGAATGTAATTCTGATAGTTTTTCAGTTAAATACTCAACAGTTTTTTTAAATACTTTTTGAAAAGATCAAGAGAAGCTGCTTCATTCTGCAAAAGTTACAACAGGATCAATTGCTAGCCATACAAATTGAAGCGTTATGAAAGAGGTTTAAATATAAATAATCTATTCGACTGCCTTTCTACATTCTGCAAGTTCATCGACCATATGATATTGTAAATAACCAAACTATAAAAACAATGAATAAAAATGAAATAAGATTACTTTCACTTTTGGGTCAACATCAAATCTATTACTTTTTAAAATATTTATTTTTCTAAATATGCGAAGCTATATTTATTTTTCTAAATACGTAGCTAGCGGACTTTTGCTAATTTGTATACAAGGGAACCTACTATTCTAATGCAAAGCACGATCCCTTTCAAGCAAGGTTGTCAACCCGCGGGTCAACCCACTTTGACCTTGACCCGATGAGAAAAATGGGCCGCACGCACCCGTAGGGTCAACCGCTACAAAGTATCGGGTTGGAGGTCAAATTGTGTATTTTTTTTCTTTGGTTTGCGAAATGCACCTATTTTTCGATTTTTCTTTTCTCCTAACTCAATATTTGGAATCCTTAGTTGAACATTTGAATATTGATGTTATATAAATGTGTGTGGATTTTCATTATATGTAAAATCTAAGTACGACATGTTATTTTGGTGTAAGTTTATATGTTATTACTAATATGTTAAATGAGATTTGATATTATTTATCAGGATAAATACAATATAATAATTATTTCCATATTTTGCAGGCTGGAACGGGTTAAAACAAGTGACCCGTTAACTCTTGACCAATTAACTCGACCTGGTCAACCCGCAAGTTGACAACCTTGCTTTCAAGCCTTTCTATTATACTTTACTATCTAGCTTCGTGACTGACGAGCTGATTAGTGTTATGCCAGGGAATGAGACAAGATCATGAGCTGTGCTGCGCAATGCCGAGATGAGGACAAACAAAACTCGAGCGTCCATCCATCCACGAACCACGATAGCATAAGCACAAAAAAATCTCTTACCCGGAGACACACAGAGGAAGAAAGCAGAGTGAGACGGAAATATGCCTGGAGCTGGAAGGAGCAGCAGCGGTGGAGATGGAAGATGGTCACTTCAAGGAAAGACTGCCTTCGTCACTGGTGGAACCAAAGGAATTGGGTATCTTCCCTTTTACTCTGCAGTCGAGTCTTGTTCATTCTGTTCGATATAGCTCATTGGTCGACTGTGAAACACTCACGGTATTCCTTGCACACTACCTGTTTGTTTATATGCCGCAACCAGATATGCTATCGTGGAGGAATTGGCTGGACTTGGGGCGACAGTACATACTTGTTCAAGGGACGGAACTCGCCTCGACGAGTGTTTACGTGAATGGAAATCCAAGGGCTTCCAAGTTACCGGTTCAGCCTGCGATGTTTCCTCGCGAGCTGAACGGGAAAACCTCGTGAAAGAAGTTTTCTCCCTGTTCAGTGGGAAATTAGATATCCTCGTAAAGTTCCTTTCTCCTCATTATGTAATGTTGCAAACTCTAGTTCATGTTTGTAACCAGATTTTTGGTGTCCTACAGGTCAACAACGTTGGAACAAACGTAACAAAACCAACCCTGGATTACACATCAGAGGATTTTTCAATGCTGATGGGCACCAATTTCGATTCTGCTTATCACTTCTGCCAACTTGCACACCCGCTTCTGCAAGCTTCTGGGGCTGGAAGCATCGTGTTCATCTCTTCTGTTGGAGGGGTGGTTTCACTCAGCACTGGAAGCATCTATGGAGCAACCAAAGGTAATTTGGCTGGAGAACCGATATGATTTTCTTCCAGACCCAGATAATGGATTCTTTCTTCAACGGGTTGTTTCTTCTGGTGTGTTTAATTGTGGCAGGAGCCATGAACCAACTCACCAGAAACTTGTCTTGCGAGTGGGCGAAGGACAACATAAGGACCAACTGTGTTGCTCCTTGGTACATCAGAACCCCACTGGCGGAGCGGGTATCGTCTTTTTATTGTGGGAATGCCTAAAGTCATGTTCTTTTTTTCCTTTGAATAACTGAAGGATGTCCAGGCTTTTGTCTGCAGCATCTCATCAAGGAAGAGTTCAAGAATGAGGTTGTGAGTCGAACACCAATGGGGCGAGTTGGGGAACCAAAGGAAGTGTCTTCTCTAGTTGCGTTCCTCTGCCTCCCAGCTGCCTCTTACATAACTGGCCAGACCATTTGCGTCGATGGAGGAATGAGTGTCTATGGTTTCTCCTTCCCGTGATACAATATGAAAGTTCTCTCTGCTTTCTGGGTCGGTCTCTTAGTGTTAGTACAGTTCCCATCAGAGTCCTCTTTTAATGACTGAGCTACTGGTCTGTAAGCTAGCTTCAACAAATCAAAGTTCTCAGAGAGTTTACTCCATGTTTCGATGATCTTGGCTTTGTCGCTTCTTTTCTTCCTAGTTCCTACACAGTTTATTTTTATTTATCCAGTTATTTTATTTTATCGTCCGTTGACTAAAAATTCGGTCTTCATGAGTACTTTTCATCATCCGAAGAACTTCCCTGGAAACAACACTCTAAAGTAGCTACTAAACAATATATAAAGAGTGACCCTCCTAACGACATGATCTGGAAAAGCTGAAAGCAGAGAGAGAAGACCAATCAGGGGATGGCGGAAGCAGCAAGCATCAGCAGGTCCGGAAACAGATGGTCTCTCCATGGAATGACCGCTTTGGTCACCGGCGGGACCAAAGGAATCGGGTAGGTAAACAATTTCTGCATCCCTTCACTGCCACTCACTCTTTGCAACTCCATCTCCGATCTTAGCTTGGAGCTTTGGCTAATAGAATATGAGCATAAAATCACCATGTAAAACCACCACCTACTGCAGGCGCGCCATCGTGGAGGAATTAGCATGCCACGGTGCGGCCGTGCACACGTGTTCCCGCAGCGAGGTGGAGCTTAATCAAAGGATAATCGAATGGAAAGAGAAGGGCTTTGATAAAGTCACTGGATCCGTTTGTAACGTGTCCTCTGCCGTCGAACGGGAGAAGCTCATCGGCGTCGTCTCTTCTCTATTCGCCGGCAGACTTAACATTCTCGTAAGTCAACGTCTGAATTATATTGATCGCTCGGGGTTGAAAGCAGATCCCACTTCCCAGGCACCACAAGGTCATGATCACTCACAAAATCCTGTTTTCTGTTGATCGTGTGGCTGTAGGTGAACAACGCTGCAACGGCCACTGGGAAACCGCCTACAGAGGTTACAGCTGAAGAGCTCTCCCATATGTGGAAAACCAACTTCGAGTCCGGTTTCAACTTGTGCCAGCTCGCACATCCTCTCCTCAAAACTTCTGGGTCGGGAAGCATCGTTTTCATATCTTCCGTCGCTGGTTCAACTGCTACGCCTAATCTCTCAGCCTATGGAGCAACCAAAGGTAAGTATTCAATATGATGTTGGAAAAAACTTCAGAAGTAAGAATCTATAATGTCTCGTCTTACTCTAAGAGTAGGAGTGAACTGTGGATGAAGATGAACACATGAATGGAAATGAAGGGGAGGAGCTGCTCTAATCTCTTTGCTTAAAATCAACACCATCCACAAGTAGTTGATTGACGCCTGAAATTGACATAAGAACATTCTGACTAGTTCTAAATCCTTCTGCAGGGGCAATCAACCAGCTAACGAGAAACTTGGCATGCGAATGGGCCAAAGACAACATAAGGAGCAACGCTGTGGCGCCTTGGTTCACCAGGACCCCACTTGTCGAGCAGGTAAATAGAGATGCTCTCCAATAACACAACATCCCCTGGAGTTGGGTGCTTCAATTTTCTGGGCTAAAAGAATTGTAAATTCTGAAGGCTTGCTTCTTTGTTTGGTGCTAGGATCTCCAAGACGAAGGATTTCTAAAAGCAGTTCTAAAGTGCTCACCACTTGGGCGGATAGCAGAGCCAGAGGAAGTGTCGTCGATGGTGGCATTCTTATGCATGCCTGCTGCATCTTACATTACAGGCCAAATCATAACTGTTGATGGAGGAGTTACTGTCAATATTTTCTCCATGTGAAGTTCAGTAGCAACGCCTGTTTTCGATTGTTGTGTGCTGTGCGCTTGATTCAAAACCAACATGCACGAATATGTATGGAACAGTTCCTTGTTTTGGTGTTGATGTATTCAAATAAGTTAGTAACTAAAGTGATACGAAATAATAATATGGTTGTGCTAGATTACAGATCTGTCCAGGTGTTTGGAGGTTAGAACTTAGGCCTCGTTTGCTTCATGGAATTGATCATGGATTTGGTACTTAAAACCAAGCATCATGGACTTTGTACACAATCCGTCGTTTGCTTGATGGATTTAGGAGGAATAAATCCGTGAGCCCCACGGACTTGAGAATTCCATCCCAAGAGGTGAGATTTGTGTTGGGGTACAAAGTCCATGATAACTTTTTACAATTTTAACCCTACTTATTTCCCTAATCACCTACTCATCCTCTTTCATTTACTAATTACCAACTTGAAGTGCATCTTAATTTTGCATTCAATATTTATTATTATTCATTGCACGAAAGCACTACATGATTAATCGCAAAGCATACTTCGTAATATTGAAAATCTTAAGGAATTGTCCAATTGTGTGTATAATATGATGTTGTTATTGATTAATGATGTTCATTTATTCCGATTGTGGTAGTGGGACGAACCTATTGGATGAAACTTGTTTTAAACAAAAGTTATAATGTAAATATAAATAATACTCAATAAGGGCACCACGATAAATTCCAATAGAAGCATAAATATAATAATGCCAAATCCATCATGAAATACAACAAGCAAACAATGGTTTGTACCAAAAACCAAATGGGGCAAGTTCATCATATATCCATGGTTTTGTAAAGGGAGTTCCTATCTGTCGCCCTAATTATTTAAATTTATCGCCCTAAGATATATAAAATGACCAAAATGCCCTTGGGTTGGTTTTAGGGTTTAAAACCCATATATTGTAGTAGGGCATAATGGTCCCATACACTTTTCCACTCTTTGTAGAGACAGAGTGGAAACATCAAACAAAAAACTAATCAAATCCCACACCACAACAATTCTCAACTACTCTGTTCTTTATTGGTGAGTTTTATTTGAATTCGGCGAGACCATCGGAGCCAAAGGCACACTCGGCAGTCAAGTATTCGAACAAAGGTATGCTGCATTATTCTTCTTCTTTTTTCTGGTTTTACGAGAACAAACAGATTGAAATTGTGTGCGCGTCGCCGGAGAAGCAGGTTGAAAACACGTCTCTCCATGGAGGAAACAGGTAGACAGATTGTCCGTTCCTCTTGCTGAGCATGTAATTCACATGCTTGATCTATCAGACACGCGGGTAGACAACATGCCCGCGTCAGTGGACAGGTGGGAAGACCTTATGTCCGCGCTGATGGAGAGGCGTGTAATCGACCTGCCCGTCCCGCCGTCTCACCCTTTCGGCCACATGTCTTTCCATGGACGAGGCGGGTAGACAACCCGCTTGGCGTACGACTTAATCCCGTAAAGAACATGACCGCTGACTGGTAGGGCACCTGCGCAGCACGTTTGAACCATTGGCGGGTCTTTTTTGTTTTCTGCCTGGTCGATGGTCGAGTCATGTTTTGCACATGCTTGGGGCCGGTTTTTGTGATTTTTTAGATGGATTTTTGTGAATTTTTAGACAAATTTTGATGAAATTCACTTGAAATATATTATATGTTCATTAAAATTTGTTTTTTTGTTGTGCATGTAGGAGGGAGGACAAAGTGTAGAAGCCTCTTTCGCTACCATCATCAAATAACAAGTTTATTATGAGTGATTCGGTAAATACCTTATTTCTTTGTTGTTTAATAGTTAAATTATTGCAACATAATTGTTTCAAGACTAATGTAAATATTTATACCGTGTATTTTTTGTAGGGAGGTTTTGGAAATGATAAGGGTGACAATGTTGATTACACATCATTTTTCATAAACGATGTTGTTTATGATACCCATGATGATGCTTGTGCGGCTGCAAGGGAGATTGCCATGAGAAATAGGTTTTTCTTGATTGTGGGATCAGTCAAGCAAAATCACTCATCAGAAAAATATCTGCGGTACTATATGGATTGCAACCATGGCTATAGGAACAAGTCATATACTCCTGATTTGGCAAAAACAACACGGAGCAAATCTAAAACAGGTAAGTATGATTGTCGTTTCCGAGTGGTAGTGAGTTGTTCATTGGTAGATGGGAAGTGTGAGTGGAGAATTTATGGTGTTAAGGAAAAAGATAATCCGGGTAAGTCGAGAGGATTTCACAATCACAAATAGGAGGTTTATTCTGAAGGAAGTAGGCAAAGGAATTCTCTTTCGAAAGAGAGAAGAATAGATATTAAGGAGTTGGAGGCAACACACACTCAGGCAAGAGATATTAGGAGTTTTATGAATAGGAAGTACAATGCTCATCACCATATGAAGCAGATTTATAACAAGATAGAAAAGATTAGGCGTGAGAGAATGGGTGGCACGAAACCTATGCGGTGGACATTGATAGAAGTTCAACGTCTCGATTACTTTGTTGAGTGCGAGTTTGATGATGAGCGTCGTGTTTATAGACTCTTCCTTTCACATCCAGAGTCTATTCCGATGTTGAGCGCATGGTATTTCGTCATTTTGATAGACTCAACTTACAAGACCAACAAGTATAAGCAGCCACTAGTTCAGTTGATTGGTGTTAATCCGCTGTTGGGTTTACATTGGTGTCGGATGAGACGAAGGAGACATATGCTTGGGTTTTGATGCAATTGAAGCATCTGCTTGGTGATCGAACACCTGATGCGTTTGTTACCGATAAGGAGGGAGGTTTGGGTGTCTCATTGCGATAGATCTTTCCATCTTCACCTCATTTACTATGTGTGTGGCACATGAAGAGGAACATTGAAGCTAAAATTTTGTCTTTTAGGATCAGCGTGATTCTGCCGAGTTGTTTGTAGAAGGTCCATGGGGGAGAGTCTTGAATGCCAATACCGAGGCAGGGTTCCAACGGTGTTGGCGAGACTTGCAAAATGGTCATTGGGGTACAAACGAAAAGTTGATGGACTTCCTCAAAGTGAGTGGATACCATGCGCGGAAAGGTGGGCTCATTGCTACACCAATCGTGTCTTCCATATTGGTAACACAAGCACAAATAGGGTAGAGTCAATGCATTCCTCTTTGAAGAAATGGCTTGCCACTTAGACCCACAAGATCGATACACTCTTCCTCAGATTTCATACATCCGTCGAGGGATGATTGAAATGAAGAAGGACTTAGAGGCATCACTTTCCAAGGTATTTTCATTTTTTTCGCTTATTTAAATTAGTACCTCCCTATATCCTCAATTTGATTTTGATTTAGAAATTCATGATTCAGAAAGGTATTTGCATTAGCCTATGGACCGCCATATGGAAACTTGAATAAGGAAGTAAGCTTGTGGGCGATTGAGTTGATGATGGAAGAACGAGGGAGGGAAATCGTTCGGCGATGTGGATGTCGGCTACCTGAGACACATGGTCTACCATGTAAATGTAAGAGGAAGAATATAGTGTTGCCATCATAGAGTTGTATCCCTACCACTTGCATCGATTCTGGTCTTCTTTGGTGTATGAGAGTCCTCCCGATCGTGCCGAATGGGATGACCATGATGCCATTGAGCGTAACATTTTTACAGCAATGGTGGAGGATGTGTACAAACAAAGGCCAGCTGCTATTCGGAAGGCAACTCAGATACTACGACCCCATATTCATCCTCAAGTTGAAGGCCTACAAGAGCCTAGGGAGTCAGAGGCTCAAAGGGGACGACCACCTAAGAGGACCAACGCCCGAGATCCTTCTTCGTTTGAGCATGAGAGGGCAAGGTCAGCAAAGAGGAGCAAAACAAATCAGAGCCCGAGGACACCTAGGAGCAAAACCCCCGCAGGTTAGCATCATTTTAATATTTTTGTGATAATATCTTGTCTCTTTTGTAAGGTTTCGAATATGTGACCATTTATATTAGTTATTTTTTCCATTTGTTGTAGGCTCACTGAAAAGTTAGCATATGCAAGTTCACAATGAGAGAAATGTTTGCCCCTATCTTCGCTATGTCCCACCCAGCATCCACCCTCTTGTTAGAGGTTGGTTTGACCCAGAACCAGATAGACAATGTGGTTTTCGGGCCATGTCACATGCGATTCATGGAGACGAGGGACACTACCTACAAATGAGACAAGATATCATCACAGAGGTTAGAAACAATTGGGATCTCTATAAGAGAGTTTACCTTTCTAGAGATGGATCGTTGGAGCCAGTAGTTCACAGATTGGATTGTCGGATTGCTGGGAGATGCACCCAAGAGTATTGGTTCGAGGAGGTGGATCTACTGGTATTCACAACCATGTACAATTGGGCAATTGTCGTCTATGGACTATATGGAGGGTGACACACGTATGGGTACACCGCCTTACCTATGACGGCGCCGGAGGGGGTCACTCAACCAAGTGCTGTTATGGCACTGGTCTTTACTGGGGCACATTGGGTCCGACTCATAGTCGACGATGTCGATGGAGTGACACCAATGCCCCCTTTTTCACCACAATGGTCTCATTTTCGAAATATGACATCAATTCCTGATTGGGACTTGTTATACGAGCAAGAGCAGGCATTGTATTCCATTCTCGGAGGACATTATCCAAACGATGATGAAGAGGGTGATTAAGTGTTGTTTCCTTATATTGTGTTTTTAATCAAGTAGTGTATGTTTTGTGTTAGAAAATATGTAGACTTAGGTTAAATTAATCAAGTAACATGTGCAAATTTACTAAAAAACACAAACATCCAAATATAAAAATAACAAACATCCAACATCCGGACATCAAATGACAAATATCCAACACCTAAACCTAAACAAACTAGAGTTCCAACATCCAAACATCAAACATCCAAACATCAAACAACAATGTTCAACATATAACAACTACAAGGTAAGTGAACGGTACGGTCTTTGCTGGCGAAAAGCGATGTACTTGTCACAAACTCGTTGAATCATATCACCATAAGGACCCAACCTGTCAAGATCCTCATCAGAAGCACGAAGCAAAGGATCAATACCATCAATAATCTGACATGCTAGCTGCAATGTCCACGAAATAAAATTTAGTGTTAGTATATCATACCACAGTAGTATAAAATGTTAGAAATAAAATTTACCAATAGGGGAAAAACATAGAAACTAACCATCTCATACGTCAACAACGCCACCTCCTACTGCTCACCATATCTGGGGGGGACAATGCATGGGTGAGTGCGCAAAGTGTACCACTTAAGGTACTCTGGGTCAACGGATCATGTGTCATCAAAAGGTGTAGAGTAGGCATCGAAATTGATCAGCTGACCACGAGACCTCCAAAGCTGATCGAGGTCGGCCCCAAAAACGACCTTATAGGTCCCTACAGCAGGTCGACTGACACGAGATGGTCGAATAGGAGGATCAGGGATCACCTGTCTATACCCAAACTGACGGAGAGTGCGTGAGAGATGTAGGCCTCAGTCACATCATAGATATGTATCACCCCCCGATACAAAGATCTAGGTACCGCATGACCAGGGTGGGCACCAAAAGGAAGCCAATCCACGTGGTCCGCTATAAAGCCATCCAACAGTCGACGATAATGATCCAGCCATCGTGGAACCTCACTAGGCCCCCCTCCATGAACGAGACCCTCCCACCTCCTAGCCAATGGGTCTCCCTGTGTCACGGTCTGTGGTGCAGCTCTGCTAATGCGCAACGATGGAAAATACTCATAGATCCAAGCCTATAACAAGGTCAAGCACCCAGAAAATCCTTTAGATCCTGCTCGACTAGATCTCCCAAGCTGCCTATACATCCATGCAAGCGCACCAGCACCCCATGCATACTTACTAACCATATGCAAATCTCTGAAGTAAGAGTACAACCATCCACGAACACGATCAGAACTCTTATCCACAAAAAGCGTGGACCCTATCAAACACATTAAATAGCATCGTGCCTCAGCATCCCCACCCTCCCTAGCATGTAGACGTCTCATGGCCTCATCTACCAACATCCCACCACCGTCATACCAACGGATGCCACGCGCTGCCACTGCATTCTTATCTGGAATCCCAAGAAGATCAACAACCCCACTCACGAACGACGGATCACCCTTAGCTGGTGCAGCAAGTAACTCTCCATCCACTGGAATCTAGAGCAGGAATGAAACATCGTGAAGAGTGATCGTCATCTCCCCGAACGGCATGTGAAACGTGTTGGTATCCGGCTGCCACCTCTCAATAAACGCCTCCAAGAGAGGGTAATCCACACTATGCATCATGCAACTACTCAAGTGGTACAAATTAGATGCCCTAACCAAGTTCTCTACACGTGGAGTCGAGAACTTTTACAACCTTAGTCGATCCACTCCACCCTGCCGAGTGTAGAACTTATTCTCAGACATCACTCGAAAATCCAAACCCAAAGTCCACAAACGATGGCTTATGTGACCAACGAAACTAGGGATCAAACTGTGGTCACTCGACCCCCGGGACCTGCTCCTGTAAGCAGCCATGTCTGATCCACCAACTTCTTCTGTGAAGGGACGCTCCCACTAGATGATGAAGCAAAACGCCCATCCTTACCACGTAGCGGCCCAAGCCGAGTACTAACATGGGTCGAGCCAGTAGACACGTGATCGCTCGAACCCACAGGATGGCCCTGGTAAAAAGCATCAGGAAACGGCAACAAATCACCCTCCTCATCACTGCTCGTGGCATCCTCCACCAAGTCATCATATGTGTTGATGACTCGCATCTGCCGAGAATCATGGCTAGAGGGGGCAGGATCAACTACAGCTTGACGAGCAAGCTTCTCCTGACGCTCCAGCTCAAGAGCTTTATCGTTCTCCTCCTGATGTTTCTCCGCTCAGATCCAGTAACATTGCGTCCGAAAACCCTCGACTTTCCTTTTCTTTCGTTCATTTTTACCAACTATCAAGAAAATAAATTTTTTCCAGAATTATTATTAATCATCCTAAACTTTTTAACTATTCCTAATAATCATTAACAATCATAAACTTTATCAATTGAATACTACTTATATTGTCAAAATAATAAAACATCATGCTAATTATAATTAACAATTCAAATCATATTAGTGATTTCAATTCACATTCTAATGTATGTTAGATGCATAAATAATCATTCACAATTATTATTAATTAAAATTAACAATTCATAAACCTATGCATTTAAATTAATAATTCATAATAATAAAAACTGGGCAGAACAGAACCGGGCAGGTTGGAAAACCAGACTGAACCGGGACGGGCGGGTAGGGTACTCGTTTGGACCGGGTCGGGGCGGGTTGGCGACCCAGCCACCGCCCGATGCAGGCGGATACCCTGCCCGCCTCACCCCAGATCCGGGCCCGGGAAACCACTATCTCTTGACGACGACGGGCGGGTTGAAAACCTGTTGCCAGCGGGCAAAAGACAGGTCTTTTCAACCCGCCCCATTCACATTCACGAAAATAATAATAAAAAAGTGGAAAGAACGTCAAACAGGGCGACTCACCTTCTCCCAGCGACGACGACAATGGCGAGCAGAGGAATGACGCAGAGATTAGGAGGTGTCAGCGGAGGCTTCGTTGGGTCATCGGAGCAGTGGTTGGCGGCGTGGATCTTCGGATTGAGAACGGTAGCGGCGGCGTGAATCTTCGGATTGGATTATCGGAGATTCTGGGCGGTCGGCGGCGTTGCTCGGGAGTTTGAAAGGCAGCGGCGTTGCTGGGGAGAGTGAACGGCGGCGGCGTTGCTGCTCTCTACGTTTGAAATGGAAAGAAGGGGGAGGCGGGTTGCTGCCTGCTGCGGGAGTGGGCCGAGTAAAACAATGGGGTGAGTTTAGGTTAGGGTTTACCTTTTTTAAGTTGGGGGCAAAATTGTCCATTAAATAAATTTAGGGCGATTTATTTGAAAACTTAGGGAGACGAATAGAAGTTCAGTTTGTAAAATCAAGGTTTTAACCAAAACCTTCATTTTTCAAATCCATGAAGCAAACGAGCCCTTTTAGTATTGTTTAGCTTTTTCGATAGAGTTCCAATTCCCAAAAATTATTATTATTATTATTATTATTATTATTATTATTATAATTATAATTACATCTATAACACAACCAGGAGAAGGTTACTATTGCATAGTGTTCTATCACCAGAGGTGGTCTTTTGTAATTGACCAAATTTTAAAGGGTTTTTTTACACTAGTGATCTAATTAATTAGTTTGTGACAACTAAGTTCAAATTGAAGGTTCTGTTAAGGTTTCAATTAATTATCTAATGATACTTGAGTGGAGATTGAACCAAAATCAGTGGGTATTCGACTTAATTCGAATCGGCTAAAGCAAGTTGAACGCGGTGTTGACAAATTTTGCCTCACCAATGAGTTTTGCTCGCTTAAATAATTTGAGGGTTCTATTAAGGCTCTAATTAATTAAATATTAAAGTTTGAAGGTTTTTTTTACATTAAATGTTCTATTAAGGTTCCAATTAATTAACTAATAATATCAATGGGCATTTGACCTAATTCGAATCAAGTTGAACTCGGTGTTGACGAATTTTGGCTCACCAATAAATTTTGCCCGCATAAATCAATTTTAAGGTTCTATTAAGGTTCCAATTAATTAACTAATGATACTTGAGCGAGATTGAACCAAAATCAATGGGTATTCGATCTAATTCGACTCAACTAAAGCAAGTTGAACCCGGTGTTGATAAATTTTGGCTCACCAATAAGTTTTGCCTGCTTAAATCAATGGGTATTTGACCTAATTTCGACCCGGTTAAAGCGAGGTTTTGCTTACACGCTTAACTTGCTTTTACCCGATTTAAGCAAGTTGAACCCGTCAAATGGGTATTTGAGCTAATGTCGACCATGTTACAGCAAGTTCGATCCGACGTTGACGATTTTTTATTACATGCTTAAATAAATGGGTATTTGACCAAATGTTGACCCGGTTAAAGCGAGCTCCACACAACATTGACGAGGTTTTTGCTTACACGCTTAAATCAATGGATAGAGTTTTTGCTTACACGCTTAAATCAACTTATAGAGTTTTTGCTTACACGCTCAGTATTTGACATAATGTCAATCCGGTTAAAGCGAGTTCGACCCGGCTTTGACGAGCATTTTGCTTACACGCTTATATCATGTGAGCGGTTAACCACACCCACCTCTAGTCACCTCCATCTCTCAAGAACTACGGTAATGAGTAAATGGGCAACTATATTTAATCAATAATAATCAAAATGGACACATAAAATTGACTCTTACCTTGGGCAAGAGGTTTGTCAATGGCGATGGTGATCATAAAAATAATCCACCAATATATGATTTGAACAAATGTGAACCACTTTTTACTTTTCAACAGATATATAATCTGAATACAAATCGTCTACTTTTGTCGTTAAATGTTTTAATTTTTCGATTTTTGTTTTGAATACTCCATATGGGGCATTGATCGGTTGGTGGGCGGAAGCATAGTAGAATTGGTTCCCAGTTTGGGCCTTGAACGCTTAGAAATATAGTGCTGAAAAAAAAAATAAGAATTAGATGTAAAAATAAAAAAGAATTCCGTCGTTTGAAGCCAGATTTCAAGCTATAGAAATTGCCAGATTGCTACAGCGGAGATGTTTATTAAGCTTCGAACAAAGTAGGTTATCATATTTTATTACATCTTCCAATCAACTCAGTGACGTTGTTAGAGTTCAAAAATATCATTACAATAGTTAATATTCTAATATTAGAGTGAGTAATGAGTGGATTTATACGAATTTAGCGGGGTTGGAACGACCCACTACATGATAGATGAAAGAGAAAAATACACACTCACTCATACATGTATGTGTGGCCTGTGGGTGTATTGGGTTTGATGATTTCGGATGATGGATGGATTCAATGGGTTCACAACATACCAAAATGTTACATAATTAATATTATTCTAGATATAAGACAGAAAAATCTCCAAAATAAATAAACTCTTCTAATCCATAAACAAGTGCATCATTTTGCTTACAATATTAGTATAAGTAATTATTTACAAATCACATAAATATGCAACTGATAAATATAGTCTAAATCTAATATTAATAAAATAAAAAAGAAGTTGGACTTTCAAAATAGTTCTAGCTAACTGTCCAAGTCTTCACACAAAATCACTCACTAAACACTCTTGAAATGAAAACTAGAATAAGCCAAATTAGGATATAAACAATAAAAGTTAACAAGTAATATAGAAGGAAATGAACATAAAATATAGATATTTAGCCACAAAAATCAATTTACTTTACAATTATCCTCAATAAAAAATCACTTTGAAAAGATATTCATTCAACATTAGAAATAAAGGATAATTAGAAATTTGAGAATATCTTTTTCTCGAAATTGGACGGATTTTGTTGGTTTCTTTTAGAATTTTGGTTTAGGTAAAGCTATAAGTTAGAGAAAAGTTGGAAATAAAAAAAGTTCGATGAATCGTGAATCAATCACAGTCCACCCACATCCACCCAATTTATCGTGGGTCGCCTATTTTACAATTGATACCCACTCGTAAGAACCAACCACAACATAATGGGTAGGCATGAATTTGGATGTATTTGTGGTGCAACCACCCAATGCTCTCCACCTATATAATACTAGCTTATAACCCGACCCGTTAGTCGGAGGTTGCTTAGCCAAATATTGGATTATAGGTATGGACGTAATAATGTTTTTGGCTCATGAATATTGTGGAGGACAACATCTCATTAGTCACTTGTCATTAGTTGATAACAGAATAGAGAATAAGTAACGTGAATTTGTTTCAGTATTTAGGATAGCAAAGAAGACTGCAAAAATAAGACCTACTTCGAGTTAATTAAACTGAACATCCAGCAAGTCTTCATTGTATCTACCAGACAAGCGAGTACAATACTTCAATTCTATTTTGATAAGAGATTTCCAAGAGTAGGCAAACCCCTAACAGTGGCAAAAAGTAATTAGAAAAAAAATTAAAGTTTGAAAGTCAAAAGAAATAAAAATTTATTTATCCAAATTGAGATGAAGACTTAAATGTTGGTGAGAATCCAAATGTAGCATGTTTTCAATAGGCATGAAATACACTTAAAAAGAAGAAAACATACTATCTATGTCCTTATGGTTTGTTCATCTTCCCACCATGGTCTGCATTCGCAAGAAAAAGAGAATGACAATAAAACTGAGGAACGTTGTGGAGGGATGGTGGTATGGCATCATGTTTTCTTTTGAAGTGATTGGAAGATGTGTCAAACGCATACAATAATATTTGGTAATAATAACATCAGCATTAATGTTGTCAGTACTTCCATTAGTTATGGCCTAGATGGGGATCTAAGATTGGTCAAAGATTGGGAAAGGGAATAAATACTCTGGATAATAGCCTGTGGTAAGAGATTAAGTGGGTGAGAATGGTAAAAAATACCCATGACATTGTCATCATTCAAATAAACATTTTCATAACAAATAAAGAATTGCAATGTCATAAAGATAAAAAAAAACTTTAATCATTACAACATCCAAATAAAGAATTTTATCAACTGTCTCAAGCTTTCACTTCTCTATTCTCTAATCTAAATATTTAGTAATGGAACTATATAAATACTACGTAAAGGATATATTCATAACAACATAAATGACATCCATTGTTCTCTAGATCCACGCCAGTTCCAATGAATGTAGGTACCTAAGTTGACTAGAAAAATAAGCCAAAATATCCACAACTCGGTAAGAAAATGTTGCATGCATACTTAAAAATCTCTATGCACAACCCACGCCATAGGAATCAGTAGAAAAAATATTTTCAAACCCAAAAGAGAACTGAAAAATTTCTCATTCTTGGAATTAACATCATGCAAAAGACACCAACGTCTTGTGGTGAAAGTTGAAGCATTCAAAAATTAACTGCCAAAATATTAGGCATTGATATGATATAAGTTAAAGGTTCATGATATTTCGGCATTGATATGATATAAGTTAAAGGTTGATGATATTTCAATTTTCTCCTTGAACCCTCAAAAGTTTGCAGTTAAGAAAAGCAACATTAGCATATACATTCAAGAAGGAAAACTAAAAAAATAACAAAAACACTTGTAGTTGATCGAAAGAGATCAGCTCGAGGAAGGAGGGTTTCTTAAAATACCCGCCTATGCATATTTGTGCTTAAAAAGAGGAGCAGCTCCATACCAGTAAACTATATGAATGTCAATCAGATAGATCAACTCCACTTGCATAGTAATCAAGTGATCAAACTATGCATTGTTTCAGAGGATATAATGTCCATATTATTTCTAAGCAAAAAAAAAAAAAAACTTTCGAAAGAATAATAATATTTAACTCACATGGAGTTACTCTAACCCACTTATGTATGAGCAGTCAGAGGGCAGAACCCTGATGACCTCCGAACCAACAATTGAACTAACAACTTTGAATAAGCCAGTCGATCCCTAAATGCAACTAAAATCAACTACACATAGAGAACAATTGAATCATATCTTAAATGCTCCAAGCAAGTTGAAGGCAAACCATAACTTTAAGATTTGGTCATTATAATAGCCTTCGAATATTGATGCTTCTGAGAATTATCAATCTCAACCCCCACTTATACAACTAATCTACATAAACAACCATTGTAAGTAAATATTGAAACGAACAACTGATAAAACTTATGGTTTAAACCTACCTCTTAGTAACTACTATCTAATTGAGTTTAAATGATTTTTAGGCGCTATTAAAAAAAGTATAGATGGCTCACAAATGAAGACCCAACAGCTGAAGGTAGCACACAAAAGGCAAAATAGGAAAAGAGATACAGAAAAAGGTGAGAAACAGTCAAACAATGGAAAAGCTTGTATAGGAATACCTTGCTAGCTTTAGGGACTCTTTGTCATAGCAAATAACCCTATAGAAAATCCAAAACCCTAAGAAATCAAACAACCCTCCTCGACACTAATGTATGGCATGCCTATTTTTCCAATAGGTTTGTCCAATTCAAACTTCAAAATGAAATTCAAATATTGGATTACTTCTAAATAAATGGACTTTCACCATTAAACCAAAATTTACCATCATTAAGGGCTAATGCAAAGACATACATTTCTCAGGCCAATCACAACTTTTAAGCACAACTTTGAGTTGAAAACAGCAACTGAGCATTTAACTAAATGATATAGTAGAATGGATACAATCTGCTTCCTGCTAATGATATAAATGTATATCAGTACCATCGTTGTATCCTGACCTACAATTTGAGATAGGTTACTTTGAAATACGCTGCATTGTAGAGAATAAACATCCATAACGGCATTACGAAACCAAACTTAATCCAAAATCTTAATATTCCACTTCTAAGGTTCAATTTTCAAAGATTCATTTGAAAATCAAAGATTCATTTTAAAAATCTCAAACCACTATTAAACAATGCAAGATAAAGGCTTGTTCCAAATTTTGTACTTGTTGGAATAGTCCCCAAATCATTATCAGTTAATGCCCCAACTACCTTGTGTTCAGAATAGCTCTACAGATGTATTGTTGTTTGCGTCGGTCACCTTCAAACATAGCAGCATCACGAACCAAAGCAATTAAGAAAAAAACTTCATATTACAAATAGAACAACCCAATTCAATCTGGTCAACACTTTATACATATATGTTACCCTGGACCTGTTGCACTTGTTGCCTTTAGATCTTTATTAACACAATACAATTGAGGAGATAAGTGTGTTAATTAAGTGAATCACCATAAAGCTGAACAAACAGGGTCTTCTTGATTTGTCATAATAGTGGGGGTAGCTACAATCCGTCGGTTGCTCCCTCTGTGCATTCCAGTTAGAATCTTTGGCCTAGGTTTTAGAGATTAGGGTTTAGTGAGAACATTGGGTACATGAAGAGAGTAGGTTTGCTTTGCGAGTATAATGGAAGCTTTTGTGAGGCTGCGATGGGTGCACGATTAGTGTGTTCAACCACAGTTTGGGCCCGTTTAAATCAAAACATGTATTTACTTCCATGCTCAACAGACCGGCCACACTGGTGCCTTCTAAATTTACCCCTTTAAAAATTGCTCTTTATGCAACTAATTGAAATGGGATCCCACATTTCTCATTTCACCTTTATGTTTTGTGTAGAGTGTGATTATTGATGAGTGTAGATGTAGAAATGCCATTTCCCTACAAATTCATTAACACGCCAAAAAATGGTGAACCATCCTACTAAACTCAATCTCGTATAATGATCTTTGGATCCAATCATGCCAGATTAGGAACTGGTTTAAACATAGCGGTTGACCTAAATAAAATGTTAAAAGAACCAGTCTCATATAGTTGGCACAAAGATATAATTGCTTCATAGTAGTTCTAAAAACTAATAGTAATTTAAGAATTTGACATCACTTTTATATATTTAATATTGTAATTCGATATGCAATATTTGAAGCAATGATATTCGGGCTGCAATTTTAGGGTTATCATATACATATAAGTTATATAGACATTCAAATTTGAGTATTAAACTATAAATATAAAATAATCAATGTATGAAAATCAAAGTATCAAAACACATAAGTACTTACACGAGATTCAGTGGCCAGGTAATTGTTGAAAAGACATGTTTTAAGATTTTAGGTTTGTTTATAGTGTAGACACCACATTTTGTCCGGAGCAACCATGCTAATTGTAGCATCACAATGATATTTGGAAAGGAAGTTTGAAATAATTTGGTTAAGATTAGCAGTTGCAAGTCAATAAATACTCATTAACATAATGTTTAGGGCTAATCGAGGTTCTAACATTTGGAATTTGAGTGCAACGAGGTTGGGTTTTGATCGATCGAGATACATTTCTTTAGTCTAACCTCTTTACATCGTATACATGCCCTTGATTGACGAATAAATCACTGTTACAAGTATACAAGACTATGTGATTACAACAAAAGTAGTAAACGAAATTCCAAAGGTGTGCATAACTTGGGCCCATACGTAGGGACCTGCAAAAGAAGAGAACTACAGTCAATTCAAGCCCAGATCTGATTAAGCCCAACTCGGCTTAAACCCAATAGGCCCAACTCGGCCAACCAATTCGGTCCAAAACCCGGCCCAACAATCTGATCTAGACCAATTTGGTCTAACCATATCTTATCCAACCGACCACAACACAAAGGCACACTCTTCAAAGTCAAAATAAAAAATGGACGAATCATACGGTGACACGTGCCAAGGCTTTTTTGCTATATATGAGCTCTTTGGGCTTTTTGTTTTAGGGGGATTGGGAGGGAAATTTCTGGGGAAAGTAGTTCACAACAAACAAAAAACAGATCCTTTGTTCGACTCTCGCTCTTGGTCAAAGTTCAGTGGGGATTGACGTAGCAAATTTGCGAGATCAAGTAGAAGAAGGCTTTTCTTAGGCCAAGAAACTCCAAACAGTTTGGTGCTCTTACTCTTTCACCTTCTTAATAACATCATATCTCATTTTTATGTTTGACAAATTCATCTCAAACATTCATGCCCAGTCATAATTGTCCATCTACTTGAATTGCCTATTTATATTCGATCATTGTACTTTACAAACTACTTCACATTCAAGCACTCTACTTATTTACTTATTATAAGATTTGCTCGTAGCAATTCCATTTTGGCATTGAGCTCATCTCAATTGAGCATTTACTTGTTTTCCTGGTCAATTGATAAACTATTTTACATAATGTCATGTTTTCAATTTCTTCTCTAGCAAATAGTTGTTGAACACTAGATTATCATGTATAAACGAATGAGAATATATTAGTAAAGTTTACATAGACAAATATCTATAGAAAGCAGAAAAACAACTTTTCCCTAGGATTAAAATCACCATCTAGATCTGGATCCAGCAAATCACCCAAATATACTAAAATTCATATCCACTCAGTGAGATCACTACGAGCGGGGAAAGTTAATATGCTAACTTGAAGATTCATTAGCAGCTACTAACTGATATCGAACATACATGAACCAAGTACTAAAGTATCTAGAGAGCACAGATTAGTATTCAAAGTTTGCTAACTGATATCCACCATGAATCAACTATTCACTACAACAAATTCGGCCTATTAGGACAAAAAAAAAATTTTTTTTGTCATTTTCCTTTTGTCATAATAGATCCTATAATATGACAAAAAGTATAAATGTCGCATTTGGTACTCCTAAGGTGACAAAATATCGTTTTGTCAGAATACGTTGTCAGTTAAAGTCAATAACGTGACCAAATTTGTGTGTCACTATATGGTTCGTCAAAATAGGTAACCCACATCGGGTTGTAAGAGACATAAAGTGACAAAATGTCATCGTCAAAGTATCGTTTGTCATATTATGTCTTGATGAATTGTTTAAATGACAAATTGGTTTGTCACAATAGAGAACCATAAGCCCTCGCCGATCTGACCAAATGTAATGTTGGTCATAATATAGTGGTCTCGAGATGTGACAATGACATTTCGTCATACTTGGTGTTTTTAGACTGCAACCTCTTTCCCTCGGGAGAACAATTATACTCCTTTCCTTGTCTCTTCAAATTGCGCAGTCCATCAAAATCCAAAGGAACCCGACATAAAAGTCACCATCAATATTCCAACGACCTCGATCCTTTACCCGTCCTCCACCAATCGGGCCGGCCACTCACCGGCGGGATTTCCATCGTCGTAGATGTTCCACCAATCGCCCCGTCACCACCGCAGTTCAAAGATCCCCAATCTCCGAAACCTAAATTTCTTTACGGATTGGAGAGCAAACTCGCTGGTCTTTCTCCCTCCCTCGTTTCCCATAGCAAACTCGCTGGTCTCAGAAATAGGTAAGCGTCGTCCCTCCCTCCCGTGGCTACCGTGTAATGCTAATTTAGCTTAAGACTATTCTGGTGGTTTATCTATCTGAATGAGCTCTTGTGTTTCCTTGTCATTGACTCGGTGGCAGGTGCTGCTTATATCTTCGATCCTTCAACCATCCAGTTGTGCTAATTAGAATAGAGAGAAGGCACCCCAGGCACTAAGCAAAGGTAAGATTCGATTAATGTCTTCAATTATTTTGTTTTAATGAAATCGTGTAAGTCAACTGGTTCCTAATGGTTTGTCATATACCCTCTGTATATCCTTTCCTATTTCATCTCACGCTGTGCTTCCATCTTGACCAACTGCCTATAAAGGGAAGGTCAGTTTCTTTACGCACAGATTGAATGAGTAGAAATTGGATTAAGCTTAAGGATAGGTTTTGTGATGAATATCAAAAGAGGGTTTCTGAATTCATAGGGGCTGCCAGCAAACATGTTGATACGCTAGGTAGAACTAGATGCCCTTGTAAAAGGTGCAATAATCGAAACTTCAAGAAGTTGGAGATTGTCGCAGATGATATAACCAGGAATGGCATGGTGGAGACATATGCTACATGGATCCATCATGGTGAGTCGTTTGACTTTGGGAGTACTAGACATCAGCCTAGGCAACCTACAGTTGCGCTTGAGACTGAGGGTTTAGAGGATGACATGGCTGATATGTTAGGGGATATGCTGCGTGCTTCTTCTGGAAATAGTCCTGTCATTGAGGGGTCAACAACACCTAATTATTCTAATCTAACAGACCTCAATGATAAATTGGCTCGGCTAATCCGTGATGCCAATTTGCCATTATACCCTGGATGCAAAGACTTTTCTAGATTATCATTTGTTATGAAATTGCTGAACAATAAACTGGTAACCAACAGTACTGATAAAGCCTTCAACATGAATCTGGACCTAGTCAAGAAAGCTTTACCTGTTGGTGAGACGCTTCCTTCTTCCTTCTATGAAGTTAAGCGGTACATGGAAGATCTTGGGTTCGGTTACACCACTATAGATGCATGTCCAAATCATTGTGTACTCTATAGAGGTCCTCTAGAATCTGCCAAGTCATGTCCCAAATGCAATGAGTCTAGATACATACCTGGGAAACAAAATAATGTAGCCCAAAAGAAAGCTAGGTATTTCCCACTAAAAGATAGGCTGCAAAGATTGTACATGACTAAGGAGGATGCTAAAGACATGAGGTGGCACAAGGACTTGCGTGTCGATGATGATACGTTAAGGCATCCGGCAGATGGAAAAACTTGGAAACGATTCGATGAGGAACATAGTTGGTTTTCTGCAGACCCTAGCAATGTTCGCCTTGCTCTTCTAAGTGATGGGTTCAATCCTTTTGGGAACATGAGCAATAGCTATAGCATGTGGCCTGTCGTGTTAACACCGTACAATCTCCCGCCTTGGAAATGTTTGACAGAACCTTATTTTATTCTTGCTGTCCTTATACCTGGAGAGAAATCGCCTGGTAATAACATACATGTGTACTTAGAGCCCCTAATAGAAATGTTGAGAGATTTATGGGAGGATGGGGTCAGTGCGTATGACGCACACTCAAACGAAACATTTCGTTTACATGCTGCTTTGTTATGGACAATAAACGATTTCCCCGCATATGGCATGCTATCGGGCTGGAGTACGAAGGGGAGATTAGCCTGTCCTGTATGTAATAGTGAGACATGCTATGAACGTTTGGATTTTAGTCATAAAGAGTGTTACATGGGGCATCGAAGATGGCTGCCAACTGACCATAGGTGGAGAAAAAGTCGGAAATTTGATGGGAAGCATGAACTTAGAGGCAAACCAAGAGTGTTGTCTGGAGATCAACTTTTGCAGCAAATAGATAAGGCCTTTCTCTCTGATGTGGTTGTGAATGGTTGTGGGAAAAGGAAAAGGGGAAGTTCTGATGATATTCTAAATAACTGGAAAATCAAAGCTTCATTTTGGAGTTTGCCATATTGGAAAACTATAGAGTTGAGGCATAATTTAGATGTTATGCATGTTGAAAAAAAACATTAGTGAGAATGTGATAGCTACACTACTATATATCGAGGGTAAGACCAAAGATACAGCCAATGCTAGACGGGATTTGGAAGACATGCATATTAGGAAAGAGCTACATCTGGTGAGAGACGGTGATAAGTATAAAATGCCTCCCGCTTTATACACCATAAAAACCGCACAACTAAGGCCATTTTGTGATTGGTTGAGGTCGATCAAATTCCCAGATGCTTATGCATCTAATATATCCCGGTGTGTGACTACTGATGGTCGATCAATCACTGGCATGAAAAGCCATGATCACCATGTCTTCATTCAACACCTTCTGCCTGTTGTTGCACAAGGGTTCCTGAGCAAAGAAGTATATAATATATTGTCTCAACTTAGTGAATTCTTTCTTGAGTTGTGTTCAAGAACATCGAAGTCAACTGTCTGGAAACTCAGTGATAACATTCCAGTTATACTTTGCAACCTGGAAATGTTGTATCCACCAGCTTTCTTTGTCGTGATGATGCATCTGCCTATTCACCTTCCCCGCGAAATTGAGCTCGGGGGACTGGTGCAGTATCGCTGGGTGTACCCAATGGAGAGGTACAACCTGAGTCATGCACATTAATTTTTTTCTCCGACTTTTTATATAACGTAGCTAACTTTGGTATTATGACGTTTTCTTGGTTTTGATTTAACTAGGTTTTTAGGAATTCTTAAATCTTATGTTTCTAATAAGGCCCGTGCCGAGGGATCGATTGCCGAAAGGTATATAGCGAAAGAATGTTCAGATTTCTGTTCTAAATATCTTAAAGGTGTTGAAACCCGAGCAAGTAGGCTAGACAAAAATGATGATGGGTTAGACGATTTGAACTAAAAAGGGTTTGATGTTTTCCGTCAGCAAGGTAGATCTATAGGTGCTGCAAACTACGACCCTATAGGGCAGGCTGAGTTCCATAAGATTCAATGGTATGTCTTCACCAATTGTGATGAAATTGAAGAACAATTGAAGTAAGTTCTTCTTCCTTTGTATACTCTAAACCCCATTTATTAGTTTTTTATACCTTTTGTTCTTAACAATTGCGGTTACAGTATGCATACGGAACAGAGAATGCTGAATTATCCAAACAGTACCCCAACAACCATTGCCGAAAACTTCCCATATTGGTTTAAAACCTTTGTAAGCCCAAATTCCCCCCCCCCCCCCCCCCCCCCCCCCCCCTCTTTTCTTTTTTCTTACTCACAAGACCACAATCTATTGATTGCAGCTAGCTACCAATCTTAGTCTATCAACTTTTGGAAGCCCCCTTTTTTATATTTCCATTTGTTTCTCTTCTCTAACTCACAGCAGCCGTGCATTATGTTTTAGGTGTCTGAACAGTTTTTGGCTGGCACGCTTAAAGAGACTGACCATTTATATGTCCTAGGATTAGGGGCTGATGAACGTATTACTAGATATCCTAGACTCATCATTAACGGAGTTCGATACCAAATAAAAATGGTTGATCAAGGGCATCAAACTCAGAATAGTGGTATCGTTGTTAGGGCTGACCACAATGGCGAGACTATAGATTATTACGGGGTTCTGGTAGATATTATTAAGCTTCAATATTCTGGAGGGCATCGGGTGTTTGTATTCAAGTGCGAGTGGTTCAATGTGGGGGACAAGAAGAATGGATTAAGGATGGATGGACACTTGACGAGCATAAACATGGATAGAAAATGGTGTACGGAGGACCCATATGTATTGGCCAGTCAGGCTAACCAAGTGTTCTACATTGCGGATATTAAGAATGGTGGTGCATGGCATATCGTCCACAAGGTATGTCCAAGAAGTTTGTACGATGTTCCCGAGAAGGAGGAAGCGGGACATGGGGATCCAGTGTATGAAAATCAGCCATACCAACAAGATGTGGACATTTCTGATTTTAATGTAAGTGAAAGCGACTTAGCGGATTTGAGTCGTGATGACGAGGCACCAACAATCGTTACTGAGCCAGTCATACGAGCCAATGATGGACGAGCTGGAGTAGTGGAAGCAAGCGATGAGGAGATAGAGGACGACACTTTAGATGACCATCATTTCACCACGAATGAAACTGAACACCCAGATGGGAATGATCCATCCTTTAGTGACGAGGAAGAAGCATAACATTACATTAAACCCAGGCGCCCTTTATATGTTTGCAGAATATTTTTGTACATAGATATGTACCGATTTTTTGGGGGCCATAGTTGTTTTTGAACAATTTTTTTGGGCCTTAGTTTCATTTTTACAGATTTTTGGGTTTATTATATGAAGAATATTGAATATAGCCTTCAAGTTTTATCGATGTTACTTGAGTCTGAAAATGGGGTTTATGTTTTCCTATATGAACCCAGGCAAAACATAAAGCTAGATCGTCTCTGGTTCAATGAATTTTAATGTTTGATTGGGTTTCTGGTGTAGATTTGTAGTGTTTGTGTAGGAGGGAGACTGGGTTTGGTTCAAACATGGTTCATATTGGCTATCTTCTGAGCCCATATGATTAAAGGGATCAAAGCCCTTTGATTCTTTTAGTAGTTTTAAATGAGGTAAGCCAAGCCCTTTTCACTCTTCTTTGTATTTGCCGAAAGGAGAACCCTAGTTCCCTCTTCTTCGAATCTGCCGACAGTCGCTACCTCTCCTATGGCGATTTCTCTCTGACCTTCCCCCGCGAAATTGAGACTCATCATTGCTGTGTAGTGTCTTCTCGTCGTTCTAGGTTTGGGGAGTTGTTTGACAGTTAAGCGCTGGTTTCAGAATCGCCATTCAGGTTTGCCGCGACATGCATGATCCGATTCTCCGATTTGTAGTGTTTGTAGTGTCGATGCTATGCTCCGTTTATGTTGATGCCCTCGATTCTCTGATTTCTTCTTCATTTGTGATTTGGTTTGTCGATTAGGGTTTGGATTGCTAATGATGCCCTCGATTTTCCGATTCTCCGATTTGTAGTGTTTGTGATTTGGTTTGTCGATTAGGATTTGGATTTCTAATCGGCGTTGCACCCTTGACCTCCTCTCCTCTTGAGGTCCCTCTGCATACTGCACTTGTTTCTCACTTTCTCCGAAAAGCTGAGGCCCTTGGGTTAATTTCTTTCAAAGCTGCTCTTGTTTGAACTTTCTTCTGTAAAGTGCTGCTTGTTACTCTTGTAAGGACTGAAGTCCTGGGTTTTTCGTGATTTGGGATTTGGCCAAATGAGCTTCAATGGAAATAGTAATTACTGGGAAAAAAATTGAGAAATTGTTGGTGTTTGGGAATTTGGGAAATACCTTATAGATATGGATGTATTCCCCGACTCTTTTTCGATTCCTCTGACATTGATGCCATTTTCGACTCTTTTTCGATTCCTCTAACATTGAGAAATTGTTGCCATTTTCGATTCCTCTGACTCTTTTTGGAACTTTTGGTTCTGATTTACTTAGCTGATTTACGTTTATGTAACTGGAATATGACTTCTGGTTTTATCCTTCATTCGCATATTTTGTGTTCTTTTCCTTCGGTTTTGCTTTGTTGGTCTTTGCAATTAATCGTTGTTAGCCTTCAATTGAGGTCAGCACCTACTGTGTGTTGCTTTTTGACCATTAAACCTGCCCCTATGTTGTAGGTATGCCCCCACTGAAGAAGAAGAAGGCTGCTACTGAAAAGGAAGTGCCGATCCCGGATTTTTACCGGGCGACAAGATCAGGGAGGGTGCGGCCCGAACATGCTCGGTCCACCGAATCTGTAAGCGGGGGGAGTGGACGTCGAACTGGAGCCTCAGTGAATGAGGATGCTCAACGCACAGACACTGTGAATCCAGACGAACCCAATGGCAACGATGATTCGGAGGCAGAAGCATCCAATCATGAGACCGGAGAAGGTAGTAATCCAACTGGATTGGAAGGAGCCCCTGCGGCTAAAAAGAGGGGACTGTCCAAAGGGTACGAGATAATGAAGAGAACCGGAACTGGAGGCAAGATAGATGGAATCTACGTATTGGAGAATGGGCAGTCATTCGTAGGGCCTAATGAGAGCTTGTTGAAGACAGAGTTGGGCGTCGTAACACGCCTGATGGCCCCGATAAGGAAGTACTACTGGTCCAAGTTGACTGAAGCAGACAAGCACCCATTATTCAAGAAGCTAGAGGTAATTTCCGAAAACTCCTAGTTTGGCATGAAGTAGGCTAATCTGGACATTTTTTTTTGCTGCTGTTTGTTTTTTTTTCGGTCTGTATTTCCTTTTATATATTGCCCAGTAGTTTGGGTTCTGGGAGTGGGACGAGGCAGCAAAGCTTGGTGGCAGCACAGCTTGTTGTTGCCTCATGGGCAAGTCTCCCCTGTTTTCTCCTTTGCGGTTTTGGAGTTTGTAACTGATAGACCGTTAATTACACATGTTTCTACCCCTGTTCTTACACCGTTTGAGGTGTTGATTCTCGTGTTTTAGGCCGATTTCACTCTAGGTTGTGCTTGTTTGTGATATTTCAGGTCCTAGTACGTGAATGGAGGCTTGGGAGCGAGTTTGGGGTCGATTGGACGAAGATCGGACGCGTGGCGAGGTGCTAAGGAAGCCGCACGGGCATTCCTGGACATCACACGGCCGTGCAACTCACATTTGTGGCCGTGTGATTTTCGCCGAGAGCAAACACGGGCAGGATGGAAATCCCACACGGCCGTGCGACCCTGGTCGTGTGGGAAGCCTGAATTTTGACTTAATGATACGCCGCGTTTTGACTCACACGGGCAACTGGGTGAGCCACACGGCCGTGTGGCCTGCCCGTGTGAGTCGGAAAATCTTGGTTTTTCAGCCAATTTCGAGCCACAAGTCAGAAAATCGGACTTTTGGAGCAAAAACAGAGCCCTAGAGAGAGAAAGGACGAAGAACACATCCTAGAAGCTATCTTGGAGCTGGGTTTCATCAAATCGAGCTTGGAGATCGTCATAGGAGTGGAAATCATCATCCTAGAGCAGATTCTTCCCATTGTAATGAGTATGACTACTTTGTACCTTGTTTTCCTCTCTCTCTCTCTCTATGGAGTAGAACCTCTCTCTCACTTGGGGATGAAGAACCCTAGTTCTATGTGTTAGGGATTGATTGTAATGACTTGGGATGATATTACTGTTTGATTTTAATCGAATGATGCATGTTTATTGAGTCAATTGAAGTCTGATCAACTTTTCCTGATTCCTGCTGCAATCTGAGATAGATAGAATCTGATTAGGTTTCTAGAGTCTCATCATTCGGTAGTAGGAGATTGGCTATACGAGAGTTAGCCAGTTTACTGCTTTGTACTGGAATCCAATTCCAGTAGTGGAGTTCTGTTCTTACTGCTTCAGCTTTCTATCCCGGTGAAGACTAGTCGTCTGCCGGGTAGTTAGACTGAGACGGCTTGGTCAGCTTAAGAGATTCCAAGCTACTGTCGGATCTTCCGCAGTCTAATCAACAGTAAATCAACCCAGGGAAATACAATTGAAACTTAACTAAGGAGCTAGGGGGACTCATTCCCAAGTGACTCTTACATGCTTGAGAAAACCGTACCAATTCCTGCTTTCTTTCTGCTTTTGCTTTTAAACAACAAACACTTAACTTAGTTGGCTAGATAATAGATAATCACTGAGTAAGCAGTAGATCTAGACCCCGGGTTGATAATAGAGCTTGCCACTTTACTGCATTCCCGGTCTGCGATTACACTTGGTCGCAGATTGGTGTTGTGTTTTAGAGCATCAAGTTTTTGGCGCTGTTGCCGGGGACCCTCTAGGTTATTGGGGAAACGTGAAAGTCTGTTACTTTAGCTTTGTTTTTTCTTTTCTTTTCCACCCTTGCTTTTCACTTAGGTGTTATGTTTTTGTTGGTGCAGCTCTGAAACATGGACCCTCATGGCTTCTCCAACCATTGGGGGTATCAACCACCATCCGTGTGGTATTACCCCGAGACTTCCTGGAGCAATCAAGGAGGAGAAGACTATGGGTTCGGATGTTAGTACCAACCCCCCTTCTACGGAGAACAACCAAACCCTTGGGAACCTCAAGGACAATATCCTTTTCAAGAAGAGTTCCTGCCACAACCAGAGGGGCCATCTGAGTTGGAGTTAGCCATGGAGGCCTTCACGGGTCACTCTGCAGAGCCATGCTACACTTCACTGGAAGATCCGAACAAACAATTAAGGCTTCTCGTGGAGCACTTTGCTCGAGACACTGAGAGAGCATGCTCCAAGATGGATCTTCAAATCCAAGCCCTTGCATCTTCCGATCCCTCATTTCTCCATGATATGGAGGAGACTGTTCAGCGCTCAGCGAAGCAAACAGAGTGGGTGGAGCAAGTTTGCTCACATCTTGCTCAAGATCACCTTTCTGCTACCACGCTGATGATTAAATCGTGAATGCAAAGTTGGGGTATTTGTTTTACTTGACTTGGGAAACTTCACTATCTGTTGGTAAATGAAGTATATACTTGTTTATGTAGGATGAATTTGACATAGACACGGCAGGAGCAGATGCAAGGAAGATTATGGAGAAGAGAATGAAGAAGCGGTTCATCAATTACAAGTATGCGATGCACGCTCACTACCTGAAAGACCCTCAGACAGCCAGGACAGACCCTCCAGTGGACATGAACATAGAGGATTGGCATATGCTTTGTGATCACTTTGAGAGTGAAAACTTTCTAGTAAGTAACACCTTCTGTTTCATCATCAATTCTTTCATGCGTAACCTTGCCTTACAATAAATGGTTGCTAATGACTTGTATTTGTCATATGCAGAAGCGAAGCCAAATAAATAAAGCCAACAAGAGTAAGCAAGTGTATGCACACACTTCTGGTGCAAAATCGCTTGATCAAAGAATATATGAGTTGGTAAGTGTTCTCGAATTCAAAGACTAATTTATACATTCAAAGAATATATGAGTTGGTTTAACTCTGCCTGATTGTGGAACTTTCCTTGTTTCGTGTACGAGAAGAAAAAGAAGCAAAAGCAGTAGGAGGAGCAGCCTACGCAAGAAGAGCGGGAAACTGATATGGAGGACGCTGATACCCTAGAGGAGGAGCCAATAGATCTCCTATTGTATGCGAAGAGGTATCAGCGGGCTGACGGTAGTTGGGTATCGGAGGAACCGCAGAAGAACTATGTGAGTTCATCCTTTTGTACCTTTTTTGATTTTCACTGAGTTCATACCAAACCATGTGACATATATCATTACCCATTGTTGTTCAATCCTAGTTGGAGATGCAGTCCATGTCGATAGAGGTAAAGGCAGAGGGGAAGCCTATATCAGGCCGTGACATTGTTTAGAAGGTCCTCAAGAAAAAGGTGAAGTATGGACCGAAGGGGAACCCAAGATCAGCAAAGGAGCTTCAACTCCAAGCAGAATTGGAGGCAACAAGGGCTGAAGCGGAAAGAAAAGCCAAGGAGTCTGCTGAGAAGATACAGAGTCAGGAGGAGCAGCTAAAAAGCCAGGCTGAGAAGATACAACTTCAGGAAGAAAAGTTAAAGAGCCAGGAGGAGAGGTTTGATACTCAAGCAGAGGAGATGAACCAGATGAAAGCCGCCCAGGACAAGCTACAGCATCAAGTGCTAGTGATTGCTCGCCAATTACCCTGCAAATGAACTCCTAAGTCCAAGGTAACGACATTGCCTTAGTTTGCAGAGGCAGATGAGAATGCAGGCTAGGTGTTTGATGTTTTAAGTATGTTAGTTTATGCTTTTGTGAACAAAGTTATCATGCTTTGTGTTGTGGTGAACAATGAGTTTCATGTGTTGTGTGATGTTGGACTACTTTGAATGTTTGTTTATGGTGAACAAGGACTTAGCGGGACATGGGAATGGACATGGATGTAATATGGTAGATGTTTTCCAATATATCTCCATGTTCAGTTTGCGGATAAAATTTCGCATTATGGAATTTGTTAAGCAGGTCAAATGTGACAACAATGGAAAGTTCACATATTATGACAAGTCCATGACGAGCTATATTCGTCATAATAGGAAAAAATGACAAAATATACTCGTCATAATAAGGATTTACGACAAAAGGGCCAAGTCACAATTATAAGTTATGAGAAAATGCGTTCGTCATAATATACTGAAATGACAAAATATATTCGTCAGATACGCATTTATGACAAAGGATATTCATCACAACATAATTTATGACAAAATAATTTAGTCACAACAATGTGATGGAAGAGTATAAACCTAGTAATATGCCTTCAATTTATGACAAAACATGTTGACAAACTATTCAGTTTGTCACATTATAAACATTTCCTGACAAAAATCGGATTTGTCATATTAGGATTCTGAAAAATTATGAACCTCTCATGACAAATATTATTCGTCACAAAATACTGTTATGACAAACTATGATCGTCTAATATGACCAACTAATTTCTCAAAAGTATCAATATATGACAAAAATAAAGACAAAATGTTTTCGTCATATTATCTTTGTTTGTCACAATAGACTAACCAGAACCTCATATGTAACGGAAGTATTTGTGACAAATGTCTTTCAAAATTTTGTCACATTTGACCTATCTTGACGGCGATAAAATGACAAAACTTTGTGACAAACACCTTTGTCATATTAGGGCAAGTATGACAAAATAGGTATCTAATATGACGAAAGAGCCCCGTCATAACAGGCCGAATTTGTTGTAGTGATTATCCAAAATTCACAAACTAATATCTAGACAACACAAAATAGTATCCAAACAGCTCATAATTAGTATCCAGATAACACATAAGAGTATCAAGACAACCCATAAGAGTATTAAGATAACCCATAAGAGTATCCATTTTGAATACTAGTTGGTTGATTGTGGATATTAGTTTGTATCTGCTATCCGGATACTAGTTTGTGATGTTTTGAATACTAGTCTGTGCTATCTAGACTTAGCAGACTTAGATACTATACCATACATTTTGGATATTAGTTAGTATATACTAACGAATCTTCAAGTTAGCAGAATAACTAGGTTGACTACGAGCAATAGCTACGATTTGTAGTCATTAGTCGAATAGAATCACAAGCAGTGGCTGTGATAATTAATGATTTAGCATATTACAAATAAAACTAATTGCATTTTTTATGAAACTGATTTGCATATTAAGAGTCCAAAGCATACAAAACAACCGATTTTACCAAAAGTCAAATCTGTAAATCATTTCCTAACTCACCAAAAATCAGCATTCTCGCCAACAAACCAGATCTCACAAATTATACAAAATATAAATTAATTAGTTATAGTTAATTGCTATCCTCTAGCAAATCAATGCTCATAAAAAACCCAGATCTACCTAAAATTGCAACCCAAACGCATATAAAAAATTTAAAGAGTCCAGAACTCAAATCTATCTAAGATCCGTCAAATCCAAAGTAATAGACCAAACAATGTCTTAATCTTTTCGTTTAATTTAAGTATCTTAGCCAAATAATCTAAGTTTTAAAAAAGGCTCACCTACATTAATTTCGGATTAAGAACCACCACCAAAACAAAATAGAGGTCAACCTCAAGTTACAAATTCGTAGTAAACCCAAGGAAATCAAAGAAAAAAAAACTTACCGATGCCAAATAGCTCTAGCCGGCTTTCTCCCTGTCTTCGCCGCCATCAATCCAGCGACCTCCTTCTCCTCCACTCGACCGAAACAAAAAAATTAATTAAAAACCAAAATACAAAAAAATGAATAAATCCAAGAAAAACATTTAGGTCCGAACCTACCGTCGACCATCCCTTGGTCTGGTTGTCGCCGCCAGCGGTCTCCTCCCTGTTTTCCCCTTTCGCCTGAAACCAAAAACCCAAAAAAATTCGAGATTAAAATCACATTTTATGAGAAAAATTAGATCTAAGCCTGCATGTTCAAGAAAGCTCACCAAAGAGTAAATCGAGAGTAGTAGGAGGTAGATTGAGAAGCCCCCACGGTTTGGGATGATTTCTCCGGAAATCAAAAGGCAAAATACATCTGCATAGCCATAATTTTGCACTTTGTGACAATAATAGCCAATTTTTGAAAAATACACAAATATAGCCAAATTTTAATACTACATATGACAAATTTAGCCATTTTTGTTATAAATGTTGACGGCGTTAGAGATGCCATCAACTTCCGTCAATAATAAAATGAGGTGGCACTTCATCAGCTTCCACATCAACTCTCATTTGCCATATCATGCCACATGTTTGCCTTGTCATATTTAAAAAAATATTATTTCTAAAAAAATATTTTTAGAGAATTATTAGTTCTTCCCCTGAACTAGGGATTTTCTGCATCTACATATCAACATGTTTTTTAACAATTTTTTGTAACTCCACCACCAACGCAAAAAAGAACCACAAGGTCCAAACCCTTTACCCCGCAAACCCAAATAGGCGAAGAACAATCTGAAACCCAAAATCAGATAGATAAAGAAGAATCCAAACACAGAAACCTACAACCCGATTCGACGAAGAAGAACTCATAACTCCAATGCTGATTCTCCACCTTCATCCCCAATTGCAGAACTTGAAGAAGAAACCCAAAACTCCAATCGAAGATATGCGACAATAGAAAGCGAAATAGACAGAGGTTTACCTTCCTTCCCCAATCTGTTGAGCACTCCTGCTACTCAATCCTTGTTTTCTTCTCATCGCAAAATCAGGAAACGGTGACCGCGAGCCTTCATCAATGGTCCTCTGGCGAGAAGCAACCGGGTTTTTTGATGGTACCAGGAGAGAAACAAGCTGGAGTTGGAGACTCTGTTAGAGAGAAGCAACTTGGGTTTGTCGACGACGGCAGCTCCCTGGTTAGAGAGGCAGCGGACCATGACTAGATCTCGTTGGCGCGGATGAAGAGAAGAGCTGGAGGTGAAATGGGCGAATGAACAACGTCATTTTAATGGGAAGAGAGTTGAACGGAGTTGGGGATTTCGATTGGCAGGTCTCAATTCTGTGAACCTTAGGGATTCTCCGACAAAAATAAGGTCGATCAAAATTGGGGATTTTGAGGGCGGGGTCGAAATTGGCCAGGGAAGTAGTTGAACGAGATGAGTCGGGATCTGGATCTTCAATTGGTGGTGGTTTGGGCGGAGAAACGATGGTTATGGGATATTGTAGCTTTGTTGCTTGATGATGGAAGGGATCTGGGGAGAGAGGAAGACGAAGATGTTAGGTGGGGAGATGTTTTTTATTTTTTTAGTTTTAGTCTAATTTTATTTTTTAATTAATTCAAAAAGGGTTTTTTCCACCTGGACAATTTTTGGTGAAAACATGCCACATCAGCTAAATTTGTTAGTCCAGTCAGCATTCACATATAATCCGTTAAAGTTTTGGACGGATTGGCTATTTCTGTGTATTTTTCAAAAAGTGGCTATTGTTGGCAAAAAGTGGATAGTTATGGCTATCCAAGTGTATTTTGCCAAAATAAAAAAGAAACAAAAAGAAATTTAGTAGAATCCAAATGAAAAATTAGAAAAGCTAGAAACCAGGAAGCATGCATGCCGAGTTTCTTACCTGGATCGATTTCCCCTTCACGGTCGACTTGGATTCCCGACCATATTCCAGAGCGACGGCGGATAGAGAGAGAGAGAGAGGCCGCCGTTCGATCTTTGTGGAGGCGGCTAGGTTTTTTTTTCTCTGGAGAAGATGAGAGGTGAGTGAGAGAGGAGAGGAGAGGATCGTCGTTTTTGGCGAAGGAGAGGTGAGAGAGAGGCGACGCTTAGCTAGGGTTTTTGGGTTCTCTCTTTTGAAGAACAAAGGAGAATCGAGAGAGAGACAGAGAGGCGAGGAAGAAGGCGCTGTTTGGGTTTGTTTAGGTTAGGGTTTTTGTTTGCATTAAGAGACCTTATATACCTAATTTGTTAAAATGACTAAATCGGCCCTAGGGTTCTTAGCGATTTACTTGGCCCTGCCACCATCTTTCTGAGAAATTACAAAACTACCCCTTTTATCTGTCTCAGAACAAAAAAAACAACAAAATTGCTGCTGGATCGAGTTTCTTACCGGGATCGATTTCCCCATCACGGTCGACTAGGATTCCCGACCAAATTCCAGAGCGACAGCGGATAGAGAGAGAGAGAGAGAGGCCGCTGTTCGATCTTTGTGGAGGCGCCTAGGTTTTTTTTTTCTCTATAGAAGATGAGAGGTGAGTGAGAGAGCAGAGGAGAAGATCGCCGTTTTTGGCGAAGGAGAGGTGAGAGAGAGGCGGCGCTTAGCTAGGGTTTTTGGGTTCTTTCTTTTGAAGAACAGAGGAAAATCGAGAGAGAGCCAGAGAGGCGTGGAAGAAGGCGCCGTTTGTGAATGTTTAGGTTAGGATTTTTTTTCGCTTTAAGACACCTTATATACCTAATTTGTTAAAACGACTAAATCGCCCATAGGGTTCTTAGTGATTTATTTGGACCTGCCACCGTCTTTTTGAGAAATTACAAAACAACCCCCTTTTATCTGTCTCAGAATAAAAAAAAGGAAAAACTGCACACGAATTATATCCAACGAGCAGACCAGTTGGGCTACCAGCCATCATGTGTAAACATAGTCATCCCGTTTAATTTTATTTGTTTGAAATTCTTAATACGAAATGTTGAATGCGGATTAAGTTTATCTCGTTTCTTTTCCAATACATCAAAATACTTTCTAATAACTAAAATCCTTGCATTTATTGTCATAACCTCATAATAATCTAAATGAAGTTTTATTAACAAAATTATAATACGAGAATTACGTTCAGTGGAACGTGGTAAAAGTTATAAATAAAATTATCAAGGTTCCAAACGAACTACGTGGACTTTGATCCCGTATTACGGGTACGTAGGAAACCGATGAGCGGTTCGAGTCCAACTAACCAATTAACGTTCTCTTTTAATTTTTTACGTCAATGGGCGTATAAATAAATTATAACTAATACGATTAAATTATTTTATGGTCCAGTGGGACCTTAAAATTACAAAGTTATTACTAAAAATACACCCATTTCGTATAAAAATTTATCGACTTAAGTAGTACCGAATTAGGGCATTGTGGGGTGTGATTTCACTTCCCCACACGTAACCGTACTCCTGAATCCGAATCTCTTAACCGCAGACCATATATCGGTTCAGACCCTAAAGTTAGAGCCGACAGAAGAGTGTTCGATCCACTCCAAATAAGATCGATGGCGACTCCCAAAAAGCAAACGCGACCCCGATGGACCCCCGGAGGGACGGTTGCGACATATAGGTTTAATTTAAAAAGATGCAACAAATATACTTAGTGTGATTGGATATGATCCTTGCTTTTCTTTAATTTGACCATGGTTAGAATACCACTATGTGTCTATTTTATATGAATAAAAAATATAGATGATTGTGAAGACCAAAATATTCTTCCTACTTTCACTCTCCTTGTAGAAAATTTGAAATGGAGCAATAGTTTTCCTCGGTGTGCTATTATATCGTGTGTAGATAACACCAACTTTATAGTAGTGAAAAAAATTCTAATTTTTAATGTTGAAAAAAGAAAGAAAACGACAATCCTAATTTTTAACGCCAATACTATCCGTTATATCATGTAATAGTGACACAACGTATATTGTTGGAGCGGCTGTCACGTGTCTGCCACGTCAGGCAAAATTTATATTCCAATTTCTGTAGATTTCAGAATAAAATTGAGAAAAAATAAATAAATCACATTTTCAGGAATTAACGAACGCTGTCATATTTCCTTGAGACAAAGACTCCATAAACTAGAGATCGTCTTCTTCAGCCACTGCTGCCCTCGGAGATCACGCTGCGAGAATCATATTCGTCGACAAATATAGGGTTACGAAACTCGATAACTTGCCTACTGAATCTGGTAGTCGATTTTATTTGGTCCATCAGCCGGCCTCGGAGATCACGCTCCGTCACACCTTTCTTGGCGGAGACCTCGATCACGCTGGTGAGCTTAATCAGAAGATCCAACGAGCAGTGCGAGCTGGAGCGCCTGCATTGTGCGACAGGGGCTAAGATCAGGTGACTAAGGGGGGTCCCCTTAGTCACATGGCTAAGTGAATCTCAGCCACTCAACCTCATTAAAATCCAAGGGCTCCTATTAATTCTATTTAATGAAGGGCAATACAGTAATTACATGTTTATTTAATTTTTAATTATAAAAGAAATAAATAAATTTAACCCATCCCGTCCCTTTGCTTTGCCTGCCGTCTCCGTCCCAATTAATTGCGCCGCCTCCGTCGGCAATTCCTGGGAGAGATGAAGCGCCGCCTCCGTCGGCAATTCCTGGGCGCCATTAATTCCAGGGCCCAAAGAGATGAAGCGCCATTATTCCAGGAGGGAGGGAGGGCGCCATTATTCCAGGAGGGAGGGAGGGAGGGAGAGAGAGAGAGAGAGATTTTCTGGTCGGAGATTTTTTTTCCGGCGACCATCGTCGACGGAGAATAATTTTCCGGTGACAGTGCTTTGTGATGTTTGTTGACATATTTTGTAATGTTTGTACGCTTTGTTATTTTGTAATGTTTGTAAATTTTGTTATTTTTGTGCACCATGTTTATCATTTTTGTCAACCATGTTCGTAATGTTTTTTATGTCTAAAAAACACCCGGGTTGACTTTAGGAAGGACCCCCTCTATATAGGGATGGAGCCTCCAAAGTCAACCCGAGTGTTTTTTCAGTTCGTATGGATTGTCGGTCTAGTTTGTCATTTTTGTCCACCATGTTCGTACTGTTTGTATGTCTAAAAAACACCCGGGTTGACTTTGGGAAGGAGCCCCTCTATATAGGGATGGAGCCTCCAAAGTCAACCCGGTTGTTTTTTCTTTTTGTATGGTTTGTATTTTTTGTCGGTCTAGTTTGTATTGTTTGTACAGTTCATACGTTTGTAATGTTTGTAAATCTGTTTGTATGTTTTGTAGCTCTAGTTTGTACTGTTCGTATGTTTGTATGGTTTGTACTGATTGTAAATCCGGTTTGTATACTTCGTAATTTTTCATAATGCCCAAACTACCCCTGTCATTAATTAAATAGCCCTTCCCACTTTTTAACCATTGGATTGAAGTGTCCAGATCTAATGACTAGGAAGGGTTTAGTCAAGTGACTAAGGACCCCCCTTAGTCATGGGATCCGCTCTCGTGCGACAGTGGTCCAAGAACAAGACTATCCGAGTTTTTTTTTTCCGCCCCTTTTTCCAAGAGATATTACTGTGTTTATTATTTATCAAAAAGTTATTTATTTCTCAAGCTTATTTTGGAGTTGGTAAAAGAATTGAAGTTATTTATTTCTCAAGCTTCTTCCAACTAATGTAACTATTATAGTTGATTGTTAGTATTGAGGTCAACTCAAACATCGAGTCAAAGTTGTCCATTATTATAATTGTCGGGGTCGTTTTGTTATTATTATTAAAAGCTAGGGGCCGGATAGAATAACAACACCTTTAGTGTTGTTATAATAACATCAGGGTAAAATGGTCAATTAATCAAATACATTAAAAATAAAAATTAAAATAAAACAAAAAACAACTAAATACACGTTTCTGATTTCTCCGCTCCCAAATCTCAACCCCTACGGGTCTCAATCGTCCCAGCGTTCCTTCTTCTTCCGGCGCCGGCACAAATCCAATAACTCTGGCTGGCACCACATCGTGGGGCGTGCAGTATTCCTAGAGTCGGGTGAGGACACCGACGACAGCAACGACGGCGGTCGCTCTTCGGAAATTCGCGACAGCGGTGGTAGACGAGGAGTCGGCGGGCTGAAGAAGATCCGAATCCGAAGAACTCGGAGGAGGAGTCGGCGGGCTGATCCACGGGTGGAAAACTCCGGCGTGCCGCTGGTGAAGTTGGAGTACAAGCCGAAGTTGGAGTAGCTCTCCTGTTCGTCGTCGTGGAAGGACCCGTGGTTTCCCCATCCTCTCCACGCCCTCTTCGTCGTTTCCCGCGCCGCCGCCGTCCTCTTTCCTCGTCAGCCTTTCATCCTCTCGCTCACAATTACATCATCCTCTCATGCTTCGTTTCCTTCATCCTCCCAAATCCACCTCCTTCGAAGGAGCTCAATTAGGGGGTGAAAGCTTGTCCCGGAAGACCCACTGACCCGTCCCGACCCGTCCCGTCCCTAAGGGTCGGGACGGGTCAGTTTGTCTACAGGGACAGATTAGGGACGGGTCATTTGTTGACCCTGCAAGGGTCGGGCCGGGTCGGGACACTTAGGGACGGGTCACGTTTTGACCCTGTGACCCTTAGCAACAACAAATATCTCATAGTTCATTGGACCTTTTTGTAAAGTTTTAAAAGTTTAGGTACTAATTTGTAAAAATAAAAAAATTTGGGTACCAAAACGTAATTTTACCATCAAAATTTATGGACTTATTTGTAAAAAAATAAAATTTAGGTACTAAATTGTAAGAAAAAAGGAGACAGGGACGGGACGGGACGGTTATACATCTTGACCCTTCAGGGACGGGTCAGACAGGGACAGGGATGGGACAGGGACGGGACATGCAAATTTTTAGCCCTAGCTCAATAGGATGATAAAGAAGCTTCGAAGGGTCATGCTGTTGGTAATCTTTCAATAGAGTGATCTGTGTCTGAAGCAAAACCCTTAGACAAAATATTGCCATGGCTTCTGTTTGTTTAAAGTATATATATATATATGTTTGTGCAAGGGTTGCATTCCTCTGTAATAGAGTGATCTGTGTCTGAAGCAAAACCCTTGACAAAATATTGCCATGACTTCTGTTTGTTTAAAGTATATATATGTTTTTTGCAAGGGTTGCATTCCTCTGCCTGTTCTTCTGTATTTTCTTATGACGGGATCCAAGCTTATACACTTGAGGCAAATTCTTAAAAGTGGATGATGCGAGTACACAATCTTTACCTCGCCAGCAGCTTCCTGCTGCTCTTCCCCGAATCCAGGAGGCGATGTTGGCTTGGATTCTTCTGTTATTCATCCTTAATGCACCAGTAGGTTGTTTCTTAAGTATACTCGTCTTAAAGAGAATTAATTAATGTGCTTGTTGTTTTAGTTAGTAAATATAGGAATATGATTTTGTTACGTATAATGCAAATAAAAAACGACGTAAAGCACATAATTTTCGAAAGCACATCAGAAAACTCAAAATGCAAACCACTAACGCCGTAAAGTAAACCACAAAAAAGCAAACCAAAAACCTACTAGTGCGTACCACAAATCCATTAAAACGAACCAGAAACCCCACAAATCAAACCATAAAATTTTCGAAAGCACACCATAAACTTCTTAATGCAAACCAGAAACCTCCTAATGCATACCACAAATTTTCTAAAACATACCAGAAACCCCACTTTTTCGTGTGGAATTAGTCACACTTAATTAGAAAGATAATTACTCTCATAATTAAAATACGTTCTAATAAGATAATTAACTCTAATTATCTTTATAATATTCTTTTTATTAATTATCCTTCTTATTTTTTTATATTGAATAATTAATTAGGAATTTCATTTCCCAACACGGACGCCAAAACCCAATCGCAAATACCTCTAGTTAATGTTTCCTTTTCGTATTTGATTTAGTTTTCTTTGTTCCTTTTGAGTTCAGGTTGTGAGACACTATAAATATGTTGATCAATAATTATATAAGGGTGTTCAGTTGAGAAACTTGAGTTAAAGTAGCCATTCTTTATCATCCCTTTCCGACTTCTTCTCGATCTCGTTCTACAACTCGTCACAAATCATTCCGTGGCCGAAAAATCCACATAACACTAACCTTTCTCTATGCCATACAAAGTGTTTTTGAATTCACGAACATGCAACGAAAGAAAAAAAAAAAAAAAAACATAAGGCAACATGACTAATAACCTCCCAACATATCCCAATCCATGTTGGCAAACGCCCCTGGTGAATCATCACAGAGCACTAACGGTAGGACGCCGTCGAAATTCGAATCACTCCCCCAGTGAACAGTGATGGCAGATAGAGGTTCAAAATGAGGACTTCCGTCCACATTGGGCCGTGATTCGTCCGACAGAGAATGGGCAGAAGCATAATAAAATTGGTCCCCATTTTGGGCCTTGATCGCTTAGAGAGATGGGGTTGAACCGTTGAAGCATAATGAGAACTAGTGTTGTATCCGGCCCGTTGGCCGGTTTGTGGTCATTTGGTTATTTTTTTTAGTTAAACGTAGGTGGTTCGATTTTTAGTATTGTGCACTGGTGGTACAAAAGAGTATTTTGATAGTTTATGTTTTTTAGTGCCCGTTAATTTATAATTTTATTCAATTTGTATTTCATTTTATACTTAACTATAAGAAGTTTAAGTTAGACAACGAATGAAATGAAAAACTATCTCATGCCTTGAGATATTAAACATCACTAAATAAAAAAATCAACAAAATTTTTTATCTTCGTTATATGTGAATAATTACCTTGCAAATGAAGCTTTGAAAATTTTATTACTATTTTAATTTAAATATAGTTGATTGTCATCTATTGAATTAAAAAGTAAATAATGTACATAATATTACTATAGATGTATTACATTTAAATATTTTAAAGATACAAAAATTCGAGGAGAAAAAAATGTGATATGGAAATAGATTATTTGGACAATTATGTAAAGCAAATCCAAAAATATTAGTATAGATGTATTAAACTTATATTTTTGAAAGAGACAAAAATGAAAAATATTAGCAAAATAATATTTTGACTTGAAATGGCCCTTTTAAGTTATTCAATCATTTGAACTTTAGTTATCATAATTCAAATTTAACCTTTAACAATATGCTCATATTTTTAAATATTTTATTGACTATGTCCTATATTTTCAAAAGAGGAGCGGTTGTTGGATGAAAAATTTCAACGACTCATGATTAATGGTTTATCATTATACAACTATTTTTTAATCGTTAATGGAACTATTCGGATGTAAATAACAACGTAGTTAGGTTGAAGAAGCATTTACGTTATTCCATTGGACCATATTTTACGTTTAATAATTTTCTAAGAAAAACTATCTCGACTTTAAGAAATTACATAGAGTAAAAAAATTGATTTTTTTTGTTTGATCTCATTCGACACAAATATCGAGTCGGTACGATATTGATCGAATTATTGTTTAACCTACGACTAAACATGCGATCTTACCTTTCAAAATTTAATGTAAAAATTAGACATGCTAATTTGAAAATTAAAAGAATTTAAAACAATATAAATTGATTGTATTTTGCCAAGATTTCCCGTCTTTCTTCCTCTTCATGTTTGCCGAAATCACTGTGAAATTAAGATTCTAAAACTTTTGAAGGTTGATGCTTGGTTTATCTGTTTAACGTAAAACCCTAATGCGCAAAAAGCTATTCCGAAGGAACCTCTTCCCAAACATCCACGCCACAACGATATATCATCTTTATCATCTCAAAATCCAATTCACAAGCATTATCTCATTTAGGAGTTAAACAACTTTAGATAACCTCTGTTTTTTCCTTAACCACACAAAATAAATCTACACAGAGCAAAATTCAAATAATTATTATGTAGAATTTACCTTAAACAAATCTTCTTTTTCCTTAATCATAATTGCATTTACTAAAAAGAAAACCAAAAGTCCAATAATAATGAGTGACCCTTGAGTGTTTGAAAAATTGTCAAAGTTGCCCTTCCACCAAATAAGGAGAACCAATCAAAGTGCAAGGTGGCAACAATAACATGGAGTGAAGTGCATAATATATTGTGTAGATTGATTGTAAGAATTAAAAATAATACCGCTGCCGGGAATTAAACCCGGATTTCAAATAATAGAAATTGCCAGATTGCTACGGCGGAGATATTGATTAGCTTTAGAAACAAAACAACTTATATTAGCTTCCAATCAATTCTTATAGGACGTGTATAGATAGAATAATTTGTATTTGGTATTTGTGATTTAGATTTCTAAATATCAAATAATGTGTTTGGATATTAATTATATTTATTGTTTGGATTTGTGCCAAATTCATGGGTTGATTTTCAAATACATGTCTAGTGTATTACTTGTCAACTTCAAATACATTTAAACAACTAGTGATTTGAAATACTTTCTAACAAAAAATTGGACCTATTTGTAAAATATAAAAAGTGTAGGTAACATAGTGTGAAGCAAAACAAATAAAGGTACCAAAATGTAATTTTACCATCAAAATTTAAGGAACTTTTTGTAAAATTTTAAAAGTTTTAGGCTCTAAATATTGAGAAAAAATAAATTTGGGTACCAAACTGTAATTTATCAAAATTTGTAGTAAGTGACAAAAAAGCTTCAAATTAAAATAAAAAAATGATGATATTTAAAATACAAACAAAATAGAAATGAGTATCCAAACAACGAATTTAAATTACATGTATTTCAAATAACTTACATTTGAGATACACCTATCCAAACGCACCATAATGTAAATTTGCTAGAGTAACAAAATATAATTAAACCCCTCATATAGTTTCTCAATTACACTTCTATTAAGACTACCATATATTATTTGCATCTGGATCTCCACTGATTATACTCATGCGGCCATGCCAACAAATTTCATTTTTAGTCTGAAATCTCAATAGAGCAACAATGCAACAAAACAACTTTTGAGATTATTTTTCTTATACTATGACATAGATTATAATGAGAGAGAGGGGGAAAAAACATGAAGCAACATGACTTACAACCTCCGAACATAACTTAATATACTCTAATTAATTAGTAGCGGCTAGCTAGCTACATATCCCATCCATACATAACTTAATGTACTCTTACTCTAATCATCACAGAGCACTAGCGGTAGGACGTCGTGGAAGAAAAATCTCCTTGGCGGTACTGACGAGGATCACACTCGCGTTCTCCACACCGTAATCCCGAAGCGCCGCCCGAGGATTGTCAAGTTTCACATCACCCAACCGCAGCTCCATATCCTCGGGGCCGATATCCTCCACCCCGGTTTTCTTCAGCTGCGCCACAATCAACCTCTTCACAGTGGCAACCCTTTCATCGTACTCGATCGGGTAGCTCGAATTCGGGGTGCCCACGAAATGCACCATCACGCCGATCGGTTCGATCTGCAAATCCAGCAACGCCGTTTCTCCCGCTCTGATGCCGTAAGAAGCCACCGTCCGGTGGTCCTCCATCTTCGTCCACCGGGGCATCACGTACAGAGTTAGCCTCCCCACCTCGACGCCCAAGTTCGAGCTGATCCTCCGCTTCACGTCTATCACCCTGCCGAGGTCCAAGCGTCACGCGCCGTTGCGATCAGCAGCCATCTCGATCGATCGCTAAGGTTTACGTACTAGGGATAGGGATGGTTGCATATGTACGTATAAGGTTTTAGAGTTACGTTTTCGTGTGTATATATATATATATATATATATATTGCGGTGAAATAGGAGGAGTACTTTCCAAGAATATGTATGCATGTCAGTTTGTGTGATCTATCTACACCTAGTTAATATGGATGTGTCATCTAGCTAGTTATTTGTCTTCTCCAGCCATGCAATTTATGCTTTGTGTAAGGTGTCAATAAGGGTTAATCATAATTTGCATGCATGATATGATGACGAAATGGCTTATCATCGTATTCTTATTTTCCAACTACTACTGCATGCAGCCTTACTTCTTCCACTAGAAAATTTTCAATGATGACAGACGGACGCAGGGCGTGGTCAGGGCACCCCAAAATTGGCGGGGTGATTGGAATAGTGGATTTGCACTCCACTTCCTCCCCTGTTAATAATTAATAAGTGCCGGTCAATTGATTCTGAATTCTATCCTGGCTTCGAAGGGCAAGGCTCAGGAGTCTGCTGAAGCAGCTTGTCGAAACTTGAATCTGGTTGTGGCTAACTTGGTCAAGTCTATTGAGCAGGGGGTCCTAACTGAATGGCAAAGGTCAGGAGCTGTGGAGTTGCCAACTGAGGGTGAGCTTCAGACAGCTATGATAGGGCAAAGCTCTTCTTCTGCAGGGGAGAGTTCTATCACACCTGTAGCCAATAGGTACCAGAGTTTAGCTGTGGATTCTTTTGAGGTTGGGAATATTGTAGTAAGTAGCCCGGTCCTCCATAATTTGGATGAATTTCCAGTATTGGAGGGAGGCGGAAAGGGGAAATGTAAGCAAGGTAAGAAGGGGCCAGGCAGGCCTGCCAAACCCAAACCAAAAAAAATGAAGGTGCTAGCTTGGAATATTAGAGGATTTAATCACCCCGACAAGCAGAGTCAGATTTTAGAAGTAGTCAGTCGAGAAAATGTAGATGTATTTGGAGTTCTTGAAACCAGGGTGAAGGAAGGAAAATCTAAAGAGATAGTGGATTTGAAGTTTAGCAGATGGGAGTATGTTCATAACTATGAGCATTCAGCATTAGGTAGGTTGTGGATCTTTTGGAAAAGGGGTTTGGATTTTACTGTGTTGGAGAAATCAGAGCAATTCATACATGGAGTGGTCGGGGGAGATAAGACCGTCAATATCACTTTTGTGTATGGCTCAAATGATGAAGGTACTAGACGAAGCCTATTCCATCATCCTGTGCTTAAACCTGACAATCTGCCTTGGGTAGTGTTAGGAGATTTCAATGCAGTGAGAAGTGTTAATGAGGCCTCAAATAATCCAACCACTTCACAAAGTATGGTAGACTTTGAAGACTGGATAGTTCGTATGGAGTTGGAGGAGAGTGCTTTTGAGGGTCCTTGGTTTTCTTGGACTAATAGGCAGGAGGGGAATCCTATAGCTAGGAGGATAGATAGGGTCCTTGTGAATTCCAGTTGGTTAACTGTGTTCCCAAATTATGCAGTAAACCTTCTTCCCCCAAGACTTTCGGATCACTGTGGGTTGCTAATGAATACTGATATCAATATTATTTCTCTACCAAATCCTTTCAAGTATTTCAGCTGCTGGGAAACCCATCCTCAATATAATAAAATTGTCAAAGAGGCCTGGAACAAGCAGTTCGGGGGGACTCCTATGTTCATAGTATGTCAGAAGTTGAGAGTGGTTAAGAGACAGTTGAAAAAATTGAATAGATCATCCTATTCAGACATTTCAGATAGAGTTCGACTTGCTCGTTGTAAAGTGGAGGGGTTGCAGATAGCGGCTCTCCAGCAGCCTTCCCCTGAGTATTTCCAAAAAGTAAATGAATGTCAGCTTCGGTTATTTGGACTTCTTAAAGAAGAAGAGGCTATCTATAGGCAAAATTATCGACTTCTTTGGGTTAAAACAGGGGATTTAAACACTTCCTTCTTCCACAACTATGTCAAAGCTCGTCAAGCTCGCTCAACCATCAAAAAAGTTATCTCAGAAGAATGTACTGCTCTAACTGATACTAAGGAAATGAGTGAGGAAGCAGTTAGATTTTACCAGAATCTGCTGGGCACCAAGAATCCAGATGTTCAGAGAGTGAGCAGTGAGTTGATCTCACAACTTTTGGTCCACTCTCTCACTCCTGAGCAAGCTGATCCTCTTTGTTGTCCAGTTTCTCGAGAAGAAGTGAAAACAGCTCTTTTTTCTATGAATGGAGATAAATCTCCTGGACCAGATGGCTTCACAGCTGGGTTTTTCCAACATAACTGGGAGATTTTGGGTAAGGACCCCACTGATGCAATATTGGATTTCTTCAGGACAGGGAAGCTTCTTAAATCCCTTTCTCCACGGCACTTGAAGTCCCAAAACTGCTCCAAGGATTTACGATCTAGTAATAGTGCATTTGCCTAAGTTGGCCTCAAAGGCACCTGGAAATTTGCCGTAGTGGTCCATGTCTCCTTGACAAGGCCACCAGCTATCGTCGTCGATTCGGGTTAGAGGACAGAGTCGTCAGTATTAACTTGTATCCAACCGTCAACGCAAAACCTTTATGCGAGGTGTTTTGGCATTGCAAACCGCCTAGATGTATCTACACCTAAGATTAAACACTTCTTTTGAAACCATACCCAAAAATAATCCGCTTAAGGGGAACGAAGTACAACAAACATAGCTAACATCATCAACAGTAGTATAAAATTTTACCACCACATTGTTTCATCCTTAGATGGATGATTTATAAAAAAAACCACAACAGTTGTTTTTATAAATACTTTATTGGAAAATAGCTAAATATTCCATGCAAGATCCAAACATTAACATTGCATACGTACGTGCTCCTTTTTATTCAAAAGCTCACTTGAATTACCAAGAAATATAGACTCTGTTTAATTTACAACCCGAACATAAACCACGAACAAAAATCCAACCCAGCCACACCAACAGGAAAAAAAGAAAGAGTTTTTTTTGCTACAACATGAGCCACTCGATTGTTTGCATTCACCAATAGTAAACTTGAAACTCTGTAAACTCTTGACGCAATTGAGAGATCTCTTCAAGAATATCCCCTCCACGTCCATCGCGAACTTCATGCCCCTTGATTTTGACAACAACCGTTTGTGCATCTCCCAAGAAAGCCACCTCCGTGAGACCCTTCAAAGAACTCCAACGAATTGCATCCGGAACGCCATTGCATACGTGCTTCTGGTTGGAAGTTAGTGTAAAGCAATTGGCAAGACAAATGCTAACCGCTTTATCATCGTCCATGTTGAACTTTTCCATATAATTTCTCAATATACATCTCTTATTGTATTCATGCAGACAAATTTCTTTGCTAGCCTCAATAGAGCAGCAATCCAATGAAATTAGTGAATTTCCTCATAAACATGCAATGACCCGAAGTAGATCTAGCTGTAGCCTTATAGTAAAACCAAATAACAACACAATAAAACGAAATCACAACCAACTTTCTTTATCGTTAAATGTTCTAATTTTTTGGCTTTTGTATCCCACATCAGAACAAAACTTTCGTTGTTTGAAAGGTCAATAACCAACCTCCGTCGAAACTTGTAATCACTCCGCCAATGATGGCCGATAGAGGTTCAAAATGTGGACTCCCACATCGTTATCTTTTCTATAGATGAATTTTAGGTAAATTAAAATTTTGGCCACTATAAATGTTCACAGGTGTCACTCGAACTTGTATTATATGACCAAAGTACGCAGCTTTCCTTCTTCTTAAGGATTTTCGAAGCTTTTCTCCAACTTGAACAACTCGAAATAAAATGGATAGATATGGAACACGATCAAACATATTCCAACTCGTGTGAAAGGCCAATTGGTATATGAAACCAATCAAACAATCACCCACTCGTGAATAAGGCCAATCGCTATTTGGTAGATGCTCGCCACAACTAGACACGTTCTTTAGTTGATAAGGGACACGTGAAACTCCTGGAGACTCTCGACAGAAGCTTGCACAAACGTTGACAAAGGAACACGAGTAAAAAGTCTTACTGACCGTTTACTTGCCATTCCATTTCTTATAGTTGCCACAACAGAAAACAAATCAAAATGAAAACGAAGCTATCATTTTTCGAGAAACAAAACATGAAGAAAACTTGTTTAGCTGAGAATTCTGGTGAGTTCTGAAAATGAATTCTGAAAATGAAAACCTGTTTAGTTACTTCATTATGTTTTCTTGTCCTTGATTACCACTATTTTTTCATTGAATATCATACAACTCTAATCATAATTATAAGTTTTAAAACGAATCATATTGCTTTCAAACCACTAATTCAATACAAATACAACATTTTACTGGGAGCGATTTTGATGGTGGAGTGGACAAAGAAAACATCATCTGGTGGGAAAGTAATGACATTATTGACTCCGTTTCTCCACACTGATCCCCTGACGGCTGCCGCCGATGGGAGAGGGGAAGTGATTGAGCTAGCCGTGCAAGGAAATATGAGACGGAGCAGCGATTTGGGAGAGACGGGGATCCTGATTCATTCAATTGACGCGTATTCCTGGCTCAGACCCAAATTTCTACTCTCACTGGACGAGACTTTGACGATCGGGGCGTTGAGTTGGGGGAGAGAGATTCGTCGGAGGGAGAGGAAGATGAAGATGATGGCGGCGTGGGGCTGGTGGTTGCTGGAGGGAGAGGAAGATGATGGGGCTGGTGGTGGTCGGGGGTAGAAGGAATTGACGATCGGCAGGCTGCTGGAGGGAGAGGGAGAGGGAGAGGGAGAGGGAGAGGGAGAGGGAGATTGCGGTTCTTTGTCCTTTTCACATTTGGACGACTTGGGCAGCAAGAATGGACATTTTGGGCTCCAAGAAATGTTGTAGGCCGGATTTTTAATGCATTCTCCATTTTATCCATCAAGAATGCTCTCAGTTGATCCTTAAATCGTTGAATTTGAACCTTCATTTTGGGACCACGAGAATTGAATATCGCGCTAGTCGATATCACATCATTAAAAGTTCAAATTTGGTCATCGCTGTTAGTCTCCGTTAACTTTTATTGGTGTGGCGGTAAACTCTCACTATTGCCCGTTAAGTGAGTGACGTGGCAATTAAAAAATAATAAAATATACTTATTTTTTATTTTTCACCTAATTATTATAAAAATTAAATTAAATATTTTATTTTTTATTTTCTGTTTCCATCTTTTCTTTGCAAACCCAAAAGAGATGAGCTGGAGTAGAGGTCACGAACTCGGCCATTGCGCCACCATCAGCTGTTAAGTCAGCAGGGGTCTCCTAATCGGAGTTCCAACAACGAGAAAAGAGGATTTTATCCTCAATCAGCTCTCCTTATATAATTGGATACAGGGAAATGGAATACGACGGAGGAGGGCAGAGTTGTGTACAATTTGAAGCTCGAGTACATGCCCGGCGGCACGATCGTCGACGAGATTCCAGATTGACCTCCATGTATGATTCCGGCAACGAGTCGAACAACAACAACCTCGCATCGCTCACCTCTGTTCTCCGATTCAGAAGCTAATCCAGCGAGGACTCCTCCGAACCAAAAAAAGATACCAAGGCGATTCCTCCGACGCCATCTTCGATCGAGCCAGAGGAGCCGATGGCTCTGCTTCTTATTAGATAATAAGGACCATTCTGTAAATAACCAAATAGCTTAGGATTAGTTCAGTAAAAGTATAATGTAAATATGACCTATAATGTAAATTAGCTAGGTTGTTACAACGTCTTTTCCCGCCGTTCAACTCTGTAAACCATAGTATAAAATCATATTCACTAGCTGAACTCTGTACGTTTTTCTTTCTTCAATTGAGAAATTCAAAACTTCAATCAGAATTCTAGCATGGTATCAGAGCCCCTCTGAGCCAATTTCGTCTCACATTCTCGCTTCCGCATCTCTCTCTTCTCTCTTCTTCGAGATCTTGACATCGTCCTCCTATGGCGATTCATGATTCTTCTTCTTCCGGCGACGAAGCCGCAAACCCTCACACTAGAGGTCGCCAGAGCAATCCTGGTGTGATTCTGTACAAGGGCGTTCCGATCTCTGATCTCGCCTCTCCCTTCTTCATTGACCCGTCAGAGAATTGGGGTCAATGTCTTGTTTCTCAGCCTCTCACCGAGAACAATTTCTCTAGCTGGGAAAGATCCATGGTTCTTGTCATCGATGGCAAGAACAAATTAGGGTTTCTCAATGGCAAAATCCCGCAGCCACATGACGATTCTCCACTGCTCGAGCCCTGGAATTGCAACAACAAATTGCTTCTCAGTTGGATTCAGAGGTCTGTGAACCCTACAATTGCTGAAAGCATTCTGTATGTGACTACGTCTGTTAGTGCTTGGACCGAGCTTCGAGAGCAGTTCTCGCAAGGGGATTCATTTCGCATTGCTGATCTTCAAGAGGCGATCTTCAATCTCAAACAAGGTACAATGAGTGTTTCTCAATATTACTCCAAGCAACGATCTCTTTGGGATCAGTTAGCAAACTATCGCTTCATTCCAGATTGTGATTGTGGAATCAGTTGTCATTGCATTCTAGCTTCCTTACGCAAGGATTACATGAATGACAAAGTGATTAGGTTCTTAAGGAATCTGAATGATAGTTTTAATGGGCCTCGTTCCACAGTTATGCTCCTAGACCTATTGCCTCCCATTAACAAAGTGTTTGCTATGATGGTGCAACACGAAAGGGAGAATAACTTGTTGCCTAAACCACAGACTCATCCTCCTTCTACTGGAGATAGCATGGCTTTCTTTACTAAAGTTGCAGGACAACATTTGGGTATTCAGGGCACTGGCCAAGGCTTCAAGAAACAAGGCAAGAAGCTTGTTTTCACCTTTTGTGGCTACTCTGGTCACACAGAGGATATATGCTGCAAGAAGAATGGTTACCCTCCTAGGTACCAGTCCAAAAAGAAGCAACAGCCTCCTCGCCAGGCAAATAGTGTTTCTACTAATCTTGCTCAAAATTCCAATGGAGCAGTGATGATCAATCAGTCTGACTGGGAAAGCTTCCAGCAGAACTATCAGAGGATGCTTCATCTCATGCAGCCTTAATCTCAGCAACCCACTTCTCTACAGCAGAATACCCCACCTCAATTTTCTCCTCCACAGCAGCAGCACTATCAACCACCATCCAGTTTTCAAGAAGCTTATAATGCTAATAACCCAACACATTATTCAGCTTCTAATGACAGTAAGGGATCTGGTCAGCATAACATGATTAGCAGAGCAAATTCTGTTGTCTCTCACGGTTTTGAAACCACTGAACAATCAGGTATCATTCATTATGCTATGAATGTGAATTGCTTACTTAATGATAAATGATTCTAGACACTGGAGCTACAGATCATATTATCTGTTCTCCTGATCATTTTTTACATTCAAAACCAGTTCAGAACACTTATATTCATATGCCTAATGGTAGCAAAGTACCTGTTACAGCTATAGGAAATGTTAAGTACTCGGATCATCTGGTTTTACTTGATGTTCTGCTTGTTCCTTCTTTTACCTTTAATTTGGTATATGTTAGCAGACTTGTTAGAATTACTACAATCTGCTTATGGTTCCATTATTCCCTGTGTTTTATCCAGCCCTACCCCAATTTGACAATGATTGGAACAGCTAGTCTAGTTAATGGTCTGTACATACTCATCTCAAACTGCACAGCTTCAACATAATCTCATTCTTAACACAACTCCAGCAATCCCCTCCACAGTGGCTTTTTCAACAACACAGCAATCTATTGACATATGGCACTACAGGCTTGGCCATATTCCAGCAAGCAAAATCAGAAATTTTCATTGTTTAGACAATTCCATTACTGCACTTTCTGGTTTCCATTGTACTGTTTGTCCCAAGGCAAAATAGAAAAGGCTTCCTTTTCCTTCTAGTATCAGTAAAACAGAATGTCCCTTTGATGTTATACATGTAGACATTTGGGGAAATGCCCTTGTCACTTCTATTCAGGGTCACGGGTCACTCATACTTTCTGACTATAGTGGATGACTATTGGATTTTCACTATGAAATCTAAATATGAGGCTTGTCCCATTATCATTTCATTTTTTGCATTTGTTGAGAATCAATTTCACAGTAAAATAAAAGCCATCAGGACTGACAATGGCCTTGAGTTCCAAATCCCATATTTTTACAATTCCAAAGGAACTATTCACCAAACTACATGTGTTTACACTTCTCAACAGAATGGTATCGTTGGAAGGAAACACCAGCATATCTTGGCAGTAACTAGAGCTTTACTTTTTCAAGCTTCAATTCCATCTCAGTTCTGGAATTTTGCAGCAATGCATGTTGTTCATCTCATCAACAGAACTTCCACTCCCCTTTTACAAAACCTTACCCCTTTTGAAAAACTACATGGTTCTCCTCCTACTCCGAACCATTTGAAAGTTTTTGGTTGCCTTACATATGCTGCAACTATTCAAGCCACCAGATCTAAACTGAATCACATATCAAACTCTTGTGTTTTCCTAGGTCATCCACTTGGAAGAAAAGGGTTCAGATTATACAATCTAACCACTCACAACATTTTTATATCACGTGATGTTTCTTTTCATGAAACAATCTTTCCTTTTCAACAGGTCAATCAAAATTTGACCCCTTCAGTTCCTCTTCCAGTTTTCCCAACAGTTTCTGCAGAACTAGACTTCACTAAAGCACATATCATTCCTCCATCACTTTCTTTACCTTCTCCACCTTCATCAATCCCTGCTATTGATGTTCCAGTTTTTTCTCACCCTCTCATTGATCCTATTCCTGTTGAACAACCTCAGTTAAGAAGGTCCACCAGACGAATTGTCAAACCTGCCAAACTGAATGATTACAAATGTAATCTGATCAGTCAGTGTTGGGAGAGGTTCAATCGTGGATCATATACCACAACACTAACACGCCCCCTCAAACGAAAGCCACTCATAAGGGCTTGAAGTTTGCACAGGTTTGAAGACAAGAATACCATGTGCTTAACAAATGGGGGTCACTGGGAATCGAACACAAGAACTCTCGGTCACAGAAGGCTCTGATACCATGTAAATAAGTAAAACGCGGAAAGAAACGAACACACGATTTACGTGGTATCCCTGCTCGATGTGAGCAGGACTAATCCACGGGAGCAAGCTCCAGCTGAAGTTTCACTAAGCTGCAGCAAATATGGCTGCACCGTGCACGATGACACAACCATCGGCTAGAGCACAAATATATATACCCTTCGACAATATTCTAGGGCAGCTCCAGCTCATGTGGTTAATTACAAAACAATACTGTAATTAACTAAATATGGGCAATTAATCACAGTAATCCCAATAATCTCAATACTCCCCCTCAAGCTGAAGCATGAAGATCACGAATGCCAAGCTTGGACAAGAGGAAATGGAACTGATCTGTGCCTAAAGCCTTGGTGAAGATATCGGCAGGCTGGTCAACAGTAGCAATATTATGAGGTGCAACCTCACCAGAGATGACACACTCACGAACAAAATAACAATCCATTTCCACATGCTTAGTGCGCTCATGGAAGACTGGATTCGCAGCAATGTGGAGAGCAGCCTGGCTGTCGCAGAGAAGAGGAGTCGCTGAAAGCTGAGGAACCCCCAACTCCATCAATAAGTGCCTCAGCCATATGATTTCAATGACAGTGCTGGCCATGGCACGATATTCAACTTCGGCGGAGGAACAGGCAACGACACGTTGCTTCTTCGTGCGCCAAGATACTGGGGCGGAGCCCAACTGGATATAGTAGCCCGTGGTAGACCGTCATGTTGCTTGACAACCTGCCCAATCCGAATCACAAAAGGCTGTTAATTCCAAAGAACCAGAAGAAGGAAAAAAATAAACCTTGACCAGGAGCTGTCTTTAAGTAGCGCAGGACGCGTAGGGCAGCAGTCATGTGGTCGGGACTAGGGGCATGAACATATTGACTGGGTACATTAACGGCATACGCAATGTCAGGACGGGTAACAGTGAGGTACAGAAGACGCCCAACAAGACGCTGATAAGAACTGACGTCAGAGATCACGTCAGTGGCAGGGCGAGTGAGAATGTGGTTCTGCTCCATGGGAAAACGACTTGGTTTGGCACCGTGCATCTTTCAGGTGTCAAGGGTATATTTGCGTTGACTGAGCATTATCCCATCCAGAGAGCGCGCTCTATCCCCGGAAAATATTTTAAGGGACCAAGATCCTTAATGCTGAAACGAGAGTCCAAAAAACTCTTCACCTGAGAAATGAACGTGGCGTCGTTACCAGTAAGGACAACATCATCCACATAAATGAGAGCCGCAACAAAGGAGTCACCCTTGCGGTACAAAAAGAGAGTGTTGTGGTATATGATCCACGATTGAACCTCTCCCAACAACTCAAGTTGTTGGGAGAAGGTTATGCTGGATCTTATACCACTCTCTAACAGTCAGGCTTCTTTACACTCGTCTGTTTCATATCCTATTCAAAATGTACTCACATATCGATCACTGAGTCCTACTCATCGACATTTTTCACTTGCATCTCTTGAGAAAACAAAAACCTGGGTTCTAGTAGATCCCCCTCCTAATGTTCCTATCATTGGAAACAAATGGGTTTTCAGATTCAAATTCAAACAAGATGGGACAATAGACAAATACAAAGCACGTCTAGTAGCCAAAGGTTATACTCAGACACCTGGAGTAGATTACATGGACACTTTTTCACATGTTGTTAAAATGACCACAATCAAGATCCTTTTAGCTCTAACATCAATTTACAAATGGCATCTGGAGCAATTAGATGTCAACACAGCATTCCTCCATGGTGATTTACACGAAGATGTGTATATGAAACTGCCTCCACGATTGCAGGTTCACCCATCAGATCAACACAAGGTCTGCAAACTTACAAAATCACTATATGGCTTAAAACAAGCTAGTCGACAGTGGTTTGAAAAACTTGCAGCCGCCTTAGAAACTATTGGCTACCAAAAATCCCACATTGACTACTCTCTATTCACCAAATACTCTGGTCAATCATTCACAGATCTACTAGTATATGTCGATGACATTATACTCACTGGAAACAACATGGATGAAATCAATTATGTAAAACACCAATTGGATATTTCTTTCACAATCAAAGACCTTGGTAAATTAAAATACTTCCTTGGAATGGAAGTTTCAAGATCATACACTGGAATTCATTTGTGTCAACGCAAATATACACTTGATTTGCTGTCTGATACAGGTTTTCTAGCTTCTAAACCTCCTACTACCCCTTCCATTCCTGCCACTCATCTTTCTGCTCATGATGGTACTCCTTTAAATGAGCATGATCATAGTAGTTACAGAAAACTCATAGGTCGATTACAGTATCTATGCAATACACGACCTGACATATGTTACACTGTAAATCAAGTACGTCAGTTTGTTGATTCTCCTACTTCAGCACATGAACAAGCTACTCACAGACTTCTTCAATTTCTAAAAACGACTCCTGACAGAGGATTGTTTTTTCCTTCTAATTCTTCTACATGACTCATGGCCTTCTCTGATTTAGATTGGGCTGGATGTCCAGGTATTAGGAGATCAGTAACTGGGTTTTTTGTGTTTTTAGGTAATTAATTGATCAGCTGGCGCTCGAAGAAACAACAAACCATTTCGCGATCCTCAACAGAAGCAGAATACAGGGCATTGGCGGACACATCCCAGGAGCTTCAATGGATGACAACACTCTTCCATCAACTTCCAGTTCAACCTCCGCTTCCATACACCATCTACTATGATAGTCTCTCTGCTATCAAAATGACAGAGAACCCTGTCCAGCACGAACGCACCAAACACATTGAAGTAGACTACCGCTTTACTCGAGACCAAGTTCTTGATGGGAAATTAAAGGTTCAACACATCTCCACGACACTCCAGCTAGCAGATCCCTTCACCAAAGCGTTGCCTGTACACACTTTTATTGACCTCATCTCCAAGCTAAACCTAAAGTCTATCCATGCTTAGCTTGTGGGGGGTATTAGATAATAAGGACCATTCTGTAAATAACCAAATAGCTTAGGATTAGTTCAGTAAAAGTAGAATGTAAATAGGACCTATAATGTAAATTAGCTAGGTTGTTACAACGGCTTTTCCCTCCGTTCAACTTTGTAAACCAGAGTATAAAATCAGCTTCACTATCTGAACTCTGTACGTTTTTCTTCCTTCAATAGAGAAATTCAGAACTTCAATCAGAATTCTAGCACTTCTGGCCAAGCCCGTGGGGGAAGACGAGGCGGCATCTGGACACCAATTCTTCTAGGAGTGCGAGGGTGAAAACAGCAGCAACCTCTACTCTTCCTATGACGACTATTTCTGCATCCTGCTGCTGATGGGCGCCCTCCTGCAACAACTCGTCAATGTATTACTAGAAAGGTATCACATGATGATCTTGGTCCACATTAAATAGTTGGGGATGCGGGTTTCTGTAATTAGCTCTCAGCTTCCTTTATGTGTGTTAACTAGGATGATGACGACTCGTCCGGAAGTGATGAAGGAGAAGATGACGATAAGATGATGGTGGATTCTCCCTAGACAGAAGACGTTGGTGATGATGATGATTGGTGGATGGTGGTTTCTTCTCTTTTGCGTTTGCAAAGAAAAGAAGAAAACAGAAAATAAAAATATTTTATTTAGTTTTTGTAATAATTAGGTGGAAAATAAAAAATAATTATTTTTTAATTGCCACACCACTCACTTAACAGTCAACAGTGAGAGTTGACCGCCACATCAACAAAAGTTAACAGAGAGTCAGGGCTGTTAATGAGCCAAGCCGAGTCGAGTTTTGCCTTGTTCATGTTCGACTCGTTTATAAAGGAGTCGAGCTCGAGCTCGACTCGTTTATAAACGAGCCGAGTCGAGTCGAACACGAGCCAACTCATTTATTAAATCTTGACATATCATTAAGATCAAAAGTTTGGCTCGAGTTCAACTCTAAGATAATTTATAATATAAATACCCTCATATTTATATGTAATATGTGATACAAGTGATTACCTAATGTTATGTCATATATGAGACGTATTTGCTTATATATACTCAATTTATTAAACACCATATGAGGTGATATATACAATTTAATAATTATATGCATCATTAACAAAACAACTCATAAAATATAGATTGATTTTCTCATAAGCTGTAGTCGAGTTGGCTCTCTAGTCACAATGTTGGGACATCTCATAAGCTCAATACTAGACCGTTTATGAGTTGTATTAGACGAGCCACCTAATTGAGCTAGTTCACGAGCTTCACGAACGAGCCGAGCTTTTTTTGTTCGAACGGGCTTTTATCGAGTTCGAGACCGAGTCACTCACGAATAGATTGGCTCATTAACAGCCCTAACGGAGACTAACGGCCAGTGACCAAATTTGAACTGTTAACCTAATTTAAGTGACTATGGATGGAATAAATTAATTTTAGTGACAAATGTGAACTTTACTAGTAATTTAAGTGACCAAACTTGCAATTTAGTCGTTATCTTTAATAATTTTGCAACTCTTCTCTTAATTAAAAACTATCCTTTATATGACATATTATAAAATTGCCTCTAAAAGTATTATTATTTTTATATAAGCATTTTTTCTCAAAATAACTTTCGTTTTAGAGACAGATTATTACAATCCTACCATTTTTTTAATCCAAGGCAAGCCCAAAGGGCATGGGATAAAGACTCGAAACAATTACACACTAGCTCAAAAATTGCACGATAGTCCGTATGCAACCGGACTACGATGAAAGAGCCTGATAAGCCACTACATGGGCAGCTCTGAAGAAGCTCCGAGGAGCAAAGACACGACACTGACGGAAGAAAAAACAAAAAATAAAAAAACAACATCTCCAAGATAGTCCCGCCAGCGAGTGTAGTTTGCTTCGACGGAGTATGTCGGATGACCAGTATCGAGTTGCCCCAAAAAGCCACAACAAATAAAAGAAAAGGACATTAGCAATATTGGATAGAGCATGCTTCATTACTCTCATAAATTTATAAAAGCGAATAAAGTCGAACAATCACCTGATAGATAGATGAAACTTATTTCACTTCAATTATTCTCATACCAAATAACCACCTGCAAAATGACCAACCAAAAAAGCACAACTATGGTGCTAGAAATCTCTATCACAAGAGATTACATCTTGCCCTAAAGGCAAAGTCGACCTTATCAAAATACACCAATAATGGTAATATTGGTCTCTTGTAAGTCCAATACACTCACTATGAATGAAAAGAACATAAATTACAAGGGAAACAAATTAATCCGCTTTAAAGTTGCTAAATAATGATGGTTTAAAATTATAGCTCGATTAGCGCTTGGACGAAAAAGGCCTGAGAGCCAGCTAATTGGGTTCCTAAAATAATTATTATAGAAAATAAGGCATATAATTGAGGGATAACCTCTCTAATTGAGGTAAAATATATATATATATATATACACAATCAGTCAAGCAAGATATCAACGACTATGATCAGCAAAACAGGTGTTATTAAAAGGGAATAGCAAGTTATCGCAGATGAATGCAACTCAAATAGAACTATAGAAGCAAACGGATTGCGGCGAGCAAGAAGAAGGGAAAGGCCTATGTGTGAGTGGTGAGGTAGTAGTGGGAACAGAAGAAGTATAATAATGTGAATGGAGAATTGGAGATGGACTGAGTCACAGTCACGAGTGGCGAGCTATTGCTATGCTATATATTCTACGATTCTTTTCAAAACAATCCTCCTACCAGTACTATAAAGACATTCTCCGCTAGAATATATGAGAATGGAAGGTTTTGACTTAATTAATTATTTGGGCACACTTTGCGTTCAAATCCTTTAAAAAGAATTCCCAAATTCAGTATTAATCAATAATTCATAATCTAATTTTCAAAACATGATATGCTTTATCATCTGGGTTTCATGTCAACAAAAAAAATTAGTTTTAGTTACATACAAAAATTTTATAGTTCTAATCATTAGTAGATTTGTACAATATCAATATACTTTTATTTCTAGCTGTTAGTAGATTTGCTGGATAATATTTTTTATTAAAATTGTTCTATATGTTTTATGTAAAGCATATAATTATTGTTTGTTCACGAATGAAAAATGCTTGAATTTGGAAATATTATCATTCCAATGTGTACGTAGGTAAAAATAGAGTTATAGGTATAATATTTTCATTTACTATGCATTTTTCTCAAACATACCACTGTACTGTATTTCACATAAAAATTGTCCCTCTACAATGTATTTTTCTCAAACATGCATTTCCGTTAGATTTATCATCCAAAAGTGTTAAACTTAGTCAAACCATGGCATGACCAACCTAAAATAACAAAAACGCCCTTTATTATAATAAACAACCAACCACAAATTAATAGGCCAATTGAAATATACACAGTTTGTTCTTCCCGCTTCTTTCTCCTTCATTGGTCCGAAGATACCTTTGACAACCTATCATTGGAGGCAATAGAAATGACTACCAAGTACCAAGCGGCAACAGCCAAGGGTGAAATTCCCAATCTGAAAATTCGCTTCCAAACCTAAACTCTTTCTTCTTCATATTTGCATATGAAGAAGTGCTCGAGATCAATGGTAACAACAGTCAACAGAGTGGATCCGAATCGAGAACGATGTGGCGACAATGACGAGATTTGGCGGCGAGAGGCACTACACGATAGGATAAAGATTTGAGATCCACAATCGTAAAGGAAAATAACATTGTTTCATATATTTTGACTTTGAGCAGTCGCATTAGGCTTTTCGATACCCAAATCTGTAAATACTCTTCTCACATCCCGAAAAAGATTCATTTATAGCAACGTGGAGGTGGAGATTAAAGCGGCAATGGCTTCCCATTTTCATTTCTGAAGAAAAGATAATGTCAATTGCGAGGCTTCCCATTACCATTAGATGTTTGCTTTCAATAAAATGCAAGAGAAGAAGAAAGAGTTTGCTCAAATTACTCTTATAAGAGGTTCTCTCACCAAAGTACTTTTATAAGAATTATACATCAACATCAAAGACAACATAGGATAGGCAACAATCTACATATACTATTTCATTCTTTTTTACTTCAACTTCATTCATTCGAGGAAAACACACCAAAAACATAATGTCGTCGACTAAATAGTATATCCAAATTGCTTCCATTTTATAAATTCAAGATTAATTGTGGGAAAATTTTGTTGAATCTGACTTTATTGGTCCGGTATGCGAGAGAGTTAGGTATTTGGGAATGCATAATGAGAAACTATTTGAAGACAGTGATAGAATGAGAGGGCCTTTACCTTCTCAACTCCTACAAACTGAAGGAATGAAGTTGAATTTCACATCAAGCTCATCGATTACAATATCGCGAACCTCAGTAGTGAGTAAATAGATTTAAAGATAAGGAAAGCTAAAGAAGGGTAATCTCACACAAAATTCATGACATGGACAAGGTAAATTGAACATCTTGAAAATGGTGTTTCGCAAATGTAAATGTTGTACCATTAAACTTTTGCTTTCGATAAAATGTGCGAGAAGAGAAAGAGTATGCTAATGGTGGCGGTAGCGGATACGACGATGGATAATGACATTATTGTCAATAAGGAAGAGATTGTTGGTGGTGGATATATAAATTTTCAAGATGGGTGAAAAGAGCGAATTGTTGATCATGTTTATATTTGGGTGAAGTAAATTCAACTAGCATGAAAATGATGTTTCACATTTCCAAACATTTTACAACTAGAGTTTGAGATTCAATGAAATGCATTAGATAAGGAAAAGACTATTGGTGGCTAATGTAAAGGTTTCATGAGTGAAGATGAAGCCGCATGGATAAAAAAATGATTTTGATTGTGAAACAATCACAAAAAATGCCCAAAAGAACTTTTGTAGTAATTTTTGGAAAGATAAAATTTGTAGTAATTTCTGAAAGTAGTAAATTTGAAGTTCACTCTTATTAATCTTTTTAGGAATTAATACTTTGCATTAGCTTTTTTATACTTTTGTTAAAGACCGTTATTCATGAATGATTAGGATATAAAAAAAAACAATAATGTATGTTACCAATTTATACTAATAGTAATTGAATAATTTAGATTCTTTCATGGTACATAATAAAAATATAATTTTGTTTGGGCAATTACTATTATCATTTATACCATATATGTAATTCATCCGGTCAACGGGCGGGTCCCATCTAGTTGTCATTTAAAACATTTGCATCCACATTTTAATGACCACGCATAGAAATAAAATGGCGGTAAGCATTTTGTTTTGACTCCAAGGTTCAAATAATTTGGTTTTGGCTCCATCTTTTCAATTGAGCTCCCCAACTACCAAATATTTTAAATAATTTACCAGGACCGGATGAGATATTGAAATACTAATCCCAACATCCTTATCTATAGAGTGGAAATAGGTACGGTATCGGTATCTCAATGCCAAATACAAAAATCCCGAATACCGAATTACACCCTAAAATCAATCTCAATCTCAATCTCGAATCGGTGCTCGGTATCCCAATCGGTATTATCGAATACATAATTAATTATCTTTGCAATTAATAATTAAATATATAAATGAAATTTTATTGTTTAATTTAGGACAAAGAGACTAAGCAAAGAGTCTTGAGTTACCTAGAGCTAACATCTCAAGTTCTTGTAATTGGTAATCTTTAATTTGACGAATTTGAGGTTAAGAGACTACTAATACTAGTGTGAAATAGTGATGTAATGATCTATTTATAATTAAATGACACTTTTGGTGGTTGAGGATCGCGTAGTAGTGAATGAGACAGTGTAGAGGATAAAATACACACTAGCCTATATTTTGGTATTGATCGGTATTTCGGTATATACCGATCCCAATCCCGTAATCCCTAATACCGAATAACAATTGAAATTCAATCTCAATCCCAATCCCACGAAATAATACGTGTATTGGTAATACCAAATATAAACAAATTCGGTACGGTATTCGATATATCCCAAATACCAGTACCAAACTTCGGGCCATAGACCCTCAATTTCCCTTCCCCCAGACTATCGATTTGAAAAAGAAAATCTCTACACCCTGCTCCCCACCGCCTCCGGCGAACATCCGTTGTCCATACCTCCGTCGTTCCTCCTCCCATAAGCGTTCTACCATCTGCATGATCTTCCAGTTTCTACCTCCGGCGTGAAGTTCACGCTGATCGCTATCGGGAGCAAATCAATCTGGCGGCCATCCTTAATTACCGGCTATAGGGGATTTTAGGTTCTTCGAGGGTTTGGTATATATTCCACCTTTATTCTTTCAGTTGACCTTGGATAGCTATTCCTTACCTAAATTTCATCATATCCATGTTGATTGTGAATTGCAAAATGAGATTGAGAAACTTGGAAGAAAGTTTTAGCAATTTGGGAGTTCAAAGAATGCCTTGGGATGAGATTGACCTCTTATTTTTATATCCCCTCCTTTTTGGGATACACGATCCTCGGTTTTGGAAGAAAGCATTAGGATTGGAACTCACAATAATGTTTTTTTTTATAATGGCGAATATGTATTGATATGAAAATGAAAATTGGAACAGTCAAAGGTCCTGGTTCATAAGCAATGAACCCAGCGCCCACCCAACAAAAGGCGAAACACAAATTGAGAAAAAGAAAACACAATACCAAAAGGGAAGAACAAGAATGAGAGCCAACTCAGTGGACCGGACCACTTCTGTTGGAACAGACTACACAGGCTACCCAGCAAAACAAGACAGCACCAACACTGAAACCAGGGTACCAACAGCCCAAAAAGCCGAGCACAAAACGATCATCCCTCTCCAGACATTGATGCCAAGATCAACATGCCAGGACACCCTCCGAGCAATCAGCCACCACCACGGGCAGTTAAGTGGCGAGTAGAGCCTCTTTCAACCAATTCTCACCCTGTGTTTTCTCCACTTTAACGAACGCAACCAACCATTCCATAGAGAGCCTTGCCGCTTACTTAGCCACCATGGAAGCACACGACGCATTCTCTTCAAAGATCCATTGATTCCTCTCAAGCCACACTCCCCACCATACAGCAAGTAGAATGCAGCTCAAGAACCAGCCACCGACATCCACAGGCTCGGACAGAGGAGTATTTTTGACAAAGGAGCTTATGTCCCTCCCCCTGAATCCCAACTCCGTTCTATTTCTGCTGAGGGAATTCCAAATATCTATTGTGAATTCGCAGTCCACCAAAACATGCATCACCGATTCATTTTCTTGGAATCATAGCGTGCATCTATTTACCACCGTCCATCCGCGCTTCATCAAGTTGTCGATAGTGAGAATCCTATTGTGAGAAGCGAGCCACAAAAAGAAACACACTTTCCCGGGAATGACTGGTCTCCAAATCTGTTTAGCCGGGAAGTCTTAGACACCGATGAACAAGTCCTTCGACACCTGCCTGTAACAAGAGCTCACGGAAAACTTACAATTGTTGTCAGGATTCCACATAATTCTACATGGACTAGAGTTAAGCTTAAATCCCTCCAGATTTTGAAGAAAATTTAACAACTGCACTCTCTCACTCTCCCCCCCCCCCTCCCCTCTCAAAGAATATTTAAGGTTAAGAGATCATCTCACCATCCCGTCGTCAAACGAGGCCACGTCGGAGAGGCTGGCATTGGAGTCGGCAGCAGCAACGGCGACACGAGGAAAGGCTAAAGCCAACACCGTCCCAGGAGACCAAACGTCGTACCAGAAGGAGATAGAGGTGCCATTTCCCGGATCCATTGAGGCGAACTTCCAAAATAAGTCGTAGACTTTCGATATATTTGCCCACACCTAGTGGGAGAAACCATTACGAGCACGATCAGTCTGCCAAATCGATTGGGGGTTTGGGTATTTAATCTCGATCAGCTCCCTCCACCAGCTATTTCTTTCCGGCGCGAATCTCCACAACCATTTAGCTAGCATTGCATCGTTGAAACTCCTGAGATCATGAATCCCTAGCCCTCCTGCTTTTATCTCAGCTTTACACGTTTTCCATTCCACGAGCGCCATCCTTTTAGATTCGCTAGCCCCATTCCACATAAATCTCTTCTGAATTTTTTCCAGATCGTTAATAACTGAGGTTGGTGCTTTAAAAAGAGAAAATAAGTAAGTAGGCATGCTACATAGAACAGCCTTGCACAGGACCAGCTTCGCCCCATAAGAAAGATGCATGCTCCTCCACCCATTGAGTTTATTCTGGCATTTGTCGATCATCTGATCCCACATCGTAGCTTCATTAGGTTTACCACCGAGAGGGAAGCCGAGGTATTTAGGAGGATCCTTACTCCACTTACACCCGAAAATGCTTGCGAAGAAACTAAGTTCAGCCACGTCACCAACCATATACATCACAGATTTGTCAAGATTAATTCTGAGGCCCGTCGCCGATTGGAAGCAGACAATAGTGGCAAGAACATTCAAGACTTAGTCATACTGAGCGTCACAAAAAATTAGCGTATCATCAGCAAACAACAAATGGGTAACCTCTCTTGTCCTCTTACCTTCATCCATGTGAAAACCTTCAAATTTACCCGCATCTCTGACCGACTTTAGCATCCAATAGCACATCCATAATGAGAACAAACAAGCCGGGAGAAAGGGGGTCTCCTTGGCGTAACCCCTTCGAAGCTTTGAAAAAATCTTTAGCCTCCCCATTAACAAAGATAGAAATCAACGAAGAACGCGTACTGCCTTTAACCCATCTTGACCATTTCTCTAGGAAACCCGTAATATTGAGAATTCTGAACATGCACTCCCAATTCACATTATCGAAAGCCTTTTCTATGTCGAGTTTGAACATGAGCCCTGGTTTTCTGCCTCTACGCCTACTGTCCACGAGTTCATTTGCAATGAGTCCAGACTCTGAAATTTGTCTCCCCTTCACAGAAGAAAACTGATTCCTATACACGAGCTTCGGCAAAACCATGCTTAATCTCCTAGAGAGAACCTTACTGATCAGTTTATTGATGCTCCCAATCAGGTTAATCGGCCTAAGGTCTCTGATATCCTCAATTGTGTCTTTCTTGGGGGGTTAAACAGACAAAAGAATGAGTGACACAGTTGGGTAGAAGACCCGAATCGAAAAAATCTTGGAAAGCTTTAAGGATCTCGTCTTTCAGCCTCTGCCAACTCTTTTTGAAGAACTCCATAGTGAAACCATCGGGTCCGGGAGCTTTGCAACCATCACTATCTCTGAGATTCAGCCATATTTCTTGTTCTGAGAAGGGCTTCACCAGCGTCCCACAGTCGCTCTCCCCAAGAACGACATTTGCCAATCGAGAAGGAACTGGGCGATGATCGTTAGAATCACAGAACAGACCCTTGTAATAATTAACAATACCATTCCCAAATCCTCCTTGTCTTCAATCATTTGTCCATTGATCCTAATTCTGTTTATGAAATTTAACTTCCTTCTGTAATTCGCAGCTTTGTGAAAATACCCTGTGTTTCTTTCCCCCAATTTGATCCACCCTTCTCTCGATTTTTGCCTCCAACATATCTCCTTCAAATACAAGGCCCTACTAAGTTCCAAGGCCATATTAGCTCTTCTGCACATTTCCTCTTCAAGAAGAGGGCGCTGTTCTTCAACCACATCCAGTTCCATAATTTTGCAAGATAACTCATCAACCTTAGTGTCAATGTTTCCGAACACTTCCTTGTTCCAAACCTTCACTCTAGACTTCACAAGCAAAAGTCTCCTAGCGAGGAGGAAAACACATCCCGATCCACTGACACCCTCATTCATCCATTTGTCGAGCTCGAGATAGAATCGAGAGTCCTCCAGCCACATGTTTTCTAGGATGTTTATTAACTCAGTTGCCTTTTCTTCCTTTACGCTTGGGGAGAAGCTGATTTCATATTTCTGAAGATTCACATTTTGCCCTGATTCCAACTCATAGATCTGCAATATTTCCTTTATTTTCTGACACTCTGGTGGTGTAGCTCTGGCAAACAGTATGTTGTCATCTGCAAAGAGCATATGTGAAATGGTTGGCCATTTACAGGACACCTTGAGTCCATGGATAGTTCCCCTGCTAACTTCCTGATTAATTTTAGCTAACAGTCCCTCCACACATAGTAGAAACAAATAAGGTGAAAGGGGATCACATTGTCTAAGCCCTCGGTCTGGTTTGAATTCCATAGATCGATGTCTGTTTACCTGAATATAATAGGTGATTGTTCTGACACAATTCATAATCAATTGTACCCATCTATCATTGAAACAGAGCTTAAACATCATTACTTCTAGAAAGTGCCATCCACCGGGTCATAAGCTTTAGAGATGTCAAGTTTTGCTACCATGACCCCTATTTTTGCTTTCTTTTTCTTTTTGATTGCATGAAAACATTCAAAAGAAATCAGAACATTGTCCAAAATCTTTCTCTTTGGGACAAAAGCGCTTTGGTTTTCCTCCACCGCTCTGTTCAAAATACTCATTAACCTGTTAGCAAAGACTTTTGCCATGATCTTATAAAGAACTTGGCAGAGGCTGATGGGATGAAACTCCAACGGTTTCTCTGTCTTCTTTGTCTATGGAATTAAGGCAATCAGGGTGTAATTCAATTATGGGGGAAAGCACCCCATCTCTAAGTAGCTAGTAAGAGCCTTGGTCGCCTCTGGACCTACAACTTCTCAATTGTGTTGACAAAAAGGGTTGGCATCCCATCTGGCTCTGGTGCTTTGGTTGGCCTCATCATTTTTAAAGCTTTTCATATTTCATCTTCAGTGAAAGGCCTTAATAGTACCTGCTTCATTTCTGGGGTAACCCTCTGATCTACATCTGATAGAATCTTACTTGTAGAGGGAGGTTCCCCTTATGTGAACTGGCCCTTGTAGAGTTCACGAGACATGTTTCTACACCCTCTTAACCTGTCCAAACTCTCCCTGAATCATCCATGAGCTTTTTAATTGTATTACGTTTCCTTCTTTATGAAGCTTTCCTGTGAAAGAAGCCAGTGTTGCTATCTCCCGTCTTTAACCAGTCAACGCTCGATCTTTGCCTCCATTTGCATTCCTCCTGCTAAAGGATAACAGCCAGTTCTCGTTCTAGGGCTTTCCTTTGTTCCAGCATAGTCTTTGTTCTTTTTCTTCGGTTCACTTTCTTGAGCAGTCTCTCAATTTTGCTTCTTCTAGCTTTTAGCGAGCCAAAGGCTTCTTTACTCTAGCCTACCAATTTGGTCTCACAATTCTTTATTATGTCCATGACTGAGGCATTCTCCTGAGAGGTCCAACCTTCTTTTACCATTTTCTTACAAGTATTATTATAACTATTGAATATTGATATTTAATGAAAATTAGAATAAGGGAATCCATAAATTCACTAGGGGTTGTTTGGATAAAGGATTGTAGTTTGAGGTACGTGAGATTTGACCCAAATCCTGCAGTTAGAAATTCACATAATTTGTATAAGGGATTTGGACACAAAAAAACCTTATTGAAAAACCAATTTTGCACTCATCTACTTATCTTCCCCTTCGACATCTCTTCTAGGTTTATGTTATGGCCGAAAATAGAACGACTCGAAACCCAAACGATGTTATCTGTAGAGTACTGGTTAAAGGATGAAGATGAAGAGGAGCGCCTCTTGCTTAGCCTCACCTTGCTTACGGTGCATCGCAGCCGTTGCTAGCTTTGCGTAAGAAAGGCCTTATTGTTCCTCCTCCTCGAAAAAAGATGGATCCAGGGAGGGGTGAAAGCTAATTCTTTAAGATGAAAGTGTTGGCATTATGGGTTGTTGGGAAAGTTGACAGTCTCTGGGTAGGGTGGTTGTCGAGACAGAATCTCCCTTCCGTTTGTATGAGCTTCCAGCCGGTTAAGCAACAGAAGATGTGGGCGAAAGCACACTCATCATCCTCATACGTGCGGTCGAGTACGTGAGACTGCCTCCCTTCGGCTCTGTCGCACCATACCCTCTTCATCTTTCTCGCCAGAAATCTAGGTCGATTGGCTTCCGATGGTTGGGGTTATTATGGCTGGAGATGGGAGTGTCGCGACCAGAATCCCGCCACCCGCTACAAATCCCTAGACTAAAAGTTTCAACTCCCTCAAAATTTCGCTCCCCTCTACCAAATTCCTCATTTTGTCAGCGACATATGAGCCTGTCTATGTTGTCAAAAAAAAAAAAATGAGCCTGTCTAGAAACAAAGTAAATCAAGCTTCTTCCTCCATTACGTCTCCTCACCTTCCCGTCATGGATCATTAGTTCTTCGTCTCTTAACAAAAAAAGCCCTTTATCTGCAACAGCAACGGCTACATCTCCGACTTAGTTGTGGGTTTTGGTCAGTGAGGACTGTTGAGACCTAATTTTCTGTATCTGGCAGGTCAGTAGTAAATCCCTGGAACAGCAACAGAACTACGACGGTTGTAGGTTCAGTCGATATTTTGATGGCCAAACTTCCCCTTCAATTTTCTGAAAGAAGGCGGCTATGTTGGTTAAGACGATGGAAGAAGTGAAGGGCAATGGTTTGGTTTATTTTTTTATAAGGGTGATATATGTTTTTATTTTTTTTTTTATTAAGATACTACTTAAGTAATTTGAACCTGAGACCTTCAAGTTCTAGTCTAGTGGTAATACCACTAGACCAAGTCTTGATTTATTAAATTTAAAAAGAAGAAAATTGGAAAAAAAAAGTAATGGTGAGCGATTTCGAAATATTTGGGGTCGGCTATTTCAAAATCCCACGGTTGGAGGTTTTCGAAATCCGTCATGGTTAAAAATCTCTATCTTTTTGTAGTCTTCCCAAACATAGAATTATATGACAAAATTGGAGAAGGTGGAGGATTGTGGCAAAATCCTACATCGTAATTCCCCATCTAGTAGATACATAAAATTGTTCCCAAACATAGAATTTATATGACAAAATTCGAGAAGGTGGAAGATCGTGGCAAAATCCTAATACCCCAAATATATGAAATTGTAGATTACCAAAAACAAAAAATTTAACAAGACCAGAAAATTCAGTTGGTGGATTCAACAAGGTATTGAGAAGTACTGTAAAATCAAACAGACAGCCACTAGCATTCTTCTAACAAGCATGCAAAAGTGGATAACAGTAGGGGGTGGAGTAAGTAGTTCACATGCTAAAACCATTGACTGTGAGTCCTCCATCAACAGAAATGACTTGACCTGTAATATAACAGGCAGCCGGCATGCACAAGAAGGCCACCAATGGCGACACCTCCTCTGGCTCTGCGATCCGACGCAGGGGAGTCCGATTCACCACTGCTGCCAGAAACGCTTCATTTTCAAAAGCCTATAAATATACCACACAGACAGTTAGCCCAGCTTGGACAAGACGACAACAACCTCAAAAAACTGAAACCCTTTTAGCCCCCCATTCAATCATCTTTCACCTCTTTGACCATTGGAGTCCTAGTGTACCACGGCGCGACAGAGTTGGTCCGTATGTTGTCCTTGGCCCATTCACATGCCAAATTCCTCGTCAGCTGGTCGATTGCTCCTACATTTTCCACGCACCAAATGTTAAGCTTCGAATCAATAAGAAGCCAGCACGAGTTACTGTCAAAAAAGAAGAAGAAAAAAAGGGCATACCTTTGGAGGCATTGTAAGCTGAGAGGCAGGGCAAAGATGTCGAACCGCCGACGGAAGAAATGAACACGATGCTTCCGGACCCAGAAGATTTGAGGAGAGGATGTGCGAGCTGGCACAAATGGAAACCGGACTCGAAATTGGTTTCCCACACACTCGACAGCTCCTCTGCTGTGACTTCTGTGGTTGGCTTATAAAGCCCTCTTGCAGCATTGTTCACCTGGACTCGGTAAATTTTCATCTAATTAGATTCGCTACTGGGAACCTCTTTGATGTTGTCATTCATTGTCAGGAGACTTACAAGTATGTTAAGGCTGCCGGAGAAGAGAGAAGAGACAGCGTCCATGAGCTTCTCCCGTTGGGCTCGAGAGGAAACGTCGCAGACGGAACCAGTGATTTTGTCGAAACCCTTTTCTCTCCAGCCGTTGATGCGTTGATTGAGCTCCTCCTGGCTGCGGGAGCAAGTGTGAACGCTCGCCCCTAGCTTTGCCAATTCCTCCACTATGGCGGCTCTGAATGCATATGCTTGATGAAATTGGGAATCAAGGAGAATTGGGTGGAACAGAGAATGGAGGAATTTTACTAGTTTACTTTACCCGATCCCTTTGGTCCCGCCGGTGACGAGAGCAGTCATTCCGTCGAGAGACCATTTGTTTATGGAGCCGATGCTGCTTCCTCCTTCACCCATATAGATATGTAAATGCTATTCCTGCCTGCTGCTTTCGATTTGGCTATGCTATTGTTTTGTTATGTTTTTTTTTGTCTTTCCCAAAGAGATCTAGAATGCTATTATAGTTAGGTGAATCGTCATCTCGCCCTTTTGATTGGACGTCATTTTATTTGGAACCACACGATTTTTCCTTCTTGAATGGCAACCACAAGTTTTGCCTTCAACAAGGCTGCTGATCAATAACCGGTTGGCCACGATCAACTACCTGAAATGAAGTGGTTATATAAGATTATATAGATATCTCCCAAGAACTTAAACTATTGGCATCAGAAGTGCATTAATGATATGGTATTAGAGTTTATTGAGATCATGTGTTTAAGTTTTAGTGATCTCCAATATTAATCGTTGTCTTTGAAAACATATGGTATGCTTGGTCTGTACAAATTTCAAGCTAATAAGTTGGCTTTCGTTTGAGGGTCCATGTAAGAAAGTGAATAACTACCATACATGGACCGATGGACTTGTTCCAACAATTGAGTTCTTGGGAATTGGAACCAGTTTATTTCTGACTTACCAAGATCAAATCCAGACTTGCATGCATGGGACCTCCTACCATGCCTTGAAGTTACTATAACTTGCCATTTTTGACCTGCTATAGCAAGTTTTATAGGTCGCATATAGTAATGTTTATTACGTAACAATTACGTAATGCTTGTTAGTTTTACGTAACAGTTAAACTAGAAGCGTTACGGAAGGTTTTTCGTAACGACTTATTATTTTACGTAACGCTAAGTTAATATTCATTACGTAAAAGCATCATCTATTACATAAGGCTTCCTTAATGATATTTTACAACTGTTACATAATATACACGATCATTACGTAAAGGTTACGTAACGAAGGTTATTTCTTACGTAACAGTTCAATTAGAAGTGTTACGTAAGACTTCCGTAATGACTTGCCACATTACGTAACTTGATTAATATTCATTACGTAAAAGGACCATCCATTACGTATGGCTTCCGTAATGCCACTTTACAACTGTTACGTAAAGTATGCATCTATTACGTAAAGGTTACGTAACGATAGTTATTTCTTACGTAACAGTTAAATTAGAAGCGTTATGTACGTCTTCTGTAATGATTTAACAGATTACGTAACGAAAGGTTAATATTCATTATGTAAAATGAGTGTCAATTACGTAAGGTTTCCGTAATGACATTTTTCAACTATTACGTAAGATAAACACACATTACGTAACCATTACGTAATGCCTATTTTATTTTACGTAATGCGACTTGTGAAACCTGTTATAGCAGGTCAAAAACATAAAGTTACAATAACTTCAAGGTATTGTAGGAATTTCCTACATTTTATTATGTGCAGAGACAGTTATGGATGTGATGACCAGATGAGAGGAAGATCACAAGAACCCTTGATCCTAAAATGTATTACCCTATTGGACCGCAATTCTGTTGAGTTTAGCCCGGTTCAAACCAAACCCTTGCACACCACTACCAGCAGGCAGCAACAAGGTCACGAGCTAGAGGTTACACGACATCATTTTTTCCTTTGGATTGCAAATTGTGTCTTTTTTTGTTTTCCCTTCTCCTAAAGGTACATTTTGAATTCTAAGTTGAACATTTGAATATTGATGATATATGATTGTATTTGAATTTTCACTGTATGTTGGATCCAAGTATGAACATATTTTGATTTAATGTTATATATTATTACTCATATGGTGGATGAGTTATTATATAATTTATAAATATATGAACAGTATAATGACTTTTTCATATATCCGGACTAAAATAATTAAACCATTAAATCTCGACTCACTTGCTCAACTGGACCCACAAGCTAAACTGGGTTGCCAACCTTCATCCTAGCGTAAAAGACATCTCCTTTGGTTGGAGTTTTTGGCAATCTCATTTTGTTTGATGAAATTAAATTTGGGTTAATTGCATGGTTGGTCACCGAGATTACAAAAAACGTTCACGTTTGGTCACTGGAAATATTTAATTTCATTCGTGGTCACTAACTTTCTACTCTCAATACATAAATGGTCACTTTCCGTCTACTTCCGTTGACTTTAGCTTACGTGGCAGTCAACTAACATAGTTGACCGTTAAATATGTGACGTGGAAATTAAAAAATTAATAAAAAAATAAAATTTAATACTTTAAAATTTCCACCTCATTGTTGTAATTGTTAAAACATAATAAATACATAAAATTTAAACAAAATTGAAAAACAAAAAAAAATCTTAGGTCTTCACGATTCCAACCTTTTCCCCTCTTGAAAAGTCCCAATTCTAATTCCAACCTCCGATCCTCCAAATCGTCACCGCCGCGCGTTGCTACTCTGCCTCCAAATCTCGACTCTCCCAATCTCCATGAGTCCGAATCAGAGTCATCATCAGCGCCATAACCCCTCTGCCCGACCATTACCACTAGGGCTTGGTTGAAGGAGAACGGGAGGTAGAGGATGGAGGGGTTGCCGCAGACGACGGAGAAACAGAAGATGGCACAGAGGGCGAAGTTGAAGAACTGGCGGCGGGTTACTATTTTCCCAATCCCGTCGCCATCCTTAGTTTTCCCCTCAGAAAATGTGACCCCTTTAAATCTAACCCTTCAAACGCGCGAGGGCGATCTCCGGACTGGGTCAAGGCTTATCCTCCTTCAACTCTACCTACATCGAGATCTGTTCATCGAGGGGCACCGGGCTTGTTGTTCTTGGCGGGATTACCTTCGGAAGAAGATGACTGATTAGTTTGCTCGGCGGGAGGAAAGCCAGGGAGAAGAGGATAGCGGAGGAGGCTACCATGATAGTAGTTACATGCCGCCCAATCTACCGCCACTTTGCCATTCATCCAACCAACCGCATCCAACCTGAATTTCTCCGGTGTTACGGCCGGATCTACCACTTCCCTTACAAAAATAGGATATTTTCACCACCGCCAGTGGCAAGGATTTAAATCGCGACAGCGACCATCAAAACGACAACCTAATTCTGAACAAGATTCAACAGGGAGAACATGACGCCCATCGAGGAGCTGGTGATCTCGCGGATCAAAGCTCGGCTGAACGAGAGAGAATTGAAGAAGGAGGAAGAGACCAGAAGTCCGCGACAGTGCGCGAGGCAGATTGTAAAGCAGGTGAAAGAGAGCGTCAGTAGGAGAGTCGGTTTGGACATTACCGACTCCGAATATCTCCCAGATACTTCTCCTCCGCCACCACCCCAGGCTCCTTCCACCCAATCAAGTACTGAATCTTGTAAAGATTCCCTGCACGATGAGGAAACGCTGTCTCCGCCGCCGACACCTCGTCTTTCGCTCCGCTGTACGGGTTGAAACAAACCCTGTTTTCCGCGACTCAATCATCTTCGCCCAAATCCCTTCCAAGCTAGCTTTCAGGATCGGTGTCACAACGTAGTCCGATTTCCTCTTGCCAGATTTGATCGATTGCAACTCTCTGCTCAGCAGCGCCGCCTGTTATTCTCTTCGTCCAATCCCATCATAGAAGAAATTAGGGGTTTTTTATTTTTTTAAATAAAAGTGATATGAGGTGGGGTTTTTATTTTTTTAAATAAAAGTGATATGAGGTGGAAATGAGATGGCAATTTAAAAAAATTTAATTTTATTAATTTTAAATTGCCACGTCACACATTTAACGGTCAACTTTTAGAGTTGACCGCCACGTAAGCAAAAGTTAACGGAGTTGGACGGAGACTGACCAAACGTGAACGGTTTCAGTAAACTGAAGTACCACCAATGGAATTAAATATTTCAAGTGACCAAACTTGAACGTTTTTTATAATCTCAATGACCAACCATGCAATTAACCCAATTAAATTTGGAAGCTAGTATGGTCGTAAAATTAGAGGATTCTTCAACAAAGTCTCTTATTTTAGGTTTGTAGGTTTATGGTTGAGGAGTTTGGCTGGCATTTAGTGTTTCGGGGCTTACTTTAGGGGTTAGAGTTTAGAGCTAGGATCTAAAATTTAGTCGTTAGGATTTAGGGTGAGAATTGTACTTATGGTTGTGGATGTAGGGTTTGGATTTCAATTATGGTTTTTTTTTTTTTTTCTTCACTTGGCCTAATCCCAACAAGGAATATCTTGCTCGCAATACTTAATTACCTTGTTTGTGTCATCCTGTATGAATTACGAGATCACCCGAAATGAACTACGAGATCACCCAAAAGACACCTTTGACATTTAGAGATCGCGGACCGATCATAAATTAAATAGCAACTAACTATGGCTCTTGGACCAGACAACATCCTAAACGTAGGGGGCATCGAAGCATGAGGCTAGAAAGAGAAATGTCAACTATTCTACATACAATGCTTCTCCAAAATAGAAGCATTTTTGTTGGTGTATTAAAGACTAGACTAATAACGTATACAATACTTCAATTTCTTCGTAGATGCTACATAGTTGGTGTTATAACTACGCTGCTACAGATCGGGAAATTGTCGGAATCGAGAAACCAAGAATAGGAAAGCGAGAATCGAAAACAGACACACAATTTACGTGGTTCACTAACACAATGTGTGTTAGCTAGTTCACGAGCAGGAGAGAGCAAGTTTCACTATATCGAGAAGATTACAGATTACAGAGGAGATGAGAAATATTTATACTTCTCCATGTGGGTCTAAACCTAATCTAATCTGGTAAAGGAAACGATTACAGACCAGACCCAAAACTGACAACCCAAACATGTATCGACCATACACAGTGACTTCCAGTCGTAGCGACTGATAGTCCGATTTAAGTCACATCAAGAGTTGGTTTAATGCATATCTTGTGTGGTTCCCATTAAGCAGTCTGTGACTGTTGGCAGAGCAAAGGGATAGAGGTAGCTGTGCTTCCCCCGCCAGCCTATATCTGTCACTTTCATTTTCTCTCGAGCTTGGGAGATGCTGGTCCTCTCTTGCCCAATGGCTTCTATAGTCTATTTGTCAATGGCTTCCGCTGCCGTCCCCACTTCGGTGACCTTGACAGCCAATTTTTCGTTCACAAGGCAGTTAGATTTTTTGCCAATCCTGTCTTTGGCCAACTTTTCAATTCGAGAAGAAATGGAAGAACTGGATCAGGTAAGGTGTGAGGGGGACTGTTAAAAGTTGTTCAATTTGGCCGCCAACAGAATTTTCCATTTTGATGCCCTCAAAAACAAGGCACAAAAGAAAGAAGCATCAGCAATCTAAGGTGACATTAGTAATGAGGTAAAGAAGAAAGGGAAAGGAGTTGCAAGTCCAGAATGATACGCGGATCCTTCTACTACATGAAGAAGAAAACGAATAGGGGGAGAATACAACTTTCCCTTCTACCCCCCATTGACGAAAACCTTTTGATAAAAGGAAAAAGGACGACGACGAGGAACAGCAGCAGCAACAAGACGAACTTAACAGAGAAAATTCCAAAGCTTTTCTACTAACTTGACACAACAACACCCTCCATCATGTCAACACCAAACTAAATGCAAAACGGTGGTACTATCACGCACACGATGACCATGACCGCAAAGTATCAGGGAACATCAGACTTCCTTTTCGTCTCTTCTTCCGACTTTAAAGTCCTGGGGTTTCCAGAGTTAGGGGCTTACATCCACATCGAACCTTCTAAATGCCCAGCATTGGCTTAAAGAATCACGTTTCGCGTCACCAAAATCACATCTTCTTGCTGCTGTGTTCATCTTCGTCGCTCTTCAATGCCTTCAACTTTCTGTAACCTTTGTCGGTGCCAAATATCCTGATAGCCAAAGACAAGCAAAATGTAGCGTTACTTGACTGATAGCGGCTTATTAGGGACAACCCATGAGCATGTGGCTGCAAGTAATATCTGGTGATTAGTTACTTCTTTAGGTGGTCTAGCGGACATGGAAAGCCACAGACACACTCACCCATTTATTACGCACATCCTAGTCAGAATATATGCACTCAGTTAGCTGTACATAGTTCAGAGACCAGGTGGGACTAATGTCTTCGTTTGTCTATTCTTGGGACTTTTGAACTCGCTAGGAAGTTCCCAGCAGTGAAGAGCAATTGCAATTGCTATTAAACTAGTAACCAAGCTCACTCGAAGAATTGAAGAGGATCCGTAAAGGGATTTCTTCATTAGTTCGATAAACACCAATGAAAAATCAAACAGATTTGAATGGCTTGTCACAGGAATCAAATTGTAACCAAATCCGGTGGTTTTCTATACAGGGTACCACATCAAATCCAGAGTGGTTAACAGCCAAACAACAAAGATAGATAGTTGAAAGTTCCGAGGGATTGAAAAACTCACCAGTCCATGTATGTGAAAGTTGACGAGTAGTTTCCAGATTTAGTATAAAGCAAGCGGTGATGATAATCATGAAAATCAGAACTGGAAATATGTGAAGGAGAAGTTAGAAATCATCGAATACGGACTTGATCAAATATGCTACCAGAAAAGAGTAATAACAGTTTAAATATTCCAGATATCAATTGAGAAGGGAAAACTCACCCTCCATATAGAGGAAGAAAATTGGACAGGCTCCATGGAAAATGGTAACCTGAATGCACTTCAACTGTTTCAAGAACCCGAAGCACCATCCATAACCACAGCGTAGATAGATGCGGCCCAGTAATTGCAGGACCAATAATAGTAGCGAATCCAAGGAACAATATCTCAGCAGGGTGAGCATATTCAGATGTCAGACCAAATGGAGTAGCATACCTGCATATACGGTCAATTAGTCATCACCACTAATTTACACAACACCTCAGGATTCCATACGTGGGAACAGAACAAAACCGTCTAGTTCAACTTACTCATGATGGACACTGTGCACATGCTTGTACAACCATTTGGTATGTAAAATTCGATGTCCCCAGTAAAATATAAAATCTTCCAAGATGAAGTAGAAAAGTATCTGAGTTAGAACTACCCTCCTGCAGAATCAAATCAGGAGTTCGTAAGCAGGGTGTGCAAAAAGATGACAATTATACCACACAGAAGCAGAGAAGCTTGACCGGAATCATGGAAACGGAATCCAGTATGTGAAATGAAGAAAGTTACAGTTTATATTCGTTCAGTATATAAAGAACCTGATAGTACCATGAAGGCAATGGAAGGCTGATTTTCATGCCCATATGCTTAAAGACGGGATAGGACACAAGCATAACTGGTAGATTGACACCGAAGTGATACAAAATCAGACGAGTAATACATTTCTCCTGAGCAGCTGGACTGTTGTTTTTAAGCTGCACGGAACCAGATATAAGTGGTGGTGCAATATAAAAAAAACAAACCTCCCCCCAAGAAGGAAATTTTACCAAACTACTATTGGAAACATACAGAACAGCCACTAAAAGATGTGATACTGGGGTAACTTTTACAAGATGTAAGCAAGGAAATATCATTGTTTAACAGCACGCAGTGACCACACACAACAGGAAAGTCAATGTAGTACCTGAATCTTGTGTTTGCTAAACCACCCTGCCCTTTCAAGGAATATGTAAGGAAGTCCAGATAAGAAGAAGACGCTCTCATGAATGAAGAAACTCCCTAGACAAGCCAATTGAAACTCGCTGAAATGTGTGATCAAATACTGCATGGAAGCAAAATAAAAGTTATTAAAAGAACCCACAAGGCACTGAAGCATTCAAACAGCCAAGGAGGCGCTTCAGAACTGTTTTGACCATCTTCCATTGCAGAACAAATGAAAAAGGCCACAAATTTCCTTCGTTCTTTCTTTTCAAGAAAAGACTCCAGAATTCACCTTTTTCCACCAAGATTACATTACATATGGGTAATTATTATGCTGGTATGGGAGAACCAAAAATTCATTAAAGAGAAAGAGTAACTCAATGCATTACAACCAAAAAAAAAACCCCTAAAATTGGACTGATTAGCGTGAGAGCAGCTAGAGCAGAAGGAGAACAGAGAGACTGCATTCGTGGGGCAGTAATCTATTTCAGCTTCCCCCCTGACGGAGATCTCCATAAGAAAGACAATTACAATTTATAAAAAAAAAATGGTCGAAACGTCCCCATCACTCAATAAGGTTGGCAGAATTCGGCAAATAAAATATCCATCTTCGCATTAATCGAAATTTCACCACAAGGCGGAAAGTCCCATTAGTCATCTGAAACAATGGCAAAAGGATCTGAGCGGAAACGCGTGGTTCACATTCGGCAAAGCTTTACGCGGCAAAATACCGAGACAGAGGAAAAGGAGAGGTGTCTAGAATTAACTCCACCAAGGAATTGAAGAGCAGAAATTAGAAGGAGGACAAGCATTGGTGGCAGATCCAGGGGAGAGCAATGATTCAAGGAGGAGGAGGAAGATGAGTTACCTGCCAGCCGGATTCGAGGAGGGAAGCCATGGGAGACGGAGCAGAATGGTGGGTGGGAAGGAGAAGGGGGGAAAGTAGCGTGATCGAGCTTTGTCGCCTTGCCTTTTGCTTCTCTGTCAGGCAGAGAGCGCAGAGTGAGATGGATGGAGAGAGAGAGAGAGAGAGAGGGAGGGAGGGAGCTATATAAGAATAAGAGACACTGGGAGAGCCACGCCCACTCGACTCGACAACAGAAGGAATCAAAGACGGACTTGGAATCTGGGCTTTGGGCCCACCTCACTTTCCCTCACTTTACATATCTTATACCGTAACCAACTGTAAGTAGTATCTAGCGGTATGCAACTAGGGCCGCAAATGAGCCAAACTACTCGCGAGCAACTCGAGGCTCGAATCGGGAAAAACTCGTTCGAAACTCGATTCGTTTACTGATGAGTCAAGGTTGAGCTTAGCTTTGTTCAGCTCGTGAAGCTCGCGAGCTAGCTCGACTCTGTGGCTTGTTGAGCTCAACTCGTGAGTTGGCTCATTTAAAGCTCACAAGATGTCTCAACATTGTGGTTTGAGGGCCAACTTGATCACCAAATTATGGACTAATCGATCTAATTTGGACTTTCATAATTCATAGGATTATTAAATTATATATCTCACATAATGTGAAGTTTAACATGTTGAATTTGTATCATAACGTTAAAACTACAAGTTCAGTTTATATCATAAAGATTTTTTTAACCCAAACTACAAGTTCAGTTTATATTATAAAGCATTGTAAAATTCCTCCGATGCATAGATTATATGTTTAAGTTTATTTTTATGTGTCTCGGGTCATTTGAGACTATTTATTTTCCGGGTTATCTTGGATGTAGTTGCTTCCGCTTGTTACTATTACGAGACACGAAATTGGTGGATGATGTCTCGAACTCTCGTACGAAGTAGATCGATAAATCGAAGAAAAAATATAATAAAAGAAAGACAATAAACAAATGGAATTCAATTGGATGGGGTTAGGACTTAGGACTTCAAATCGGCAAAATCCAATGGCCACAAGAGTTATTCATGGCATGGGACATGGAATTCCCTTTTTTTAATTATTTGACATGTAATAGTTTGTGTTTTGGGATGAATAAAATATCGGACCTCCATTTTACCCTCGTCGATAATGGAAGGACAAAATTAGGTGAACGACGTCCAGACTCCAGAGTCCAATATTCCAGCTGAGTGGAAATATTGAAGAAAAAGACTGAAAAAGGGTTATAATATATATACAAATTGAAGAAAACCAAAGGAATAGATCTGTATATAATATATATACACAATTATTACTATTTTATTTATATGAGACAGTTCTGCTTGTCTTTCATGCATGCAGACAATTACAAATGTCCACTCACTCTCTCTCTCAAACCTGCTGCGCGACGTAGATGTAATTGTACTGTTGTTGTTGTCCGACTAAAATGCGTCTTTTTTAAAATCCATGCCATACCATACACAAGTTAGTGTAGATCTCTTCAACGTCTCCTCTACAACAGAGAGATTGGGATTGTGGCAAACACTTTTTGGCAATTTCTTCAGTGTCGCATGGTATGGCCAGCTTCTTTACCAACAATCCGCCGGCAACACGGCGCCAAGCGTTTGGAAAACTCCATACTAGTAGTTTTTGGATGTGATTGAAAGAAACAGAGTGGGGGGTTTGGGTGGAGATTTCATGTGAGGGGTTTCGGCAAAGGCGCGGAGCCAGGACATAATATAGTTCGTGTGTATATTAGGACGAGAGTCATTGAAAGAAGTTACATTGTTGCTATCTAAACCTACATTGTAATTTGTAAGTGTTGAAAGAACATTTGTAATGGGCTACTTGAAAAATATGTTTTAGTCTCGTCCAATTTATACTACTAGATCAACACTATAACTAGTTACCTACGATAATTTAGTGCTAATTAACATATTCTCTTTCCTTTTTCTTACTTTTTACTTCGTTGAATATTCTCTTTTTTTACATTGCAATATTCTCAACATACCAAAACGATAATTTAGCTATTAAAAAAAATGAATCGTTATTTACCGCCCTAGTATTTGCTATTTACCGTCCATAGTTATAAAATATAAGACTATTTTGCCCTTTTCCAACTAATCTTAAACCTATCTAACTCATACCCTCACAATCTCCTCCCTCCTCCCACAACATCCTACCACCGCCGCCACTTCATTCCTCCGACCCCTACACTGTTGCTCCACCGCCGACCCCTCTATTCCTCCGACATGGTCCCGCCGACCCCTCCATTCGCCCGACCTCACTCCCTCCCCTCACAAAGTAGCCGCTATTGAAGAGGAAGGAGCTCGCCGCCGGTGTTGTCGTCGCCGACGTAGAGGAAGGAGCTTGCGGAGAAGCTAAACGTTTTTTTTTTTTTTGCATCCGCTCACCGGCGTCGGACGGGGTCCGATCGCTGGAGGCGGACGGGGTCCGATCGCCAGAGGCGGATGTGGTCCACTTGTCGTGGGCAGACGGGGTCCGATCGTCACACGCGGACGGGGTCCGAGAATAGGCGGCGGACGGGGTCCGAAACTCAGCGTTGGACGGTTACGACTTTTAAAAAAAAAATCGTTTTTGAATTATTAGTTATTTTTTGAGTAATTAAATAAGTGTAAAATACCATAATTAGGATTTAAAATTATGAATTAATTCAATTTTTATTTCACTTATTTCACCAAAGATTTATTATGAGAATTTTGATTCCTCAATTAACCTAATGACAGACGTTGATTGTATATAAATATTGTATTAAATAATTATCAAGCACCAAAATTTCCGAAATTAACAACCTAATTTACAATCTCTAATTGTAGTTTCCTATTTAACAACCCAACATAATTTTCTTCCAATACATTTAATGATTATTTTCATAATTAACAACCATAAATAAATTCATCCCCAATAACCCACATCTAATTTTATTTCCCTAATTACACTCTCAAATTAACATCCCAATCCACGTCTTGTAGTTATCAAACATGTATGGAATATAATTTATTAATATATTATTGTTTTCAAATGATTAAGAACCAGTAACTTAGTTAGATTAAAGGTTAAGAATTATATTATTATGTTAAATGTATATGATAACGGTTGAACGCAAAACAATTTTCCTCTTTGATTGTGAATTCACAACATAAACAATATTCCCTTAATTATCACATCTAAGCCCATAATAATTAGTATTTTTTATTATTAATTATTTTCCTCTTTGATTGCTACCAATGGAATTAGGCAAAACAGAATTTAATAATTAATTACCTATTTTAACAGCAGTAGGTGAGTTTAGTTTACTCACTTAAAGTATTTTTTTTTTAAATTTCTTGGCATAAAAATAGTTTAGTGAATAAATGTGGTGAGGCTGAATTTTGAACATGAAATTAGCTAGATTAAATAATATTTAATCTAATTGGAAAAATGATGACAGTAACAAAAGATGAAAGCACATCTCCCCCTTCTACACATTCTACCTCTCTCAAACCCTAAACCTTAATTCCCACCAAATAGCTAACTTCAACCTCAATCCATCCAATCCTACTACGACATTGTCTTAAGGGTAAAATTATTTCTACTTCCACTAACAAAATTTTTTTGCATCATTGAAATATGCATGATGGGCTCAAGAAAACACCTTTTATGATTCACAGAGCCTCCAAAATTCTTGGTGGAAATTTTGGCTCTATTCATCATCTTTTTTTTGTTTGGGACGTCCAATCGAGAAATGGTCGATTTCACCATGTTTGTATCCATATTTTAGAGGATCACCGAGGGTTTCAATAATTTTTATGTCGATGACTCTAGTAAATGCGAAAATTGACAAATGCAAAACGCAGCCATTTTAGTTTGATTACATGACATATCCACACTTGTAGGTAAATTATCAATATGATTACATGGCCATTTTAGTTTGTCATATCAATTTATTTCATTTTATTAATTAGTCATTTTGGTCTGTCCGCCGGTGTTAGACCGGTGCCTTGCGTACGATTCCCGGCGTCGGTGTACAATTCGTTAGTAATTAAATAATTTTAAAATAGCATAATTATGATTTAAAATTTTGAATTATTAATTTCATTCCTATTTTCCTTATTTCACCTAGGATTATGACGAGAATGTTGATTTTCTTAATTAACCTAATGGCAGACGTCTAATGGAAAGGTTCTAAAAGGCGCTAGGCGTAAGGCAGACGCTCGGCTCTTGACTTGCGCCTTGCCCGATTAGGCGTAGCCTAGGCGCGCCTAGGCGTTTAGAGCATAAATGGAAAAATTCTCAAATATTTCATATTTTATGGAATAATTCATATAATTCAAGTGCATATAAAATTAGCAATGCCTAGTTCTTAACAGTAAACACTTAACATAACAAATAACAAGCAAATAGTGACCAATCATCTACTAATAGGTTATAAAGGCAAGAAGCTTGTGCTACGTACCGAGGAGAAGGAAGGAGCAGCAATTGACGAGTTTCGACTTTATTTCCCACTATAGCAGCGGAGCGGTGTGAAGGCGAGAAGAGTGATCGATGACTTTCTCCGGCGGCGGCAGAGAGCAGCAAATGGGGCGAGAGCTAGGGCGGCAGGCGGTAGCAGATGGGGCGAGAGCTAGGGTGGCAGGCGGCAGCAGATGTTACTTCCCGTGTTTCTGATTTTCTAGAGCAAGAGGCAAGTTTCTGATTTTCTAGGACAAAACGAAGAGTATTGGGTTTAACCGCCTAAGCTCGCCCAGGAACGCCCAGACACACCTTCTCTCCACTAGACGCAAACTAAGTGCTATTCCTACCTACTAAGCGCTACCAGCGCCTTTTACAACGCCTATGGCCAAGTCAAGGCGATCCTCCACCGCCTAGTGCCTAATTGAGCCTAGGCGTGCGCCTAGGCGCGCCTTCTTGTTCTTGAACCCTGCTAATGGTAATATTATTTATTATTAATTATTTTCTTTTTTGATTGCTACCAACCGAATTAGGGGAAAAAGAATTTAAAATTAACTCTTATTCCTTCTAATAAAAT